ATCAGCATCAGCATCAGGATTAGCATCAGCATCTCTTTTGACTGGTTGGTTTGGTCTTAATCTGATCCAAGCTTCAGCATCAGCATCAGCATCAGCATCAGCATCTCTTCTAACTGGTTGGTTTGGTCTTAATCTGATCCATGGATTAGCTTCAGCATTAGCATCTCTTTTGGTTATTGAATCTGTTAAACCAGCAACTGGAGCAGCATTAACACCTAATAAGGCAAAACATGCCATAGCAAAATAATTTGAGAATTTCATTTTTGTCTGTTAAATTAGTTGATTTGGTTTTAGTGAGTGTTTATGTTTGTGATAAATATTGGTCTGTTGAGTTATTGATTGATAATTTGATTGTTTTCTAATAAAAATAATATGAAGATGAAGGAAAAGTAGAAGAATTTGGTTTCATTTAAATAATGATTGTTTTGTTAATTATAATATATTGATTATGAGAGCCATTTTTTGAATTCTCAAATTTTGTTAAACCGCAAAACCTTTGAGCAAATTAGATTTGTTTAAGACAGGTAGAACCATAACAATACTAATACCTTGGATAATTTCTTTTTTGTTATAGTTGTGGAAGAACTGCATAAACTTCTTTTAATCAGTTAAAACATTATCTCTTTGAAGTCCCAAAGCGGTAATTTCTTAAAAATTTTCAGTGTTAATTTTGTTGGTTGGGACACTCAAAATGATAGGGAAAAAAGACAATTAACTTTTTATAAAACATAATTTCATAAAGACTATTCTATCCCCTTTTCCAAGTGTGTAAAGCAGCCTATTTCTAGTGTACGTTCTTTAGTAAATAATATTCTCCTTAACAAAACTTCAAAGACAGTTGGCGAATTCTCTTGATTTGGAAATTCTCCCTACCTGAATCGAACTTCAAAGGGCCACTTCGTATTCGAACAAAAAAATAAATTTGTATTTGACAACCGCAAAATTTATTATCATTCTAGGTGATTTAAACATCGCAATTCTGTTAATTTCTTGCCTGTAAATCAAATCAACAGTTGCCCATTTTGTAGTATCTCACTATGCTCTGGTGATGGTGTAGTATATATTCTAGATTGGGCTGTCCTGATGCAGTGGGGATTTCTCAGCAAGGCTTCACCATTCGGCTCTGTTTGTTGCGTTTTCCAGAACAACCACACAGACGGTCTTCGGCTCCTTCCGTTTGGGTTTGCAACTTGAATGGAGTGGAAAGAAAAGAAGCAAGGAGAAGTTGGCCTCAGAGAAAGAGAATAGAGAGCTCAGAACAGTGCAGTAGAAGAACTGCAATTGATAGGCTTTTTTTTCGTGGCGATAAACACATCCACAGATCTTATTTATCCTTTGGAATTGCTCCTTTGACTTGACTACAAGTCCCTAAGTATTCTTTTTAAGCTACTAACATTTTGTTGTTGGGCGATTGGAAAGCCACACTATAGCAGGTACAAGTAAGTATAGCTGTTTAAATTATTTTGTTTGATTAAGTTTAGGAATTGGAATGTCTCGTCGCCATAGACAGTTAGTTGAAAAAATCCCAGTTGAAGAAGAAGAAGAACTTCTAGACATTGATAACGGAAAAGATGAATCCGTCATCAATATCAGTGACGATGATGATGATTTTCAAACCACGTATATTCACAATACTGAAATTGAGATCGATCAAACAATGGAAAACGAAGAAGAGAGAACTGGTGACAATAATGACGACATTGAAATGGATTATGGTAATCAAAATTTGGAAGGGCAGAGTATTGCAACTGCAAATGAAAATACTGCTGTTGATGAGGCTAATGAAAAAATCCACCAAACTGAGACTATAGATACCGATGAAATAAATGGAAACACAGATGTCATCGAGGAAAACACGAAAATTGGTGTTTCTCAAACCAAAAATGAAGTTGAAAAGATTAATGAGATTAATGAGATTAATGAGATTAATGAGACTAATAAGAGTAATGAGAACAAGAATAAAAATGAGAATAATGATATTAAAAATATTGAAAATGATGAGAATGATGAGAATGATGAGAATGACGAGAACAATGAGAATGATGAAAATAATGAAAACGAGAATAATGAGAATAATGATAATGACCGTAATAATAAAATCACTCTGAATAAACGAGAAACGGAAGAAAATCAAAATTCTAAAAGTGATGGGAACAATGGAGTTGGTGAAAAAAAAAAAAATAATGATACTATTAAAATTGAAAATTCAGAAAAAGTAACAGATGAGCTGAAACTAAATCCAAGTCCCGATTTAAAACCAAATGGCTATACCTATGTTAACGACGAAAATTTGGAAAATAGTATAAAAATTGAAAGAAAGGACAATAAATTTAAAAACCAGCCTATTATTGAAAACTCTAAAGGAATTAGTATACCCATCATCATATCCAGAGGTTCTGTTCTGTATCTTTTATTTCCTTGTTCCAAAAATTTCGAGAAAACAAAAGGCCTTCCTGTTTTATTTCCCCCATCTTTTTTTGGATATCTTGATAAAACTTTAGATGTTTTTTTCAGTGGTCTCCGATCTTATTTTAACAACAATGATTTACCTTTTGACATTAATGAAGAATTAATTTTAGATTTTTTGGGTTTAAATTTGGCTATTACTGAAGATAATGTATACTCTAAGGAGGTTAAATTTAGAGACATATTAACTCTTTTTTGGTGCTTAAGTGATAGTAAAAGTTTTGATACTGACAGCATAAATTTATTTGAAATTGTTCTTTCTTCGAAAAAAAGATTTAGCTATTATTTTAATTTTTTGTTTGAATCTATTAAAAAAAAGAAGAATACCGAAAATAAATCATCTATAAACAATGATATAACACAACCCAACAGTTTGGAAACTGACATAGTTTCAATTGGTGATCAATCTGGGAATAAAAATGAAAGCAAAGAAAATGGTCAAATTGTACATCAACTTAAAAACCAATTTGATGAGGACAAAAACAATATTGGTGAAAGTGAACTCAAAAACAATCGCAATGAGAACATTAATGAAACCAAAACAGAAAATGAAAGCGTAAAAATAGATAATCAAAATAATGACAGCCAAAATAATAATGATAATGATGCAAATAATGGTGATTCTGCTAATGGTGGTAACGCTGGTGATGATGGTAACAACGGTTACGATGAAAATGACGGTAATGTTGGTAATTATAATGATGATATTGACAAAATTGTGCAGAACAGCATAGAAAATGGAAATGGAAATGGAGTTGAAAATGACAGTGTAAAAAAAAATGATAATGAGATTAAAGTTAAAAATGACAATAAGATTAAAGTTGAAAATGAAAATAAAAATGAAAATGAAATCAGTAATCCACCTAAAACAAAGGACAATAATTTTGGAATAGATCACACAATGAAGTCAAATAGTGAAAAAACTGAAGATGTTATAACTGTAATTGAAGCTGAAAAAGAGAATAATTCTGAAAATAAAAATATTGATCTTAATGTAAATCATCAAGCTCAAGTCAATGCTAAACCTTTATTTGGTCTCCCTTCCATCCCAATTAAAAGATCTTTTCCTGATCTACCTCCAAAAAGGAAAGTTGAACCTGGACCAACTGATATTTCGAAACGTGGTGAAGAGTTGAGAAAGAAACTTATGAAGTCTCTTCACCAAAAAACTTCTAAGCAACCGAGTGTCGAACAGAATAAAAGTATTGAAGCTGTTAATGATAACAATAAACGTTTACTTGTTGAGAATGAAAAGGCTGAAGATAAAAATTTGTCTATCAAAAAGAGTAAACCCTGACTTTATTTTGTTCTCTTGTTTAGAAAGAAGTTTGTTAACCTTCATTGACTCTTGATTTCACTCAAGATTGAATATCTATCTACGTAAATAGCTTCTTTTTATTATTTATATAGTATATAGAAAGAATCTATGTGTAAAACTACTAATCTCTTGATTATTTCTAGTTTTCTTTTATTTTTTTATTTTGAATTCTATCTGTTTTATTGATCAAATATTTTTAGGCGTTAGTTTTTGAAAATGAAAAAAAATACTGTATAATATATTCACAAAAAAAAAAGAGGGCAAAAGATTGTAAAAAACTATAATATAAATCATTCAAAACATAAAAATATATCATAAGAAAATGACTGAATAAGATCATGCAAACTAATAAATATAGGCTAGCATATAAAAAATTTTAGGTAATATCAGCAAACATTTTGAAATAAAAACAGAAAAAAAATAAAATATAAAAAAAAGAAGATAGTTAAAATAAAATAAAGTGGAAATATAAAAGAATGAGATAGTTTTAATATAATAAAGAACAATAAATAAAAATAAAATAAAAAAATTCAAAAATATAAATAAAAATTCTATGACAAAGAATAATCTAAGTAAAAAAAAAAAAAAATTAAGAAATAAAATAGTAAAGGAAATAAGTGAAAAAGGTAAAACAGTAATAAAAGCATTTAGTCCACTTAATTAAAGGAATGTCAGCTAAGGGAGTGGAAAAAAAACAATACCAATAGGTTTTTCAGTTTAAAAAAAGTTAAAAATCAAAAATAATTAATAATACAAAACGTCACTTAATGTTATGCTTCTTTAAAAAAATTAAATAAAAAAGTAAAACGAAGAAAAAAAATATTCTTAAAGATCAATAGAAAATGATGTACGAGGAAAATCCATGTCTGAATTTATATCTTCAAATTTAATATCACTATAAGATTCATCATCTGTCATTTTATTAATAACCAAACTTATATGATCTATCTTGTCTTTAAGAATATTAATTTTAGATAACCATTTGTTATGTGTGGCTAGTTTTCGTTTTCTCATGTCATTAATATTGGTTTCAGAATACCAGCCAGATTGTGATATTCTTTTTTCTGTCATTTCAAAAGCAAAATCCTCTAAATTCATCTGTTCAATACAATTCTGAAGTTCTGTCAACAAGTCTAACTTTTTCTTTTGGGGAGATTCATTTGATAATGTTATTAGATCAGTGGCAGTAGAGATTTTTGTGATTCCAGGTGATCTATTCTCCGAGCTAGCTGATTTATTTTTGTTAAAATATTTGGAGCCGTAATCAATGTATTTTGAAGTTTCAAATTTATCAGAATTAGTATTAGGGATTAAATCATTGAAAAAAGAAATGGAATTATCTTGAACTTGGTCTCTTTTAGAGATATCAAGTCCAAGATTTCTGTTTTGTGCAAGATCGGAAAATGAAAGATTTTCTTCAGAACCATAAGATGTGAATCTAGCATTAACATTAATGACGGGAGAAGTTAAAGGGGTTGTACTAGTTAAAGGAGAGTTGATACTGCTAACAGTATTAGTTGTGTTAGAGCTAGCAATAAGAGAAGGTAAACCGATATGATTGTAGTTAGTAGAATAACTGGTATTAGTAGTATTACTATTTTTTGAGAAGCTTGAATCGATGGAAACAGTTTGATGATGGTTATTTAAACCCATATTGTAAGGTAATTTTATGGAAGATGAAGATTGTTTTCTGTTGTTATTAATTGAAGAAAAAGTGTAGGAGTTTTTTCTACTTCTCGAAGATTTTGATAGTTGAATACCTGAAAAAGAAAGTAAAGAGGATCTTTTTTTCATACTGTGAGAGGAACTGTTACTCTGAGTTGCGGATGGCTGTATGTTAAAATAGTTGTTGCTTTGAGACGCTGAAGGTTGAATAACATATGGAAAATCATCGTTATAAGGGATGGTTGAGATGGGAGAATTATTGGCACTATTTCCATTTGAAATAATTTTGGGTTTCATAGGTTTAATTTTAATGGTATTGAAATCGATTTTATCATCATTGAAGTCTGAGTAAGTATAATCAATGAATTTAGATTCAGTTTCATGAGTGGGTTGGATGTTGTGAAAATTGTTTCTAGAGTTTTTGGTGGTTGATGCGACTCTTTTAATACCGCAAACAAATTTGTTCAACAAATTTGTTGATGAAGGAGAAGATGTGCTTGATCGAGTGGATGGAGAACACTGAGAATAAGGGGATATAGCAAAGGCTGATTCCTGAGTTATATGAGTATTAATTGATAATTTTTTTGAATTTGATCTTTCTTTAAGTTTTGATAGCTTTCTTCTAATTTTGATTGAAGGAGAAGGTAATAAAGAAGAAGGTTCTCTTGAAGCAGATACGGATTTATTGAAATAGTTATTTGATGTGTCAGTTGGAGCAAAAGAGTTTGAGGACATGACCAAATCCGAAGAGGAATCATTTCCAAGGAAAAATTTAGCTTCGAATAGGGAGTTTCTTTTGTTTCTCGAGGAAATTGAGTGTGATATACTTTGAGCGTCAGCAGTGCTTTTCAAGGAGCTTGATTTATCAAGAGGATCAACCTTTGACCTCTCAATGATTTTAATGTTGGAACTGCGTTTGACGTGATTGGGATTGCCTAAGATCAACTTGCTTGTGTGGCTCGAATGGCTCTTGTAGGAGAAATCACTGGAAATAGACACTCTGCTTAGCACAGAACGCTCGTCGTCGGTCCTGCTGTTGTTGGATTTATTCTTTCTATGGTGGGAGGAGAAGGAGGAATCGCAAGTGTTGGCAGGAACCAACCACGACTGGAAGGTGTGAACCAGATTATTGAGCTGATGGGTAGGAATAGAAGGGTTGTTGGAACGGTTGTAGTCGTGGAGGTGGATGCAGCTGTTGTTCTGACTGTTGGCGATGCTGTTTGTGGTGCTGTTGTTGGCGCTGTATTTCAAGTTCAAGCTGGAGTTTGAGGCCGAAGAGGGCGATGTTTTGGTTGATTTAACAGAAAGAAGTTTTAATTTTCGATGGTGATGGTGATGGTGATGGTGGTGATGGCTCTGAGATAGTTCGTTATCAGATATGTTGTTGAAAGGTGTGTCATTTGAATAGATATCGTCTTGATATTGGCTGATATTTCTGATGTTGTTGTAAAGAGAGTGGTGTCTTGTGTTATTTGAACGAAGAGTTGGACTTGAAATTAAAATGGCATCAGAAGCAGATCTGTGTTTTTGAGCTTTTAGTAGGTTTGTGTGGCTGTTATTGTTGAATGAAATTTTATTAAGAGAAGAATTATAGTCAATAGATTTGAAGGTGTTTATTTTATCAAGAGGGAAATTTTGGGAGCCAGCGGTTGTGTTTAATTCTTTAAAGTCGACTTTATTGTTATTGGTGGTAGTGTTTTTGTTGTTTGTAGCAGTATTGAATAAAAATGGTTTTGATAGGGGAAAGGGTTTGTTGATTAGGTCGTAATCATCGTCTTGGGTGTTTAAGATTGGAGACTGAATTTGCTGAGGATAATTTTGGTATTGGTATTGGTATTGGTACTGATTTTGATTATTTTGATTATTTTGAGTAGTTGAGCTTGTGACAGATTGAAAAGAGAGGATTGATTTTCTTGCGATATTTGATTTAGGGGTGTTGTTGTAAGGTAGTATATAACTTCTTGATCTTGGGGAGACGTTTTTGTTAAAAGAAGGGTTTCTATTAATTGCAGGTAGAGAGTTTCTGTTATTGTTGTTGTTATTATTGGTGGTGATATTGGCGGTAGTTGTAATTTCGTTGTTACTGCTTACTGGCGTTAGTTGAAATTGGTTATTGTTTAGAGTAGTATTTGTATCAGTTGAGTCTCTTTTGTTGTTGATGTTGTTGATGTTGTTGATATCTTGGTATAGTTTTTTTGTTGATAAATTCAAGCTTGAAGATCTGTAGTAGTTTAAAACTTTAATGTCGCTACCAAATTCTTGTAAATAGAAGTTATTGTTAAGATCGTTTGATTTTGAGTTGGTGTTATTGGAGTTATTAGATTTGATATTATTTTGAGTATTGAGTTGGATGATGTCTTGATCATGTAAAGTATCAAGATTATTGTTGATGGTGTTGTTTTTATTGGTGTTGTTTTTACTGTTTTTACTATTGTTGCTATTGTAGCTATTGGAATCAAAGGCAGAGGACTCATCATCTTCAAAGATAACGCCCACTCTGTTTGTATTTGTATTTGAGTTTAGATTTGATATTGAATCATTGTTATTGTTAAGAATAATAGGGTTGTTGATATTTGAAGGAGAAGAAGAAGACAGGTCAATTATTGAAGGGGACAAGAGAAGATCAGAGGAATTAATTGAATTTGAATTTGAATTTGGTTCATTTGAAGTTGAAGATAGTGAAGATTGGACATTATCAGGAGATAAAGTCATATTGAATTCTCAATATAAACTGAAGAGACTAGAGTGATTGTAAATTGATGGTAAATTAAAGAGAAAGTATAAGTAAAAGAGAGATATTGGTGGATTTGGTGGTTTTTTATAAGTTTTTTTTTTTTTATTTTATTTTATTTTTTTTATTTTTTTTTCAAAATAAATGGGAGAAAAAACAATAGGAAAGGAGAAGAATGAGGAAATGAGGGTGAGAATGAGAATGAAGATAAGGAATAGAAAAAAGATGTTGATGAAAGAGAGAGACAGAAAAAAAGAGAGGAAGAGAGATAGGGTTGATGAATTGAAATAGGATAAGATATTTGATGGAATAGAAATGAGAATGGAAATAAAGAGAATAAATAGAAATGGAGAGGATGTGGTGATTTGAGGGAAGTGAGTATGAGGGAGAATACAGTTGGGGGATATCAGTGTAAGATTTTGGATAATTGAATGAATTAACTAGATAATTCGTGTTTGTTTGTTTGTTTGTTGGGTGATTGATTGATTGATTGATTGATTGATTGATGGTTGAAGATGGAACAGTAGTAAGCGTTAAAGTATAAATGAGGCAGATATAATCATAGAAGGTATAATTGAATAGTGTTGGATTGTAGAAGGAATTGAGGTGAAGATGGAAATGGTGATTTTGTTAATATTTATGGAAATTAGGATATCTGAGATATTTAGAATGTTGATGTTGGTATAATGATGGAGAGAAAGAAAAAGAAAAGGGTATAGAGATATAAAGAAATGGAAGAAGAAGAAGAAGAAGAAGAAGAAGAAGAAGAAGAGGAGGAGGAGGAGGAGGAGGAAGAAGAGGAAGAGGAAGAAAAAAAAAGAAGAGGATTGAGCTGAAAATAAGAAATGAGAAATAGGAAATAGATAGAGTTATATAGTTTATAATTTTGATTTAAACTAAATTAAATTAGATTGATATTATTCAAGTCAAGTCAATTGAATTGAAGTGAATGTGTTTAAGAAGATAGTAATACCATATAATAATAATAATATTATTATATAAAGATAGTGGGAAAGAGGTGAGATAATAAGATAAAGAAACAAGAAAGTAGTAATATGTTATTAGTGAAATGATAGTAAAAGTAAAAGTAAAAGTAAAAACGATTGATCTGATTTTCTCTTTTAAAAATGGAGTGTTACTAAAGTTGGTGCAAGTGGAAAAAAAGAGTTACTTCTGTTTGTTAAAGTGGAAAATAAAAAGCTACAACTTGGAAATGAAAAAAAGGGCAATTGGAAATTAACTAAATAATTTATAAATAATTTATAATAAAATCGTAAATCTAAAAAATCATAAATCATAAATCATAAATCATAAATCATAAATTACAATTTGCAAATTGCGATAAAATATTATAATAATTATAATAATTATAATAATTATAATAATTATAATTGTAAATAATTGTAAAAAAAAGAACAGAAAGAGCCAAAAAATACAAGAGTTGAAGAAAAATAGACTTGGGTTGATGTTTGGTCAGGTAAGTTATAATAAAAATTTAATGAAATTGAATAGAATTTAGGAATATTTCCAAGTATTTCCAAATATTTAAAGATATTTGTTTAAAAATGTAGAGAGAAGTGAAAAAGAATAAAAGAAAAATTGGAAAATATTGGGTTTTGCAGAAACACAAATAATTGAAATCGAGAAAGATTGAGAAGTAAAATAAGAATTCGATTGGAAATAAACTTGAAATCCTAACATTTCCTAGCATTTTACAATGTCTGGTCGACATCAACAGAGTCTTTAGGAGTGTTGGTGGATTAAATTGGAACATTTTTTGCTCAGAAAGAAGGAAATGGAATGGAGCTAAAGTGAAATGAATAGAGAAGTGAAAGAATTCAATTTCACATTGCACTATTTTCCCTAATTGTTCCTAAATTGCAGCTCTTCTCAGTTGGTGATAAATTCCTTTCAACATCCAAGTCAGAGTTTACATTCTGCGTTGATCTAAGTTTTAAATTCAAAGTCAAACAAAGAAAAGAAAACCACTGGTGCTGGAGGCCAAAAACAAAGCAGCCAGAGAAAGAGCTGAAGAAATAACAGAAGAGAAGAGAAAAAAGACGCAGCTTCTTTTCGGAGTGCCTACCTCTGTGGTGCTATCCTTCGGGCGGCTGCTATTGGCTGTTCAGCCCTTTTGGCTATTATCATTAACGTCGGATGCTGGGCTCTGGGTGTTTGGGTTTTCCTGCTCTGGTCGCCAGCAGAGCCTGGCAGTCGCACTGCTCAGTAGTACAGGTAATGATCACGTGCTGCCACAAAACGAGTATGGTGGTAGGAAGAGCGGCCTGCAGAGTGTGGCGAGTCTGAAGGGAAAGCCGTTGAAAACACAGCGCATGCGCTTGCCGCTGTGCGCGGGCAGGGAGATCTGCGCCAGATGCTGGAGTTCTGCAGCGAGCAGTTGCGCGGCAATTGAACCGGCGCTCCGCCCGATAACTCAGAACTTAGAAGTCAAACCCGCGGAGACGACCCAGCATCAGTCTGGGCTCAAATCACCTCTCGGGTCTTCTGCTCGGGTTCCCCGATTAGACTTTCTGCCGCTCGGCGCTTGCAATGCAGACTCAGCTTAGTCAGCAGGGCTGTGAGAAGCGTGCTGCTTTTTCTGCCTGTGTTTGCTGCGTTGTTGGTGTCTTTTCGCTTTGTCTACTCAAGTGACAAAGCCTTTGCTTGCAAGAATTATCCTACAATAGTCTTGTGCGAAACTTTCCAAACTAAGATGAAATTCGCAAAGTTCAATTTTGAAATTGTCTTTGCAAAAATAATTCCACTGCATTTAAAATGTTGGCAATATTTCTTTCCAATGTTGTTAGGCTGCTCAAATGGAATTTGTAGGTGTGTTGTAGGCGGTAAATTACCGAACATTAACAATTTAACAAGAATAATTATTTAATCTATCTATTGCAAGTGAACTACAAATATTTAGCCATTCAATCAATCAGATTAGTAATTCATTCTATTCCATTCTTTTTATTATCAGCAATGATCATTATATTCCATACTCTGGTTGTCTGAATCTTATCCTTTGATTCTCTTTTTTTTACTCCAACCATCCCCAATCTTTTTCATATTTTCCAGCTATTTGCCACTATTTTCTATTATTTTCTATTATTTTCTATTATTTCCTATTATTTCCTATTATTTCCCGTTGTTTCCCATTATTTATCTTTAATTCCTATTATCTCCAACCATCTCTATTGTCTTCAGGCTTTGAAAAACGTTCTTTCAAACAACTCCGTCATAACGTGATCCGATTCGTTTACTCCAATTCCTTCAATTAGTTTTATTCACCTATTTTATTCATTTCTATGTCCTTTTTCATCTTTTGATTGCATTTCAATTCACTTCTGTCACCAAATACCTAGCTAGCTATCTATCTGAGTCTCGATCTTCCACGATTTTTCAACCACTTTAATTACTTTGTTGAATATCCCTGATTTAATTTAATATGTTTAATCATTGTCACTGAATTCAATTACGAATAGAAATTTTTCACTCGTTAATTGATCTCTATTACAAATTTACAAAATATTCATAAAAATTCATAAAAATTGTAAAAATGAAAATAAATTCAATCCCTGATAAAGGAAATTACTCAAACATAGCCCAATCCAATTCAAATATAAAATGTTATATTATATTATATTATATTATATTATATTATATTATATTTTCCATTTTTTGGCTCTGCTTCTCGTTTGTTTTTATTTGGTTATTCTTTAACGTTTTTAACTTTTTTTTTTTTTTTGGTCTTCTCTTTTCTCTTTTCTCTTTTCTCTTTCCTCTTTTCTTTTTATTGCCTCTAAGTCACTCTAACCTTGAACCCTCTCTCTTGATATCATTGGCCAATCAAACAATTGACTCATTAAATAACTGGTAAATCTAAAATAAATCAAAACACATTGAGGAAGATGTATTGTCGTTTTTTCAATTTTTCGACTGATTATTTCATTTTATTTTATTTTATTTTATTTTATTTGCAATTATATTATTATACTTGCTAGTGAGTACTTATTCACAATAGTAACATTGGTTCTAATAATAATATTCAATTGCTTGTCCATAGTTACAAAAAAACTTTTCTTTAGGGCAAATATTTTACCAATTATTATTATTTATTTCATTTATTATTCCAATTCCTACTTTTTACATACGTTTCTTCTGCCCAATATTTTCTATTGACCTATTTCTATCTCCTCTTTACTCATTTTACTTCATCTACATATTTGTAATTACAATATGATTGAATGAAATGAATTATTTAATTAATATATATCATTCATTCCATTTATTTATTTATTTGTTTATTTACTTATTTACTTTATATTATATTATATTATATTATATGATACTACATGACATTATATCACATTACTACTATATTGTTTTGGTTCTCTCATTACAATCCTTCAACCCAACCCAACCCATCCACCTCTTTATCCACTTTACTCATTTAGCTTATCCTGTTGTCGATCCTGCAACTCAATTCGATCCGCTTCTCTTTCTTTCCCCTTGCTGACTCCAACGTTCCCAAATCCAGAAGCCAATCCGCACTGCCGGTTTGCACCGATACACACCGACACACACAGCTTTCCACAGCTCTTCTTTCAACCTTCCAGACTTGGCTAAATTTATATGTGGTCTGCTACTGCAGATCACGTAATAGTTTCCAACACCGGGATATCCACATCTTTCTGTGCTTGAACCTTATATTTCCCGCTCCTTAAAGAAATTGCAAATATTCCGATCACTATCTACACAAAGGGATGCTAGCATCCAGCCAATCACACCACGCCATTTTCCCCAGTCCATCTTTCCTCCATCACCAATTCGATCCAGCATGGGTTTCTGAAACAATAGAGCACACAAAACAAACAGAACGTGTTGAGGATGTTCTTCCTGAATTAATGCAAATTCAAATGTTATCTTGAACAATCTCTTCTGCTCTCTTTCTTCCTTACTGTTTTCATCACAGCTTTTGAAGAAAATGATGCAAGCAGCCTCACTCTCAGTGTCTCACAGTTCCCGCAGTTATTCCAATCCAGCTACGACTATTCATGCTCGTTTTTTCTTCTCATCTTCGACTTCAAATCTCATTTTAGAACCCGTTCTTTTTCCAGTTACTTCTTCCTTTCATCTGTTTCAACACTCCTAATTCACTCTGTTCTTTCATATATTGCTCTCGCTTTATCTCTGTCTCTGGCTTGGATCACCAAACACATCTCTCGTTGTCTTGCATATTGCGTTAATTTGTGATTCGAGTTATCACTTGGAATATTTCAATATTTAGAATTTGAGCGATTAATAAAATTTCATAATTTATTTCTTCTCCATCTTGATCTGATCTGATCTGATCTGATCTCCATCTGCTCAAAACGCAGTTAAAATTTATTCAATTTCAACAAAAAGCATGCTAATCAACTAAACTCGTTCATTTTTATGCTAATGTGTTTCAAACAACTCCATTTGCTAATCGATTACGTAACAACCTCTCCAACCTCTCTCTGATTCATTTCACCAACTTCTTCACAATTACTATCTCTCAACCAACGTGGCTGTTGCTTTTGCTATTCTTTTGAAATTGTCTGCTGCTCCCTGGAATTGACCAATTTCAATTTAAGCTTAAACCATTATAAAACCTTTTTACATTTAGACATTCAAAGAGAAAAAAGAAAAATCAAGTCATATGGGGATTTTATCTAATATTTTGTATGTCCATTTGTAAATTACAATAAATTACAATAAGTTACAATAAACTAAAATGAATTAAAGTAAAAGTCATTTTATTCAATCTATCGAATACATTAAACGGTTTTCATTTTAATCCTGATTTTCCTCTAATTCTACTCTGGCTCTACTCTACTATTTATTAATTTCATCTTATTGTTATTTCACTTTAATCGCATATTCCTATACATATAATAACCCAATTCAATTTAATTTAACACAATTTCATCTAATTAATTTAATTATTTAATTATTTAACTATTTAACTACTTAACTATTTATTCAATTATTTAATAAAAATTTCTTAAATCGTTTAAACTCATTATATTCAACTTCCCTTAATTGAGAACTACTCAACTTATCAACTTTTATATCAAAATTTTCTGGAATTTCCTCATCGTACTGGAATTTATCGCTGATAACATTGATTATATGGATCTTTAGCACTGGAAACCCCTTTTTAACTCGATTCGAATTAACCACATCACCGCCCTTTTGAGTCTCTTTGGTGACTATTAATGATTCGATGTTTTTTATTGTGCCTGTCGGTCCACACACATCGTTGATTTGAATGATTTTGTATTCAAGATTAAAATGAATTTCACTTTTATTATCATTATTATTATTATCATTATCATCATCATCATCATCATCATCATCATCATCATCATCATCATCATCATTAACAATAAAGGTTTTAGATTTCACTTTTCTTAAAAATTTTAAGATTTTTTCCTCTCGGATTTCGAAATCTTCTAGGAATTCTATATTAGCTTTATTTTTCAACAATTCAAATCCTGTTAACCCGATGATTAACAATTTCCTAGTCAAAAAACTGCAAACAGACAATAAAATCTTATGACCATCATGTAAATTATCAAACGTTCCCCCAACTGATGAAATTAAAAACTCATTTTCATTTAAATTCTGGTTATTATTATTATTATTATTATTATTACTTGGAACAACCGGGTGAACTGACTTGGGATGTAATTTAATATCATCTAATGAAAAGATCAACTTGTCAATCTTCCTACCTTTACCACCCAATTGAACATAGTAGTATCTCGATATAAAATCCTCAATTATTTTCTCCTCGTTCGAAATTATCGTATCCCATTTATACAACTCCAATTCAAAATCGAGATTGCTTAAATTAAATAAAACGCTGGTGAAAATCTTCGGTTTAATCAAATACTTGCCATTCAACTGCTCCAATTCAACTCTCTCACGAAAATATTTGCTGGTTTTTAAACTGATTATCGACCTCGATAAATTGTAGAAATTGCTCAAATATCTCTCCAACGTATCAGTATCTTCGATCTTGGGCGTGATGATAAAATCCAATTGCTTCAAATTCTTATTAACTGTCGAATTGTAAATCCGAATAATTGATTCATCACCACTCTCTGTAATATCTCTTGCACTATCTCTGGGAACATCAACATTATACTCTCCTCGGACGATTATCAAATCAACAACGCTCTCAATCAAAGATCGATATGCGAGAGGATTGATTGGATCATCCACCAAGATTACTGGAGAAAAGGGCATTTGCAAAACTCTTAAACACAGCTAATGAACAGTAGAGATCCAGCAGACAATACAGAAACCAACACACCTCTCATCAGAGAAGAACCACAACCACAACCAAAACCAGAAACAAAACCAGAAACAAAACAACTCCAGGAGAAAAATGCTCCAGTCCAAGCTCAGAAAACGACATCTCCCATGCAAAACTCATCGATTCATCACTTCACATTTTCTGGCGTTTGAGCAATTTGCCCGCTTTTGCGCGTTTCCAGCGCATTTCCACCACTGTGGGCCTACGCCGCTCTTTTTTCTGCTTCCTGTGCTTCCAACTCTTCTGCTTCCTTTGCTGCCTTAGCTTCTTCTTCATCCCCCAACTTCTCCCCATGGTGTCTTCCTCAGGTCAATTCGATCTCAAGTCCTCCTTTGATGTTAGCTATGCCCCCTGCGACGTCAAAAAGTGGGTCTCCTCCAAGACTGGCTTGCAGTTGGTCTTGATCAACCAGCTGTCCCCCATCGTTAGTGGCCAGTTTGCTGTCGCCACCGAGATCAACAACGATTCTGGTGTTCCTCACACCCTTGAGCATCTTGTTTTTGGTGGCTCGAAGAACTTCCCCTACAAGGGCTTGTTGGACACCTTGGCCAAAAGATTGTATTCCGATACCAACGCCTGGACTGCTACTGATCAAACTGTCTATACCTTGAACACTGCTGGCTGGGAGGGCTTTAACAAATTGTTGCCAGCCTATCTAGACCACATCTTGAACCCAACTTTGACCGACGAGCTTTGCTACACTGAGGTATACCATGTCGATGGCAATGCAAAGGATAAAGGTGTCGTTTATTCTGAAATGCAAGGCATCCAAAATTCTTCTTGGTTCTTGAATTTTTTACAAGCCTCAAGAGCTTTATATGGTGCTGATTCTCCTTACTCTTCTGAGACTGGCGGTTTGATGGAAAATCTCAGAACTTTAACCAATCATCAAATTAAAGATTTTCACAAATCCTCTTATAGACCAAGCAATTTATGTGTTATTGTCTCCGGTTCAGTCAATGAGTCTGAATTGCTACAAACAATGATTGATTTTGATAACAATTTACCAAGTTTATCCACAGATACCATTTTCCTACAAAGACCCTTTCATTATCCGAATGTTATCATTCCTTTAACCAAAAGTATAGTTCAAACTGTCAATTTCCCTGATAAAGATGAATCAATGGGCGAATTGAGTCTCTCTTGGATTATTGATGATCTCAGTAACACACTAGCTAGACTAGCCACTGATTTCTTATTCTTTTATTTATCCGATTCCTCCGTCTCTTTATTCTATAAAAACTTCATTGAAATTGATGATCCCCTTGCTGCAGATGTAGATTATTCAGAGGACGCTTTTATACAGTTTGCTTTTCAACTCGTCTTCACCGGTGTTCCAACTAATAAAATGCAACAACTTGAATCTCAATTTTTTAGTGTTTTAAAGCACCACTTCACTCTCCAAAATTTTGATTTAACAAGAATGAGAGATTTAATCGAAGTTAAAAAATTGAAATATCTATTCAAATCAGAAAATTCAACCTCAATAATTTGTGATACTGTAGTTGAGGATTTTCTTTACGGTAATCAAGATTGCTCTGACTTAAAACCTTGGGTTGATGATTTATCTGAATATCAAACTTTATCTAGTTGGTCTTCCACTCAATGGATAGATTTTGCTCATGATAAAATCATCAACAATCATTCTGTCCTAAATCTAATTGTCCCCTCAAAGGATTTATACCTAAAAAATAAAAAAGATAATAAAAAATTAATCCAAGATAGAATTGGTAAATTGGGTCAGTCTGGTTTAGACAAATTAAAAGAAAAACTAAAAAACGCTGAAGACAAAAACAATATTCCCATTCCTGATGAACTCATTCTCAAATTCGGTGAACCCGACCCTGAAAAGATCCAATTTATTAAAACTGAAACCATTTCAACTATAGATGATTCCCTAAACGATAAAGAATCTCCAACCTATAATCATATAATAAATGATTTGCCCTCAAATTTCCCATTGAAATTCCATTTTGAGAATTTTAAAAGTAATTTTGTGAAAATTAGTATCATTTTTTCTTCAGTTTTAATTCCACTGCATTTATTACCTTATTTATCAATTTTTGAGTTCATTTTTGCATCTCCTGTTATCTTAGAAGATGGCACTCATTTGCCTTATGAATTAGTAGTCTCTGAACTTAATAAAAACTTTAATAGTTATGAATTTAACCACTCTTTTAATTCATTTAATGAAGTAATTGAAATAAAATTCCAATTTAAAAAGGAAAATTATAATAAGGCAATCCAGTGGATAACAAATATTCTCTGGTTTACAGTTTTTGATGAATCAAGAATTAAAGTTTTCCTTGAAAAGACACTCAATAATTTGCCAGATTGTAAAAGAGATGGAGGACTGATGTTATCATTTTTATATAATAAAGTCTCCTTGACAGATAGATCATTATCAAAAATGATCAGCAGTATAAATAGTGAACAGAAATTAAGAGATGTACTTCAAAAACTTCAAGACGGTGAAAAAAGTTCAGTGTTGAATGATTTAGAGACAATCAGAAAGTCATTATTTACTTTAAATAATATGAACATATTTATCTCTGGTAGTATATCGACTTTGAAAAATCCGGTTTCATCTTGGAAAGCCTTAGTCAATTCCTCAAAAAGCATTCAGGGGGAAATTGGAGCGAATTATAAAGTATCTCGTGGAATCGAGTTTCTTTCAAATATTGGTAAAGAAGGAAAAAGTAAGGCCTTTATTATACCTGTTCCAGCAACTGAATCATCATATCTTCAAGCTCTCTATTCTGGCGGTCCAAAAGATTTTAACGATGAAGATATTCCTGCAATTTATCTTGCAAGTGAATATCTTCAAGCTGTAGAAGGTCCATTTTGGAAAGGCGTCAGAGGTGCAGGTTTAGCTTATGGTGCTAATATTTACCATGACTTGGAAATGGGCCATATGGTTTTTTCTGTCTACAGAGCATCTGATTCTGAAAAAGCATTGAAAGTTGCCAAAGAAATTGTGGAAAATATTATTAGTGGAAAAACCACATTAGAACCTATTTTGATCAAAGCTGCGATGAGCAGTATTGTCAACACTATAGCAACACGTTCACAAAATAACTATTCTGCAGCTACACAAAATTATTTAAATCTTTTCTTGAAAAAACGAGGCCATAACTACGATCATAGATTGATGAAAGAATTGAGTAAAGTTACCATTGATCAACTAATATGTGTTTATGAAAAATATTTCTTACCTATATTTGAATCTAAAGATGGCTTGGTTTTCTTAAGTTGTCATCCTAGTCAATTAGATAATCTTGAAAAATCACTCCAAGAAAATGGGTATTACGTTACAATTGAGAATTCAGTTGGCGGTGAAGAAAATGACTTACTGCAAAAGGAAAATGATAATGCTTCAGATGATTTTTCAGAAAGTGAATCAGATGAGGATGAGGATGGGAGTGATGATGAATAATTTCAAAGTAATTACTACATAGACAATAATCAAAAATTTTATCCACAACTTTAGTTTTTTGCTCATTGAATCATTATTTTATCATTATTTAGTCATTAAAAACATTAAGCGGCTTGAATATGTATAAAACTTTTTGTAAAGGCTTTTTTATTTAATACTTGTAGAAACCTCAATATTAGTTAAATGTTCATTCATGCTATTTTTATTGGCATTAGTATTGAGATTATCACTAATATTCTTTACTAAAGAAATGTCATGACTCTTGTGCTGAAGTTGATATTTTTGATTAAAGTGAGTTTTGTTAGCAATATCTGATTCTAAGAGTTTTCTTGATTCACTATTATTATCATTTAGCAGATTCTGTATCTCTAGTGATCTATTGACAAGTTGATTGGATTCACTATTGATTTGAATAGAGTTGGTAGGTTCAATATTTTCATTTTTATTTTCATTTTTCAATTCAAAAAAAGGATTTTCATAACTTATATTATTCAAGTAACATAATTTTATCAACTGGTCATTAATACTTATTATTTTTTCAATTTCATCACCAGCAACTGTTAATACATAAAATTTTGAATTTGCCTTTTCACCTCTTGATTTTTTAACTTTTGAAATTTTATTGTTTGTGTTGGGAATTTCTAGAGGTAAAATTGAACATAACCTATCATAAGAATCTTTTATTAAGTTTCTTCTTCTTTTTTCCGAAGTTGTGTGATTTAATCTTTTTTCTTCTTCCGACAATAATTTTTTTCTTGTTTTTCGTTTTTTTTTAGTTAAAGGTAAAATGAGTAAATTTTGAGATTGGCCTTTGTTGATAGAATTTGTATTGCTTTTATTACTACTATTATTTACAAAATTTGAATTTGAATTTGAATTATTTGTGATAGGTTTTGAGTCAGATTTTCTATTATTTTTTGATAAAACCAATGGAGGATTTAGCAAGAAAGCCGATAGGTTTGATAAATTTGATAGGTTTGAACGAGATGAACTTTGATTATTATTTGTGGATACGTTTTTATTAATATTATTAATGTGGTTTTGATTACTAGTATTTATTGAAGACTGGTTAATTTCGTAATTGAAATTTCGTAATATTTCATCCATTGAATTACTAAAAGAATCCCTATCTGTATTTTGGTTTTGATTTTGAGGGGGAGTTGAGCCGATTAAATCTTGGGTTAATTTATTTAAATCATTTAAATTATTGTTATTATTATTATTACTATTGCCATCGCTATTGTTATTATTGTTATTACTGTTATTGTTTTTATTATTTGAATCATTTAAAAAATTATCAAAAAAGTTTTGTAATGCATTATTTTCATTTTCGGATAATAAAGAATCAAATAATTTTTCTAAATCATCATTATTTGATGAAATATTTTGATTTTCATTCAATGAATTATTGATATTAAAAAGGCTATCAAAGTTAAAGTTATTAATAAGATCCAGGCTGTTGGGAATATCATTATCAATATTATTATTTATGCTATTATTTAGATTATTAGTTATATTTATGGAAATGTTATTATCATCATTGGAATTATTTTTTTTATCATTGTTATTATTTTTATTGTTATTGTTACTATTAATACTATGATTTTGAAAGATTATTGAATCAAAATTTTCAAGATTTTCAAAATCTTTATTTTTATTATAAGTGTAGTTATGAGGTTGAAGATGAGAGTAAAAAGTTAGATTTTCAAAAGTTTGACTTTGCCTTCTATCATTTTTATTACTATTATCATTATCATTATTGTTATTATTTTTAATATTTATTAGAGATTGAGTATTGTTTGATATTCGATTTATGGATGAATTTTGCTGATTAAGATTAGAAGGAAGATTAGATTGAGGTGGTTGAATAGATGGTATTGAAGGATTCTTTGATAAATCATTTATAGTGAAATTATTTAGATTATTTAGATTATTAAATTGATTTGAAAAGTTATTTGAAAAGTTATTTGAAGAATTTGAAGAATTTAAAAGATTGGTTGAAAGTGAAAAATCCGAGGGACCAAAATTATTGTTATTGTTATTATTATTATTATTATTATTATTATTATTATTATTATCAAGTTGATTGTTGAACTGAAAGGATTGCTTTTGAAGCAAATTCTGCAATTGAAACTTTTTTAATTGTTCAATTTGTTTTTCAGCTTGTTTCTTAATTTCTTGATTATATATGGATAAAGCAGTTTCGAAATCATCAACTTTTAAATCATCTAGCGAGTCTAAATTTGAATTATTGAGGGCAGCTTGCTGTAAAAACGACAACTTTGTCAGAGAATTGGGACCGATACTTTCAGGGGCATCGAGACTATTTGAAGTGAGGTTGGAATTGTGTTTTGGTTTGATATTGGTGGGAATGGAAGTTGTCAGATTATTGCCGACGATGTTTGGAGGTGAGGCTAGACCGGATTTGATGATTTTGGTAGAACCATTAAGAATAGCATTGATATTGTTGATATTTTTGGAAAGAGAATTGTTGCACTCATCAGCCATGTCGAGAAGCATCGAAAACACAGGCAGTTGGAGAAGAACAGATCAGTTGTACAGCCAACGAGAAACAGGCAGTGAGAGTGTCAGTGGGATCGAACAGGAGCGTGGAGGGCAGTTGGCGGTGGGAAGCAGCTTCGGAAAAGTAGCAGCGAAAGCAGCAGGCCAGAAGCAACAGCAGCAGAAGCAGCGGAAGCAGCAGAAGCAGCAGAAGAGGTAGAGGAGGCAAAAACAAAACAGCAAAAGCTGGGGAAGACGAAGCAGAACTAGAGCAAAAGAAGCAGAAGCACAGCAACAGCGACAATCGAAGTATATATACCACCACCACGGGGCGAGGCACCAGCACCACTGCTTCGGAAGCAGCAGGACACCGCAGGACTACGAGCCCGAGCTAGTCTGAGCTGACTAAGCCAAACGTGACTTCTCCACCTTGCAAGAAAGTGCGTGAGAGGCGCGTGAGGAGTGCGTGAAGAGCGCTGAAAGTTTCATGTGATTGTGGTTTGTGTGGTATTAGCCGAATTAGCTGAATTTGCTGGATGCGCTCTATCTGTTCTCGAGATACTTGGTCAAGCTGGGCTCGCCACTGATGCCCTTTCGCTTTCGTATTTTCATCACAAAGTCTCTTGACAAGCTCTCAAGAGGTACTGGCTTCAATTTGGGTAGAAAAACACTTCCATCCATGGGATCTCCCTCCACCATGTCCCACTTGAAAAATTTCATCAGTAGGCTCACTTGTCCCAAGCAAACCATCTTGATATCCACTTCGATTCCAGCTGAATCCATTACTGGCACTACACCATTGATTTCAACTAGTGGTGTGCAGCTAATTAGCTTGCCATTGTCAATGAAATTTCCTCTTCTTTTTTCTATGATTTCTTTGATAAATTTCAAATAATCCTCTTTGCAAATTACATTAATCAAATAATAAGGCTCCATCACCCGAATCTTCGATAATAGCAAACCAATATAACACGCCTTTCGAACCATGGGAATTATTTCTCCTTCTCCTCTTTCAATTGCTTTATTTGAAATCTTCAAGTCTATTATTCGGAATTTAACATTTCTAATCGGTTCATCCATCAACGGACCTTGATTTATGCTCCATTTAAATCCCGAACAAATACTCTCTTTCACATACTCAATTTTTCTAACTTCTTCCTCATCTTCAATAACTAAATCATTGATTAGTAAGTCACTTCCCTTCATATCTGGTCCTGTTTTCCATATCGATCTAGACGCCATCGCATCCCATCCGTATTTATACCTAAAAATCTTCCCAACTTGTCTTTTTCTCTTCAAATCTCCTTTGATCATTTCATTTATTTCCTCAAACCTAATTTCTTCTCTGTTCAAATCCTCAACAATTTTTTCATCTAATGGTTCACAAATTATCGAGATCTTATTCATCTTATTTCTCGACTCAACAAAAATTTTCTTCATTGTAATATCCAAACATGTTTCACTAAGCTTACTAAAGGGCTCGCTGATTTTAACATTAATATCACCATATAATTTTCTCAAATCATGTAATAAACAATCCAAATACATTTCTCCACTACCAATCACAACATGTTCACCACTTTCCTCAACTTTTATTTCACAACCACAATAGCTTTTATTTATCTTTCGAAATCCTTCTAACAATTTTGGTAATTCACTTGCAATCTCAGGTTCAATTGCGACTTTAATAATCGGCTCTACCAAATAATTAATTGTTTTAAATTTAACATACTCATATATTTCTTCTTCTTCAATTTCCTCTTCATTTGCCTTTTTCCCATAGATGGTACAACTCTTGCTAACTACCTTATCTATTCCTCCAATTAAAATAATATTTCCACTTCCCATCTCTTTAATCGGCATTTTGTATCTACCACAAGGTAAATACATTTCTTCAACTATACATTTGGAAACATCTTCCTGGAACTCTTTTGAATAATTTTCTCCCAATACATCAATTTCGTCTCCAACTTGAATTTTTCCTGAAAAAATTCTACACAAACCATAGAACTTTTTCCCATCTTCATTATCCATTAATTTTGATACATGAGCAATTAATGGTCCTTCATTATCGCATTTTATTAAATTTTCAATGTAAAAATTATCCTCATAAACATCTTTATTATCCTCAAATGAATAATCAAGCGTATTCTTAATCTTATTCTCTGAATTCTCTATTGGTGACATCCCGCTGTGTTCAATCATATCAACAAATCCACTGGATTGATTTCCAAATACCTTCTTACAAATCTCTTTTAATAATATTTGCGAATCCAATTTATAAATCTTATTGGGAAAACAAATATTAAAATTCTTTTTTAATAAATATCTCAACTCTTCATTTTCTTTACTTATTGTTGTCGTAATAATTTTATATAACGGCTCCAATATGAAATAAATAAATGTGTTTTTAGTTTCAATATCTTTCTGCTTTCGACTAAATCTTCCATTGTCTTTGTTATAATAAATATTTCCCCACAATCTTTTTGAAAATTTCTCAATTTCATTTTCATTACTTTTTTGTTTTGTATTATTACTATTGATTTGATAAAAATCAAAATAAATTTTCGCAAAACTTCTTAAATTAAAACAAATATCTAGATTTGGTGATGCAAAACAAACATTGCCCAACTCTGGTGAAAATCGTTTTGGATGTTTGTAATTTTCAAACAATTTCACATTTTCAATCATGTAACTATTAACTTCTTCACAAACATGCTCAAGTTTATAATATGCGTCCAACAATGGCAATTTTAGTTCGAGGATTAGTCTATCCATCTTATTAAGAACTAAATTAACCCTGTTATTGTTAATTATAGCGTTTTTGAGAGTTTCTTTAGCTCCCATTGTTAATCCCTCAACAACATCAATAATTAATATTGAAACATCACTTAGTCTTTGTGCTATTGCAACTTCATCAAGAAAATTAATATGTCCTGGAGTATCAAGGATATTGAAAACAAATGAATTTCCCTTTAAATTAGGTAACAATAATGTCATTGCACTTGTTTTAATCGATATCCCTCTTTTAATTTCAAGAATGTGATTATCTGTATACCTTAATGGCTTAAAAAATTTCAAATCTTGTGATTGATTCAAATCTGCATGTGTTTGTAATACTAGCATATCTAGGAATGATGTCTTCCCTGAATGAATATTCCCTATTAACGAGATATTTCTTATTCTTTCAGGAACATTTTTCATCAATTCATATAAATATTCTCTTTTATATATAACTTCAGGTAAGTTTTTTTCTTCAATTAATATCTTTTTTTTAATTATAGGCTTCAATAACGGTGTATTAATTGACTCATTATCAACATGTTGAACAGAAACTTGAACATCTGGTCCAAAGGTTTCAGATATTGATTGATAATGTTTTTTGTTCTCGTGTAAAACAATTTCCTTCGAATTAGAATCAGAATCATTGACATCTTTCATTTCTGTATCGGACTGGTCATCTGCACCATTTTTCTGTGAAATTCTTCTGTTTTCATCGTCATCTTCATCATCATCACTCTCTCTTTTATCTATTCCAGAATCTGAATCTTCCTCTGAGTTTGATTTTTCAATTGAGTTATCAGATTCATCATCGGAATCAGATGCAGTCCCTATGAAATTACCAAATTCGTCGTATTGATCTTCATCCATTAGTAAATATGTATCTTTATAATTTAGCGTTTATCGAAGGATATTCTTACTAATAACCACTAACAAGTCTTTCGGTTTTAAGTGCTTTAAACTTGAAATTTCGAGAAAGAAAAAACGTTAGTTATCGTCCTTATATTCAATAATTCAATCATATGACTTTTTACGATTAATCTTCAAAGCACATACGCATAAAGTTGCATATCATAGCAGGTTTTTCATTTCCATAGAAGATAAATCCTTTATGGAACTAGTACAAAATTCTAACAATGCTAAATTGTGTTATTTATATCAAATTAAATTAAATTAAAACATTGTAAACAATTCACTAATATATACGCAGCAAATCAGTTTCTTCTACTTCTACGTTTGTTTTTGCCAGGCCTAGATGTTTTGCCCTTTCCTTTGTTTCGACTATTTGAAAAGTCAGAGATGTCATTACTACTTTCAGCAGTGTTCTTTCGTTTAAATCTCTTCATTCCACCCATACCATACCTGGAGTCTTTTGCTAATCTTTTGGGATTGGGCTTTGCTCTTTTATTGCTTCTATCGTTTTTATTGTCATTTTTAGTTGTTACAGTGGCTTCTTCAATTCCCACATCAAAATCATCTGTTGATATTTCATTAGTTTTTCTTTTTTTCTTTAAATTCTTGATTTTGTCTAAAGTTTCTTTTTTTTGTTTTTGACGTTCTTGCATAGTAGCAATTTGAACTTGTTTACCGAATTTCTTTAATTGTCTTTGTTTTTTCGCATTTTCTGAAGCTTTCTTAGCCTTGGCCTCCTCAATTAATTTTGCTTTTAATTTATTCATATGTTCATCATTTTTAACCATTTCTGCAAAATAATCTGCTGGCCTTGAAAATGGGACTTTTAATTTAATAAGTTTTTTACGAGCCTCAATAACAGCAAGTAAACCTTGTTTATTGAAAGCATTTTCTCTTTGGTCATCATCATATATATCATTTATTGATTCTTGTATTATATCATTTGATGTTATTGATTGATGCTCTTGAAAACTTAATTTTTCCCAGGGGAATTGGATTTGTTGAAGAGATTCCCTCATTAGAGCTTGGTTATTTACAGTTAATTTTGTGTGAGGAACAACGTCTGTGTCAGAATCCAATTCGACATCTGATAAAGGCATATCTTCATCTTGATCTTTATTTTCATCATCATTCTCTTTTGTTTTATTTGCCACTTGTTTTTGATCTAAATTTTCTTTTGATTTTTCTAATTCATTCTTTTTATTTATTATCAGTTTATTTTGTGTTGTCTTTTTAATTTTTATTGATTTTTGATCTTTTTTTATAGGTTTAGATTCAATTTTGGAATTATTAAGATTTCTTTGTTCTTCTTCTTCATCATCTTCATCATCTTCATTATCTCCACTTTCTTCTTCACTCTCACTATTTTCTAGTTTCTTGAAATTCAATTTACTATTTTCGGCAATAGCTTCTTGATTATCTTCTGATTCGGATTCATTATCTTCTTTATAATCACCTTTTACTAATTCTGCAAGCTCAATTTGCATTTCCTCATTAAATGAATCATCATCAATTTGATCATCATCGTTGATATGCTCACTTGCACTTTCAAATTCATCTTCGCTGGATGATAAGGCTTTAGGCTGAATTTTAACAATTTTGACCTTTTTCCTGTTATCCTTTTTAGTAAGCTTCTTATTTTTTCGTTGATCCTTTTTGGATAAAACGTTTGTATCAGCAATCTTTTTGGAATCTGCCATTTTTGTTTATATATAAGTCTAGTTATTATAAAATTTCGAATCGCAATAAAAATTTCAAACTCACGATAATTTTTTTTAAAGTTATGAAAATTTATTAAACCATGCAGATACCGTCAAACTGGTATATACAGCTAGACATGGTTAATAACATTGCAGTACAGATACTTTTAAGACCATAGATACGGTAGAGCCCTATGAGGCACTAGAAAATCACGTTAAAGTCTTTAGGGCTTTGATATATAAGATTTGCCCATGGTCTTGAAAAGCAAAATGTTCATCCAGCACCCTTACAATGATGTGTCACTAGAAAATATTTCACTTTTCCAGAAAAGTGTATATTTTTATTCGGGATTTTTCTAAGGATTAAGTGATTTAACAGACAGCTTTCTATACTTCTTCAACAGTCAACTTAACCAACAAAATCAAAGAATAGAATATCTACACAATGACTCGTTACGGTGCAACTCCATCAAACCCAGCTCATTCAGCTTCTGCTCGTGGTGCTTATATTCGTGCCTCTTTCAAAAACACCAGAGAAACTGCCCAAGCTATTAATGGATGGCAATTACAAAAAGCTCAACAATACTTAAAACAAGTTGTTAACCACGAAAGAGCTATTCCATTTCGTCGTTACAATTCTTCAATTGGTAGAACTGCCCAAGGTAAAGAATTTGGTGTCACCAAAGCTAGATGGCCAGTTAAGTCTGTTAAACATATTCAAGATTTATTAACTAATGCCGAATCAAATGCTGACGTATGTATACGAGTACCTCTGCCAGTAAACATTTAGATATATTTTCTATTTTAATTTAATTGGGTTTTTTGAATCTATTTTAATAAGTGAAATATGTGTATTTGTTTGAAGATGGGAAGATTTTTTTAAAATTTTTGCTGTAGTAATTGAGTTTTACACAGTCTTTAAGATTATGTGTAAACCAATTTTCTAATAAAAATACTAACCAGATTTATTTTATTGATAATAGGCTAAAGGATTAGATACTTCTAAATTATATGTTTCTCACATTCAAGTCAACCAAGCTCCCAAACAACATCGTCGTACTTTCCGTGCTCATGGTAGAATCAACAAATATGATTCTTCAACTTGTCACATTGAATTGATTTTAACTGAAAAAGAAGAAGAGATTCCAAAAGCTCCAGAAAAAGCTGTTTCAAGATTATCTACCAAACAAAGAGCTACTAAATTAGCTGCTCAAAAACGTCTTACTGCTGCTTAAATATATATTTATGTATATATTTATGTATAATATTTTTAAAGTTACTTAATAAAAAATATCGGTTCAGTGTACGTTTAATAGACATTTATGTATCATATTCTAATAAGTGGTTATTATTTATGTCATTTATATTATAAAAATATTTGATAATCATAATTTTGTATTAATAATTAAAGAAAAGTATAGAAAATTAAAAATAAATTGATTGCATTATGTAAAGGAAATTAATTGAAAAACTTTAAAAAGAAAAAAAAGACTTTAAACATGTTGAACATTTTTCCTTCAAAACCTTTCTGTCTCTCAAAAACATAATTTTTTCAACTTATATATTGACTTAACCAAGCAAAATTATTAATGATAATTTATAGATATTCTGTTGGAAATAAAGCATTGTTTGTTTTAAAACCAGCAGGTCACTCTTATTTTATTTTAATTTTGCAATAAAATCACTTCTTCAGCTCTCAAAGATGAAAACAATTTATATGCAATGAGCATTCCAAACTGGTCTTATTATTCTCTATTATGGTGGTTATTTCCAATATTCAAAGTGGGCTGAAAAACTTTGGAAGATTGAGATTTACGGGTATTAATATTTAAAAAATCAACCTTTACACAATGCATTTCAAAACATTATTTCCAACATTTTAGGAAAGAAAACTGTGCAATTATGAAAAACAAATCCTAATTTATTTAATGATAAAACTCATCAACATCTTTGGTCGATCTATTCTCTGGTTAATACTGTATTGAAGTCTTTTAGAAAACAATATCTTGCTCCTGGTTATTAAAAGACAGCATTTGATATAAGTTGCTCTGCATCTTCCTTTTTTCTTCTGAAGTACAAGATTTTGAATTTCTAAAACAATTTATCTTTCATTATCTGTTTGCAAAGATATCTTCAATATGATTCCTTCATAACTTAAAATAGAGAGTGAATGTAGCAAACAGTTGCGGGACATTTCCGGCGGCTCGGATGGTCGGTATCCACGTTTCCGACCATAATCCAACAGGTTGCAAGAAACCACCTATGATTGCATTTGTTCCTTGCCCATGGTCAAGCCTGTTTCTGCTTAATGTTTTATATATATATCTTATTCATGCTTTTTTTTCACTCTTGATGTATGTTTAATCAAAATTTATGCCTTCCAATTTGTGATGAGTTTTCCTTTGACCAATTCAAATTACAATTTTATGTTCATTTGAGTTTTCACTCATCTTATTAGCAAAATAGAGGTTGTTTAAACATCTTTCGGAGTTAATCAGGTGCGCAATTGAATTTGTCGTTCTGCTTTTCTTGAGAAGGATGCGGATGGAGATGGTTTGAGATTTCCCTTATCACAATTTAAAGTAATTGATTGAAGTGAATTGACATATTCAATTGGATTGTTTTATATGTCAATAGGTTTTATTACAATTTTTGATTTTTGATTTTTGATTTAGTTTCTGAATTAATTGGGTAATCTGGTTTACTAGTAAAGATAAAGTAATCATGTCTTATGATGAGGATAATAACCCCTTTTCCGAGGGGATTTCCACCTTAAATATCAACTCGATTCAAAATTACAATCAAACTATAACCAGTGATGACGAGGGAATGGAAAGCGATCAATTCGTTGATTTGCCTATAACATCGGGGCCATCTTCTCCCAAGAGAGGATTGACCATAATAGATAAGATTAATAACAAGTACAATGATTATAACGATAATAATGATAATGAGGTTGATGGTGGTGATAGCAATAAAGGCAAGATAAATGCACCAATGGGATATAATTCAAGGGTTGAAAATGTTTTGAAAAATTCTAAAAGCTTGTGTATTCAAATACTTGATGCACATAAGAGCAATGAAGACCATTCACGAGGGTATATCGTTTATACTATTCAATGCAATGAGTTGATTGTGAAGAGGCGATATTCCGAATTTGAGTCATTAAGGGTGACATTGGTTCGCTTGTTTCCATATTTAATAATTCCACCTATTCCAGAGAAGGAGACAGTGACAGATTACGTATCAGCCTCGTCGATAACTTCGACTATCCGATCAACAGCAAAGAGCAATTTGAATAGCAGTGGATTTAATAACAATGGGGGTAATTTGAATGGGAATAGTGTGACCAGTATTCATCACAGTGATAAAGATGATAGTAATGATATTAATGGGAATAGTAATAGTGAGAATGGAGATACGAATAATAGCACTAATGCTAATAATAGTGGGAATGGGAATGGGAGTAATTTCGAAATGAATCAGAATGAGTTGATTGAGCATCGAAAACGGATGTTGAATGTTTTTTTGAATCGGTGTATTAAGATTAAGAAAATATTGAATTGTATCATATTTCAGCGCTTTCTAGACTCGAATTCCAATTGGAACGAGGTATTGCTAATGGATATAGTTATTAATATTCCCAAAAACCGATTGAAAAGCAATCCTATTAATCCTGAATTGTCGACAAATTTGCATAGTTATTTGCCTATTCCATCAACATTGAATAAGATTAATCCTGTTACTAGCAATATATCCACGGCTAATTCTAATGTGGTGAAGGGAAAGTCAAAGGATGAAAATGAGGATGAAGAAGATCAATATGAAAATGGAAATGGCAATGGAAATGAGAATGAAAATGAAAGTGTGACTGTAAATTTTAGTAATAATAATAATAATAATAATAATAATGATAATGATGACGATGATGATAATGAAAAAGATAACGATGATAGCGATAAGTTGTTGAAGTATTTAAATTTTGATAAGATTGAGAACAATTCGAGGGAGTACGAGAGTTTAATTTGCAATGGGATAGAAAAGAGTAATAAAAAGATATTGAAGATATTTGAGGATATTACGGTGTTATTGAATGAGTTATCCACGTTATACAATTCATTTTCATTGATATTGTTGGAGGATAATATTGGGGTTGATAGTATTGAGGGGAAAAGCGAGCAGAAGAATAAGAATCAGGATAACGATAAGTTAGTTGAGAGAATTTCATCGATTTATGAATTGAAGTATCTCAATTTTAAGAATAATTTGATCATTAAATTTTATTTGAATTTCCAAGAACCGTTGCAGGAATTGTTACAGTTTAGTACGATTGTGAAAGAATTGATCAAATTTCGATATAAAAAGTTTTTGCAGATTGGGATTATTAAACAAAATTTGAATTCCAAGAAGGAGCTGTTGAGTAATTTGAACAATCTTGAAAAGGAGAGTAAGAGAATCAACGAGTTTATCTCGAGAGAAGATAGAAAAATAGAAGGGAGCAGAATGAGTTTCGATAGAAGTAGAAATACGACAAAACGAAACAGCCAAGATTTATCGAGGTCGATTAGTACCAGAAATAGTGCTAGCAAAGATAGTGATGGTGATAAAAAATTGGCGAAATCCACGCCAAATTTGTGGAAAGGATTTCGATATAAAAGTAATTACGACGGGTATAATGAAGGAGATGATGAATCGCTAAGGGACTATTCCAAGAGTATTCCACCACAAAACCATTCATTAACGTCGTCAAAGTTTGGGCTAGGAGGAGCGTTGAAGAACCTCAGCAATGTGTTCAAAGAGAAGGTGTACGATGCAAATCCCGAAAGGACTCGATCGAAGAATATATTGAGATTGAAGTTTGAGGTTGAAAATCTCGAAAACTTGTTGAAGCTAGCCAGCCACGAGTTTGCGTTGTTGAACGAGAGAATAGTGGTGGAGTTGGTGAACTACGAAAAGAACTTCAAGAAGATCGAGTTCAAGAAGATCTTGTTGAACTACACTAAGCTACTCGTGGAGTGGTTTAAGAGCGACTTGGAGAACTGGGAGGAGTTGAAGAGCGAGTTGCAGGAGTAGACGTAGAGTGAGTAGCACCGAATACACAGGCAGCAGAAGCAGCACAAACAGCACAAACAGCACAAACAGCACAAACAGCACCGCCGTCCGGCCGCGCAACGCCCGCCGCCCGCCGTGCTGGCAGAGAAGGAGAAGGAGAAGGAGAAGGAGGAGGAGCAAAAGCTGCGTCCTTCTTGGGCCCTTTCCGTGCTGCTTTTCCTTCTCAGTCCGACGGGCGTGTGTTTAAATTCACCTCCACTGCCTTCTCTCCTACAGCTTCCAGCACTGCTCTACTCTTCTCTGGCACTCATTGCTCCCATCTTCTTGCTCCCATCTCTTGCTCCACTGCTCCAACTTCGCTGTCTTGACCTCCATCTGCCTTTGCATTTCCTTATTTACTTTAATTGCTGGATGATTTAACGTCGTTTTCGTCTTCCACTGCTCTCTTCTCGTTATCTGTTTATCTGGCTCTTTGTTTAGCTGATCCACTTTGCTTCGCTGGATTCCAACTAAGTCTAGTCTAACTCCAATCTAATTCAGTTTGGTTCAACAAAAATCAAGGAAAACAAGAAAAAAACTGAAAATAAATAATAAATAATAAATAATATGTCATCCTTCTACTATAGTAATAACAATAATAGTAGTAACAACAGTAATAATACCAACAACAACAACTCAAATAATAATACCAGCACGACTAATCCTGCAGGTAGTACAACTAACAACAATAACAACAATAATCAGTACACTCAATATTATGATAATCCGAATTTAAATCAACATCAAAATCTAAATTCAAATACAAATTCAAATACAAATACAAATTTAAATTCGAATTCGAATTCTAATATTCAAAATCAAAATCAAAATGTCCATCCTTATTTCAATAATATATCAAACTCTCCTATAATCTTATCTGAAAGTAGATCCTCCTCAACAAAAACTCCATCCTCTTCCCACTCGAATTTCATGAACCCTCCCTCAATTAACAATCAAAACTCTTTCTCAAATTTACAAAATTTCAATTTTAATTCTCCTTTTGTTACTCCAAGATCAAGTCTAAATAACATTGTTATCAATAATAACAACAATAACAACAACAGCAACAATAACAATAATATCGCCTCGAATAATAGTAACAGCAACAGTATTTCAAATTTCAACTCACAACAGCCGCCATCAAATAAATCCTCAACTACTGATCTACTCAAAAGTCCATGGAACTCCCCAATTGATCAACCCCAATTACAACCACAACCACAACTACAAAATCAAATTCCTCCTCATTATTACCATTCTCAATCTCAAAAGTCTCCTCAAAAGAATACCGCTATCATCTCTTCTTCCTCTTCCTCTTCAACTACTCCCTCTTCTTCTTCCTCCAACAATCATTCCAACAACAACAATTCTACTGATAACAATCAACTCTCTAACAGATCAAGCTACTTAAAAATTTCACAACTTCCTACCACTTATGAAGACGACTCCTCCTCAACCCAAGACTACAACTCGCTTCAAGCTCAAAACAAAAACTTCATTCGTCTTCCTCTAATTCCTCCCTCAAGAGCTCCTGCTCCTCTACCTTACTTCTCTGACCAAACTGTTCAATTGAAATCAAACGAGAAAAGAAGACAGTCCGTAGCAGTAGCATCAACCTCAAGAGATTTCAATCCAAATCATTTACCCCCATTACCCAATTTACCTCAGTTCCAATACCAAAAATTACAATCAAACAACCAAATTTATAGTCCCAACTCAACCGCCAATAATAATAATAATAATAATAATAATAATAATAACAATAACAATAACAATAACCAAAAAACCTTATTCAATAGTAATCAACAGTATTTATACCATCAACAACAAACTTCCACTGGCGTCTCCTCTTTAAAATACTCTTTACCAACTTACAATAATCAAAACAATGCTTATTTTTCACAATCTCAATCTCAATCTCAATCCCAATCCCAATCCCAATCCCAAACTCAAGCTCACGCTGAATACCAAAAGTTTACTAATGATCTGAATCAAATGAAAAGAGACCTAGATCAAGTCGATCAAACACTCAACCAAAAATTCCAAAATCAGTTCCAAAATCAATTTCCTAACCAAAATTCTGATATAATAGTCTCTCCTCCCATTGTCAAGCAAGTTCACAATAAAACCGACTTACACCCAATCCATAATACCAATCCAAAGTTTCGCCGAGCTTCCGTTGACTCAACTCATATCTCTCCATTAAACGCTTTAACCATCTCTTTATTAACAACTTACTCCTTATGCTCTCCTAACTTCAATTACCAATCTTCAAAAAACCCCAAAAGAGTCTTGACAAAACCTTCAAAACCAATCTTACCAAACTCCTGTGATAACGAAAATAACGACTACATCCTTTACGTCAATGATGTCCTTGGCTTTGAAGACAACAAAAAATACCTAGTGTTAGATATCCTAGGCCAAGGCACTTTTGGTCAAGTAGTTAAATGCCAAAATTTAAAAACAAAGGAAATCGTAGCTGTCAAAGTTATTAAATCAAAACCTGCCTATTATAATCAATCCCTTACTGAGGTTAGTATCTTGGAAAATCTAAACTATAAAATTGATCCCTTGGATAAATATGACCTTTTAAAACTAAAGGATAAATTTTTTCATAAAGGTCACTATTGCATAGTATTCGAACTATTATCCTCAAATCTATATGAACTAATTAAACAAAACTCCTACAATGGTTTAAGAATGGACTTGATTAAAGCTTTTGCTAAACAATTACTACAGTCTTTAATAGTATTGAAAAACTCAAAAATTATTCATTGCGATTTAAAACCGGAAAATATATTATTAATCGGTAACGATTTGCCTAAGATTAAAATTATTGATTATGGCTCAGCCTGTTATGAAAGACAAACTGTTTTCACCTATATTCAATCGAGATTCTATAGAGCTCCTGAAGTCATCCTAAGTTTACCCTATTCCTCATCCATCGATATGTGGTCTTTTGGTTGCATTATTGCTGAGTTGTTTTTAGGTTTACCCTTATTTCCTGGTTCCAGCGAATATAATCAAATTTGTAGAATTATCGATATCATGGGATATCCTCCAACATGGATGATCGATATGGGCAAAAATTCTTTAAACTACATTGAAAAAATCCGTTTGCCTGCTTCTGCTATAAGTGCACAATTAGATCAAGATCTAACCTCTTCTTCATCTTTGTTTCGTTATAAGCTAAAATCATTGGAAAAATATTCAGAAGAATTTAAATCAAATGAAAAACCCTCGAAGAATTATTTCAACTCTTCAAACTTATTTGACATCATTAAAAATTATCAACCAAGAACTTTGAAACATAATCCAAATTCTAGAGTGGTTTTGACACCAGACGAATTAAATGATAGATTGAATCTTTATCATTTTTTAAAAGGTGTTTTGAACTTAAACTTCATAAGCAGATGGACACCACAACAAGCTATCCAGCATCCTTTTATTAATAATCTTCCTTTTAATGAATCTTGGACACCTCCTGGAACAACTACGCCAATTCAAATGAATTCTCCTAGACACGCAGCTCCAGAAATGAGATCACCAGGAACTAATTTTGTGAAGAAATCATCTTCCTTCGGCAGCAATGTAAGTCATAGTTTATTATATAATAATCATAATATTGGAATACCATATGGAGGATCAAATAATAGTAACAATAACGTAAATAATCCTAATCTTAACAATAATAACAATAGTATTAACAAACAACATAATAAAAATGTTAATAATGTTAGTAATGTCAGTAATGTTAATAATGGCATTCAAAATCAAGAAATGAATCTTAATATGAATGACAACTCATTTAGTGTTGGAGTAAATGCTAGCAAGCCTCTCAATAATATATCGTTTAATAACAACAACAACAATAATAATAATAATAATAATAATGTTGCTATGACTTCTTATAAAACGACAGGAAATAGTTTTAACAATCCTATTCACAATTCCACTACCGGTTATAATATTAATGATAATAGCAATAACTCTAATTCTAGTTTTTTGGTTCTGAATAATTTTGGTAGTAATGATTTAGTTTATAACAATTCTTATCAAGAAAATACATTCAGTCATCCAAACCAGGATTTTGCTAGCACAAGTAGTCGAAATATTTCTAATCAAAGTAGCCAACTTAATCAGAACATAAATCAAGGTGATTTCATCCGAAGAAACTTACCTTTTACTAATAATCAACAAAGTAATTTAAGCTATATTCCAGCTGAAAACTTAAATCAAAATATTCCAAATTATAATAACTCTAACAATAGCAGTAACAACTACAATAATACTAATTACAACAATAATAGTAATTATCAATTTGGTCAGGAAAATGCAAATAATGATCCACATAATAAATATTTTAATCAACATTTACATCAATCACAATATCATAAGGAATTAGTTGATCAGTATAACACTAATGACACAAATAATTCTAGTAATTCAAGAACGCCAAGTGGTAGACATAGATCCTATACATTTGGTGGTTCATAAAATGATAAAAAAAAACTTGAAGGCAATTAATTTAGCAAAGATAGATTGACAGTTTTATTATTTTATTTATTTAAAGAAAATTTTAAAATTATATTTTTATTATTTTTCAGATTTAATTCTTTTTTTTTTAATTGTATCGTTCAGTTTTTCGTTTTCCCTTTCATTGTTAAATTCTTTATGTTTGTTTTTCTTTAATAATTTTATTTCTTTGGATTTTTATTTTACCACTGCATTTATTTTTTTTTCCTTTTAGTTCAAAAACTCAGTAAAACTAGTATTTAAGTAGAATTGTATTTTCTTTCTTTGGTTTTTCTCTTTTTTTTTTCTCTATTTTATTTTTCTTTTATTTAAACTTTAATAAATTTTGAATTAATTTGTTGTATTTTGGAATAAATTGAATATGTAGCTGTTACTTTAAAGAATGAATTTGTTACTGGTATAAAATTACAAAGTACTAAAAGCCAATAAAAGTTCATATTTCATATTTCATCAGGTCTTTTTCCTTTGGGAAACAATAAAAGTAAATCTATGCAAAAACAATTTGTCGTAAAAAAAACAATGTTATGATAATAACAGCAATAATAATATAAGAGATTGAACTAATTTGGAGTTTCATAACTATTCAATTGATCTAAAACTGATTGTAAATCTTCCTCTCTGACTTTGTCATTGAGACTTGGAATCAAAGTCTTTGCTTCTTCAGCAGTATCACAACTCAAAGAACCTAGTTGAGCGATTTCAAAAGGATGTAAAAATCTATGGTTTTCATTTTTTAATAGATTATCTACAGCCGTACAACTTTGTTCATCTCTAAATCTGGCAAAATAAGATAAATAATGCAAAGTTTTCTTTAAGATTTCATTTGCATTTGGAGTTAAGGCGACATTTGTAATTAGCTCGTCATCATTTTGGATATCGTCATCGTTGGGATTATTTGGATCTGATGGGTTAGCTCTAGTAAATGAATCTTCGCCATATAATTGTCTTTTTCTTTCTTTGAGGGCTTCTCTAATAAGAATTCTTGCCTCAGATAAATTCAAGGCAATTAATGACGATTCTTCACCATCTTGATTTATTCTTTTCAAAGAAAACTCTTCACCTAACTGCAACTTGGTAGCGTCTTCTTCTTCCGTCAAATTCTGAGCTCTTTTTCTTCTTCTAACACCTAGAGATGAAGTAACATTCATTATCAAAAACGAAATATAAAAAATAACGAACAGTTGTTGTTGATTCTTATCCAGTGTCAAATTTCACTCAGAAAAAAAGATAAAATACAACACAAACTTTCCCAAAACAAAATGTCACGTGTAAAACAAAATCAACTTTGTTCACAGTTCGATTCTGAATCAGGAATAAAAGTGGATTTTGAAGGTTTCTGTTGATTTTGAAGGTTTTGGTGATTTTGAAACATCACAAAAGGATAGAATGCCATTTTGTTTATATAAGAGAAAAATGGGATTTTTTTATGTTGTTCTCGTTTTTGTTTATTATTCAAAAACTTGCTAGTTATTCCATCCAGATTTTTGTTATTCTATCCATATTTTTGCTACAACCTAGCTAATATAAGAATATATAAAATACAGAGCAGATAATTAGATCTAATTTTATATATATATTTTTAAGATAAAATAGAAACTTTTTAAAATGGTTGAAATTATAATCAGCAGTACAGGCGTTAGAAATAAGCATTTTAGCAATTTTGAAGATAGTGAACTCTCTATCACTTCAGCTCTTGAAAGTTCTGGTGCATACAAAAATAATATTTACTATCATAAAAACAGGAATGTCGATATTGATAAAAATGGAAACAATGAAATGAAAGGTAATACAATGATAGATAATCATAGTTCTGCTGACAGAACTCCGAAAGGTGATATTAATAAAGATTGTAAAGAAACTAAAAAATATTTTGATCGTACAATTAAGAACCATGAATCATATCTTTTTCCAGATTCTCCAGATTATTTGAATGAAGATCACAAATTACAAGAAGCAAATAATCATGGGCCCGGTTATACCAATACTCCAGACAATTTTATTAATAAAACTCCAAATTTAAATGAAAATTTCTACCATTTCAATAATAGTAACGATTATAGTGGCCTAAATAGATTTGATAGTTATAATAATTCATATTATGATTATGGTGAACAATGTTTTAGTAATGATAAATTCTTCAATGTGAACTTCTCCAATATAATCAATCCATTTGATATGACATTGAATCAACTTTTCGCCTTTGCTAACAATAGCGATGAGTGTGATCAAAAACCAACTAAAGAGGATCTAAAATGTTTTGCACAAAATCTTTACGAAGCCGAGATGAATCTTTCGGGCTCTGGATATGATGATGATGAAGACCCAGAAGAATATGAATATGATTTTGAATATGAGAAGAAAAAAGAAAAGGTTCAATCATCAACAATCAACAGGAAAAGACAGAATGAAGACGAGGAAGTCGTTTCAATAAAAGCCAAAAAATCTAGAAAGATCTAATAGTAATAGACACCAACTGCATTATGCTTCTTATATTGCACTGGGAAGATGTCTGTATCCTGTCCCCATTAATTATCTCTTTATAGGTTTATCTCACTGTATAAGTTTCATAAACGTTTACTGAAGTATTCTTCAGCTCTGTTCTCACAGCTCTCTCCAATAAAAGCACCTTCAAACTGGAAACCAAATAACTGGGTACAGGATAACCAAACAGATGCTGGATGTACCAGTCCGGGTAAGCCCAGCCGATCCGTTGTGTGAAATTTTTCCAGTTCTATGTCTGCTGTGTTTCAGCAGAAGATACTGTTTCTTCAGCAAGCTTATACATAGTTCTCTCATCATACCTGTAAATTAAAATAGCTCAAGATGTCTGCTGATCACACTAGAGACCCCTGTCCTATAGTTATTCTTAACGATTTTGGTGGTGCCTTTGCCATGGGTGTAAGTTCATAGATGCTCAAGAAATACTTTGTGTTCCATCTCAGTAAACTAACTCTTTATTCTTTGTCTTTAGGCTATTGGTGGTTCAGTTTGGCATGGTTTAAAAGGATTCAGAAACTCTCCCATAGGTGAGCGTCGCCTTGGTGCTGTTTCTGCCATAAAAGCCAGAGCTCCGGTGCTTGGAGGAAACTTTGGTGTTTGGGGTGGATTGTTCTCAACTTTTGATTGTGCAGTAAAAGCGGTTAGAAAAAGAGAAGATCCACTAAATGCTATAATTGCTGGATTTTTTACTGGTGGTGCCTTGGCCATCAGAGGTGGTTGGAAACATACAAGAAACTCGGCTATAACTTGTGCTTGTATCTTGGGTGTCTTTGAAGGTGTTGGTGTAATGTTTCAACGTTATATGGCATGGCAAGCTAAACCTGCAGCTCCCCTTATGCCTGATGCTCCAATGACTGCTTAGATCAGTCCTTTTATTTTTGATCTTCATTTACCACCTATCAAAATTATTAACTCAATGAATAATAATAACAACAAACAAAAATATTATCAATTACTCCAAGTATATCAAAATTAATAAAGTATCAAAAATCATGAATTCAAAAAAAGAAAAAGAAAAAAAAATAGAGAGAAAAAGTGAAGATTACTTTTATTTTTTCAGTTTCCTTTGTAAATATTTTTCTCAAATTTCATTTAAATTATAATCATAATTATTTTTCATTAATGATAATCCAATTAAATCTGTGAATATTTTAATTTTAATTGAATTATCTTTACTAATAGTAATTCATTGTTCTTTCAATTTTTTTTTTCAACTATCAAGAAACAAATTTAGATACTAATAATTATATTAATTATGTAAATCATTGGCTTTAAATTTAGCTTTTTTTCTATGAATTTTTGTTTTATTAATTAATGGTTTCATTTTTTTTTTATATTTTTTCTTTTCTTCAAATATAATTTTTTGTTTTTCTATATAAATTTTAAATTTTTTTTTTAGTTCTTTGTTTTTTTATATATTTTTGGTTAATCTTTTTATTTTTTTATCATTTTATACATCAATATATATGTAATTATATCTATAAAGAAGCGATTATTTAATTAATTAATTGAGATTATTGATTTGAATCATATTGCATGAAATATTTCCCACCGCCAAATTTCCACCATTTCGATAAACAGCTATGTGGTTTAGTATCAATATTATTTTCATCATTAACATTGCATTGGCAATTTTTAACCAATCTTAAGATATTACTTGATGGACAAGAATTGAATGGAGGATGGTAATAACCGATATCGTCAAAATGGTGGATTTCAGATTTATTTAGCAAAAGGCCAACGGCTATTGAATGAACAGGAGCATCACCCCATCTTTCATAATAAAACCCACCTTTTTGATTCAAGTAGTTGAAAAATTCTTGGTAAGGTTTTGATCTGAAAAAATTCAAATTTGCAATCTCGAAATTTGACCAGAAGTGACATAAATTATAATCTGAAGTTGAGTTTGTTTGAACAGTTACTGATGTGCCAATTAACGAGTTATCAGTTAAAAACTTGTAGGAATTATCCTTGGCTAAATAGTTTGAGTTATTGCCAGTTGTAAAGAACTCCATTGTGGTATCCCATAAAGTTGGAATAGTGTTTTGATAATCATAAATAGATACGATGAAGCCATATTTTTTATTTAAATTTTTCATTAGTTTGAATGGATCGTAATTGAAATTGCAAAAGTAATTAACATCAGGTTCGACTCTAAAGTACCACTCGTAATTTTGAAGAAGTTCTTGTCTCATGAAATAGCCTGAGTTGAATTTACACATATTTCTATAGGATTTTGAAAAGCCATAGATGATATTATTGTGGATTGAGTCATTAATGTTTTGCTCGAATTTAGTTAAATTGATCCAGTGGGGGATATTCCAGTCGACTTGGGGGATAATGCCATATTGAGTTTCACCAGAAGTCGCTAGAGATGTTGCATCAATAAATTCTTGGGTGAAGGGCTCATCATTAAGGAAAGTCCAGGGGTAATTGTAATTTTTATTGAAACGATCTTCCAATGTTCTTATTGAAGCTAAGGCACTGGGCAATTCCCAGTTTCTAACTAGCATTAGAATGGTAGCATTTTCTCTTAGATAATTCGTAGCAGGAATAATATTTGATTGGTTTAATGCGGATAGTAAAGTGGTTTCGTTATTATTTATGTTCAAATAGTTATTTATATTATAACTGGTATCTTCTTTCTTTTGTAATCTTTTGCTATTCTTTAAAGTGATTTGATTTTGATAGTTGATAAGATTTAATTTATAATCAATTGGACTAAAAATATAGGAATTTGAAGCAAATTTTGAAGATAATTTTTCCTCACTTAAGAATGAATTAAAATTTGATATGGAGTTTAGTTTCACGTTTTTATTATAAGTAGTAACTAAATCATTTAAATCGGTAAATACACTTGAATAAACTATCAATATCGATAACGCTATCGCGAGTAGTAATAGTATAAAAGATGTCAGAGATTTAATATAGCTCTGCATTTTTCAGATGAAGAGATATAGAAAAGCGATCAAAAGAGAAGAAAAACAAAATAGGAAAAGATCGTGGAAACTGAAAAACATAAAATTTTTTCAAACTAAATCAAAGTCTATACATTGGAAAAGACAGACTACAAAAAATAACAAAGTATATAATTGGGAATCGAATATTGCATATCAGTTATTAGGAAATCAAATCATGATAATACACTGTAAAGATTACAGTGCACCACTAATATTTCGACTAATATAACGAGATGCTAGTTTATCTAAGAAACAGGAACGAAATGCTAGCTGTGGCCTTATTGTTGGTAAGGTCAAAAAACATTCAACTTTTAGCTGTGGTTGGCAGCTGGGACTGAGCTCTGATGAGTCAGAAACAGCTGCAAGGTCTCTAGAGTATGTTATACAATTAATACAACCTACTGATGTTGAGGAAGAAGAAGAAGAAAGAGAAAAAGAAGAAGCTCTTCCTCCGCCTTTATACCCACAAAAAGAACGCGCTCCGAAGAAAAAATAGGGCTCTTACTCACGTGCTGCACAGCGGTAAAGCCCTCCACGTGACTGGCTGCTTTTTACTCTTTGCTGTGTCGGCGGTTAATTTGAGAGGTGTTTCTTCTTCTGCCTCTGCTTCTGCTGCTGCCTTTGCTGCTTCTTTCTTCTATTTTTCTACTGCCATGGTCGAGTCGAAGCTCTTTTCAATTGAAAACCAGTATCTTGATGACATCTGCCAGAGCATCAAGCAGAGACCTGTTTACTGGGAACGTCTTATTCGTGCCAACATTGTCAGCGAGGAAGATGCTACGAGAATGAAAATATTGGAGAAACAGTCCACCGACGAGAAGATTTCTGCTGTTCTTAGTGATCTTGACCTATATTCCACCACCATTCTCAATTTGCTTTCTGTCTCCAACAGACCCGACATCTTGAAATACTTGCTCATCCTCATCTTGGAGCTAATTACTAAAGTCCCCAATGTCCAGTTCTTGAACAACTTGCTTGATTTAAACAAGATTGACAACAACTTGCCTTTCGATCCCTTTTTGAAAAACTTGAAAAACTTGTCCACTTTCAACAACGATAAGGACTCAATTCAGTTACTATCCGTTTATAACTTGTCTCTAATATTCCTTCAATATTCAACTGTTATCGGCAATACCGATAACCAAGCCAAAGAAAAGCATTTTTCCTTTAACAATGATTCTTTGATCTCTCTTTTTGATCACTTGAACTCTCTAGTTCAGTCCTCAAACTCGAATTATAGAACTATTGCGGTTCAATGTATAAGTGAATTATTGTCTATTAAATCTTATAGATCCGTTTTTTGGTCAAAAAATTCACACTACATTCCCTCTTTGATTTCTTTATTGACACCATACTCAAAGAAAAAACTATTCTCATCGTCCTTGTCAAACCCAACTCCTCAATCTAATTCCCAATCTCAATCTCCAAATCTTTCTTCATCTGATCACTCAAATCAACCACAATCAAATCCCTCTTCTGCTTCTCCAACACCTTCCCCCACTCCTTCTTTATCCGCGTCAAACCCATCCGTTTCCTCTTCTTCTACTCTTATATTTAGAAATGATCTCCAAACTCAATACAAAGCCTTATTATCTTTATGGTTATTAAGTTTTAACCCTTCATATGCCGTTGATTTAGTTCTAAACAATAAAAACTTATTAAAAACTCTTATCACAATCTCAAATGACTCAATTAAAGAAAAAATCGTTAGATTATCAATATCAATTCTATTGAATTTTATCAATACAACAAATGATCTGAACAATAATTACACTAACAAACCTTTAATAGCAAAAAAGAAAAAAATCACCAAAATCTTATTATTAAATGACTCCCTACCAATCATCACTAATTTAAATCAAAGAAAATGGTCTGATGAAGAATTAATTGACGATTTGAATAATCTATTAGAAATCTTAAATAACTCTTACCAAAATTTAACAACTTTTGATGAATACATAATTGAACTAGATTCAATGGAATTTAACTGGTCACCTCCTCATAAAAATAAAGAATTTTGGATCAATTACATCAATAATTTCAAACTAAATGACTGGAAACTATTTAAGAGACTAATGAATTTATTCAACTCAACCTTATCAAATTTAATCATATATAATAACGATTCTGAAAAATTAAAAACCTTGAATAAAACTTTAGCTGTTATTTGTAATGACATCTCAAATGTTATTAATCTTTTACCTGAATCAATGGTCATCTTAAACAATTTAGGCTCAAAACAAAAGATTATGAGTTTAATGAACTCAAGTGATATCAATTTAAGATATGAAGCTTTAAAAACAACACAAGTTTTAGTTGCTCATTCTTTTAATTAAATGAAATAATTTATTCAATTCATTTTTCTTAATCAAAAAAACCAAAATTAATAATTAAAATTTATAACTAAAATTAATAACTAAAATTTATAAATAATACAAAAACTATTAGTTTTCCCTATTATTCATTAATTATTTTCTACTTATTTACTTATTTATATAAATTTATTTCATGTTCCTCTTTTTTTAATTTTTTTTTCATTTTATCACTCTTTAATAAATGCAATTGAACAAATTGTTGAACCTTTAACTCCACCGAATTCAAAAACTGGATAATCAATTCGTTTCCAATATTTTAGCTTTTTAGTACTTTGGGATATAATTAACTTCAACTCATTAAAATTAAAATTACAACTCGTTATTAATAAAATTGAGTTTTTCTTCATAATTTTTTCCATAATTTTCGGATATATTTCAATTCCTTTAAGTAATTTCTTATTATTTTCATTCTCATTCTCATTCTCATTATCTCTAAAATCATTTTCATATAAATTATCACTTAATGCAATTGCATCTAATGTACCTTTATCTAGTATTATATCATAATCCTTAGGTATATCAGTATTATACCAATTTTTATTATTCAAAATATCTAAATGTTTAAATTCAATATCTTTGTCATCGCCAAAATTTTTTTCTTTTATCTTATTGGCAAAATCAATTGAAAATTGTGAATAATCAAAACCAACAAGCTTGCCTTTAAAATCACTATTTTTCCTGATTTCAAATAATAAGCTTCCATTTCCTGTTCCTAAATCAATAATTGTTGAACTCTCATTTATGGTTTCAACAAACTCTTGCTCTTCTAAACAAGTGTTTAGAAATCCAATTATTTTATATTCGGCGTCAGAATCATTAAACCAACATTCTCCAATGTCTTGTTCGTTTTCCTCAAAATTTTTGGTCTCTAGCTTATATAAGTCATCCCAATATTCTTGAGTCCCAAGTTTTGAATGATTAAGATTAATTGTATCTTCGCCCATTTCAATTACAATGTCATTCAAAAGCAACCACAATATAGAATTTTTTTTTTATTTGATTTGGATTTATGTAAAATATATCCAACAGTCTAAAAAAGTTACTAATATATAAAAATTTAAAGAATTAAGGATTAATGAACAGCGCCGTGGCGCAGCGGAAGCGCGCAGGGCTCATAACCCTGATGTCCCTGGATCGAAACCAGGCGGCGCTAGTTACTTTTTGTAATTCATGGTTACATTATTTTTGTTGATGTTGCTCAATTGACCTGTAAGAACACTACTATTGATGCTGAAATAAATTCTAAGTTAAATTTCAAGTCTGTTAATTCCCCGAGGTGAAAAACTGAAGACCCTCTACCTAATGTTTTTTATAAAATTGATGACTTTTCAAAAACATTTTGATTTACTTTTATAATTGACTTTACACTCTTCTTTTAGTATAGGATTAAATTTTTTTCTTCTGGTTTTAAAATATTATTTTGTTTTTTTTATCTATCTTTTTCTATTATTTTTAGTTGACCTGAAGGATTTAAAAATTGTTTTTATTCACCAAAAAAAACTTGAAATTACATCTGAGTATTAAATGAAAAAACCCATTGCAGTGGATCTGATTAATATGTATATCAATGCACTTGTATGTAATGTGTAGTATTTTTTTTGTGGATCCGAACTTTTTGTCGTTCGCAAACACCTTAAAGAAAATTATTTATTGTGTAGCAACTGAAGAACTTAGAGCTATAAAGTGATATATATTAAAGTATTGTAATGTTGAAGTACTATAATGATAAGATTAATTGTCCATTTGGATATAATATAATATGGTAAACAGGTATATTTAGTATTTTTTGAAAAAATTGCACTAAGTGGTATTCTTTTGGTCAAGGTAGGAGTATTAATTTTATTCTTTAAAATCCTTTGTAAAAACTGAAAACTGAACTAAAAATTAACATAGCAAAAAAAAGAACAAACAAAACAAATAAGAAAATTAAAAAAGCAAACGAGAGAGGGATAGTGATTACAATGTGTATTTTTTTCCTTTGGTTTCTTAATCAAAACCAAATATAAAAAATAATTAACAGAGGTTAAACATAAGACGTGGAACCTTTATTGAGTGTCTAATAAAGTTCTATAAAACCAGGAAATAATTTGATACTTAAATCAGCTAAAGGTAATCGGCGTTTTGAAGTCTTTTTGTTTAGTTTTTTAGTGATTTTATTTCTTTTACCTAAATTAATATTCTCCTTATTTGAGTCAGATAACGATTCATTGGAATTTTCATGGACTATTGGGGGATGTTTATTGAATATAATATCAGAATTAGGGTCTGAGTAAATATCAAATAATAACTTATTTGATTTCAGTGATTGAAATTGGATATTATGGATCAACGAAGGAAAAGACATTTGTGAAGAGTCTGAAAAGTACGAAGTGTATGAAGACGTTAAGGAGATTGGCGATATTGAAGAAACTGAAGATAGTGTTGGTGAATTTGGTGATTCTGCTGAATTTGGTGAATGTGCGGACTTTGAGTGTGTACTTTGAGAAAAGATTAAACTTGAGGAGTTAAGTTGAGTATTTGAATGCAGTAGTAAACTATTGCTTGAAACAGACTTTTGTAATTTTTTAGGAGCGTTTTCAAAGAAAGAGGTATTTGACGTCTTTGACGAATTTTCTTCAGCACAGATCTCTGAGACAGCTTCTTCAGTAGTCTCCTCGTTTAGCAAAGCCATAATTAGGGAAGCAATTTTGATGAAGCACCACTGTTATTTAATATAAACAGAAAAAAGATAGATAAAAATAAAAACAGCCTGTTAGGCAAGAATAAAATAGGGATATGAATAGATAGTTAAGATAGGATACAGTGAAGGAAAAAAGTAAGCAGGGAAATCAAGGACAGATCAAAAGAATAGAAAAATGATCTAAATAATTTGAGTAAAAAACGCGAGATAAAAAAATGTGCTCATGACAGGAGGAAGTAAAAAGAGGGTATAATAATGCCAAATGAAAAACCTTCAATCTATTTACTGCAAACAGCAACGTTTAGTATCATTGAATATTTATTGGTGAAGAACCTCATAATCGAAGAGGTTTGTGAACGCTTTCCGGATTTGGAAATTGCTTTATTTTCGTGTTGAATGGTTTGGTGAAAATAAACAACGTACTGTCCGAAGCAGGGATACCACTGCCATATTTCGTGCTTCCTCGCAATCAAAAGAATTTATTCTGTTTTTAAAGGGCTCCTTTTTTACCTCAACCCCAAACCTCCACTGGAAAAGTGGTTAGGTGCTTTATTTCATTTAACTCTCCCTCTTTGTTGCGGAAAGGCTGAGGTTATGCTTATGCTCATGCGATAATTTGAATGAGGTTGAATGAGCTGGAACAGTCTCTTGTTTGGATCTGCAGTGCACAAGTATTGGTGGCATCGATGAAATTTTGATTCACACTAATTCTGATTCCACCTAAAAGGTGAATGATATCGATAAAGCACATTTATTAACAATGTATATTATTAAAAAAATTCTCGTAAAGCAAAAAAAAAAGATAGGAAAAATAGAATAGCAAAATTTGAATTAAAAAAGATACAAAAAAAATAAAATAAAGTGGTGCCTGGAGTCTGAGAACATTGGTTGTAATTCACTGGGTGAGGTATTTTAGAAAGTTTTTATCAAGTAATTTTGAAATCAAATCAATGTTCCGGGCAAATATTCATTGAGGAAAAGAAAAAAAATCATTTTAAGTCATCAACTCAAATCTTACTATCCTTTTGGGTTTCTTCTGAGTCTAGGATCCATGATTTTGACAGACTTCTTTGTTGTGGAGCTTGACGATTTGATTTCATCCGTCAAACTGAACTGCTTCCCACCAATTGGTACTTGTGGGTTTGCAGTTGATTTGAGCTCCGCTGTTTGAGAAAGATTGTTTTGATAGTGATTTGGAAGCTCTTTTCTACTAAATTCCAAAGAATTGTTTGGCGCAAATCCACCATATACCATGAACCGATTGCTGGCAGCATTTAACGAAGGAAGTCGAGTTTCGGATCTAGAAGAGCCTTCTTTTATTGAAAAATCCGTTTGCATCAGATTTTTCGCATATCGATTTGATATTTCAGTAAGTTTCGAATTCGAAACATTTACTTTGGAAACCAAATCCAAAGATGGAATCATATTTGGAGAATTATTTACATTGGAAAAGGAGATTGTGTTTAAATAGGCATTTATGTTTGAGTTTTCGAACTTTTGCAGTTCATCATTTGTAAGATTTCCCATGTTTTGCAAAGTTGTTCTTCGGGTTCTCAAAGAATTTTGAGGCTTTGAGGCAGAGGTAGATCTTTGAGCAATTGATCTGCTTCCTCGTTGCCCAAGATTCACACTCTTTTTAGGTCGGGAAAACACCCCATAGTCAGTTTTTTCATCGTCATCACTATCACTTTCCCTTCCTCTTTTTAAAAGCAATGGGTTAGTGTATTTGCTTGAGTTTTTAATGATTTCAGCCTCGGATAAGATAGAATCATTTGAAACCATTGGTTTCCGTTTCTTGTAAATATTAATAGATTTTACATCCGGTCTTAAAGCTGACGATGGCGTTGGTGAAACTTTTGGTTTCATAGCCGGTGTTATTGTTGGTTCCATGACTGTTGTTGCTGCTTTCATGGTTGATGTTATTGTGGGTGTTGTTGTTGGTGTTTCCGTTAGTGGTTTTGTTGGCACTGCTGCAGGTTTTATAACGGAAATTTCTCTCACATTTGTTGTCAATTCTGATTTCAATTCTGATTTCAATTCTGATTTCAATTCTGGTTTCAATTCTTTATTTTGTTCTTCTATTTTGGCTGTCGCGATTTCTAAATTTTCATTCTTTATCGGAAAATTTTCTAATTGAAACATTAAATTTTTGTTTGGTTCTTGTGATGATTCTTCACGCAAACTTTCAGTTGGAACTTTTGTCGATTTTATCAGTTGTGCAACTATTGGCACGTTTGTTGATTTCTTTTCTGGTTCCTTTGGTGGATCCATTTTTGGTACTATTGCCGGTTTTATAACTGGTGTTACTACCGATGATGGCAATAATGTTGTTGCCGATAGGGCAGGAGCTATCGATGACTCTATTTTTGGTGCTGCTGTTGGTGGTGCTGCTGTCAGAGCAAAGGCTGGCACAGATGCCGGTGTTATTGCTGGTGCTATTGCCAGCCCTGTTGCTAGTGCCACCACCGGCACAGTTCCTGGTGTGATTGTAGATGCTGCTGTAGATGCTACTACAGCCGGCGAATTGTGATTAGATCCCGAAAGATTTGCTGCAGCAGAACTGAGAATTAAATTCTTTACAGCCATTTCATTATACCTCAAATAATTTACTAAAGAAGTTTGGTTGATCTCATTCATAATAAAAATATCAGATTTAAATAGTTCTTGCCCGCCACTACTAATCAAAATCTCTAATAACTTGATGCTTAAATCTGGAGAGATCTTGAAATTATTTGAACTACTGCCATTGTTTCCATTTAATACTATGCCAATGTATATATACTTGTGATATAATAAAATTTTATCAAACTGATTTGGCATAAACATGGATTTGACAGTTTTCAAACCTCTTTCAGTCTTTTTAATGAGAACATTTTTATATTTGTTGAAAAAACTAGTGATTGATGCTTGTCTTCCTTCTTCAGATTGATTTCTGAGAATATCAGAACTCAAGACAAAACAACGAAGATGGTCAGACCATTGAACATCAAAACATGATTTCAAAAGAGCATGCATTTGCAAAAATACAAAATGTTCTTGTTTAAGCTAGTTTTATAATGAAAAAAATGTGAGAATAAAAAAAAATGTTAGAATGTAAAATGGTTTTGTGAATTTTCATTTTGATTGTTGAATAAATACTTACAACCTGAAACCGATCATTCAAATTGGAAAAAATTCCATTGGCCATATTGGGATATCTTGCTAAAAATTCATCAACAACTAACTCGACTTTTGTTCCCAATCTGTCCGCAATACAAGATCGAAAAACGTCAGGAATTTCTTGTCTATGTTTAATCAACAACTTAATAAAATATGTTTCTTTGTCAGAAGTCCATTTTGATGGTGGTTCTTTGAAATGTTTTAGTTGTTCGGAGGGATGGTTCGAATTCAAAAATGAGTGCAGATCCCTTTGGTCAATTCTATCTTTTTGATTTTGAAGCTGGTTGTCATTATTTCGAAAATTGTTATCATTAGGAAGATTTTTCTGAGCAACCAAAGATGAATTATCTAATAAATTCTTATTTGGAGTTGAAGAGGCATACTTATTAAAAACACTATCTTTGCTATGAAGAATTGTCAGTAGAGCTGTGTTTATATCTGGATGCAATAAAATACTTTTATCATAACTTTGAGACAGAAAGAGATTAAGATATACAAATGTATGATACATTAATGTTGAATCAATTGAATAAGGGCAAAACATATGTTTAATCGCTTTAATGCCCCTCTGCTTACCTTTAATTTCAGGAAATGAACCTTTATACTTTGCAAATAAATTCTCAATTTTTGAATCTAAAGTTGAATCTGGAAGGGAAGTAGTTTTAAATTCAAAACATCTATTTTCGGTTGACCAAATATATGTTCCATCAAACTTAGATTTCTTATATAAGAATAACCAATAAGCATGGTTCGATGTTAAAACTAATAATTTATCCTTTAATAAAGATCTTGGGTTTCGAGTTGAAATCTGGGAATAATTATAAAATTCATCCAAATTGTATAATTTTTCTTTATTGATAGTTCTATGAGCAATTAAATCACCTCTTAAAAAGGAAATTTTTTTAACTAATATATTAATTAAAATGATATCTTCAGCGATTGTCCATTCAGTAGTTGCAGACTTGTTTTGTGACGCAATATGTGTTTGAGATATATTAGTTGAGTTAAAAGAAGTGTTATGGTTTGGTTTATTAGAAAATTGAGAATTATTTTGAGAATTATTTTGAGAGTTTTGTATGTTTCCATTATCACCACCAAAAGAGTTGTAATTAAAACTTTTATTGATATTATTGTAGTTTAAATTTTTATTGTCGTAAAACAGTTTTTCTTTATTAAAACCATTTGGATTTGGGGTTGGATTTGGATTTGGGGTTGAATTTGAATTTGAATTTGAGTCACGAAATCTATTGTTGTAATTATTGAAATTGGAATTTAAGCTTGATTTTGAATTAGAGCTAAAATTAGAACTTGGATAATTGCCAGAATTTGAACTATAAGATCTTTTATCACTATTCATTAAAAGAGCTTGTCTTTGAGGATTAATATGAGTCATATTACGAGCAGCATAGCTTGAGTTAGTGGTATTGCTATTAGTGGTGCTATTAGTATTACTAATATTGTTACTGATACTATTATAAATTGGATTGTTATTAGTATTGTTATAATTTGAATTGCCACTATTATTCAAGTAAACTTGATTATTCATATCGGGGCCATTATTTGTGAATTGATTCTGCTGGTTAGTGCAAGATAAAACAGCGGCAGCGCTTAATATTTGGTTTATAACATCGTTTTGATTATTGAGGTTTGGTATGGGGTTGGATTGAGTGTTTGGAGGAATCTGTGATGAAGAGGCTTGTGAAGCAGAAAAAGACGATTCAAAAGATGAATAACCTAAAGGCTGTTGAAAAGACTGGGAGAAATTGTTATTTAATTGATTGACATTATTGAAATTAGTGTTGTTGGTGTTGTTGGTGTTGTTATTTTGGGAGGATTTATTCTGACTTAACAGAATGAGGTTAGCCAAAAGATTATGAACCTGTGTGTTTTTTTGAGGATCATTATTCGACGACATTAGACAAGTGAGATGATTCAATATAGTGGCAGGCTGTCATAGAATAGAAGTACAGTTGAGATCAATTCTATAGTCTTGAATAGATATTAACAGACTGCAATATATTATATATTATATATTATATATTATATACTAAATATTTTGCTAATTTTGCCAAAACAGAAAAATCATAAAATTGAATGTAAGGAAAATAACCAAATGGACGATTCGGTGTTGCACGTGATAAACGGTTTTGTTGTATTAGGAAGGCTGGAAAATTTTTGATTTGATGATGTTTGATGAGATATGATTTAAAACGAGTGATATTGAGTTGGTTAGTTATTTGGTGTATTTTTCTTGGTTTCTTTTGATGGATATTATGCAATGAATTATAATGAGTTGTTTGGGAAAAATATCAATTTATTTTTTCCTAATGGGATTACTGCACAAAAAAGATTTGGAATTGCATTGTCTGGTGGTGTGGATTCGATATGTTTGACGCATTTAATTCGAGTTTATTTTCTTCAAAACAAACTTCCATTGAGGAATTTATATCCGATAACTATTGATCATAATTTGAGAAAGGAAAGCTCGAAAGAAGTAGAAAAGATAGGAAGAGTTTTGAAGAAAATGGGGATTAAAAATCATTTAACTCGGAAGATTCATTGGGAGAGTAAAAATTTAGATAAATTGGATATAAATTTTGAGAATCTTGCACGAATTAAACGGTATAATATCATAAATGAGATATGTTTTGAAAACAGTATAAATAATGTATTTGTCGGGCATAATTTGGATGATTTAATTGAGACATATTTATTGAGGAAATATTTCGATAGAGACAATTTAATGGCTAATCATTATCAGAATTACAATGGAATTGATGATTATAGTATCAATAAGATCCAGAATCATCAAATATTTGGTTTAAATTGTTTAGAAAAAAAATCATTTTTACCAATACAACATTTAGTTGATGATAATAATATTACTGATTTCATTCATGACAATGGTAATAATAATACTAAAAATTTCATGGAAGAAAATAATTTCAATAAGAATATAATAGTTTATAGACCATTGATAAATTTTACAAAAAAGCAGATATATAGTATAGCGAAAAAAAATCTGTTAAGATGGTTTGAAGATAAAAGCAATTTGAATCCAGTGATAACCAAAAGAAATGATTTGAGAAAAAATTATATTCCAAACCTAAACAAGAGATTGTTGATTGAAAAAGAGATAATACCTATAAAAGCAAGAGTAATTGAAATTCGGGAGAAAATAAAGGAGATTGAAAAGAAAATCGAGATTAGGCCATATGGATCATTTGGAAGCATTATATTCGTATTTAAAGAGAATTTGCTAAATGAGTATGAGGATGTAGTAATTCATAGGTTTTTATTTGAAAAATTGTATCGGTATTCCTCATCTTTAAAATATTATTTCAAATTTTTAAGATTAAAGCTATTTCTTGAAACATTTTTGAATAAAGAAGAAATATTTAAAGTGCATGATATTGGAGACATCAAAGACGAAAAAATAATTAAAAACATTAAAAATGTTATAAAAGGAGATTATACAGACATTGGGAAAAATAAGAAACTAGACAATAATGATGAAAGTGGTGATAGTGAAACCACACATATTGATAAGTTATTACTAGAATTGAAAAAGAAAAAGGAAAAAAAAATCAAAATTATATTTAAAAAAGAGGGAGTCATATTGAATATGAAATTTGAATTAATTAAAAAAAAAAGCGATGGAGAAAAGGTATACTTAAAAGTTTTTAGGCAAAATCACATTAGGCACGATTTTCCTGTTGTGAAATTCAATGGGTTTTCATTCAATAAGATGAACAAATGGACAGAGTGGAAGTTGTATGATAATCGGTTTTATTTTAGATTGAAATTAAATGATTCGATATTCATGTATTTAGATCATGAAGAAATCTCGAAACTAAACTTTATTATTCGTCCCTTTATAGCCAAGATGGATAGCAAGCAATTTGAGGATTATAAAAAGATGCGAGAGTTGAAGATATCGAAATACCATCTCCCAATAATTTTCACGTATCTAGATGAGGAAAAACCAGATAAGGAGGGCAATAGCAACGAAAAGTTTTTTGATGAGAAGTTTGTCGGCGAGAACTTGAATTGCTTTGGGTTTCCCACCTTCCACTTGATCAACTCCAAAGAGAAGCCCTTCACAGTAGAGTTCAAGTTGAAGAAGGACATCTATGGAGTGAAATATGATGCAGCAAACAACAACAGAGAAGACTTATATAGCTACTTGAACATAGACTGAACATAGACAAGAAACCAAAAACAGATCAGACACCACCAGGACGGATACTGGATACATATGCAGGTACACGCACATATGCTTCGTCCACACGCGTGGATCTGTCGCGACAGAATCCAGCTTAAAGAGAATGGTGGTCGTCTCAGGAAGCGAAGGTTAGTTGGGCATTGTAACAGATGAGAGACGACAGAGGAGTGGTGCAGAGGAAGAGAAGCAGAGACAATGCTCCAGTTTGGTCTCCACAAGCGTCTTCAACATGCCTGATTATCTAGATAAGAGTGTTCAACACGATCTGATCAGCTATACCAACTGCTTTCTGGACAAGAGCACAATGGACAGGAGCTCGAGAAACAAAAGCAAGATTAGTAGGCCCAAAATTAACAAGAACAACAGCCAGATAAATAAGGCCATGGCCTGGCTCTACAGTAAATTTCATTTCACATATAATGGCACCAATCGATCCTCAGATTCGAATCGCAAGAAGAACTCTTCGTCTTTCTTTCACAAGATCTTGAAGTTCCATCCCATTTTTTTCCTCTTTCCCTTGATTTTAATAGCCAAATTTTGTCTTTTGAATACACTCACTTTAATGAAGCATCTCAACATTGCTAATGATTTCGAATTTATAAACAATATAAATAATATTAATAATGGCTTTCAGTTTAATTTCTCTCTAATAGTCATATTTGTATTGATTTTGTTTGGTTCAAATTTCATCAGTTCAAAGAAAAATTTTAACATTTTTATCTCAATTTTATTTTTAATATCCCTTGTTATAACTAACTTAACTAACAATAATATCATCAGTGATAACAAGTATAATATAAATCTGTATTTACATGATCTAGTTAAAAAAATCATTTATAAAGACTATAGCAATTTTTCATTTTGGAATTTTGCTTCCAATTACATTTCCAACTACAATTACAAGCTATTTAATTACAATTTTAGTAATCATTCAAAATCACTAAAAGTATTTTTACTAATACTTACAATAACTTCTTTAATAACTTATACACTGATTTTTTACTTGGAGTTATCAAATTCAAACAACTCTTCATTCAATGATTTCATAATTCAAGATGAATTTATAGAAAATTGTTTAATTGAAAATAAAAAGAAAATCAAGAAAATCAATAAAAAACAAAAGCCGAATAATTTAAAATAATAATAATAATTAAAAAGAAAATAATAATTATAATAATTATAATAAATGATATTATACTAATAAAACGAACGTATTGTGTTAATCTCAATCCCATTTTTTTGCACTCTTTTTTTATTTTTTATTTTTTATTTTTTAACTATAATTGCTAGATAGTGGATAATAATTTTTGACTCGTTTCACATTAACTTAACATGTACCTCTGTAGGATTTCTTAGTTTTAATTGTTTTAATCTTATCATCTTGTAATCCGGCACTGGAGATTGATAATAACATATCATAAATAATCTGATTGTTATCACTTCTAGCCTCATCTGATTCAAACTTGGTAGACCTTTGAACTTGATTTGCTGCATTGATTAAAACTTCAGTGATTTCAATTATATCCATCATTAATTTATCCAATAATTCTAAATTCAACGTTTCCTTAACCACAATTCGTAATACTTCAGTGTCAGATTCATTATTAGGCAATGGGTAGTAGGGGATAATAAAACCTTTATTTCTCAATAAGGTTGAAACCATCGATTGAGGAATTTGGGGATAATTTTTAATAAATTCATTTGAAAATTTAAACGCAACAACAGGTAACCCAGGGTTTAATATATCATTGTTATCATTGTTATCACTATTATTATCACTCTTATTATTATCAAGTTCAGGGTCATCGTTTAACTCAATTGAATCCTTTAAACTCATTACATTCTTTGACCGATGGATATTTGAAATGCATTCAAAATAATTACTCTTTTCAAGAAATTTCGACAACAACCTTGCGTTTGATAGGCAGTTATTGAAAATTGATCTGTAACCCAGCTTGCCTAAATGCAAAAAATTGAAATACTGATGAATAACTTGATAACCAGGCCTTGAGAAGTTTATGGTAAAGCTCTCTTCAACTCCACCCAAATAGGATAGCTGAAACTTCAAGTCATTTGGTAATAAACAGCTTGATCTCCAAACAACCCAGCCTAAACCGACAGATGTTAAACCAAATTTATGACCCGATGTATTTATTGAATGAACTCTTTTGATCTTGAAGTCCCATTTGAGTTTGGGGAACACAAATGGAGCAATCATAGCACCGGATGCACCATCAACATGAATAGGAATATCCAAATTGTGGTTTCTCTCATATATTTTATCTAACAAGTTTGAAATTTCTAATACATCTTCAAAACCGCCGGTATAAGTCGAGCCGAGAATAACAAAGATACCGATAGTATTTTCATCTATATTTTTCTCAATTTGGTCGATATCAATTAAATAATTTGAGTTTTGAGATACAGGAATAATTCTTGGCTCAACATCAAAATATCTTGCAAACTTTTCTAAAGCGACTTGAGCATTTGCACCCATTAAAATATTTGGATTTGAAAATGGTTTGTTTAATTTTTTCATTTTCGATTGCCAATTCTTCTTCAAAGCTAAACCAGCTAGCATTATTGCCTCGGAGGAACCAGTTGTTGCAGTTCCAATGGGAGAGTTCTTTGGATCTGCATGCCAAAGGGAAGATAAAATTGAGATGCATCTTTTGTGGATATCCATCAAGATTGGATACTCATCGTTATCGGCTAGGTTTTTGGTTATGTTTTGCTGGATTAATAAATCTGAATGATCCGAGATAAATGTGTTGACAAAACTTGCAAGATTTAACGTTGGGTTACCATCGAGATTCAAGTCATTGTGGATTAATTCATAAGCTAAGTTTGAATCTAAACCTTTATTAGGGATTTTATATTTGGATATGGAAAACAGATTTGAATTGAGATTTAAATTTGAAGATGACTCAATGTCAATGTCATTATTATTATTACTGTTGCGGTTATTGATAAAGGAGTATTTATTTGATATTTTTGATTTAATTTTAAAGTGATCATGATTTTTATGGATATTCTTATGTTTCAATTGATTTTCTAAAATCAATTTGGTTTCTAGTTTTTCAGGATCGATATGAGAATCTAAAGACATATTAATTGAAAATAAACCTGTATTAATAAAGATTAAGGAGATGAAAAAAACAAAAAACCATTGAGATAAGTCGAATTTATATAAAATTATGCAAAACTATTTGAAAATAAATAAAATTATACAAAATTAAACAAAATAGCAATTTTGTATAAAATGCATCAAACAAAAAGATAAACTCTTTGTTAGTCAAATTGAGTTGTGTTGAGCCGAATTGAGTTTGGTTAATTAAACATTGCTTGCTTTTTATAAATATAAAAATATGATTATTGTTTTTCTTTCAGTCACTTCTACCCCAGATTTTGAAAAAATTCAAAAAGTTTATTTCAAATCGTTTGCAACTTGAAAAAACTGTAGCTATTGCTCATGGAGCCTGACATAAGCACTCACTAAGCCAGTCCGCAATTTCTCATCTCGTCGGAAAACGAATTTTCTCACATGTTTAGAGGGCTACTTCCGCTCTCGCCGGTGGTACACGTGATTGCGATAGAAAGTAGTTTTGAGTGATCGAAGATAAAAAAACGATTGACGGAAAATCATCAGCTATATGTAGCATTAGACTGGTTAGTATTATTAATATTCCAAATATATCAAACTGTAAATGGTGATAAATCAGAGGCATTGGAGAAAAAAAATGAAATAGTATGGAAAACAATATAAGAAATTGACCAAAAATTCAAAAAAATTCAAAAGGGTAGACAAAATAAGAGAAAAAAGATAGCAGTGCAGGTGCACAGCGTTACCGGAGAGCGACGGAATTAAAAAGAAACGCAATCCATTGGACGAGGGCCGGAGAATGAGGACCTAGAGTTTGGAGCTTATCAGGAGCGGTGTCCTGAGTGCATTAACGGTTTGCTGAAAGGGGATCTGTGTGTCCTTGTCTGGAAAACACTTGAAGAGAAGATCATGTAAACTTTCCTACAGATAGTTAAGGTCTTGAGAGCGAATAGCCCAGAGTGCTATGAGCTTCATGGAAGTTTGCACAGAGAAATTCACGTCTTGTAAGCCTTTCATGTATTTAGCATATTTCAGATGGACACCAGCAGTTCAGATAGACATTTCAGCAGAACAAACCTCAAGGTTTATTATTTCCAACGTTTAATAATAATAATTATTATTCAGTAAGCGAAGAGATATTCTGTTATTGTTCATTGAGTCAGGTGCTTTTGCCCTTTAAAAGCGGTAGCTTCCGTGATCCAGGATGCTAATCGGGGACGGATCTGCTGCACCGGAGCTGCTGCGGACTAACCTTGAAGACTTTTAAAACCCAGCTGCACAGGGGTTCGGTGCTGTTCCGTTGCTGGGACTTGCTGGGTCGGAGTGTTAGCACATGCGCCGCTTAGGATGTGCCAGAGGGTGGTTATATTGCAAGAAGCTCGTGCTGGGTCACGCAGCTGGTCAGTACCAAATCAGAGAACAAACAGCAGCAGCAGAGAAACCGACGGTTGGTGGTGATTGGCACGGAATCCAAAACGGACCACCCTCTGGCACAATGTATTTAGGACCTGGATCCCTAATCCATTTTGATTGTGCGTCGAAACGCGTTTTCTTGCCCTCTTAGATAATATTATTCTAGCAGTTGATTTTATTCTGTTGGATCTTTTCTACTCAACTTCATTCATCTCTTTCTATCTTGTTACAATATTTATAATCAAAAGCTTCTGTTTAGCTTCCATTTAGCTCATATTCTTTTTTAATTCTTTTCTTTATTCTGGTTTAATTCATCTCTTATTCACCTATTTGGCTCCATATTGAACAGCTCAGTAAAGTCAGCAAACCAGTTAAAGTTGGTCCTCTTGAGTTTATTGTTTGGCCAAAACTGTCACTTAAAAACTATTAAATCTAATAAATTTCCTTTTTTTTCCTTTCTCGATTTATATTCCTGCAATTAAATCCATATTATCTACAATCATATTTACAATCCTACTAATCTATTTTCATCCCTATTAAATCTTATTAAATCGTATTGAATCTCTTTCTATTATACTGCTTACCTATTAATTAATACCTTACATAATCCCTTTTTTCTGCAAATTCTTTATCAATCTGGCTTATCAATTACCACTCATTTTCTCTTTTCAAATTACTCATATCTTTATGACTTCTTTTAATTAATTTTTTGAAAAAAAAGTACTTTCTTGTTAATATTATTAAATCCAAATAACAAATAACAAATAACCAGTATCAAATATCTACTATTAAATATTAAATAAATAATTTACTATCATTAAATCATCAAAGTATTAGAACAAAACATTAAAAAACGAAAATGAGTACTAAAATTACAACAAAAGATTCTTCTTTAATCTTAAATTCTTTACCAAACAACTCTTTGTCAACTATTTCGACTATCCAAAATAACAATAATAATAATAGTAATAATAACAACATTGATAATATTATTACCAACAATCATCAAAAAACTATTAATAACTCTAATAATAAAAACTTGAAATCAACTTCAACTCTTTCCTTTATTAAAGCAAACTCTTCTAACATTAAAAAAAATAACTTTGATTTAAAAGATGTATTACAAGATGAAACTTCTTATGAAATCTATAAAATGTACTCAAGTGCAAGACATAAATTACCTGATGCAACAAGAGTAACCAATCTAGCTTGGAGAATTAATTCTCTAAAATACTCAAAATCTTTAAAATTCTTCAATAAATTTAACTATAACTATCTAAATAATACCAATACTAATACTAATACTAATACTCCCACTATTTCCACTACTACTAATACTAATACTAATACAAATTCAAATTTTAATAATACAAATCCTTTAATCAATAAAAGAAAAATACTTAAACCAATTTCAAGAAAAAATAGCACTTTACAATCAAAATTTAATTACAATTTCAATAATCCCAACCCCAATAACATCAACTCAATTAATATCCCCATCCAAAATGACCTTGAAAAAGATCAAGACCAAGTAATAGATGATTTCGATTATGTAGCCCACATTAAAAAGATCTCTCAAGAAGAGAAAAACTACCCAATACTAAACAGTAAAAAAAGCATATCCCTATCTTCTTCAACTACTCCAACTGATTTAAACAACACTCCCACTCATTACTCTCCCGAATCTGCCTCTTTAACTTCAAACACAACCTCAATCTTCTCCTTAAAGACAACAACTCTTCCAAATAACCAATCAAATATTAAATTTAATCACATCAATAACACTATTAACAACAACAGCAACAATCTTAACAATGATGCCAACACGAACGCCAACTCAAACTCGAAAAGCACTAACGATGTTATCACAAATACTAATTCACTATCCCCTTCTACAATAACAAACAATATTAACAATCAAAAAATTACTAATAAAAATAGTTTTGATAATCATACTCTAAAATCTCATTCTTTTAACCAAACAAACGATCTTGATCTTGATAACTATGATCAATTTCAATTTGATTTTCCCTTTGATAATAACAATAGCAATAAAAGCTCAAATAACCCATCTAAAAACAACACTGATGAATATAATTCTAATTTCGAAAATTTATTAGATTTTTCCTCTTATTTTGCTGATAACGATATTAATAATGCTATTAGTAATTTCAATGAAAACAATAATAATCTCAATAGTAAAAACATCTCAAAAATTAATGAAATCAACGAAATTAACGAAATTAACGACGTTACAAGCTTCTTGGATTTCCCTGATAATAACGATCCAGATAACAATTTTCTCAATAACCAAAATAATATTAAAATTAATAATAACATTGCAAATAAAAAACATAAAGCTGATTCATTTTTAGATGTCGATGAAACTGTTAAATCTTCAATATCAAACTATATCAATTCGCTAGAATTGTCTGCTGTTCAATCTGATAATAACTCAAATAATGATTCCAACTCCGGCTCCAATCCTAAAATTAATAACAACAATAATAATATCAATACTGGAAAAAATTTCAAACTTAAAAAGGAAAATATCATCAACCATAGTCCAGTTCTTGGAATTCCAACAATAGCTAGATCAAATTCAAAGGTTTTTAATCACTCTTCTGCCTCTTCGGTAATTTCAAACGACTCATCTTCTTCTAAACAAGTTTGTTGTGCAAATTGCCAAACTAAAACAACTCCATTATGGAGAAAAACTGCTGATGGAAAATTATTATGTAATGCTTGTGGTTTGTTCTTCAAATTACATGGAGTCGTTAGACCATTAATTTTAAAAAACAATTTAACTCAAAAAAATAATAACAGTAGCAGCAATAGTCATTTCAATTTTTCTTCATCAAATAATCAAACTCCCATTTCAACTCCATCTTTTTCACCACCAAATCATTTTATTAACCAGTTCACTCCACCAAGTTCTAATTCAAATATAAATATGAATATGAACATGAACATCAATAATGGAATGAATAGTTTGGGTTTAAACGGACCAATGAGTATGAACATGAATCCAATAACTATGGGTCTGAATATGAACAATAATAACAATAACAATAACAATAACAATAACAATAATAATAATAATAATATGAGCAATATGAATCACTTTAATAATGTTAGCAATACCAATAACAATAATAACAATAACAGTAACAATACCAATAACAATAACAACAACAATAAAAACAACAGCAACAATAATAATAACAGATTTAATAATAAAAATAATGAATTAAATTCAAACAATAATTTCAGTTATTTTGATAGAGCTGGTAAATTTGGAAGTGCAATGCAAAATACTTCTCAAATTAATCCAATGAACTATCCTCCACCAACGCCAACACAAAATAGTTTTAATAGTAGCATGAACAACTCACTGAGTAGTTTTAGTAATATGAATCCTATGGGCATGAACATGGGTATGAATATGATTAATCCAAATAACATGAATGGCATGAGTAATATAAATGTAAACAATATGAGTATGAATAGAAATTCAAATAAGTACAAGAAATCATCAAATTTACCTGATACAGATAATAATTTTATGAATTTTGATATGATGTTGTCAATGGATAATGAAAATGATATTGATAATAATAACAATAGTGATAATGCACTAAATGTTGGTGGAACAACAGAAAATCCACCATCAAGTGAAATGGTAGGAAGTGAATGGGATTGGTTAAAATTATCAATATAATTATACATGGTAATCCAAATCAATTTTTTTTTCTGAATTCTAATCACGAATTGTTAATTATTAAATTATTTTTATGTTTTTATGTTTCATTTTTTTTTCCTATTTATGCATGTTTTTTTTTCTTGTTTTCATTATTCTATTGTTTTAAAGTATTTTAAATTGTTATTTTGGTAACCAGGTAATTCCAAGTATTTATTTTTAAGAATTTCTTATCCTTTCTTTTAGTATGTCTTTCTTTTTAAATTTTTTTAACATTATCAACGTTGATAAAATGAAGCCAATATTCCTACATTGTTATTTTTATTATTTTTATTATTTTTATTATTTTTATTTATATTTTTTTTACATTAAGTTTTTTGAATTATATTTTCAGATAATTTTTGTTTTCACAGTTATTACTTTTGTGTATTTCTGTTCTTATTTTAATTTTAGTTTTACTTATATTTACAATCTTACAATCTCTTTTGGTTTAATTGCCTACTTTAATTTAATCCCTTCAAGTACTATTGTTGAGTAAACATTTGCTTCTTTGCTTTCACCATCTCATTTACCTATCTGTTTATATTTAATTACCTAGCTAAGAACAAAAAGCGTTAAGAGCATGAATGCTTTTTAGATCAAAACTACATACTCAAGAATTACTTAAACGTCACAGTTATATAGTTTAAATTTTTCACTAGCTAATAGATGAACTTCTACGATTTTCTGGAAAACGGAAATAGCGCGCATCCGGAGCGAGCGCCATGGATTATTCCCGCAAAAACATGGAATTAGTACGGTAGTGGAAAAGTGCGGATATATTTCAGCACGGAGATACACCCGGAAACACCTGGAAATTGTCGGATTAAAACGGATAAAACACCCAAACATCTTTGAAGGCTACCCTACCACGCACTTTTTTCAACTGGAATAATGAAAATTGGAGAAAGGTGAAATTTTGATAGAGAAGCATACCGGATTCTATATTGTCTTGTTGTTTTATTCAGTTCTTTCTTTTAGTTTATATTATACCTTATAAAAATGCCTGTTGACCTTGAAAAATTAGCTAAACTTAAGAAAGCTACCAAAGTTGGTATGTATCGATTGAGATCTTCAATTTTGTCCAATTATCTGCACTAAAGAGATCAATTTACTAACAAGCTCGTGTTTTTGTAGGGTATGTTTTTACTATATATCACTCATGAAAAAATAAAACAATTCAATTAATTGAGTGTTTTATGTTAATCAAAATTCAAAATAACACTGTTAATTTAAAAATTGATTATTTGAAAATTATCTGAAAATAAAACCAAAAAAATTGAGTCAAAGTTATATCCTTCAACCTGCATTAAAATTGAAAATTAGTATTAAAAAAATAACAAAAACCCAGATTTAAAATTAATTTTTTTGAAAATAATATTATTGTTTATTAGATTTAATAAATGAGAGAAAGTAAAATTTTTCGACAAGAAAAAAGATATCAGTTGATTATCATAGGATCATTTAATTGGGTTATAGTAAATTTTGTTTTAAAAATAAAATTAAACAAGGTTTTTTCCTATTTGTATTTTGGCAATGAATTATAAATACTAATTACTCTTTATTTATTCTATAGTGGTTCTCGTCGTAAAGCTAAGAAGATTTTCAAAGATGATGCTGATGATTCTAAATTACAAACAGCTCTCCGTAAATTGAACTCTCAAACTTTAGATGGTGTTGAAGAAGTTAATTTTTTCAAAGAAGATGGTAACGTTTTACACTTCAACAGAGCTTCAGTCCAAGCATCTATTCAAAATAATACCTTTGCAGTTCATGGTCGTCCCCAAGAAAAACAATTAACTGATTTATTACCAAATATTTTACCTCAATTGGGTTCTGAAAATTTGGAAATTTTAAGGCAATTGGCTGAAAATATCCAAAAACAAGGTGGTTTAGGTGATGCTGCAGCAGCAGCTGGTCTTAACCCAGGCGCAGACGCTAATGACGATGATGATATTCCTAACTTAGTTGAAGGTGAAAATTTCGATAAACAAGTCGATTAGATAAAATCCAATAGTTAAATGAACTTGAAACCAATTTAAATTTTTTAATTTGTTTTTTTCTTTGTTTATTTTATATCTTTAATACAACATCATTATCAAAAAAAACTATGAAAATATGAAAATGTGAAAATCAGAAAATATAAAAATAATAATAAAAACTAAATAATGGTTATAGTTTTAATACTAATCACAAAATAGTTGATAAATTAGAGAAATGATTGAAATGATTGAAATGATTTGTTTAGACTTTGCTTCTTTTTTTTTAACTTTTTCTTTGATTGGCTTGCTTGGTTATCTAGCTTATCGATGTACTTGATCTGTGAATAATTAGTTTTTTTAATTAAAACACTCGTTAATAAAATTTTAATTTAGGTAATTTAAATTCAAATCTTATATTTACGTTGAAATTTCAAATTTTCTTTTGATTATAAATCTAACTGAATTAGGACCCACTGCTTTTTTGTAATACTTCTCTAGTACTTGAATTATTTGGATTCATCTTTTTTGAAAAATTTCCGCAACTTGACCCCAAAACCCAAAAAGAAATTTTATCTCAGGCAAGAAATTTTTATCTTCAGTGTCATCTTCACTTGTTGCTATCGTTTATTTTACCCACAGTCGCAGTTCAAAAACACTCATACTTCAACTTGAAATGAATTCCATCGATAACTCACCAGAGAAAGAAATCACCAAAGATGGTGCTCCCCCCACCCTCAAATACAAAGTCTGCTGCAGAAGGTGTCGCCAGATACTAGCACTATCAACACAGATATTGGAACACGAAGTGCCATCTTCAGACTCCAAACAGTCGAGGTTTGGCAAAGGCTCCAGCTCCAGAAAGAGTACCACTAACCATTCTGCGTCGTCAAACACCTGCTTCCACTACTTTCTCATCGAACCCTTGAACTGGATGAAGGACGAGCTTGTTGGCAAAGCAGAGCTTGAGGGAAAATTGTTGTGTCCCAACCGCAAGTGTCAGAACAAAATTGGGGGCTACAATTGGCATGGCTCCAGATGCTCCTGTGGAAAGTGGATTGTGCCTGCAATTCAGTTGCAAACAGCCAAAGTTGACAAGGTCCAGATGTTCGCTCTTCCTCTTCGTTCCCAGGCCCAGATTTCTCTGGAGAACAGGCTTTTGAAATAACTCAAGAACCAAATTCTCCAGAAACAGCTCAAGAAGCAAAGATTCCGGTACTTCACGTGATCACATACTTTTCCTCTTCAGAATCAGCAAAGACAGCAAAAACAGCTTCAGTAAACCAGTTTTGCCATCTCCAAACACCAATAAACGTCTTTTCTTCATGTTTCTTCCCAATCTTGTTCCAAAACATACCCAGCATCTATGGATGGATGAGGGCTCTTCTTCCAACTACAGATACTTGAGAAAAGGAAGAGACCAAGCTGATGACAGGTTGATGATATTGCAACAGCAGCACTGCTCCCAAAACAGTGCACGAAACAATCGATTGCCTCTGCAATTACAGTCTTTGCCTCAAAATGTTCCTTTTGCTCCTCCATTATCGTCGTATTCTTCTGCCCAGGTTGGTGCAATGCTTTCCAATAATCCATTATCGTTGCCAAAAACTTCCTCTTCTTCAATTTTTGACCAGGAAATTCAATCAAGAATATCTTACTTAAACTCTATCAAAACGCTTGGTTATGGCTATATAAAACCTCTAGGTATTGGAAAAACAATGCAAACTTTAATAGAGGAAAAACAGTCATCAGAACAAAATAGAAAACAAAATCAGGATATAATGGCCACTGCTGAAGTCGTTTCCACTGATACAAATGATTTAGATGGGGCACAGGCTGAAGGTACAGCGAATAATTCTGATATTACAAATGTTTTGAATAATACTCCAATGCTTGATGTTGGTAATGACAGACTGCAAGAGATAGATCTCGATGCTAATATATCCGACCAGGATGATTTTATCAGCAATAATAATATTAGTAATAACAGCAATATTAATGATAACAGTAATGGCGACGAAGAAGATGATGATTTTGACATTAATAATAGCAATAACATACAGAATAGTGATGATTTAGATGAATTTCAAACTGATGAAAGTGATACTGACGATATCATTCCTCATCGACAAACTCGACAAAATAGACTAAACTACAGAGATTATGGTTTTAATTATGAAAATTATGATTCAAATATTCATGATATAGCAACTCAGGATGATTTCATGGCTGCAGATGAAGAATATGAGACATCAAGTGATAATGAAATTTTAAATTCAAGTAATTCAAAACTTGGCTCGTTACCAACTGTTTCTCGATCAGCCTTTCCAAACACTTATTCTTCAAATCAATCATCTCATAATATGAACAATAATAACACTAATACTCCTAGTACTTCCAATACTCTTAATACTTCTAATAATAATAATAATTCTAGAAATAATAATAATGGTACAAATAATAATACTTCAAATATTATCAATAATAATCACAATAATTATAATGCTCATAATAACAATAATTTGAATATTGATAATATTACAACTGATTCAAACACTGACTCAAACAATAATAGCAGTAATATTATTATCAATATTGATCATATTGATCATATTGATAAGAATAATGGTCTTAATGAACATAGTACTATAAACAATACCATCAATAATACCATCAATAATATTAGCATTAGCTCTCTTCAAAATGAAAACAGTAGTTTTCAAAGCATTGATGAAGCCTCGACATTAAATGATGAAAATAACCCTGATTTGGTCAATGACTCCAGATATGAAAGAGCTGATCTAAGTGCTTTTCATGAGACTGAAACTGAAATGATGATTGATGATGATTAAAATATTCATTAAAACAACTACGGAAACTTTTTAATATGTATTTTATTGTACATTTTATTCTATATATATATAACTATATAAAGTTATACCATATTATATATTAAAGAATATATAAATTAAATTATTGTTGTTTTTCATTAAGGTCATCTTTGGATAAATCTAGATTGTTAAATAAAGTCGAAGTTGGACCTGATACTCCACCATCTAATCTTATAGATGATAATAAATTTTTTAGAGCAGAGAATTGGCTTGTTAAATCACTCTCTTTTAAATTAAAGACTCCATTCTTATCTCCCTCAACCCCTGTGTTACTATCATAGTCATAATAATGATCACTACTTGAGTCGGATTTATAATCTGATTCATCATTATAATCTTGTATATTGAGTTCTTTTTTTTGTTTCTTCAATTTGGTTGTATCGTTATTTTTTAATGATGAGGAACCTGTTAATGAACGATAAGCATCCAAATCTTTCATTGGAATTTGTAAAGCGTTTGTTAGAAAATACTCAAAAAAGTCATCTTCATCGATATCCACTTTTTCACTTCCTAAATATTCTCTTGCCTTTTCAACTTCAGTTTTAGATCTTTTATCATAATCAGAGAAAGAAGAAGAGGAAGAGGATATGGAGTTTGATGATCTCACCTCCACACCATCTAAACCAGCTCCAGTGTCATCAAAGAAATCATTTAATTTATTAAATACATTTTTTTGATTAATGTTTTCAGTCTCATTAGAATTATCAAGTATATCATCATTAGTTGATACGTCAGGATTTGAAAGGACTTTTTCAGTTATTATTTTGGAATCAATTAATTTTGATTGTAAAGGATCAGAATCAATGAAATTATTAAAATTTATAATTTGAGAATTAGATAAATTATAATCTTGGAAATCAAATTTATTTTTATCTATGAATTTATTTAATTCTGGATATAACTGATTTGATATTATATTATCCAAACCACTTAAAAGAGCATTACCCATTTTATATTGAAGATCTATATCCTTATCATCATCAATATAATTTTGAGAATCAGATGAAGCAGCTTTTGAATTGATGTAATATTGAAGCATATTGTAAGTTAAAGCAGAAGTTTTAAGATTAACTGGAACTAGATTTTCTTTTCGAAAGTTATTTGAAAAATTTTTAGAAACTGTATTTGTTGGTAATTTTTCTTTTATGAAGAAAACAAAAGATTTTGATACTAAATTAAATAAATTTAAAAATTCATGATTATTAATATTATTATGTGTGATTAATTTCAAATCTGTCTCATTAATTGGGTTCTTCTTTTGAAAATAATTATTATAGGTTAATAAAAAATGGAATAAGTCTTTTTGAATTCTAACGGTGAAGGAAATTATATTTTGTAAAGCATAAACCTGATAATTATTTAATTTGGTGATAATTTTATTATTAAAATCATTTGAAAGGTTCAATTTAAAAATAAAATTATTTAAATAGTATAAACTCTGGTTTAACGTTAAATTTTTATCCGGATTGAAATCATTGGGGATTATTTTTAAATTACCATTATTCAACCAAATTCTATTAAAAGAATTTGAGGGTTCTAACCAGATTGGAATATGATCTGCAGCTTCAATTAATAGAAAAACTCCATCAGAATCAAAAAAATTTATAAACATATCATTTTTATTATAGTTATCACTGTCAATCTTTGAGAATTCAAACAAAAGATAAGTTAATAACCATTCGTCAATTAGATAGTCATCAAATATTAATTCAATATAAATATAATTATAAGAATGAAAAGTGGAACTTGATGTGTTGGATTTGAAATCTGTAACTAGGAAAACCTTAACCGATGAGTCGTACCATGGATAGTAATACAACCAAGATTTCAAGTAAGTGAATAAATTCTGATGAATTGTTTCCAATATCGACCTGTTCTCAGCATCTGGAAGATATGGATTAATATAGAAGAGTGTGCAGCATAGCGAGCTGGTTTCAAAGGGAAATGTGTGGTTAAGTGTCTCTGAAGGCAAGGTCCAGGGAACCTCAGGTGAAGGTCTAACCAATTCAAACATTTTGGAGTATTTTCATTGTCTGTTCTTCTCACCCACAATCAGCAAGAAAATGATCCTTATTAGATAGCTTCTTTCAACATTAATCAAAATATTTTTCAGATAATTTTCTCTATTTTTAACCACAAACCCAAGAGCAGTAGCGTTGCTTCAGTAGCTCAGTCGGAAGAGCGTTAGTCTCATATAAGCATAGCTTAATGGGTTATCTGAAGGTCGAGAGTTCGAACCTCCCCTGGAGCACGTTGTTTTTTACTTTTTATTATTATATTGATGCCAGTGTGATGGGTACACGCACTATCACGCAAAGCTCAAATCTTAAATGCAATAAATTTTGAACCGTTTTTAAAATTTTTCTATATTGATCTCAGATTATAATCTAATAATTCCTTTAATTGGTGCAAGCATTGGAAATATTCTATACAATAATCTGATTTTATTACCAAATGACCCGGGAATCATATATTTCCGATTGCGTTGAAGCCTTGTCGGCTCAGGAGCCAATTCAAGTCATAAAACCATCACTTGAAGAAAGAATTTGTGGTGTTGTTAATCAGAAAGACTCTAGAATAGGGAAGGACTCTCCTTTTACCTTTGGACAAAGATATCTCACTGATAAAGAAGCCATTTGGGACCATAATGCCTGGGATCATGTTGAATGGGGTGATGAACAGATAAAAGAAGCAGAGCTGAAAATTATGAAACATTATGAAAACCCTGTGGATGATTGCCAAAAATTTCTTTTTAATAAAACACCAGAAAAATTTTGGGATATCTTTTATAGAAATAATAAAGAGAATTTTTTCAAGGATAGAAAGTGGTTGCAAATCGAGTTTCCTTTATTATATCATACAACAAATGAGCTTTATCAGTCCCCAATATCAATTCTTGAAATTGGCTGTGGTGCTGGAAATACTTTATTTCCTGTTTTAAGACAGAATAAGAATCCAAATTTAAGAATTATTGGTGTGGATTATAGCAAAAATGCCATTAATTTAGTCAGATCTTCAGAGGAGTTTAATACAAAATTTGCAGATGCTTTTGTTTGGGATTTAGCTAATGAGAATTTCGAATTACCTGAAACTGTTGAACCTAATTCCATTGATATTATTGTAATGATTTTTGTTTTTAGTGCTTTGCATCCAGATCAATGGAAGTTTGCAATTAATAATTTAAAAAAATTGATTAAACCTGGCGGAAAGATTTTATTTAGAGATTATGGTAAATATGATTTAGCACAAATTAGATTTAAGAAAAACAGATTATTAGAAGACAATTTTTATATTAGAGGCGACGGTACCAGGGTTTATTTTTTTTCAGAAGAAGAATTAAGAAATATTTTTGTTAAAGATGCTGGATTTGTTGAGGAAAAAATTGCTACTGATAGAAGATTACTTGTTAATAGAAAGAAAAAATTAAAAATGTATAGAATCTGGTTACAAGCAGTTTTTGCTGCCCCTGGATTATTGCAAACAAACTTGGAAAAAAATGAAAAAAACGAAAATAAAAATAAAAAAACTAGCAATCAAAAAGTAAAAGAAACAAAAGAGGAATCGATACTAAGCAAATTTTCTTATAATAGTGATGACGATGAGGATAGTGACGATGATGATGGATGCACTCCTCCTATTTCGTGTGGGTGTGGGTGTGACCATCCAAGTCATAGTTATCAATTATAATTAAGAACTGGAATTAAGTAATTTTAGGGTTAATGATCATGGTTTGGATTTTCACTAACAATAAACTATAATAACTAATAAGTAATTGAAAAGATCATTTATTTTGCTTTAATTTTATTATCGATTTTTTTTTTCTTATTTTCAAATATTTTAATTAATATTATGAATTCATTAAAATGCATATATGTAAAAAACCATCTAAATATGTCATAAGATAATATAATTCACAAATTGGCACATTTCCTGGAACAATTATGCCTTGGATTAAAGGAAAAGCATATTTATAGTTCGGGTCATTTTTGGAAAATAAATCTGGAAGCCATTTATTTAAAACATCTTTTATTGTTATTTTTAAATTTGTTTCAGGGTCTTTGGGCTCAACCAATTCTTGCAATATAAAGTTTGATGATGAATATGGTAAATAAACCTTTACAGGGACATGTTTTAAATCAGTTGAAACGGGTGGTAATATTTTTTTATAGAATATTGAATTAAATTGAGAAAAATCATGGGCTTTAACACTTTCCCATAAACTTGATGAATCGACTGTTGACAATGACATGATAGGTTTTGCACTTGAATGTTGTATATAGCAAGCTTCTTTGATCTGATTTACCCAAAATTTTTCCATAAAATCCAATTTAATCTGCGGTATAAGAAAATCAGTTGGATAATTATTGAAATGAATCTTTAGATTCCAAACATGAGCATTCAGATCTAAACCCTGATTATTGCTATCATTATTGAATTTATCGATGTTACTACTGCTGTTGTGAGTGTTTCTTCTTTGTCTTTGCTTTACTAGTTGTTGTTTTTTTAGATAATTATATCTTTTTTTAATAAAAGTTGATCCAACCAAATAATCATATAACAAGCCAATTGGATAATTCCATTTGATAGGAATATCTTCAAATTCCAACCATAAATTTAATTTTAATCGTTCAAAGGTCTGTTCGGTCGCAAAATTTAAGTATGGTTTAAAAAATTTCAGAAAATCGTCATAGTATAGTGGTAGAAACGAATTTCTTTTGGCTGTCAAGTAATAAACTGGAGATTTGTGGTGGTGAATGTTCAAGTCTAATGGTGATAGTCTAACTGATATTTTGATAGTGCCCTTCCATATTCTGTCTATCACATCAAGATCCGTGGAAGACAACATCTCCAAGGGATATTACTGTGGTATTTACCTTGAATGGTCTTCAGTTTGGGGTTTTAGAACCTTGTCTAGTGTTGACACATAAAAATAAAATGATAGTTCAGCATTTCATACAGAGCTACTCTTCCTTCCAGTTACCTCTAGCCTTACGGTTAGGGCTCCACTTAGGGCTCCACTTAGGCGGTGTTGATTATTGTTTACTGATCCTGCTGCTTGTGGTGCCTAGAGTATAGCTACCAGCACAGCTTGTTTCCTCCCTTTTGCTTTATTCAGAAAGCTTTTGTTGACTCTTAGGCTCTACATGGCTGTTGATTTCATAGATTAATTGTTTTCAATCTGGTAGAAGCACTTTAGTGGTGAGATCCAAATACTTCCATGCTAATAACTCAGGAAGAACAGTTGCATCTCAAGATCATCACAGAGCATCATCTTGAAAATAGTTGTAAAGGTGGTTTTGGAAGGTGTTTTCTACCCAACAGTAATCATAACTGAAGAGTCATAAATAACAATAGAAACTCATAAAAATCGTTTAAAAAACCTGAAACACTTAAATGAAAAATTAGTTTTTAACCCCAAAATTTATTAGAATGAGTCAAATTTTAGATTGGGTAATAGGAAATTGAAAATTTATTTCTTATAATATTCAATTAATTTATCTGATCAGAGTGAAATTTAGCAGAAAACAGCATCTGTCAAAAATCCAAATAGTCTCTACATAAATTTCAATTTTTATTAAGATATTCATCCATTGGTTTTGGTATAAAATTTAAATCATTTTTTATTACAACACAATGCAGCACAGAACAATAGAATTAGCAATTAGAAAATAAAAAATCTAGAATAAATCATAAAATAAAAAAAAAACTGTTTAAGAGATGAAACAAATAAACTTGAATTGCAAAAACTATAATTTCTCAGATATATTATAAATATTATTTGATAATTATGCTAGATCTTATTATTTTAATTTGATTTTAGTTGTGCTCTTTATTCAATTAATTTATTATAAATTAAATTAAACTAAACGGCAATCAGATTTCACCTAAAATGTGATGAAGATAATTTTTGGAAACTCTAAAAGGTTATAAATTGAGTTCACAGTTAATTTTTCAGCTTAATATTTAAGGACATTATCAGCTTTTATAGATATAAAAAAAATGGTGTATAGACTGGTGTGTAATGATAATGAACGCTTTGGATTGAAACTGGTAAACTGTAACTTGTGCTGTGTGTTTTATTGAAATAGGTGAAATTTTGTGAAAAATAATCCAAAAGCAATAATTTTTATCACTANATTGAAGAAAAATAAGATAACATTGATAGAGAAGCCTGAAACGCAAATTAAATTTTATATTAATAACATATATTTTATTTTTGTTGATATATTATACCATTCGAGAATGAGCAAATTATCTTTAGTTGCTTTCACAATAGCAACAAAACCTTTAACAAAACCCGAAAAAACATTTCTATAAAATAAGGTAGTGAGACCNGACTTATTACTCGAAACGGCAGCTGTTATAATCTGCATGTACAGGTGGATAACACCGGCAATCCAACTCATTGCAGCTTCATTGCTTTTATGTATAAAACAAAACTGTTTAACATTGTTGATATAAATAGAAGCTTGAGTCGTTGACTGAAAATGCTATAAACAATAAGAAGTGAAAAGAAAAGTCAATTATAGCTTACAAACATGCACTTTTTCAATTTCTGGAACAATAATATTCAATATAATTCCAATATACTGGATGACTTACCCAATGTATTGGATGGTTTGCCGATTTTTATTGTTCAGCGTATGTTATATGATATACCAATTGACAAAGTAGTTTCTTTCACATTATCAAACAACCCATTACTAAAAATAAGTGCATATTCTGTACTTTTCGATACAGTTGAAATCATTGGTGAAAGATTATCATCAAAATATGTGACAGTCATAAGAAGTCAATGTCTCCCACAATTAAAACAGCATTTAGTTTTACAAATTAATAATGCTTCATTATTCAGAAACGAATTGAGATGGTATACAAAGCAGTTGATTGTGTATACTACAATAGAATCAAATTTATTGAGCAAAGCTAAGTTCAGACTTCCTACAGTGTTTGAATCTTTACAGCAAACGACTCTATTGATATTTTTTGAAACTAGATGCCCAAATGAGATTTCTATTGTTGAATTCGATGTTACAGATACCATGAAATATTACAAGTTGCTATTTCCATCCGATCAAAGCAAATGGCAAATATCTCGGACCTTAACAAAAAAAGTACAAGATGACCACAAGTATAAATTATTTATATTTGAGCGAATTAAATCAAAAACAAATCCCTATTGTTNACAACATATTACAAAGCAATTAAACATCTCCAAACAATTTGGGAGCTCTATATTGTTGAATTTGAAGCATCTATGTTTGTTTGGTCTAAATATTTGGTCAATTACTCAATTACCACTTCTAATAAGCTTGAATTCACTTGATCTTTCCAGCAATTGTCTAAATATGCTCACTGATTTGAACAATTTGTGCAATTTGGTTGACTTAAATTTGTCCAATAATCAATTCAGCATCTTTCCTGATTTAGAGCCATGTCTCAATTTGTTGAATCTTGATTTATCATTCAATAAATTAAGTGTTTTTTCAAACGTTTGTTTATACAATTTGAAATCATTGTTATTGACATACAAAAACATTAACAGAATTGATAATTCCAATACACTCCCAAAGTTATTAAAACTTGATTTAGAGAATAATAAACTATCCAGTACTGATAACTTGGAGCAGTTTCCTTTATCAAGTTGGTTGAATATTCAAAGAAATATCATATCTAGTATTACTAATATAGGCTTTCCTGAAAACTTGTAGGTTATCTATTCGGAAAACGAAATTGCAGATTCAATAAGATTTCAAGAAAGATTAGCAAACTTAAAATCATTGAAAATGCGTTTGGAGATCCCAGATAAAATTATAAAATTCCCAACATGGATTGACTTAGTTTTATTGAACTTGACAATACATCTGAAAGAAAATCTAACTCGATACGGTAGTTTTCCAAAATTTGACCAATCTAAAAAAATTAACTGTATTTACTGTTGATATTAAAGATTTCAAAATTCCAGAACAGTGGGGTAATTTGAAATTTGTAAGAATTCATTGTGATGAACCTATCCAAAGTTTAGATTTGACGAATTTGTCAAAAATAAAAACGTTGTATCTATGGGGCAATCACATTAAAAAAACAATAAAAACACAAGCGTTGAAATCGTCAGCTGATACAGATCATAATCTAAGTAGACCCTCCGAAACTAATAATTCCAATCAAATTAGTAAGGTATTAAGGTTGAATTTAAGTTGGAATAGGATTCGCAAAATGGAAAATTTTGAAGATTTAATAGCTTGAAATCACTAAAGAAGCTAAATTTAGAATCGAATCAAATAAAAAAAATTGAAAATTTAAATAATCAACATAATTTAGAAGTGTTAAACCTTTTATGTAACCAAATTTTTAAACTAGAAAGCTTATCTGGGTTAACAAATTTGAAAAGACTAGATTTATTGGAAGACTGTATCACAAAAATTGAGAGATGTGAAAGATTAAAAGAATTAGGAGAATTGAATAGAGAAGGGAATTGAATAGAGAGGGGAATAGAATTGAAAAGCTAACCAATGATCTAGGTCCAAAATTCGAATTTCGGAATAATGCATCTAACCGAGAAACTACCGAAAAACCTGAAAAACCTGAAAAACCTGAAAAACCTGATAATATGAGAAAATCTGTGTACTATGAAAATAGAATCACATATTCCGAGGGCTTAAAAAACCTTCCAAAGAGATGCCAAAAAATTGATGAAGCTCCAAATGTTAATAAATTTTCGGTCAACAGTTTATCAATTCTCGAAGCTTTGTGTGAACCATGAAATTTACAATCTCTTTCCCTTTTTAATCTGTTATATTTTTAGTCTGTTATTGTGTTNGCGAGATATTCCATCTTCAAAGCCTGGATTCTTCTATTTATTTATTTTTAGTCATTTTTATCAAATGCAATTCTAATCTTCAAGTGGCAAACCCGATCCAACTCTATCCAATTCTAGAAGTGGCCACAACAAAAGCAAATCCACATCAGCTCTCATCGTATGGCCAATTTGGGAATGGCCACTTTTGTCATGTTGTGGGCTCTTTCCTAATTGGTTTCAGCATCTGGGCTGGATCCTGCAGCTATCACCTAGAATACACTTTACTTGTTGCAGAATACTGCAGAATTCTGCTGCAGAAGCTATTTCTAGTTGGTCGATCCATGCGATGTGCTCAACCATGCAGTGAAAACGCTACTTCAATATATCAATCGTTGATAATTTTCAGCTGTTTTAAAAGTGTTTCTAAATGAGAAACACGATTTTCGTTTAATGTAGGAACCGTGAAAGAAACAAAAAAAACATTTAATGCAAAAGGGCTGCACTGCTATTTATTTGTATTGGTTTTACAACTACGACAAAATGGTTGTGGCCTTACAAATTATAAGCGCCATCCTTAGCTTTAGGTTTCTATTTGATTACGCTGACAGAGTTTTCTCTTTTATGGTGTTCTATGGCATCTATAAATTTCTATTAATTTTTAATAAAAAGACAATAGAATATAAAGTAGAAAAAGAAAATAAAATATTGAAAATTGGTATGTTAAAATATGCTTGATCACCTCAACAGTGTTTGAATTTCTATCACTCACATAATTTAATTGGTTAAAATGTAGAAATCCAATTTTAAAATTTGGTATTAAAGTTGGGAATCCACTAAAACATGAATGGAAAAATATGCAAAAACTAAAATGCATAAACGTAAAAAACATTAAATGGAGTGAAGTTTTTAAACAAACTAAGCTTGAAACACCAAATCAATTAGAAGCAAATAGAGATACCATAAATGTCTCCACCACCAGAAATCCCAGTTATGATTTTATTATTTTTATCAAAATGTTATCATATTGGATTGAAGAAAATGTATTTCCAGAAAATGCACTTGATCAGTTGGCAAATCAATTGTCATTTATTTATTTTTTCCGTGTATATATTTTTTCTGAATGTGTATTATTCAAAACGTTTAATTGCTAGCTCTGTTTTGAATCAAATTAAAAGCAAATTTCCAAACCATCATACATATAATCAAATCCTTAAAAGCAGCTGGAACATAACCACGGAAGAAATCGAAGCACTAAATTTGGTAACAATGGATGAAACCCTTAGGGTTTTCATTCGAAAAACAAGTAAATTCATTGAAAATTATTTTATCTCTGCTGTTTTTAAATCAATAACTGGCAGCAAATTTAATGGTTTTTCAACATCAAAGTTTATATATTTAAACAAGAAGTTTAAAAGTATTCAATTACTATTCGGAGGATTGTCTTCGTATATTTTGTTAGTTCAGTATCTTCCATTGGTAATCGAATATGCTAAAGAAATAACAGGTTATATTGGTGCTAATTATCACAATTTAGACGGAGATGTTAGTATCATAGAAGCAGCCTTAGGTGGTTTTAGGTGGATAAACATTTCCACGCAATTGGATGCTGTTGAATTGTTGAAAGGACCAGGAGTAATTGATATTAAAAGAATAAAAGAGCTTCTTGATCTTCAAGCTGAGCTGGAGAAGTGAGTGTTTTTTCACCACTTTTTCTCAACTCGATTCGATTATATCAATGAGGTGATGATGTTAACTCCTAAAGGAAATTTCGAATTAACTCAAATTCGAACCTCTGATTGTTTTTCTAATTTTTCTTAAAGTTTGGTATTATTCAATTTTGATTTTGCTTTAATAATTTGCCACAATAATTATTTTTTTGTATTTTGCTTTAATATTTTGCTTCAATAATTTTTTTTTATTTAATGTTTTATCATCAAGCTCGTTATTTAAAAACAAATTATTTATTAAAAATTAAAAATCAAAAATTAAAAATTAAAAATTAGTATACACTTGGTGGAATTTCTTTTATATTTAAATCATGTCATATATTATAAGATGGAGTTGAATGAAATATCCTCCTTAAGCAGATGTATGCTTGTTCTTTTTCTTATTTTCGTCTTTGGCTTTCAACAAGCTCTGATGAAGATACCGAAAATCATCAATGCTATCTTCTTTAAAATTTTCTTTAGAATTCATGTTATCATGGTCTTCAGTGTGTGTTTTTTCAGTAGCCAAAAGCAAATTTTTCACACCATTGATTTCTTCATAGTCATTATCCAATATTTGAGAGTTATCACTAAAACTTAAAAAATTTGTATTATTAAGATTATTAAGATTATTCAAACTGTTAAGGTTATTCAAATTGTTAAGGTTATTCAAATTATTGTTGGGAAATTCTTCTTCGTTATCGCTTTCCTCTTCTTCAATGATAAAACTTTTGCTAACTTCTTTATCATTCTTAGATAGAGAAAACTTTGTTCTTGGTTTAGCTGGAAGATTGTATAAATGAGCATGTGGAGTTCCCAATGGCGATTTTTTTCTTCTAATATATTCATTGCTTGAGTGAATTGCTGTGGTTTGATATGAGCCTTTAGATCGGCCTCGTGGAATTGAACTTGAGGAGCTTTTGTTGGGACGATGGCGATGTCTTGTGGATGCTATAATAGAAGTAGAAGATGATGATGAATAATCTCTTTGCAATTTTCCTTTGCCTTTGCTTTTTGTGGAACTTGATGAGTTTTTGCGTAAATTTACTGGGGTATTTGACCTGGGATTTCTATTAAAAAAAGGATCTGGAGAAGAAGTTCTAGAATCATAAAAGGATCCTTTAAGTGAGGATTGTTCTGAGGTGTCTGTTGAATTTGATACCAAAGATAATGTCCCTTTATGCTTTGAATTTAAGGAGTAATCTGAGGATAATCCTCTTTGAAAAAGTGGGCGGTTATTATTTGATGTTGTGGTTGATGTATCTTGGGAATAATTTGTATTATAAGAATATCCGGAGTTTTCTGACATTTGCGATAAAGTTGAATATTGGGATATAACAGACGCAGGTCTTCTTTTATTTCCTAAATTTTTAGGATTCACACTATCATCTGCAGACAATAAATTTGGAGTTAAAGATGTTGGTTTTTCCTTGAGAGTATTTTCCTCAAAATAAATATGTTCACCTGACTTTTTATTGTTGTTCAAAGTGATGTTACTATCTTTGTTACTAGATCGAGTGATGACATTATTATTTAGATTATTTTTGGTTCCCTGTTGGCCTGAGAGAGTCTCTTGGTCATTGGCATTAGGCTCTTTTATGTTTCCATTAATATTATTAATTATGTTGGAATTGTTTATCAAAGGTCTGCGAATTTCATTACTGGTTAAGGATATCGGTTCCTTAAGCTTTATTCTTGTGACAAGTGGATTCTTAGTGTTATTGTTACTATTGATGTTGCTATCTAATGAAGTTAAAGTGCTTTTTTCACCATGTATTGTATTATTACTACTAATTTTACTTATATCGCTTGAGCTTTTATTTTGTTGTTGTTTAGCTGAACTAGATAAGAATAATTTTGGATTATTGTGTTTTGAAATACGAAGATTAAAAATATTTCTTTCTTTGTTTCTGTACAAGTCGTTATTACTATTTTTGCTATTAATGAAATATCGCTGACCATTTGGTTTCGTTAAGTTGTCTTTATTACTCTTTATACTGTTGTTATTGCTGCTATTGCTACTATTACAGTTGTTATTATGATTATTATTGAACAGTATTTGATTGATTTTATTATTATGATTGTTATTCGAGTTTGAATGATGCTTTGAAGAAAAGAGATGAGATAATTTTTTTATTAAATTTGACTTTGCTGGTCTTTTTGGAGATAGAGAAGTGACATATTTGAGATCACAAGAGGATGAGTTGCTCGTAACTTCTGAGCTTTTTGCAAGACTATTATTTGAAAATTTTGAGTGGTCAATATCAAGATTTTCTTTATCATTGTTATTATTATTATTATTATTATTATTATTATTATTATTATTATTATTATTATTATTATTATTGGTTTCATGATTATAGCTATTATTCATATTATCATTTTCAGATCCCTGTATTGCAAAACTGACATTATTTTTAGTATTGGAATTTGGATTAGAAATATCGTTAGTATTAAAGTTGATAATGTTAATTGTGGGAGAAATTTTATCATCATTTAAAATGTCTTTATTTTTTGAAGAAGCGGTTACTATTCTTGAAATTGACAGGGAATTATCAAGTAATTGCGAAACTCTTCTTGAGGCAGATTCACCAACTCTTAATATGCTTGTTGCTCTACTTGAAGATCTTTTTCTTTTGTGGGCAATTCTTTTTCGTTCTTTTTCTAATAGTAATTCCCATAAACCACATAGAGGGTCGCATTTTCTTTTTAGGATTGAGTCTTTTAATTTTGATACATCGAAGCCCATTCGTTTTAGGTTTTTATAAACGTATCGTTCAGATTTTGAAGAAAACTGATTCTGATTAAAGTTTTGAGAATATTTGGTGTAATAAAGAGAGTTTTCCAAGTTTTGTAAGCCGTAAGGAGCTAAAAATGGGGATTTTAAGACGTCTTCGATTGAAGGTCTTTTAAAGGGATCCTTTGATAGTAGTTTTTTCAATAAATCAATAGCTTGATCTGGGATGTCATTTTTAAAAACGGGGTCGCCATTTATGATTTTGAAAGAGGTTTTAACTTCATCATCTTCGTCAAATGGATATTGGCCGTATAATAGAGTGTAAAAAATGATACCTAGGGACCAGATATCTATTTGGAAGCCAGAGTATTTTTTTTTTAGTAATAATTCTGGAGCCATATAAACAGCGGTACCACAAATCGTTTCTAGGATTGATTTTGAGTGGCATTCTCTTGAAAAGCCAAAATCAGTCAATTTGCAGTTTTTCTTTCGATCTAGGAGAATGTTTTCTAGTTTCAAGTCTCTATGGGCACAGTTCATTGAATGAGCGTATAGGACAGCCGAACAGATTTGGCTGAAGAACTTTTTAACCTCGTCAAGAGGTATTCTCTTGATTTTGATCAAGTATTCTAGTAGTTCGCTCTTAGGACAGTACTCAAGAACCATGTAGACATATTTTTCAGTGATGATGACCTCATATAGCTTCGCTATATTAGAGTGTTTTAGTTGTTTATGGTAGTAGACTTCTCTTACAACATTTGAGTCGATTTTTGAGCCGGATTTGAGTACCACTTTTGTCTGGGTGAACTTGTGGTAGGCTAGGTAGACCTTGCCAAAGGAGCCTTCGCCAATTGGTTTTATTATATGGTAGTTACCAATTTCCGATAGGTTTGTGCAGGTGAAGTCCTTGTAGAGTTGATTGTATGAAGCAGTTAGCTATACGTGTGTGGAATAAAAGACAATGGTATGAAAGAAAATAATATGATATAATATAACAAATAAATAAATATAAATTATATTACAAATTATATTCATTTGTGCAGTAAAGACAATGAAAGGGTTGCAGCTGATTTGTTAGTGCCTGAAGTCTCAAATAAGTGTGGAAAGAAAGTTGTTCTAGAAGGAAAGGGGACGAGAGTAAGGGAAAGAGAGCAGAGAACAATGTGCATAGGAAACAATCTAAGAAGGTGACAAAACATACTTGGGCAATACTGTTTTTCTCGTCAATCTGGTGTCTATTCATGGTGGAGGTGAAGAGAGAGGTGCTTCTGGGGATGGAAAGTGCTTTGTATTTAGAGCTGGAATATAAATAGAACGAGAATAAGCAACAGAAGCAAAACTCATCCGGCAGTCAAAACCCAGAAGCTCACGCAGAAGAAAACGGTCGCTGAAGAACCAGCACGGTGGATGGATGACTCAGCGCTGACTCAGCATAAACATTGCGTAATTCATGTGTATTGCTGTGCTATTTGCAGTTTGTGGCATCACATGCGGAAGGTGCGTTTTTGTGAGCATCCCGCAGCAGTGGTCCCCAAACCCAACCTCCATCGCGATTTGTCGAAACTCTCATTTTGGTCAAAATTCTCACCAGAAAGTCTTTTTCAGCTTCTTTTGCTTCATATATGCTCGTTTTTCATCGTTTTTATTCACTCATGTCTTCCCACACCTACACTGTATGTACAGCAGCCTTGTTCTTTCATTTGCCTGTGCTCTGCTAACTGTCGTTTTTTTGAAGGAAGCTATAGATGTTTTGAACTCGTTGCAATCCAATTTTGCCTACATTCAGGCATTGAAACAGTCTGGTGTTAAGAAAACACCCAGCTCGATGGCTGAGATGAAGAGCTGGCTCCATGAGCTAGGCTACAATCCCACTGACTTCAACAAGTTGAATATCATTCATATCACAGGAACTAAAGGTAAGGGCTCAACATGCGCTTTCACCAGCTCGATCTTGCAACAATACTCTCCAAAACACCTTCACAAAATTGGCTTATACACTTCTCCACATTTGAAGAGTGTTAGAGAAAGAATCTCAATCAACGGCTCTCCCATCCCCGAAAAAGATTTCACTCGATACTTCTTTCAAATTTGGAATGTTCTTAAACATAGTGAGACAAAACTAAGCTACTTCAAATTCCTAACCCTATTGTCCTTCCATGTTTTTATGAAAGAAGGTGTCGATACTGCTATCTACGAAGTTGGTGTTGGCGGTGAATATGATTCAACCAATGTGATTCACACTCCCACTTGTACTGGAGTAACCTCCTTGGGTATCGATCATACTACCATGCTTGGTAACACTATCTCTGAAATTGCTTGGAACAAATCAGGAATCTTTAAGAAAAACTCAAACTCTTATACAATAGTTGGCCAGCCAACTGAAGGCTTAAATGTTTTGAAAGAAAGAGCAAAGGAAAGAGAATCACCTTTATCAATTGTTCCAATTCACCCTCAACTATCCTCAATTAAACTTGGTTTAGCTGGCGACTTCCAAAAGTATAATGCCTCTTTATCAATAGCTTTAGCAACCCAACATTTAAAAAAACTAAAAATATTACCAAATCATCTCAACACCTCGCTTTCCTTACCCAATGAATTTAAAATTGGTCTAGAAAAAACTCAATGGTTAGGTAGATGTCAAACATTATTCGATCTTGCTTATAAAAATTTAACTTGGTATCTTGATGGTGCTCATACAAAGGAATCAATTGAAGCTTCTGCCAATTGGTTTAAAAATGTAACTAACCAAACTGACAAGAAAAAAATTCGAATTCTCTTATTTAACCAACAAAAAAGGGACGCTGCTCTTTTAGTAACTCACCTTCACCACACTATCTACCCCACTGTAAATTTCGATTACGTATTATTCACAACAAATGTCACTTGGGCCTCTGGAAATTACTCAATTGATTTAGTCTCAATCAACACTGATAAAAAGGCTGTTGATAATTTAGAGGTTCAAAATTCAACCTCAAATACCTGGAAATCCTTAGATGAAATTTCTCAAAGATTGGTTTTCCATGATATTGAATCCTCAATTAAATTCGTCAATGATATTGCCAATAATAACCCAGACTCTCAAATCGATGTATACGTTAATGGTTCTTTGCATTTAGTTGGTGGGTTTTTAACTGTCTATGATTCAATGAAAGAAAACCACTCATAGCTCCAGGTTAATTCAATATTCATTCAAAATATATTATAATAAAATATAATACAATACAATACAATACAATACAATACAATACAATAAAATACAATACGATAGAATACAATATAATATAGTATAATATAACATCCTTTTATTTACTTTTTATACACATCTTAGATGCTAACTTGAACACACTATAAAACAGAAACATTTAAAATTGTACATAACTTAACACACAACGAACGATGATACATAATGAGAATAACCCAACAATAAAAAAAAAAATAAAATTATTAACGACAGTCATGACAAACCAAAAAAAAAAATTGAAAAAAAGAAAAATATAAGTCTATATTAAGTTAAAAAAAAATTAAAAAAATCATTTGGTAGTATTTATCAAGTTAATTATTTTTTGGAATAAATCTCGCTGCTTTAAATCTACTGACTTTAATTGTATTACCATGTTCATCAATAGGCTCAATTTCTAGTTCATCTACTCTTTTCTTATAACCTCCATTCATATTAATAAACTTATCTCTTAGTCGATGATAATCCAACGATAACTCTTGATCAAAAATGTCTTCATCAAACGTATCATCATCAACCAATTCATCAAACTCATTGGGTTCATGTTCAAGAATTTCTTTTGATAAAACTGGCCTATTATCGTCTTCTTCATTATCATTTTCATCATTCTTTTGGTCTTTATTATTATTTTCACTGTAATCTTCATTTTCTTTATTTTTTTCCTCATAAAATTGTCTATTCTCATCATCTATTAAATCAAACTCTTCAGGATACATTTTTTGCAATTCATTTATTTGATTATTATATTTTTCAATATCTTCAGGCCTTTCTATTACTGATCCTGGATTGCCGTTGTGTTCAATATCATCATCATATAATCCATTTATGTATGCTTGAGCCATACTGTCGAGATCATCAATAGATTCATAATCAAGCTTCCCTTTTGAATTGAGATGTGGTTGTTTAGATTTCATTGTAGCTTTTTGTTTTTCAATTTTTTCCACTTTATTTTTTTTTGATTGAATTTTTTCTTGTTTCAAAATTTTCAAATAATCAGGTTTAACTTCAGGGATTTTGATTGATACATTTGCATTTTTATCATTAATTTTTTTTTTTCTAATTAATGATTGAAGATCACTTTTATAAACTCTTTTCAGAGTTGACGTTTGAGAATTTTTCAAAGAGTTAAAGCTATCCAGATTATTTGATAGCTGAACGCCTTGGTTAGTGTATTGTTTTTCAGTCTCCCTCATTTGTTTAAACCTTGAGAGTTTAGAAGGTTTTTTAACAAAAGTGTTTCCGGTGTTTTCATTAACTTTTGATGTTTCTCCCAAAGTCTTTCCCTTTGCCTCTAAAGATCTATTGATCTTATTTAATGGCTTTTTTCGAATAGGTCTTTTGGATTCGATAAATAAACCTTTATACTTCTTCTCCAAATCTGGTTTGATAGGGCGAGTTTTTTGAAGAGCAGTATTTTTAGAAGGATCAATTAGAGAAGAATCTGTTATTATTTCTGATCTAAAACCGGTTGAATGCATATTGCTTTTGTTTAAATCCTTTTTAAATTTGCTAATTTTTTCTTTCAAGGGTGCTTTTTGATTAATAGAACATAAAACTTTTTGATTTTGAAAAGATGTATTTTTTTTAGAAATTTCTTTTGAAACTATTTTGTTAAAATCATAATCAGAATTTTTATTATCTTTAAAATTAAAAGAATTTCGATTATTCTCAATAGATCTGTCTTTGATATCTTTAATAATGCTGGCATTATTTTTCCCTTTTTTAGCTTTTTCATCATCATATTCATCCTCATCACTTTCTTCTTTAATGATCTCTTCATCTGTGAAACCAGCAGAAATAGGATGTCCTAATAAATGAGGAGGATAACTTGAATCAAGATTATAATATTTATTTCTTTCGAGTTTGAATCTAGACATTTTTCTTGTTGGTAGGTTTGCAGGATTATCATAAATATTTTTTAATTCTTTTGAAACATTTTCTATTTCTTTAATTTGAAGTTCGGAAGCAAAAGAAACAGATTTTTTCTTTTTTTTGGATTTTCCTTTCTTTAAGTTAGACTTTATAGTGGGTTTGGAATTCGTTTTTATGGTTTGGGGGTTCAACTCAGGATTTGATAAATAAGAATCTTCAGGCAGAATGATCTCAGATTGAAATCCCTGTGAATTGAACGGATTGTAATTTTGCAGTTTATTGTTTTTCGGAAATCCCTTTGTTTTCAGTACTTGAGTGTTAGGCTTTTGATATATATATTTTTGATAATCATCATCGTCGTCGCCATCATCATCGTCATCAGAATCACTATTAATTGAAGTTTTACTCATTATTTCAGCTAACAAGGCATCATCGTCGGTTTCATTTTCATTATCGTCTTGATTTTCATTAATTTCTTTAGTTTCGTTGAGATTTTGATTTTGATTTTCTTTGATATTTTTTATTCTGATTTTTAATATTTCATTCAAAAATAGTTTTGATGCTTCTTTTGGAACAGGTAGTAAAGATTGATCAAATTCAATTGAGTTTTTAGATCTAGTATTATCAGTTAAGGATTTTGGTTTCAATTTTTGGTTCTTGAGATTGGCTTGGTGATTACTGTTATCATCTTCATCAGATGAAAACTCAAATTCCCACTCTTCATCGTCATCAAAATGCATATCATCATCATCATTATTTGCAAGTTCTTCATTTAACATTTGTAATTCCAAAAGATCCTCAGTAGCTATCGCAGGCTTATCTGGTGTCCAATCCTTTGGGAGATCATTTGAAATATTCAAAATTGAAGTTATTTGCTCAGATGCTTCACTGAGTGTAATATCATCATTATTAGTAACGTCGTGAATATATAAAGGGGTATCTTTTAAAGCGGGATCAATGTTGATTTTATTATCTGGTTGTGTTTTTAGTTTTTTTTCAGTAATTTTTTTTTGATTTTTAATTTGATTGTTATCTTGATTTTTATGTAAATCGTGAGATAATAGTTGTTTTTCAATTTTTTGATTTTTGATACGAATTTTTTCCAATTCATTATCAATTTTTTTAATTTCATCATCAATTTCATCAATTTTTTGAAATTTTTTATTTTCAGGATTGATTTTTTCATGATTGATGTACATGTCTTTCATTAGATCATTAATTTCCTCAAAATCGTATTGATTTATATTTTGGTTTTTTATTTGAGTTTTAATTTCAGAATTGAGTTCAGGGGTAATTTGATTTTCTTTTTGATCTAATTTGGAATTTTGTTTCATTTTGATCTTGTCTTTAACTTGGTGATTTTTTGTATTATTTTTCATTTTGTTTATATTGGAAGGTTTGTGAGGGGAAACAGTGGAACTAATCACATTATCATTTTCATCTAATTCTTCTCTAATCTCCATGAGTGGGAAATTTGAATTATCTTGAAAATTGACATTGTTTTGTTGTTTAATTATAGTTTCCATTGATTTTGGAGATGTGTTTTGAATTGTTTTTTTAGTTATATTTTTATCTAAATCTGATAATTTTTGATTTACTATTAAGGAATTATGAGGTTCCACAGAAGAATTTAAAATATTGCCATTTTCATCTAGTTCTTCTTTAATTTCCATAAATGGCAACCCCTCTTCGTTTTGATAAGGTGATGGATTATTAACAATTTTATCATCGTTGATCTTTTCATTGACATTATCAAACAAATCTTTTTGCAAATGAAGATCTTGAAAGGAGTCATTTTTTTGTAATAATTCGATATTTTTCAACAATTGATTTGCCTCTTCTATTTTTTCGTTGAATAGAGACTTGGATTTTTCAACTAATTTGAATTTTTGGTTTAATAGATCCAAAATTTTGTTGTTTGATTTTTTATCAGAATTTTGTTTGGAGATTGTTGAATCTGCATTGTTTTTTGTTTCGATTTGAGGACTCTTCTGGTGAGAGCCACCTTCTGCGATTTTCTTTTGCAAGGACCTCAACTCATCTTCGTATGCATCTAATCGTGAAATCTTTTGTCTGAAATTGTTTATCGATGAGTTGAGCTGATTGGTAAGGTCAATGTAAGAGCTGAGGCGATGAGAGTCTGATGATCCAGAGGAGGTAGGGGACGAGGCATTGTACGTCCCTGGCTCAATAAGCTTTTGAAGAACAGAAGCAACAATGTCAGTTTCCGAACTCATAAGCAATCGATGGGCAGTAGAGATATCACCAGCAGCTTCTTGTTGAAAGAAAGAAGACGAAGAAGCTTTGAACAAATCCTGAATCAAAAACAAATTTTTTTCGTTTTTTCGTTCAGTAAAAGCGCTGTGGCGCGTGTGTGGCGGAAGGAGAGGTGCAGAGGGGCTTTACGGTGGAAGCTTTTACCGCTCCCCAGGGCGGTGGGAGAGGATTCAAGGCCCTTGGAGGGCGGTAGAAAAAGCGATAAGGGAGGTGGAAGCGGTAACGATGGTGGAAAGGGGTGCAGCACGCCACATTCCCTTTTGTGAGGACATTGAGAATGAGCCTGGTGGTTTTCAGTGGTTGAAGAGCTTTTATATCAGCTTCAATTGACGAGCAGAGAATAACAGTTGGGTGTTACTCTTGCTGGTGTTTTATATAGATATTGCTGCAGTGGGCAAAAATGGCATTAACAAAGCTTCAAATCAAGACCAAGGCTCTTCAACGTTTAATCAAGGAAGAAAAATACTACCATGTTGAGCTTAAAGAACAACAGGATGTTATTGAACAAATGAAGAACAATCCTGATAAAGACGAATACGATTTGAAAAAACAGGTTGAAGTGTTGGAAGACACCCGACAGATGATTCCAGAATTGAGAAAAAAAATCAATGAGCATTTGGTAAGTTTGAAAGATTTTGTCGAGACTTATAATGGTGATGAAATTTTACATCTTGCGATAAAACAAATTGATGCTGCTGAAGCCTTATTAGCTCAAGATCCATGAGTGTTATGGAGAACATAACCATATTGATTTATGTGTTTTGCAATGTCAATTGACTTGAACGATTGTTTTTTTGTGGTTGAATTATCATTTTCATTTAGTTGGCTCAATCTTATAAAAATTGATGGTGTACAATTTTGCAAATAGAATACTCGATTTATATCTTCTTTTAGTTTTATATTATATATTAATATTAATCTATACCACTGATTTATAGTTTAAAATCGAAGTTAATTGATGAGAAATAATGAAAGAAAATAGAAAAAAAAATGAAGAAAAGAATATTTTTAAGAAAATAAAATAATAAAAAAATAATAAAAAAACCAATTAATGATTACAATATGCAGAAATAAAAAAAAAAAATAAAAATAAAACCCAAAATTGCTTTAAAAATTCTAATTATATAAATATAAAAAAAAATAAGTGAGTAAAAAGTTGTAAAAATGTTTGAAAAAATTTTTGAAAAAAATAAAAAAAAAGGAAAAAAAAGTAAAGTAAAATAAAAAAATCATAAATAATTTTATGTTTGTTAACTATTAACATTAACTAATTGATTGGCATTAAAGTTTTTTGTATGATCGTTATGAAAATCATAATAATTATTGGATATATTTTTTGGAATGAAATTAGGATCGAGAGAATAGTTTTTTTGTTCCAATTTTTCAATATTGAGTAAGTTTTCATGAATGTTTTTATCTTTAATTTCTTCATTTGATGATAAATCATCGAAATTTGACGTTGAAGGAGTTTTCGGTAAGGGGTGGAAAGAGATTTGAGATTTAGTATTAGCCATTTTATTATCGCTTTTCTTGCTATTTGGCTTATTATTTATAAAATTTTTAATGTTGTTATTGTTAAGAGTAGTGATAGTGGTAGCAGCAGTACTAACATTAGTAGTGGTCATATTTCTTGATACATGGAAAACTGAGTGATTTAACGATTTAGTGTATCTTTTATTTTGATTACTATTTGGAATATTTGGAGTCATTTCAGGATGGTTTTTTCTATAAGCAATAACAGTTTTAGGAGTTAATAATTTTGCATCGAATAGGAAAGCAGGGGGCACATCAGGTAGTTTCTCATCATCAGGATAAAGGCTTTTACAATTTTTGTTTGATTTATTGTTTTTATGATGTTTTTTGGTTGGGCTTGATTTACTTGTTTTGCTTGATTTGCTCATGAATGAGTTTAGGTCAAAAGCCGATTTTGAGCGTAAGATTGATTTTGATTTTGATTTTGAGTAGTTTTTATATATTAAGTTACTCTTTGAGTTGTTTTGAGAGATGCTTTTAGTATTTTGTTTGTCTTGATAGAGAAAAGAACCTAGATCATTAGTAGAGTAGTTATTAGTGTTGTTAGTGTTGTTAATATTATTATTAGAACAGTTATTAGGATTATTGTTATTGATGTTATTAATGTCATTAATGTTATTAGTGTTATTAAAATCTAATTGAATTGAATTTGAAACGGATCTTGAGGTTTTAATTGGAGAAGAGCTGATAATAGTTTTTGATATGGCATCTAAATTTGCTATTGATTTTGCTTTTGATTTCCTTTGAGGTTTTTTGTTTACGATTAAATTTGATATGGTTTGGTTTTCAAAAGTGTTAATGTTATTTGATAGTTTTTTGATGTCTTTATTGTATTCTGATTTTGCAAAAATGGATAAAATGGAGAATCTTTTTTTTTTTGGTTTCTTTTCAAATTTGTTGAAATTGTTATTAGAATTGTCATTAAAATTACTGTTAAAGTTTGTATTAAAACTATTAGTATTAAAATTTGTATTAAAATTGTCATCATTATTGTTAGTATTAGTGGTATTAGTATCAACTATAGGTAAGGTTTTAAAATTATTTTGAGGAATCTGTTTCAATTCTAGCTCACTGTTAAAAGTGTTAACCTTTGAGTTTTGATTTGAATTGTTTCGAGAGGAGACTAAAGAAGGGACAGAAGGCATTGAAGGGATTAGTAAAGTATTAATGAGATTAAGATTATTATCGTGGTTATTCAGATTATTCAGATTGTTATTATTATTATTATTATTATTATTATTATTATTATTATTATTATTATTATTATTATTATTATTATTATTATTATTCAGATTATTATCATTATTGTCATTATTATTAAAATTATTATTTGGTTTTATATTTTGGTTTGTATTAATAATATTTTCTTGAATATTTTCGTGATTATTTTGGGGATTATTTTTGTGAATTTTTTGAGCATTTCCAATGTCATTAATTGTTTTTGAAGTAAAACCATTGGAGGGATTATTTTTATTAATTTTTTTTTGATTTTTAGTGCCTATAGTTCTTCTTTTAAATAAACCCATTTTTGATAAGTGAAGCGAAAAAATAAGGATGAAAAGGGAATAAAGAAGTGATTTGGTTAATTAATTAATTGAAATACAGAATATGTAATCAAGGTATCAAAAAAGGATTAGTTATAAACCAAACAAAGAACAATAAGAGAGGTGAAGAAAACGAAAGAATATAAAGAAAAGCAAGAGAAAAAAGCAAGAAAGTTGACTAGTGAGCCAGTGATCTGCTGTGCGAAACAGTTGTTTTTATTGTTTATATCAACAAGATTATTACTGAATTGTTACTTGACTTTGGCTTAATTGAAGTGTTAAAAGAGCTGATATTGGTGTTGGTATTAAAGCTGATATACCATTTCTAGGAGAAAACTAGGTGAAATTTCATTCTTGTTTTTTTTCCTTTTGTTTTTCTTTTATTCCTTTATTTCGCTTCTAAAATTACGTTCAATTTCCCAATGTAAAAATAGACGGAGGCAGAAAAACAACAGCACCGGGTAAACTTTCTCCAAAAAGCGTCTCTCGCAGTTTATCATGTGTTACCCGCACTTGTGGCTTTTTGGAGCTGGCTTAGACCTTATTATTAGCACAACGGAAGGGGGAGTCGGAGCCAAATGGCCGAGAAAACGTTACCAGATAAGTGGCACAAACCGCTGGCAAACAGCCAATAACAGCATGCACGTGCCATACGTCATTTCCACGCTGCGCGAGAGCCTATTGGCCCGTTTCGGACTGTGCTTTTGCTTTCTCTGGCTGTTCTAGATCAGGGTCTGGATGAGGTTTTGTGGTGATGAGCTCATTGAGCAGTTCCGCTAAGACAGCAAGCCAATAGGACAAGAGCTGATGAGTGACAAGCCTTTTGACGGTTTGGCATGCGCCGATCAAGCTTTTCTTTGCAGCGCTTATCCCAACCATCTCGGTTCAATCTGTGATCACTGGATGGTTCTACAATCTGAAGGCCATCTTATCAAAGCTTGGTATCCCAACTGGCATCTCAGTTGGTCCCTCTCGGCTGCTCTGTGACTGCTTTTACGCGAGCAGAATTTGGTGCTGATAGGTGTTATCAATTTCCATGTTGTCCTAAACAATGGAAATTAGTTTCCCAAAACAATAGTATCGCTGATCCTTTCAACATTCTCTTAACCAGTCTTTCAATTATACCGTAAGTGCTTCCAACTTTTGCCAGGTTTTCAGTATTTTTTTTGTCCATCATATCATATTGCAATTGGTAGAAATCCATTGGCAGGTTCGATCAATCAATTCGTCAACTCACAAAACATATCCATATATATCCATCACCCACTGTATTTATCATGTCGGTGTAAGTCGATGCCCAAAAAACAACAGGCGGAAGCATTTCCGGATCACACAGAGTTTGTCTCACCTTTGAATCTGTTGTCTGTGATTTTTCACAGCACCATACCCGAGGAGCACCCCTCCTTATTTTGCGACTAACAAGCCCTCGATAGCTTATTCCGGTTTCCGAAACTGCCCCAGAACCGGAATCAAAATTAATTAAGTCCTTTTCCCTTTTGGTTTTTTCAGTCTTTTCTCTTATTTCCTTTAATATCGCTATTTTCGTTTTGCCTTTTATTTCAAACTTTTCTCGCTTCTCTTCGCTAGTTTCAACTGTTTATTTGCATATCTCACCCAGTAATTCGTTATCCAACTTTATTCTATCCTCTTTCGCAATCTTAATTCATATACCTGATCAAAAAATACCTTCTTTTTGGTTTCCTCTTCCTCTCTTTTGCTGCTTTTGTTGGGTCTATTTCTTCTTTTTTTTATTATCCAAAAAAACTTTATTCAAATTCACCTCAATCTACATTCTTTCATCACTATAAAATCACTACAAAATTACTTGCTTTTCCCTTTCTTCTAACAACCTACTTCCTTTTCTTTTCTTGTCTTTTCTTTTTATTTCGTTTCATATCATCCAGTTTCACGTCCACCTTCTCTTCTCTTTCTTCAACATCTTTGCTATTTTTCTTTATTTCTTATAATTAATAATGTCCTTAGCTAACTCCATCACTTCATCCCACACCAACACAAAAAAACCTCCTCAAGGCCCAAGATCAAAGTCAAAGCCTTCCTATATTACAAGATCGAATTCCATCAAATCAGTATCCACTTCGTTGAATTTAAATAATAACGACTACTTGTCCGGTCCATCTGATACTGAACAAGGTTACGATTCAGAATACGATAACGATAGTAACAATAACAAATACTCTATCTCCACAGTTGCTGCAACTCTAGATAACTCTTTACCTTCAGACTACTTTAAACAAGACATCCTATCCCTAATCAAATCTTTGAATATCCCCAAATGGTCAAAACTACCTTCAAAATTAGCCCTTGATTTAAATGTCTTCAACATCTCCGGTGCTTTAACCAATGTAATCTACAAAATCGATCCTCCTTCTTCAAAAACATTGAAAAAGAATAAATTTATCTACTTCTTGAATCCTCTATTATTAAGAATCTATGGCCCAGGTTCCGATTCTCTAATCGACAGAGATTATGAATTGTTGGTCTTGTCAAGACTATCGAAAAAAAACATCGGCCCTAAACTATTAGGCTCCTTCTCAAATGGCAGATTTGAACAATGGTTGAATAATGCTCAAGTATTAAAACCTACTCAAGTAGCTGACCTCAAACTATCGAGAACCATAGCAAGAAGAATGAAACAACTACATATAGGTATTCAATTAAATAACCCTGAAATTAACAATGGTCCTTCAATTTGGAAAAGAATCGACGATTGGTTGAACTTGGCTGAACTAACTCTCAATTTAAATAAAATCAATGCCTCCAATTTCTTGTTATCCGATTTCCAAACTTATAAAAACATCATCAATAAATACAAATTGTGGCTATATAATAGATACAAATCAATTCAAGATTTAAAGGATTCCCTAGTATTCTGTCATAATGATACTCAATACGGTAATATCTTATTTACAACCTCCACCCATAAAGATCTTTTAAAAAAATTCAACAATGCCAATTTAAGTGACAATAACAATAAAAACGATACCGATAATGTAAATGAAGAGGAAGAACAAAAAGAAGATAAAAGATTGGTCGTTATCGATTTTGAATATGCCGGTGCAAACGTCCCTGCTTACGATATAGCAAATCATTTTATGGAATGGTTGGCTGATTATACTAATAGCGAAACTGCTCATTTATTGGTCGAGGATCGTTATCCCAGTGATAAACAAATCACTAATTTCTTAGCTAGTTATATTAAATACCATTCAACTATTCACAACAATACTGAAGAATTGGAAAAACAAGTGAAAATCTTGTATAACGATATAATCGCCTGGAGAGCAGCAAGTAATATTGTTTGGTCGCTATGGGGTATTATTTCCAATTCTGATTTTCATAAAAAAGTGGTCATTGAAGATGGTCCAAAGGGCGAAAAATATAAAATTCTTAATGAAGACAGCAACAATATTAAAGAAGAGGAACAAGAAGCCAATGAAATTGAACTATTCGATCATTTCGGTTATTCAAATCAAAAAGCTGGATTGGTCTGGGGTGATCTTATTCAATTGGGTATTGCTACTAAAGATGATGTAGAACATTCTGACCAAATCAAATATTTGCCAGTTAAATTTTTCCATATTTAGATATCAGTTATGTATGAATATATGTAAATATATACGAATAAAGATTTTATAACATTATTGATTTCCTCTTTTTCTTTTTCTTTTTTTCCGGTTACTTTCCTTTGATTGTTCTCTCAAACAATTTGAACAGTACCATGAACCTTCAGGTGGCTGGGTTAAACCAACGCATTTATAATGAAACCATTCATATTTACAATTTACATCATCACAGGCAACCATTTCGCCATAAGAAACTTGTTGACAAAAACAGTATAAAGTATTGTCCTCTTCTACACCTACTATCGTTTGGGATCCTTCATTGCCATTGTTATTTGATATTATACTGTTTGAATGTATGTTATTATGATTGCTGTTATTTTTGTTATTGCTATGGTTGCTGTTATTATTAATAATAATATTGTTGGAATTATGAGTACCGTCGTTATTACTGTTATTATTGCTGTTATTATTGCTTAATAAATTCATACTGTAATTATCATTACCATTATCAATACCACTGTTTGTGATAAGATTAGTATTGGTGTTGATATTATGATTATCTATGCTGTTATTGTCATTATTTAGTTTTGATATATTACTAGGGTAGGCATTTGATAAATCATTTGAGGGAGGCAGTACTGAATTTTGAAGCGAATTCAAGCCCTTTATTAATTCGTTTGAGTTGATATTATTATTGTTATTCTTGGAGCTTGTAGATGAAGATATAACGTTATTTGATATTAAATTTGGATTTAATTTTTGTTTTTTTATAGGTCTTATGGATATACTTGGGGTCGTTGATCTTGAATTTGCATAATTGCTCTGTGTGGGTATATTTCGTTTTGATTTTTTCTTATTACTATTATTATTATTATTATTATTATTATTATTATTATTATTATTATTATTATTATTGTTATTATTGTTATTATTGTTATTGTTGTTGCTGTTGTTGTTATTATTAAAGTTATTAGATAATGAAGCAGATAGAGCAGATAAATTTAATGAGCTTCCCATTATAGAAATGGGAGTGTTTATTCCGCTGTTTAAGTAAGGATCATTATTATTCATTGAATTGTTCATGTTATTGCTATTTGAGCTGTTGTTTAAATTATTGTTACTACTAAAGGAGGAACTGTCATTTAAAGATAATTGGTTTTTATAGTGCAATAAAGATTGGGGATTCGACAAGTCTACTATGTCTTCATTCAATGGGGGTAAATTTTTATGGAATTCTAGTTTATGTATCTCTTCATTAAGAGATTTTAAATATTTTTCAATTTGGAATAGTAGAGTCAAGGATATTTTACATTTTTCGTTTGATATATCCAAACATTCTGAAAATTCATTTTCAATTTTGTTAATTAAAATATCTTCCTTTGGATGGGGTATTAAGGGACCAAAATTCTTAATGTGTTTGAAAATCTGGGAATCTTTTGCCTGTATTTTTTTCCGCAACTCATAGAACTTCAAGTCCTTCAACTTCAACTCCTCCAAGTAATACAAGACCTCACTGGGAAAGTTGGATAGCTTTTGTGTAAATTGCTCAAGCAAAGAAGCAGCATCAGGAACCTGGGAATCACCGTAGTTTTGCATTTTGGAACATCGACAGCAAAAAGAAAAAGTGATAAGAAAATGATAAGAAAATAAAATCAAACTTCGAGCCGGAAAAAAGCAAATTCCAATCACATGCAAATACAAACCAAGACAAAGGATCTCATGTCATCAAATGCACAATGCATAAAAACGCATATATATGCTATTCAACATAAATTCACATATGATCACGTGTATAAACATATAACCCGGTCTTCGACGGGACGCCGCTTTGGGAGTTCCGTCTCGCGCCGGTGTTTCGGCCCAATGCAGCGGTATCTCAGAGGTGGAGTTTTGGTTCGAGGAAGGAGAAGAAGCAACGAGTTTGATGGGTGCTGCTGTTGGTGCTGAAAGAGTCGAGCAGTGAAGGTTATCGAGCGAGTTGAAGCAACAGAAACAGAGGGTTGCTACGTCTGGTTAAAATGCTCATGAACAAACAGCTCTGTTTGTGTTCGGCGATTGCAAATGCATCTGCTACTGCTAATTTTTCAGTCTTATCGTCAGTTAACCATTCCAACAACATCAACGTTAATGCAAACGTCTTAAATCGAGGAATACTAGTGAATCTTAATATACACAGCTCTCATCACCAGCTGCATGCTAAATATTATTCAAACAGCCCCATAAATAACGTTCCAAGCAGTCACAGCTTGAGATCAATTTCAACTAATTCGAATAACACACCTTCTACATCTACCAATATCTATAATTTCAACACTTCGAATTCAAAATATATTTATTTTTCTTCGTTGTTGTCCAAGATTGATACTGTTGATCCCACTAATTTCCAGAATAATTTGTTCTTCATAAAAAATTCTCCCATCCAGTTTATTTCAAATTTAATCAAAAGCAATGATAAGTCAATTGGTAGTTATAGATACAGACAAAAAAACATTAGTAATAAAAGGACAAATGCATCCTTAGACCTATCTTCCACTTCGTTGAATGATAACTCAATATTGGCTACTGTTGGCTCAAAAGTAACCTGCCAAACAACTACCCCAACTTTTTCCTGTCAAACGACAAATAATAACGCTCTTAATAACGATGAAAATAAAAACAATATCAACACAGATAGAAGTAATGGCAGTTTAAATCCTAATCCTGAAAATGGTATACCGTTTAAAATAACTCCCAAAATAATAACTAAAGAGCAAATGTTGTCCAAAAGATCGAAAAATATGACCTTTGCAAAATTAATTGATCCATACATTGCTTTATCCAAACCAAGATTAACTGTTTTAGTTATGTTGTCTTCAATTTGCTCCTACGCCTTAAGTCCCTATCCTGCAACGGTATCTCAATTATTATTTCTAACAGCTGGTACTTCCTTAGCTTCAGCATCTGCAAATGCAATTAATATGGGTAGAGAACCGGATTTTGATAGAAGAATGGTTAGAACTTCAACAAGGCCTGTTGTAACCGGTATAGTAACACCAATGCAAGCGTATAAATTTGCGACCATAACTGGTATAGTTGGTGTCTCAATGTTATATTTGGGTGTCAATGCTACTGTCGCAACTTTGGGTGGTTTAAATATTGTTTTGTATGCTTGGATTTATACCTCGTTAAAGAGAAAACATATCATCAATACCTGGATTGGGGCAATAGTTGGTGCTATTCCTCCACTAATGGGCTGGGCTTCCTCTTCTTCTTTATTACACCCAGGTGCTTGGTGTCTAGCAGGTTTATTGTATGCCTGGCAGTTTCCTCATTTCAATTCTTTGTCTCATAATATCAGATACCAATACAAAGAGGCCGGTTATGTCATGACTGCTTTTGAAAATCCCAAATTAAATGCAAGAGTCGGTTTAAGATATTCTTTGTTAATGTTCCCATTATGTTTTGGTTTAAGTTACTGGAATATTTGCGATTGGGTGTTCCCCTTTGATTCTGCTGTTTTAAATGCTTGGTTGTCGTATGTCGCTTTTCAATTTTGGAGACAACAAAGAAAAAATTATGGTAAAAATGGAGATTCCTCGCCAAATTCTCCTGGAATGAAATTGGCTAATATTCAAGCCAAAAAATTATTTTGGGGTAGTGTTGGTCATTTGCCTGGTGTTTTGTTATTAGCAATGTTACATAAAAAGGGTTTATGGGATAGGCTTTTGGGAAATGAGAAAAATGACAATTCAAATAATATTCAAAAAATTTCTGTATAAATTTGATTATTATTAAATATTTTTTCTGTAAATATAAAAGAAAAATTGACAAAATGATAAAAGATAGAAATATAAAAACAATTAAGAATGATATTTTTTTTTTATTATTATTTTTATTATATAAAAATCCAATATAATTTGATATTTACTAATCAATGTTAATCAATATTTATCTATTTATTAATTTATTAATTTATTAATTTATTTATTAATTTATTTCATTTTATTTTATTTTCTTTTATTCTATTTTCTTTTATTAATTACTTTATCTATTAATTGGCTAATTTATTTATGAACTATTACTTTTTGAGTTTATCATCTTTTTTTAAAGAATTGTCATCTTTTTCTTTAGAATTTTCATCACTTGTATTATTTGAATCGTTATCGGTATCATCGGTGGTTTTTTCTTTTAAACTTAGTTTTTTGTTTTCGATTTTATTATCAATTAAATCATGGAAGGAAATAATCGCTCTAACCAAACTGCTTATATAAATCAACATTAATTGATCGTTAGTCTTAACAGTAAATGCATTATTAAGATCGGGAGAAGAATTTAATAGAGGATTTGAATTTAAATTTAATTTTGTGATTGAATTTGTGATATCATTATCAATTGAAGAAGATTGTGGATTTAAGTCTGCTGGGTTAATTAAATTTGGCAATAAATTAAAAATATCTTGTAATTTGCCTAAAATAACATGGTTTATTGGCAATTCTTTATTGATAACTTTATTAAGATAATTGAGAATATTTTTTAATCTTTTATTTAATCCATTAAGAGATTGCAATTGGTTGGTGATTTTTAGAGATAAATTACCTGCAGCTTGATCTCTAATATCTCTTAATAGATGTTCTACACCGATTTCTTCAGCTTCTTCAGCTTCAATTATGGAGGGAATATGAACAAAGGTCTTTTCAGAAGATGAACCATCATCTTTAATTTCTTCAATTGCTATGTAGGAGTCAGTTGGTAAACCGCCAAATTCATTATTTGGTTTAACATCGACAATTAGTAATAAAGGGTTGGGAGTGTATTTTTTGAATAAGTCGTTAATTTTTAAGTCATTTTTTCTTAGCTTTGGACCAGAATGGTACCAACCGATTAGTTTTTCCTTTGCATTAATTTTCTTGAACATGTCGTTCATTGATTCGATGTAGTTGTGGTCCAAGAACCAGACATTGGGGTTTTTATCATCTTCTTCAAAGGGAATAGCAAATGAGTTTGATACTCTGATTTGATTTGAGTTGGGAGAATTATCGCCTAATATAACACCAACACATCTTTTTTTAGTATCTTTGGCAACTCTATTATAGTGATCCACTACAGATAATAAAACTAGAGGAGCGACAATTACCGATTTTGATGCAAAAGCAGATTCGTTTGAAATGTTTGAAGGCATTGGTACGAGAAAAAAAAGGAGGAGTTCAAACAATTAACGAATTAATAAGCTGTGATTAATAAAGATGATTAAAAGATAGAACTGTTAGTGTTTGATTGATAGTGGCGATTGTTGAGATGAAAATTGAAGGGCTGAGTCATGTGATCCGGAAAAAGAAAAATACCGGAATTGGATTTGATCATAATTTATTTCATTGATTAAATGATTAAATAATTGATTGAATAGTTGGTTTATTGCTAGAAATGGTGGCGTATGGACAGATAGTAATAGGACCTCCAGGGTCTGGGAAAAGTACATATTGCAATGGTATGAATCAGTTTTTGTCAGCCATTGGACGAAAAAACTGTGTTGTAAATTTTGATCCAGCTAATGATCGATTGCCATATGAGAAGAATTGTGAGTTGGATATTCGAGATTTCATAACGGTTGAGGAGGTGATGGTTGAAAATGAGATGGGCCCAAATGGAGGGTTGATGATAGCGATTGAGGAGCTTAATTCGAATCAAGAATTAATTGAGGGATTGATCAAGAAGTTTGAACAGTTGATAAAGGAGAAAAACTATTTTATAATTGATTGTCCCGGACAGGTTGAATTGTTTACTCACCAATTGTCATTGAATTTGATATTCAAGAAGTTGGAAAAGAAATTTGATTTCAGATTCGTCGTCATCAATTTGGTTGATTCGGTTTATATTACAGAGGTCTCATCATATATTTCAGTGCTACTATTGTCATTACGGTCAATGTTACAGTTGAATTTCCCGTTTTTGAATATATTCAGTAAGATTGATTTAATTCATCAGTATCGAGAGTTGCCCTTTAGATTGGAGTATTATACAGAGGTCCAAGATTTGCAATATTTGATTAATAATGGTGAAGATAATCAAGAAGATGAAAATGGTAATGAGAAAAACCAATATAGCTTGAGAACCAAGTTTAAAGGGTTGACCGAGGCAATTGCAGAATTAATTGAGGATTTTCAGTTGGTTTCATTTGAAGTCTTGAGTATTGAGAATAAGAAGAGTATGATCAACATATTGAACAAGATTGATAATTGTAATGGGTATCTATTTGGAAATAGCGAGATCAGCGATGACTTGATCTGGTTACAGGCTACAAGACAAGGTGGAATAATAGAAGAGAATCTAAGTGTAAGTATTCACGAAAGATGGATTGAGAATAAAACAGAGTATGATGAACTAGAGATGAAAGAAGAAAAGGAGAAACAAGAGCAACTGAAAAGAGAAAGTGAAAAAGTAGCCAGCCAAGACGAGCTAAATATGGCTATGGAAAATTGGGAAAGCATGGGCAATCCCAATGACACTAAGGTTATTCATAAACACCAAAAGAAATAAAATCAGATAAAAATTGTTCACGCTCAAGTGGTGTTTTTACAAAGTACATGTATCGCAATCGCAGTTACCAAGATAATGATCAATAGCATTATACCAGTATAAGGTCGACTTCGGATTTTTCTAGCAACCTTTTCCCCTCCATTTGCTCACGATGAAGAGCAAAGCAGTGAATAGGCTGCATCGTATCATGAAGAAGAAAAGAGAAAAAGAAGCAGAGGAAGCACAGACAGAAAATTTTTCGCTGAGTCCCAAAGCAAAGGGTCACCCGGTAATGCGTTGGAGTAGGGTTGTAGGTGCTTAGAAGGTCTGTTTTTGGATGGGGTCTGCAGGAAGGGTCACGCTGGAGGGGTCTGCGCAAAGCGGTTGCTGGAAGTTGGAGGCGAGAACAATAGAAAGAATATCTGATGAGAAACAATAGAAACACTTCAACAACAAGAACACGAACCACAAGATACCTGCTCAGTTCTCGCAGCTAACACAACGCTAGTATCCACGTCCACCGCAGTACACGATTTTTGCAGCACTGCTGTTGCCACTTGCACAATGGGAATAATCTTAGATGGCCTCAGTCCAGGCAACCATGGCGACAACGACCAAAACTCACGACGAAAGAGAGTGAGGATTTCTGAATCAGGGAGCTATGTTTTTAGAAACCACAGTCAAACAGAGATACAAAGCGAAAATGACACCTCCGATGCCAGCAATGAAGACTCCGATGCTCCCATCCACCACCAGCACCCACAAAATACATACCACGGCCAGAACAACCAGCTAGACAGCACTCATGAAGCACGTCCGATGGAGGGCACTGATGAAAGCACTACCAACATAGACAATGTTGATAATGCCAATGAAACAAGTGGAGTCGATGTAGATGATACAGTGTTGACCTTGTCAAGTGAATTGAGAGGAAGGCCACTAAGAAGATCAAATGCTATAAGACTTTCTATCGGTTCCAATAGCGATCGACTCTCCATATTTTCTGCTAATTTGAACGACTTTCATAACAGTCACGACAATGATGATAATAATAACAACACCAATACCAATACCAATACCAATACTAATACCAATACCAATATCAATAACGAAAATACCGCTACTAATGATAACCAACCTGAAAATAATCACAGTAATCCAATTGTTGATAATACTGGTTTGAGAACCCCACCGATAATCAATTATCCACCAACAACTCCAACTTCTCAATCAATTAATCATTCCTCAGCGAATAGATTACCTTTGACTCAATTACAACGACAGCAACAAAATTCCCCATCCCCAAGAAACAACAACACTAACCATATCAGTAACATCAATCTAGATCATCTAAATAATATCCCTTTTCCTATAGACTCGATGATAAGATCGAGCCGCTTATCAAGAAGAAGGCGTAGAAGAAGAGGAAGATCTTCAAATACGCCATCCTCAAATAACAGTAACAATAACAGTAACAGTAACAGTAACAGTAACAGTAACAGTAACAACGATGATAACAATAATAATAATAACAATAATAACAATAATAATGATAATAATGATAACAATTACGATGATGATTTTTTGATTACCAATAATATAGATCCAGCTAATCAAAATGATCAGGAAGTCATAGACAATACCAATACCAATAATACCAATAATAATTATGATGACGAACCCTTTTTGGGTCCAGAAATTGGCGAGGGAGATTACGATTACGATTTTTATCATTCTCGTTATCTATCAAGATCAAATTCAAGACACTCCTCAAGACACTCCTCAAGACACTCCTCTAGACATTCTTCTAGGCACTCTTCTAGACACTCTTCAAGATCAAGTTCAGCAACAAGACCTCATTTAATTTCGAGTGCTGCTTTACCTCAAACTGTTGGCGAAGTAATCAATAACCTAAATCCAATCAATAATATCTCCGAATTAACTCAGGTTGATAACTATCGAAGAACTCTAATGAATACATACATAAATTCTTCAAGATATAATACCGATGATCCATTTGATGACAACGATATCAATGACAATGAAAACTATGAAAATAACAACAATAATAACACTAATGAAAACAACAATATTAATTATCATAGTGATAATACTTATAATCGTTCGAATAGCTTTAATCGAAGAAGAACTTCAATTAACGGTTATGCAACCGACAACTCGGTATCATCAGTCTCTTCCTTTCCCAGAATTTCCTTATTAAATTCTTCTATCAATCCAAGCACTGATATAAATACTGCATCTAACATTGTATCTAATCCCAACACAAGCAATAATACCAATAATAACAATGGGGATAGTACTAATAGTACTAATAATACCACCAATAACAACACTGATAATAGTAATTCTAATGGAACTACAAGAAGGGGAATATTATCCAGAAGATCGTCAAGATCATCAGTTAATTCATTCAGTAGATCGGGATCCCCTTTGATTAGAAGAATGAATACACTCTTTGACTTAAGAGGCATCTATAACGATTATGAAGATCATGAGAATTCCACCAATAATGAAAATTCCATTAGAAACGATACAATTAGAAATGGCTCAACTGATAATACAAACATTAATAACGCTATTACTAATAGTGATACTGCTAATAATACTGCTAATAATACTGCTAATAATACTGCTAATAATACTGCTAATAACGCTATTAATAATACTAATAATACTAATAATAATGCTGCTGCTGTTGCTGCTACTATTACCACTACTACTAATAATAATAGAATTACAAGAGAAAATAGATCAGTTAACTCAACAAGCGGACCCCATGTAAGCTTCGTGTATGATATTAATGAGAACTCAAGTGATAGTTCAATAAATGAAAATGATAACGAAGATGAGTCCAGACACAGGTCCATTAGATTTGGCAGAATACATTATTATCGTTTTTCAAATTTTGATGAGACTTTACCTAATAATAATAGCAATGATAACAACAATAACAATAACAATGACAATAACAATGATAATAACAATGATAGCAATAATGATCACAACAATGAGAATACAGATAATATCCGCATCCCAAGTTTTTCAATTCCAAACCCAATTGAAAATCTAAATTTAAATTCACATACAAGCGTATCAGCACAATTTCACTATCCAACAATAGCAAGAAACTCTGCTTTTTCTTACGTTCCTTTAAACACAACTGCAAATGTTGAAATGGGATCAAATTCTACAGGTGTTTCAACTGGCGGCTCCACTCCAATTTCTACATCGACATTTATTTCTACATGTACAAGTGAAAATGATGGGATGTATAGTGAGAATAGCAAAAATTCAAAATTTAATGCCAGTGAAAATGATAGCCAAGAAGATTTTGATATTAATGAAATAATGGAAATGGCCAAGAAGATTTCAATAGAAAAATACCACAGAAGTCTTTCTTCGGGAGTTTCTAGGTTGCATTTGAAGGATTTATGATTTGGGAAATGGTCTAAATAACTTTTAGCCATATTAATTGCATTTTTTTTTAATTACATTTTTATTTTATATTTTAACAATCTCTTGGGTTTTTTTTAGAAGTTTACAGTTTTTATTTATTATAAAATATCCTTTTTTTTTTATAAATTTATTTATACAGAATAATTTTTCAGTGGTTTGATTTTGGCTTTATTTGGGAGACGATCGATTTTCAGTTAATCGATTTTCATAGAGCTTTAATTTTAATTTTGATTCCTGCTTTAATTTGAACTTGATTTTAGTTCTTTTTAATTCTCTTTAATTCTCTTTAATTCTCACTTGAACTTTTATTTTTATTTATATTCTCAGTGATATGCTATGTTCATTCTCCTAGAGCTTATCTTTAGGCCCCTTTTATATTATATGTATTTTTTGTATAGAGTGACTTCAATAAACTTTCGCCGGTTCGGAAACACAAAACAAAAAGTTGGCAGGGCTTCATTATCAGGGCTTTAGTATCAGGGCTTATCACAAATACTACTCACCTGTGCAACACGGACAAGTTTTCAGAATATTTGTGGACCTTTATTATCAGGAATGATAAACCTTCTGGAACTGACATCCGTTTGTATTAAGAGATCAGCAATAGTCTTTAAAAGGTTTTAATAAATAATTGAAAACAATTTTGCAAACACAAGCTGCTTCAGCAACAACTCATCGGCTACCAATCACTTTATTCACTGTAGATGTGATCTTATAATTTGCTCTTGCCTCTCTTCTCTAGGGCTACAATATAGTCCTACATGGCTCCAAAGCCAATTCGTGCAGCCAGAAAAACGATACATCACAAAATTGGCCGCAAGAACAGCAGAGAAAGCAAAACAACTACAATTATATTTTATTTTTATTATTATGAATTACTTTAGACCGATATAGAATTATATAAAAGGCGTTGTAATTTGATCAATTTCGAAAGAAAGGGATCAAGTCTTCCAATACATATTTCTAGTTCTCTTCCAGTTTACATAAAAAGTCCTAAGTTACGGTCTTAGAATGTAAGCCCCTGAGAATTGGAATACAGGAAGCCCTACGGTTACGACCCACGAAGGTCCGCGTGCAAAACAGTACAAGTTCTCTATCACATGCTTGGACTGCTGAAACAGGAATGTTTTTATAATATGCGAAATTTGCAATTTTTGCGATATCCGTAATGAATCACTAAATTCTATCTGGAATTTATAGATTATAACTATTTTTCTTAGTTGTTTTTCAATGAAGAAATCTTTATTTGATTTAACAGCTATAGATTTTGGTGTATTACTTTTTTTGTGCCTATTTTCAGAAAAGCTTGAAAACCCAAAATTTGATTTGGTCTGAAAACTCAAAGTTTGGTTTGAAAGCTCACCTAATTTGGACTGAGTCTTTCTCAAACCAAACACGAATGACTAATTCTGTGTTTGATAAAAATTTCAAACCAAACCAAACCAATAATGATTTTTTAAACCCAATTATTGTTTATTAAACAGCAATTTAAAATGTATATCTTATTGAATTTATGGCTTATATAATAAAATAGGTTTCAAATAAATTATTTTGAACAGATAATAGGAAAAAAACAAATATAATGTATGACTTTATTACACACATTATTTATAGCTATAATAAATTACAAGAAAGAAATATATAAAATAATAAAAAATATTTGATGAAATTTACTGAAATATTAAAATGAGAATCTGGATGGATTGGTTAGACCAAATTATAGTAATTTATTACACTTTTATATTTAATTATATTAGTTACTAATGAAGAGCACCAATGTAAATACATACTTCTAAATTCTACAATGTTCTATAAAATAAATATCAGTACTAAATTAACTTAAATTGAAAATATAATACATAATGTATATCAATTATAATATAATATAATAAAGTAAATAAAAACTAAATAAAAACTAAATAAAAACTAATTGATTAGAGACTAAAATTGAAAATCAAAAATCGAAGTTCATGCCGATATATAAACTATCTTAATATCAATATATCCTAAAATTCTTCAAAATCAAAATCCACATTTCGAAGCACTGGTGATCTCTTTGATTTATTTGAACCAACTGATGTGTTGCTTTTATTATCATGTTGGAGTAGTTTTTCAGTTTTATCATTATATTTAGAGCCTTCATTAAAACCGATACTATCTTTATGATTCGTCTCACTATCATCATTTAATTTGCTTTTGGATATATTTTGGTAATCAGAATCAACATCCACTTCGTCTTCATTCTCAGTTTTCTTAGTGGTTTGTTTAGCAGCAGCTTGTTCAACACTAGAGTCAACTTTTATTTCAGTATCTAACTTAGATTCAGTTGATGGTCCAACTTCAGAATCAATATTTTTTTCTTTTTGATTGATTGAATCCTTTGTGTTTGAAACGCTGACATCAACTGGTTTTGAATTTTCTTCAATGAAATCAATTGGAATTCTTATAATATTATTATCATTGTTGTTGGTGGTAGAAATATTATTAATGATAGAATTTGTGTTTTTGACTTGATCGCGATCTTCGTTAGTTTGTTGATTAAACTCAGATTTCAATTCATTCTTGAATTGGACCTGTTTTTGAGCTGGTGGGTGATTTGTCTTTTGTTGTTCTGCTTCATTGATTTTATTTTGAGTTTCATTTTGAATTTCATTTTGAATTTCTTTTTCATTTTCTAATTTCTTTTCATCTGGGTTTTTATTTGTTCCCTTTGGAATAATCAACATCAATTTAGTTGAATTTGAGGTATCGATGATTCTCGACTCAATTCCGTCAACATTATTAATGTTATTATTAAGTCTGTACTGCTTTCTAAGATCATCTTCTTCAGAACTGATAGTTAAGTCATACATATTATTATTATTATTATTATTATTATTATTATTTCTGAAATTGCAACTGGGTTTAATTTCTTTGCTCAATTTGATTTGCCAGTCATCAAATTTGTTATCAATGTTGTCTCTGAGATTTAATTCGATCAATCTAGGATTGAATTCTTTGACAAATTCCAATGTGATGTTATCTGCGTTTTCGTTTTGCACAATACTTGTCTTGTACTTGTATTCAAGCTCATTCTCATATAATATGTCAAACAACTTGCTGTTTGTGTCGTAGTATTTTGACTTCTGTCTGGGTGTTAATCTTTGATTTGGAGCCAATTTTCTGAATTCTGATGGTGAATCATCAAACGGGATAAATCTTGGAGGTCTGCTGTAATATAAATTTAGCATAGGATCGTAGTAACTGTTGTAATTGTTGTTGTAATTGTTGTTGTAATTTTCGTTGTAATTTTCGTTGTAATTGTTGTTACTGGGTGTTGGATAACTAAAAAAGCTATCGCTTAGTGAGTTGTAATTGTAGAACATTATTATAAATAGATTGATTGAGATTGATTGAAATTGATGGCAAGATAAAATAGAAAACAAAAACTATTTAGACCAGTACAACATTCTGAATGTATTTATACCAGTCAGAGCACTGGAAGCACACTTTGTCATCGTCAGCAACACCACACAGGAGGTATTTTTTAAAATTGTGAAACATAGCCAAAGATCATCTTTAACGTCACCTGCACTAAAATATTGAAGTAAATAAGAAAAGAATGAAAAACCGTTCCCGGGTCAGAGAGGTCTGTAGAACATTCTAGAAACATGTCCTGTTTGAACAGGTAAGTGGCGTATTTGTGTGAATTTTGGTGATACCTGGATGCTTTTAATGTCACCTATTATAGTGTGGATAAGAGTAGACGTGTTTTTAATAGCCATTATTATCTTTTTTTGATTGTATTAAAAATTCCAAAAGCATAGCTTTGAAATTCAGGAATTATCACTTGTCAATGTTGGTCCAATCTAACCAATTTTTTGTCAAATGAAACATCAAAAGGTATTGCAATATACATTCACCTATGATAGTAGTATTGCTATCATTAGATTCATCATTAAATAAGTTGAAGATTAATATTTTTTTCAATTTATAATCCACAGTATATCAGAATAGAATAATGAAGTTTGAAAATTAAATCAAATCAAATCAAATCAAATAGATGATGTATTTCCGAGGGCATTTGAGCGGCATATCAGCTGATTTAGTCTGATATTTTTTATATTTAAATATAGAAACTAGAACTTTCTGCGTCTATAACAACCCTACAACAAAGAAAAAAGAGCCCTGGTGGCTATTTCCGGGTAACGAGATTTGGTTTTTCCATTTAAAAAGTTTTTCTTTTTTTTAAGTAACAGCTCAGATGAGAAATAATATCATAAACTAAATTGTGATTGAAATTGTTGAAATAAATTAGATTTAACGGTATGTGTTATTTGTTCTGATGGGTTATGATTTGAATAGTTTGCTATGATTATTTGCAGTAGTACCAATTGTTCCAACTGAATTGTCCTATGTCGACATAAGCATTTATCGTTAAGTTTCAGCCTTGTATGAGCTTTTCTATTCAAATTAATTTGTTTGATCGATATAAATTTTGATTATTTAGTGTTTTCAATCCAGTATGACTAACACTCATATCTAGAGTATGTTTCAATTATTATGATTATTACGATTTTTAATAAAAACAAACCGGTTCTGTTTTTAATGATGAGAAACTTCAGTGTCGGGCGGACTTAGTTGGCTGTTTATCACTGGATTTTATCCAGTAGCTGCATTCAAAGTGTACAAAATATGAATGTTGGTAAGCGGTTGCTGATGATAATGGCACATTTCTGAAGAAGAACAAAAAGAAAATCAATAAAGTAAAATAAACCTGTCCTTTTCTGCTCTTTGTTTTGTTTATCAATTTAGAAAACGAAGAATTGTTGTAATGTAAATTAGGCACTAACAATTAGTTACTAGATGTCTCAGAAAATGAAATGTTTTTTCACAGAACTTTCCTGAAATCTTGAACTTTCTCAAAATTTCCTTACTAGGTATGTTTGAATTGATTTTTTGCTTTGAAATTAGATTGTTCGTTTGAAATGATGATCATATATTCACACTGTATGAAGTGAAATTTATAATTTTGCCTTGATTATCAAAAAAATACAACTGATTTAATGACTCTGACCTCACAATCTAATTCGATCCGCAATGATAATGCTCAAAAGCTTGCAGCCTATCTCTTTGTTCTGAAGTGATTATACTAACTCTCCAATACAGCAAGTCTAGCACTTTCCCACCAATAGAGTAATATATAGTTTTTGTAGTAACCTATTTTGTTTCACTCTCTCTTCACTTGTAAGCAGTAACTTCATCAAGGCTCTTCACCTGTTTTCACGTGCAAATCTAGCTCCATCCTCTATTTAACTCACTAAGAAGTGTCTAACTAACAGACAGCGATATCAATTGCCCTGGAACTGATCTTGAGTATCCACGATCCTATAGTATATAATCTATAGTTTCCTCTGTTTGTTTCAATCCAGCTTTCTTTGTTGGTCTTTCCCATAGCATTGCTTTTTGTGCACATTCTTCCATCTCATTCCAAGCCATATAGACCACCAACCACCACAAGTTCAATTAAAATTATCTTTCATTTCTTGGTTCTTACTTCTCAAATACTCTAGACTATTTTCCATTTAGTAATTCCATTTAGTAATTCTATTTAGTAATTCCATTTAGTAATGCCATCACCAGAGCCATCTTTATTGCCTCCAAATGAAATTGAGGCACTTTCTTCGCTAGAGCTTAAATCGAGCCAACCTAGTACAAAGGAAAAAACTAAAGAAACAGGCAAAAATGAGGATTCTAATAACAATGATCAAAAAACCAAGAACATCAGTACAACCAATATTCGAAGTATTCCTGACTTATCTTCTCCTTCTTATAGCAGTCATGATGAATCTCAATCTGTCAATCTTTATAACAATGAACCAGATTTGGTTTCTCAAGATCTTTATGCTATTGTTGATATTGGCTCAAATGGAATTCGGTTTTCTATTTCCTCAATTGCTGAACACCATGCGAGAATTATGCCATGTTTCTTTAAAGATCGACTAAACATTTCGTTGTTTGATGCTCAATATAACAATGTTTCCTCGAAATTGACCGATAAAATCCCAATTCCCGATGAAGTTATTGAAGAGGTTTGTAAAGCAATGACTAGGTTTAAATTGATTTGTCAAGATTTCGGTGTCAATAACAATAATGTCAGAGTCGTGGCAACCGAAGCAACGAGAGAAGCAAGTAACTCTGTTTTATTTAGAGATGCGATCTATCAAGCGACTAATTGGAAAGTGGAACTATTGTCAAAAGAAAGAGAGGGCCGAATTGGAGCATATGGTGTTGCCTCATCTTTTGATAAAGTGAATGGATTGTTCATGGATCTTGGAGGGGGATCTACACAATTAAGTTGGATCACATCAAACAATGGGATAATTAATACAACGAAAAAGCCAATTTCATTACCTTATGGTGCTGCAGCGTTAATTAAAAGAATTAGAACAGAAAACCAACGGGATTTATTCTTAGAGATTAAAGAAAACTACGAAAAGGCTATTGTTGAGTTATCGTCTGATATTCCGGATAGTTTGATTAAATATGCTGAAAAAAACGGCGGGTTTGATTTATTTGTGTGTGGTGGTGGATTCAGAGGATTTGGACACTTGCTATTAAGTGAAAATAAGGACTATCCAATTCCAACTATTATTAATGGATACGGTATTTCGTATAGTGAATTTGTCAATTTAGGAAATTATTTGTTGGTTAAACAGACATTGCCAAATAATAAAGATAAAGAAAATCTATTTCGGGTCTCTGAAAGAAGAAAACAGCAATTGCCGGCAGTTGGGTTATTAATTTCTTCGGCATTTGATGTATTACCACGATTTAACACCATTTATTTTTCTCAAGGAGGAGTTAGAGAAGGTGCGTTGTTTGAGAAATTTTCTCCCAGGGTTCGATCATTGGACCCATTGATTATTGCAACAAGACCTTATGCACCATTATTAGTGAAGCAGTATTTGAAATTGTTGTTGTCTTCCTTGCCAAATGAAAAATATATTCCATATGATGTTTACTACCGAATTGCGCCAAGTTTGTGCAATTTGGCATTTGTACATTGTAATTATCCAAAGGAGTTGCAATCAACGGCTGCATTACATGTTGCTACAACGGGCGTTATTGCTGGTGCTCATGGATTGTCTCACAAGGCAAGAGGATTAACTGGGATAGCATGTTGTGAAAGATGGGGAGGCGATTTGCCGGAAATCGAAAACAATTATAAAAACTCGTTAATCAAGTTGTGCATTGAAGAGAGTTCAAATAAGGTTGAAAAATTCAAGACCATCTTTTGGACAATCTATATTGGCAAGATAATGCATATAATTTGCGGGATTCATCCGGGAGGAAACATTAGAGAAACAGCAATTCGATTTAAAATTAAAGTTTTGAACAACAACAATATTAGTGCTCCCTCCACAGGTAACACAAGCACCAGTAACAGTGGCAATAGTAATATTGACATGATTGTTAATGACGATTCGATGGTTGATCTCTCTATGAGCGAGAGAGAGACAGAAAGGGAGAACAGAGTCAAAAACCAGTTGGCGGCAAAACAGTTCAACCAGGAACCTAAGTTTGAGATAATTTTCCAAATTATCAAAAACGATATTCGAATGGGATTAAGTGTCAAAAACCGAATCAAAAAGGAGCAAAAGAGAATTCGCAAATTGAGCAAGGTTTACAATATCAAGATAAAGCTCGATATTGAGTTGTTGGACAAATTCGATTAGGTGCAGACGTTCAAATGAAACAGACAAGATAGCCTGCAGACCGGATATATAAACAAATAAATACAAATAATAACAGCCATAAGCAAATATTTTCAAAGATAACCATAATCAGAGCAAACAGATGCCAGTATCCAAAGCATCTCCTATATGGATTTGTTCACTCAGTACAGGCGCTCTAACTGTATAGCGCGAAATCTGGGGAACTGTAACTCGGCTGGACCCACACTGCTGGAGTCTGCTTACCCAAACAGGACCGAGTCGCCAGCCCGGAGAAACGCCTGTTCGTGTCCGTTCGCGGCTAAGATCGTCCACCACCGGACGCTGGCCGACTAACCTTCGTAGACGTCCCGTACAGTCGCCGGTCTTCGAGCGGGGTTTCGGCGCCCCCACAGAGACGAGCGCTGTGCTGCGGCAGCAAATCAGCGTCAACATGGCCTAATCGGGACGTAGATAGCACCGCGGAGCGTCGGGGCATCTCCGAGCACAGGGCTGGAAATGCGCCGAAAAAGAGCTGCTTTTAGTGTCACTGTTTTCTGAACTTTTCTGAAGTGCCCCAGGCCTGAGGTATAAATAGCAAGCAATTCGCTTCTTTGTTGAAATCTCGATCTTACTTCAAACACATCAAAGTCTTCTGCTGTTTAGCTTATTTATTTTTCACTGTTTTCCAGTTACTTATTCTTGTTTTATCTCGCTGCTTCACATATTCAATCCGATTTAAAGATGGTTCACTTAGGCCCCAAAAAACCTCAACACAGAAAAGGTTCCATGATGGATGTTCCAAGAGACTTGATTGAAGAAATCAAGGTCTTGAAGTCTATATTCTCTGTTTCTCCAGCCAAATTGAGACAAATCACAGACCACTTCAGATCTGAACTAGAAAAGGGTTTATCTGTCAATGGTGGCAATATCCCAATGATTCCAACATGGGTCCTTGATTATCCAACCGGCAAGGAATCTGGATCATATTTAGCAATTGATTTAGGTGGCACCAATCTAAGAGTTGTTCTTGTCAATTTGTTGGGAAACAGAGATTTTGATACCACCCAATCCAAATACTCTTTACCAAGAAAAATTAGAACTGCCACTGCCGATGAATTATTCGATTTTATCGCAACCTCAATCCAAGAGTTTCTTCATGAACAATACCCCGATGGTTGCAAAGAAGAAATTCCCTTAGGTTTCACCTTCTCTTATCCTGCTACTCAATCTGCTATCAATACTGGTCTTCTACAAAGATGGACAAAAGGCTACGATATCAAAAATGTTGAAAATCATGACGTTGTACCAATGTTGCAAAAGGCCCTAAAACAAAAAAATTTGCCAATCACTGTTGTAGCTTTAATCAACGATACAACTGGTACTCTAGTTGCCTCTCATTATACCGATCCAAAGGCTGAAATGGGCTTGATTTTCGGTACAGGCTGCAATGGTGCTTATTATGAATTAATCAAAAATGTTCCAAAATTACAGAAAGATCTACCAAAGGATATCTCCCCAGACTCTCCAATTGCAATTAACTGTGAATATGGTGCCTTTGATAATGAACATAAAGTTCTTCCCAGAACTAAATACGATATCATAATCGACGAACAATCCCCAAGACCTGGTCAACAATCTTTCGAAAAAATGATCTCAGGCTATTACCTTGGTGAATTATTAAGATTAGTCATGTTAGATTTACACCAAAAGGGTTTACTCTTTGAAAATCAGTCCTGCGATAAACTAAAAATCCCCTTCCACTTAGATACTTCATTCCCTGCAAAAATTGAAGAAGATCCTTTTGAAAATTTAAGTGATGTCAAAGACTTGATTTTAGATGAATTAAACATCCATGCTAACATAGCTGAAAGAAAGCTAATTAGAACTTTAGCCGAATTAATCGGTACAAGAGCTTCAAGATTATCAATCTGTGCCGTTGCTGCTATTTATCAAAAAAGAGGCTTTACCAAAACTGTTCATGCTGCTGCCGATGGTTCAGTTTTCAACAAATATCCAGATTTCCAATCAAGAGCAACTCAAGCTTTAGCTGATATCTTTGACTGGAAAATGCCAAAAGATCAATATCCAATTGTCTTAGTTCCTGCTGAGGATGGTTCAGGCGCTGGTGCTGCAATAATCGCTGCTCTAACTGAAAACCGTATAGAAGCTGGTTTATCAATTGGTTTATAATATATTCCTCCATATTAATCAATCATAATAATCATCATAATCATAACTATAATAATTACTAAATAATTATTAATACTTCATTATTCTTTTGCTTTATCATTGTGTGTGTGTTTATTTGTTGTTTTTTTTTTCCTTCTTTCATTTCTTTCATATTTCTTTTTCCTTTTTTTAACTTCTAGTCTCGGTTTGTGTTTTTATAGAATAGAGTGCTTGTTCATCCTAATTTTTATCTTACTTTTTATTTTGACATTTTATATTAATCACTACATTAACACTATATAAGTTATATATAATCTAATAATCACAATAAAAAAAAAAGATTTAAAAAAAAAGTTGTTTATTAATGTAGAATAATGTTTACTATATGCTAAAAAGTTTTTCTTATGCCATAACTTGATCTTGTTCAACATTATCAATACCAGTGCTCCTAAATAATTCATCTAAATCAAATTCTTTACTCCATTGCTTCACAATAGTAACTTGATCAGTCTTGGGCAACTCTTTATTGTTTCTTATATTTTTAAATTCTTTAACATTCTTTGGTGGTAAAGTCCAACAAATTATCTTCCCATCTTTCCAATCATTTAAAATACTCAATGCTGCACTATCAAGATTTGGAACTCCTCCTTTGCCTAGTCTTCCTCTTTTTCTTGCAACATGAACCAATATTTGTTTAGTATAATTTTTTAAATTAATATTTGGTATTGGTGGTAATTCATAATATTTTTCAAAATTTTCAAACGGATCGGAATTTTCTAAATTAATAATCCGTTTAATCAACAATTGAATTGCATTTGTTGGATCTTTTATAAATTTATTTGATAATGCATTTAATAAAACTAATTTATACTCCTGCTCTTTCTTAAATTGGTTCAATTTACTATTATTCTTAACACCAACTGGTGTATTTGGGAAAATAATACCGGGTGAATCAAGAATCTTTAACTTGTTATCTATTTTGACTTCACGTAATGAAGTCGTCACCCCAGCTTGATTACCAACTGGACAAGCCTTTGATGACCTATTAAACCTAGAGGTTAATGAATTTATAATAGACGATTTTCCAACATTTGGATAGCCAATAACACCAACAACAATAGATCTTTTTAAATTACTTTTATTTGCATAGGTTTTCAATGACTGCAAAAGATTTTTCGATGTGACTGCTTGAGAAAAATTCTTATTAAAACTAGTTGTAGTGTTTGATCTTGCAGCAGAATTTCCTGATGCTGCTTTAATGGGTATAGTAGGAAATTGTGATTTAAAATATGTTAACCACAATTGAAGTATATTATCTGGGATCAAATCTATCTTATTTAATATAAATATTAATCTTTTGTTAGGATCGCTTAAAACAGCTTCTTCAACTTTTCTTGATCTAGTTGTTTCTGGGTCTCTGGCATCAAGAACATATAATATTACATCTGATGCCTCAACAACAGCTTTAAAAATCTTATCATAGGCTTTTCTTGACTTATCCATATCATTTGGAATAATAGATTCGTCATCAGAGTATTCAATTTCATGATCCACTATATCCAATTCATTTTCAATCTCTTTTTCCATTATGTCTTCGTCTTCGTCTTCACCATCATCCCCGTTAAACTCTTTGGCGGCTTGTTGAGCAGAAGCCAATAATGCAGCCAATGGATTAGAGCCTTCATCTTCAATTTCTTCGTCTTCTCCAATTTGACTTTGTTCATCATCATTATTCTGATTTTGTTCATTTCCTGCAACAATTTTTTCTTGTTTAAGACGCTCTTTCTCTAGCTGATCTTGCAACCTCTTGTTCTCGATTTGTGAAAGAATTTTATCTTTATAAGGAAAACTAGATGGGATTCCAGGATCCTTTTTTTTAGATCTCCATGTTGGATCCTTCTTTGAAGACTTTCTGTCTTTTCTTCTTTGAGCTGCAGCTTTCTTCTTAATTCCCTCCCTCATACGGGTAGTGGTTCTTTTACTTGTTGGTTCTACGGTAAACGTGTTAGAATTCTGCTTTTCAATACCATAACCAGGAATTTCTTAACAAAAATTTATCAATATAACATACTTCTTACTTTCATTTTAGTTTATGATTCCTATAATCCTGTATTGTTCTGGATTTTAAAATATTCTCTATCAAACTCCAGTCTGAAAAATTTCAACAAAATTTTTTTTTCAAATCAAAACAAAGAGGCTGGTGCAGGCTGATGTTCTGTGGCGAGTGAAAAATATTTTTTCTCCGTAGATGTATGCTATTATCGAAAATGTCTCAAAAAGGTAGTTATTTTTTGGCGGAGATATTTTGTTCTTTAACAACAAAAACTCGTTTTTTCTGTATTTTGTTTTTTAACTTCAGCTCCAGATCCAGAAAATTGACAAAGAAATGTGTTAACTATTATCAGCTTATCGATTATTTTGATATCATCGTTTTGTTTTTTTTCATCATTTTAATTTTTAGTTATTGGATTTAATCTTAGAATGTCAAATTATGACAGATATGGGATAGTGATAGATTCTGGCTCCTCAGGATCAAGATTGCAGATATTTAAATGGGAAGATCCATTATATACTAAAATACACTCTATTAATGAAAGTATTCTTTCCTCTATACCTCAAGTTGTTCAAGAGTCTGACTGGAATAAAAAAACCTCCCCAGGTTTGTCAACTTTTAATAACAACTATAAAAAAATATGGTCAAAACACCTTAAAAGTTTAATTAAATTTGCTGAATCTAAGATTCCAAAGGAAAAAATCCCAGAAACACCAATTTTTTTACAAGCTACTGCTGGTATGAGATTATTACCTGAAAAGTCTCAATTAAAAATATTGGAAACTGTCTGCAAAAGTTTAAAAGAAAAATCTGATTTTTTGGTCACGAATTGTCAAGAACAAATTCAAATTATTAATGGTGAACAAGAAGGCATTTATGGATGGATTGGTTTAAATTACTTATTAAGTAATTTTAATAATTACAATTCATTGAATAAAAGCCATTTCTCTTATGGGTTTATGGATATGGGTGGTGCTTCAACTCAAATTGCTTTTGTTCCTTCAAATGCTTCAGATTTGATAAATCATAAAGACGATTTATCTAAAGTTTTTTTAAGAAATGTTAATGGGGACTTGCAACAATGGAATATATTTGTTTCTACATGGCTAGGATTTGGTGCCAACCAGGCCAGAAAAAGATATCTCAACCAGCTAATCTCTTTGATACTATTAGATGATTTAACATCTAATGATAATGATATAATAAATGACCCATGTCTGCAAAAGGGGTTAAATTTTGATTTTTATTCATCCATGGACAAAAAGACTCATAAAATTAGAGGAATTGGTGATTACGAAATGTGCATTAGAATTCAATATCCTTTATTATTGAAAAACCTACCATGTATTGATGAACCATGTCTTTTCAATGGTGTTCATGTACCGGAAATTAATTATGAAAAAGATAAATTTATTGGAATTTCTGAATATTGGTATAATACTAATGACATTTTCCAAATGGGTGGTCAATATAATTTTTTGAAATTTAATGAAAAAGTAAAAGAATTTTGTGAAACTGATTGGAAGACTATTGAACAAAATAATGAAAATGGCCTTTATAATGACATTCCAATTGATTATTTAAAAGATTCTTGCTTTAAATGTGGTTGGGTTGTTAATATATTACACGAAGGTTTCAATCTACCCAGAATCGATATTGATTCAAAATCAATTAATAAAATGAGTAAGGGAAAAGAAACTGAAAATATATTTCAAAGTGCTGGAACAATTGCAGGTGCTGAGCTTTCTTGGACCTTAGGTAAAATATTATTATACGCCTCAAGTCAAGTTCCACTCTCAAAGCATAACCCAAATGAAAAACAAATTGTGGGAATTCTACCTAGCGAGTTTGATGATAATAGAAATTTTTTACCTGGTGGGATTGATTTATCAATTAATACAAATTTTGAACAGATTACGCCAATTTTTTCTTCTTTTCTTAATTTTTTTTCTTATTTTTTTTTAATATTTATCATATTCGGAATAATTATGGTTTTAATCAGCACTAGAGCTAATGGGGGTAATAAATTTTTGAATTCAATTTCCATTAAAAGTGGCTTAAATTTTAGTATCTTTAAAAAATTTAACTATATTGTGGATAAAATATTGAATTTTGTTGAAAGATTACTTAAAAAGATATTGGCAAGAAGACACTTCAGAAGAACTGTCTCAATTAATAGCGGGTTTGAACTTGATAATGCATTTACAGATATTGAAGGAGGAAATTTATTTTCTATGAAAAGATCAGCTACTACTCCAAGAATGAACAAAGTGCCAAACTCATCGTTTTATAGAAGTTTTTCAAACAGCAGTTCAACATCAGTTTACAGTATTAACAATGGATTTAATTCGGTAAACGGAAACAATGGATTTTTAAATAATTCAAAATCATATTTCAACTCTAATTTTGAATTTCAATCATTAGGAAATAGAAATAATTTGAATTTGAATACAAATTTGATAAATAGTAATTCTGCTGGAATAAATGTTGAAATAGAACCACCGACCCCATTGGCTCAAAAATCTGGTAATAGTAATTCAAATGTTTTATTTACTACAGATGGTTCTTCTTCCAGCTTATACAATGTGGATATCAATGATGATGACCAGAATGATAATCATAATAATAATAATAATAATAGGAATAGTTATCTAAATGACAAGTCAATGTCTTTCAGTCTGATTGAGAATACAAATGAAACCAGTATAACATTAAATAATCTGCCGACAAATTCGCATTTTCCACAATTGAGGTCTCGCACAAGTAATGCTAATATCCATATTAATCTGAATGGGAATGAAAATGAAAATGAAAATCGGGTAATTTTGGAAGAAAACAGTAATAATGAAAAAAAAATATAATTCTGAGTTAAATTTATCTTTCAATTTTAGAAAGCAAAGTATTTGAAATTTATTGTTAAAGTATGACAAAAGTAAATGTTTAGGGAGTTTTTCAGCAATTTGTAGAAAAATTAATATTTTTTGTTTTCGTTTTTTTAACTTATATTTAAATGAACATTATTTTTGCATATTTTATCATTAATTCGAATTAAAAAGTATTAGAAACCGTAAAAACATGCTGAGATTATTCATTATACATTCACGTGATTTGGAAATTTCTTTTAAAAAGGTGAAATATAAACTTCAGTTGAGTTGATTCATAGATTTGGAGTCAAAAGACCAACTCAATTCTTTATCAACAAAATTTGCGTAATTACAATTTTATTACTATAGGCTCTTATTTTCAATGTCTGATAACAATTTAAATAACGACGTTGCCAAAATTCCAGATTTTGATTTATCTCAATCTGTTTTTTTATTGAAAAACCCAGCTCTTTCATCTCGCCACCCAAAGGCATTGGAATATTTATTAAGTGAGATCGAAAAGGAGAGATTAGGTCCATATTATTGCTATCTTCACAATGATTGTTTTACAAAGGATAATTCTGTTTTTCCATGGAATGAAGAGTTGTATAACTCAATAAAATTGGATAATGAAAAGGAAATTGCAACAATTAAAGATAAGATAAAAGAAGCGGAAAATGACGATGAAGGTGAATTAGAAATTGTCAAGGGGTATACAGAACTAGGAGAATATTATGCTAAGATTGGAGATAGAGAGAATGCAATTATTACATTAAGAAAAGCATTTGAGTTGACGCCATCAACAGGATCTAAAATTGATATTTTATTAACAATTTCCAGAATTGGTTTTTTTTTCGATGATTTAATATTTATTAAAAAAATATTAGAAGAAACCAGTTCATTGATCGATAAAGGGGGAGATTGGGAGCGCAGAAATCGTTTTAAAACATACAAGGGAATTTATTTGATGTCAATTAGAAATTTCAGTGAAGCTTCATCATTATTAATTGATTCCTTAACAACATTTACATCGAGTGAAATATCAAGCTACGAACAAATTGCTCAATTTGCATCAATATCAGGGGTTGTATCATTGGATAGAAAAACTCTCAAGAGCAAGATTGTTGAGTCATCGGAAATTTTATCATTGAAATCATCATCTCCAGGATTATTACCAATTATAAATTTAACTAATTCACTTTATAACTGTGAATATTCCAAATTTTTCAAGTATCTTTCTGAGGTTAACGATGAAGTCTTAGTTCCCTCAAAGTATTTATCAAGACACGCATCATATTATTTAAGAGAGATGAGAAGAAAAGCCTATTCCCAATTATTGGAAAGTTACAAGTCTTTGTCATTAAAATCGATGGCAGATCAATTTGGGGTCAGTATTGAGTTTCTTGATAATGATTTATGTAAATTCATCCAAAATAATAAGGTCAATTGTGTTATTGATAGGGTCAATGGAATTGTCGAGACAAATAGACCCGACAATAAGAATGCTCAGTATCAATTATTGATTAAACAAGGAGACGCATTGTTAACAAAACTACAAAAATATGGTGCTGCTGTTAGATTGAGTGGTACTGAAAGAGTTGCATAGATAGTTGATAATTATATATTTATTCAACGGTCAATAAAAGTCTATCTTTAATTGTTCCTTAAATTTAAGTGAGATATTCAAAAAAAAAAAGTAATTGTAAATATGATGTGGTAGATTAAACTGTGTACTTTGAATAGTGAAAAATATTAAATAGAATGTAAAAAATAGCAAAAAAATGATTTTGCCCAGGATCGAACTGGGGACGTTCTGCGTGTTAAGCAGATGCCATAACCGACTAGACCACAAAACCATTTTCTATTGTACGGAATTATGCAAAAACTTATTAGCTGTTAGGTGTTATTACCAGCTGTATTACGATTTATTTGGACTAGATTTCGAGTGGATTGCTGGAAACTTAAACAAAAAACGTTGTGTGTGTAACATCCCATCTCCTACAATATATTATTATCTCATTGAATGCCAGCACAATGAGGAAGCAAGAACATTCACAGGCATAAGTCCTCTGGAACTTGGTTCAGAGAGGCCTACCCAACTTAAGCAACTTTTAGGTACAAGAAAAGGAATCAAAAAGTTGGTTAGTTTTCTAGAAAGGGCATGGGACCTAAAACTCTTAAGATCCTAAATTCCTTTTCATCTGATTTGTGGGTTTTCTTCCTGTAAGTTCAGGTTTTCCTTCACCTCGCTTAGAATTAAAGAGTCGGTTTTTGGTTATATATTAAACAATAGTTTTATAGCTACTATATAGGTCTTCGAGTCCCACATGGCTGGCTTTCGGTCACAGAATAAATAATAATAACGTATTACGATTGCTATTACTCGGATCTCACTTTGCCTTCTGAATTGCCTTCCTATAAATATCTTTTTTGTAGCGACTTGTAGTCTTTCTCATTTGTTTTTTGTTTTATCGCCATCTGGTCTGTGTTTAAATTGATTTATAGATATATCTGCAAATTTTCAACCAAATTGATCTCGAAAATGACAAAAGACTCAAAGAAAGTATCCACTACTGTTATGCCATCAAGTGAAGGTAAACAACATACTTTGGGAGAGCCTGGTATTTTCCTCCCTGAAGATCCTCATAAAATCAAGGCTTTTACTGAATTCTCCACTGTTGACCCCAAAACTTTGAACGAAGATAAATAGTTATTAGAAATAACTATATTTATAGTTTATATATCAATTACTAGTCTACTCTATACAATGTTGATATCCCTTGTTTTCTACGTTTTCGAGATACCATATACCCTAATTTTTATAGAAACACACCCACCATACACACACTTTTACTGATAATATTGTTTTTTTTCTGAAAAATACACGACATTTATGCCATACTCGCAATTCCAATTGTTGTAGCACCAAAAGAAGCAGAAGAAGCAAAACATCTCTGGCCTGCATCGGCCCAATTTCCGTCTCTCATCGCTGGTTTTGGTTAAGCTTTTGGGAGTTGCCTGTTTGGGTGATGAAAATTGTTGAGACGATAACCATTAAATTTTCATATGGTTATTGTCTGACTTTCTATTAGATAAAAATTGTTTTGCCTGTTTGTTTCCCTTTTTTTTTCTCTTTCTTTTTACTTCTTACTGTTTTTATTCGCTCTAACTCAGTAATCTTCTGGTTCTGATCATGATTGCTGAAATAATTGATGGCAAGGCTATTGCTGCCAGTATTCGCTCAAATATTAAAAATGAAATCATTTCAATTAAATCAAAGGTTCCAACTTTCAACCCTTCATTCACAATCATTCAGGTTGGTGCAAGACCAGATTCCTCCACTTATGTTAGAATGAAATTGAAAGCTGCAAAGGAGTCTGGTATTGAATGCGATTTATTAAATTTGCCTGATACTGTGACTAATGATGAAATCCTAACCCAAATTGAGATCTTGAACAATAATCCAAAAATCCACGGCTTGATCGTTCAGTTACCATTACCAAATCACATTGATGAAAAATTAATTACTTCTGCTGTTGACAATAAAAAAGATGTTGATGGATTTGGCACCGAAAATATCGGTGAAATCTCAAAGAAAAATGGCGATCCTCTATTCTTACCCGCTACTCCAAAGGGTATTATGAAATTATTATCTGAATCAAATGTAGACTTGGTTGGTAAAAACTGCGTTGTTTTAGGTAGATCAGACATAGTTGGTTCACCTATGTCCAATCTTTTAAGAAATGCTGATGCAACTGTTACTACTTTACATTCAAAATCTAAGAATATAGATTTTTTCCTTAAAAATGCTGATATCGTGGTCTCGGCCATTGGTAGGTCAAACTTCGTTAAAGCTGATTCCTTGAAGAAAGATGTCATTGTCATTGATGTCGGCACTAATTTCGTTCCCGACTCAACTAAGAAATCTGGTTCAAGGATGGTTGGTGATGTTGATTTTGAATCAGTTTCTCAAGTCGCCTCAAAAATTACTCCAGTTCCAGGTGGTGTTGGTCCAATGACGGTTGCCATGTTATTAGAAAATGTCCTTATCTCTGCAAAAAGATTTAATGAGTTAGGTTATTCATTTGCAAAACCAGATTTTACTCCATTAAGATTGAATTTATTAAAACCTGTTCCATCCGATTTTGAAATTTCAAGAGCTCAAAAGCCTAAAAAAATTACTCAGATTGCTAAAGAATCTGGAATTCTTTCCTCTGAACTCGAACCCTATGGCTCAACTAAGGCTAAAATTAAGTTGTCCATATTGGATCGTCTTGCAAATAAAAAAAATGGTAAATACATTTTAGTCACCGGAATCACACCAACTCCATTAGGTGAGGGTAAATCAACTACCACTGTCGGTTTAGCTCAAGCTTTGGGTGCTCATTTAAACAAAACTGTATTTGCGAATGTTCGTCAACCTTCAATGGGTCCAACTTTTGGTATTAAAGGTGGTGCTGCAGGTGGCGGCTATTCTCAAGTTATTCCAATGGACGAGTTCAATATGCATCTTACTGGTGATATTCATGCAATTTCAATGGCTAATAATTTATTAGCTGCTGCAATTGATACAAGAATCTTTCACGAAAATACTCAAAAAGATCCTGCTTTATATAGAAGATTAGTTCCTGCTAAAAAAGGAAAGAGATCTTTCACTAAATCCATGCTAAGAAGATTAGAAAAATTAGGAATCAATAAAACCGATCCAAATGATTTGACTCCAGAAGAAGTCTCAAAGTTTGTTAGATTAGATATCGACCCAGATTCAATTACCTGGAGAAGAGTAGTTGATTGCAACGATAGATTTCTTCGAGGTATCACAATCGGTGAAGCTCCAACTGAAAGAGGTATGACAAGGAAAACTGGATTTGATATTTCCGTTGCATCAGAATGTATGGCAATTTTAGCATTGGCAAATTCGTTAGAAGACTTAAGAGAAAGATTAGGAAAAATTGTTGTTGCTTCATCAAAAGCAGGTGTTCCGGTAACTTGTGAGGATATTGGTGCTGCTGGTGCTTTAACTGCTTTATTGGTTGATGCAATCAAACCAACCATTATGCAAACATTAGAAGGAACACCAGTTTTTATTCATGCTGGTCCTTTTGCTAATATTTCAATCGGTGCAAACTCAGTTTTATCAGATAAAATTGCTTTAAAATTAGCTGGTGTTGATTCAGCTTTATCAGAAGAGGAAATCAAAGAACAACAAGGCTATGTCATTACTGAGGCAGGTTTTGATTTTACCATGGGTGGTGAAAGATTTATCAATATTAAATGCAGATCCTCTGGTTTAGAACCAGATGTTGTTATCATTGTTGCTACTGTTAGAGCATTAAAAGTTCATGGTGGTGGTCCAGATGTTAAAGCTGGGTCACCATTGGCACAAGAATACACTCAAGAAAACATTGAATTATTACAAAAGGGATGTGCTAACTTAGCTAAACATATTTCTAATGCTAAAGAGTATGGTTTGCCAATTATTGTTGCCATTAATAAGATGACATCAGATACTGATAAAGAGCATGAAGTCATTCGTCAAGCCTCAATTAAAGCCGGAGCAGTTGACGCTATCGTTTCTAACCATTGGGAAGAAGGTGGTAAAGGAGCAGTAGATTTAGCCAAGGGTGTTATTGAAGCATCCAATTTACCAAAATATTTCAATTTTCTTTATTCAGTTGATAATTCTGTTGATGAAAAAATTTCTAAAATTGCAAAAGTCATGTATGGTGCAAGTAAAGTAGAATTTTTACCGGAAGCCCAAAGGAAGATAGATTTATATACTCGACAAGGATTTGGTAAGTTGCCAATTTGCATTGCTAAAACTCAATATTCTCTTTCTCATGATGCCAACCTAAAGGGTGTTCCTACTGGATTTACATTTCCAATAAGAGACGTCAGAGCCAGTATTGGAGCAGGTTATTTATATGCCTTAGCTGCTGAAATCCAGACAATTCCCGGGTTACCAACTCATTGTGGATTCATGAATGTGGAAGTTAATGAAGATGGTGAAATTGATGGTTTATTTTAATCAAATCAATTTATTTTCAAATTTTACTTTTTTTCAATTCTTTTTTATGTGTTTTGTTCTTAAATTCAACATTTAAGACGTCATTAATATTCTTTTTTAAAATGGTGTTCTCCAAAAGGAGAGGATAAAATTTTTTAATTTTATTTTTGTTTGTTTTTTATTCAATTTCTATAGTCTTTTCACTTAATATTCTTCAACATGTATTTAATTCACGAAACATCTCTTACATCTAAAAAGATACAATATAAAAACGATTATCACAGGACCAAATAAGACCAGCACAATTATGTAAAACGTATTGATTACTAAATGTTATAAGATTATAAATTTCACGTGATTTAAACTTTTATATCTATTATGTAATACGGATATGATCCCTTTTTTAAAGGGCAAACAGACACTGAACTCAGATTGTTTTATTCACTGTATTTTGCATGTTATATTTTGTAATTTTTATCTCATATTTTATTTTAAACGTTGGTTGATTATTTGTTTTTGTTGGCTGTTAAGACAATGGAGAACTCTTCGTTTTCTACTTCACATTCGTGCTCTCATTCTCATTCTGCCTCACATTCTACTTCTGTTTTCAATTCAAATTCAAATTCAAACTCTATAGTGATGACCGAAGATACTGCCCTAACAAGTTTTTCTAACAGCTCAAATAATGATGGGGATAATAGCAACAGAGACAGTAACAATTTAAGTGTTCTTTTAAACAACTCTTCTCCTAATACCACTGGCTCTTCTAAGACGACATCTAATTCCATTTTATCAAATAACGAAAAATTTAATCAAAATACAGACGAGATTCAAATTCAAATCGATCCTATAAAACAAGAATCTGGCGATATAAGCGATCAGAACATTCTTCAAGATAATGATATTACTAAAGACAAAGAGAATAATGATATAGAAAATTCAGATGTAGAAATGGAAGATATCAATCAAATAAATAATAATGAGGAAGAAATAGAAAAAATATCCTTAATAACTGTGTTTGATAAGGACTCCTCTAAAGATAATAAAAGCACTGATAAGGATAGCCCTATTGGAGAAAATAACCATGAAAATAGGCAATGTGGGGACGAAAATGATAGTAAGAATGGAAATAAAGTTGAAAATGAAAATGAAACCAAGATTGAAAATAACTCCAATGGTAGCAATAATAATGAAAATGATAGAATGGAAATACATCATGATAAAGACAATTATAACACAAAAGAATTATCAAGTGACTCCAATGGTATTAATAATCTACTAATAAATAACCTTATTGAAAAAACAATAAATGATTCAATTTCAGATAATAGAAACAACTCAAAACAAGAAAAAATCAAAGACAATCCCAAAAATAACACTGAAGAAGATACTCCAAAAAATAATCAGATAGAAAATCTACCAGAAAAAAATGATAAAGAGAATGAAAAGGAGGAAAATATACAGATCGAGAAAGAACTAACTGAAGAGGAAATAAAAGAAAGGGAAAAACAAGAACTAATCAAGTTTCGTCAAGAAGCAATTGAATCACTTAAAGATATTGAAATCCACTTTGCTAAGCTAAAAGATCGTTTGTATGAGGATAAACTATCCAGATATAAAAGCGAGATCGAAATGTGTATAAATGGATCCCATCCTTCACTAAGAATAATGTACGAAAAAATTGAAAAAGATAGAAACCAAAAAATCAACTTGGTCCATAAAAGAACCAAATACGAACTCGAGTGTGTGGAGAATCAAATAAGGGCCCAAAGATATTCGATACACCAGCAGTTCTTCAAGGACTCAGTTGAGTTCAAGGAAAAGCTTCTCAGAAAAAGCTCTCTGAACTGGTATCAAATATATAGAGAAAAAACAATCTTGGACAATTCGATATAGCATCATAAAATTTTTTAATTCTAATAGTTGCTAATTGATTCATGCCATTGCAGTATGTGTTCTTCCCTGATTCTGATAGCCCTGACACTGTTTTTTAATATGCTACCATTTCCAATGGAGAGCTCAACTGCTTAATTGTATTCTATCAATTAATTACATTAACCATAGGTTTAGTTAATTAGAGACTATTTTAGAGACAAATTGATCATCGACACAGTTCTTCCGAGGGTGTTTCTCGAAAAAGAACCGTGGTCACATGATGTATTTATCAGATTTCGGTATCCGATTTTTCAATTTGTTTTTTTTCTTTTGGTGATATCGAAGTAAAAGAAGAACAAGTTCATAAAATAGATAGAGCAGATGAATTACTATTCGTTTTCTTGCAAATGGTTAGTTTTTTTGATTTCTAATTATTTACTTGGCTAGAGTGAGAAAAATTTCAACTATCATTTGAAATCTTATTTGTGCTTATCATGTTTCTACATTGAGTGTTTCTTATCGTTAATGTCATTAATATTATTATTTATATATTCATTGTCACTGCTACTATGCTCTGTGTTGAATAGCAGATCCTGTAGACACAGCTCTTCTTCCCTCACCTATCAATGGTGAAGAGGACTTGTTCATTAACACATTACCAAGCTGTGAAGTCGATCTCTTGAGAGGAATTAACATTGAAGTTCGTCGGCTAATAAACGTTTTTTTCTTGGGCTTGTTTTCCTTTGTAGTTGGTTCATTATGGTGACAATTATTGTTGCTTTGAAGTCCCATAAATGGTTTGCTTTTAAGCCCTCCTATTTTATCTTTATTGGCGAGCAAATATCTGATTGAATTATACCAGCTGTTGTGGCTGATTTTATTTGGGCAGATCAATTTGATGCTTTTATTATTTGAATATATTATTAAGCTTTTCTTATAAAATTTTCCATCTATGCTGTTCTTATTGATATTGTCATCAGCACTCTCTATTCTGCTTATTTTTAAACTTCTTGCTTTTATATTTTCATTTTCTTCGTTATCATTCCAACTATCATATTCATTACTCATAAAACTTGGGTTTTCATCTGTCCAATACAATGATAATTTATTTGGAACAACCCAAAAATATCTCTTGTGATATCCTTCTTTTTTACCAGATGTTAACAAACTGTTAAATGATTTAATCAAAAATTCTCCAATCACTATATGATTAATTATTTCAATTATATTTTCCTTCAAGACTGATTTAAAATTTATCTTATCATTCATTGTAACATCAATGAACCTTGATGATCTCTTGTTGATAATATCATCTTTACTATATAAGCTGCTCCTTTTCATTTTTTTGAAATCATTATCATCAATCATATTTGAACCAAACTTATTTAAACTCTCTTTGAATGATGTACTATTATTATCCATCTTATACAATAATAATTTTCCTTCCTCTGGTCCAACATGAGATTCATGATAGATATCTGATGGTGTAGATATTTCATTTTCATTGTTACTATTATTGCTACTATAATCATTGTTATTGTACAGATTATTATAAATATTTTCATTTTCATTAAAATCTTTGCTATCTTTAATTTTATCATTATCAACCTTTTTGACAAAAAATTTAAGTCTTGAACTTATGGAACTTGTAGATTTATTTTGATTTTTCATTGAAAATATTTCTTTCTTTTCGACTTTTAACTCATTATCCACTTTATTAGTATTATCATTAGTATTATGTTGAATATTATTACTTCCGTTACTATTCGATTTATTGCTCATATTATCATCATTGTCATTCTCAATCTCCTTAATAGTGTCTCTATTAATACTTTGTTCGCCGCTTTTTATGCTTTTGTTAATACTCTTATTGATACTTTTAATGCTTAATTTATCTCCGATTTCGTTGATATCATTTGATCTTTGTTTAATCAATGTATATCCAAATCTTTTAGCTGCTTCGAAAAAATCAATTTGATCACTAATTGAATTGATCTTTAATTTGTCTTTTTCTTGGTTGATATCATTATCATCAAATGATTTTAGTTTATTATGTTGCCTTAGTAATTTGTTTTCCTCTTCTAAAACTGAGCATCTTAATTCTGTATAGCGAAATTTACCAAGTAACTTTTCAATTTCAATTTTAACTTTAATCGAGTGTTCAATTACTCTATCATCGATATAATTCAATTTTTCGTTTTGTTTGTTTAGCCTATCACTTAATTTGATTAGGATTTTATTTAAAATTTTCGTTAATTCGGAATACTTTTCAGATTTTAGTGAAGATTTGGATAAGATATGGTTTAATTCTTTGTTTAGCTCTTGTAAATCCTTGTGTTTATTTTCTAGTTCAGAATATTTACCAAATATTGTATTAAAATCGTCATTATTATTAAAGTTGTTAATATTTAGAGTGTTTTCATTATTTATTGAATTTAAGCTTTTTGATTCACTTATTGATTTTATTCTATTATACTCTTCAATATTCAATAAAACTAAATTATTTTGAGAAACATAATTGTCAATGATATCTTTATGGGATTTGTTAATAAGATCTTGGTCATCACTTAGGGTTTTAGTAAAAGTTTTATTGTAATTTTCATTATTGGAGAATTGATCATCATCATTATCATCATCATTGTCATCATCATCTGGTTCTATATCACTGGGGTTTATGCCAGATTCTCTTTCTAGTTTTAGCTCTTTTAATAAATCTCTAGTTGCTTCCTCGATTGTTATAGTATTATTATGGTCATTATGGGAGGTTTTGCTATTACTGTAGTAAATGGTATTGCTATGGGTACTAGTACTGGCATTTTTATTGGTACTAGTATTAGTACTGTCAGTAGTAACGGTATTATTTTGAGGAAACCTAGTATTTATGATTGATTTATCATATTTTGGAGTATTGTTATCGCATTTAACTAATTTATTATCGATTTCGTTAACCTTTCTAATTGATATCTTTTTCAAGTCTTTTGATCTATTATATAGACCAATTTTAACCAATCTTGCAGAAGAAAAGGTCAAGGGATTCTCAGAATGTTTATGAGAGGAAGTTGGTAGTATTGGAGTATCGATTTCAGAATCAGATTGAGACTGGGAGACAGATTCAGAATCAGATTCTATTTCAGTTTCAGTTTCAGTTTTGTCAGAATCAGAGGATATGTTTGGTTTTAAATTTGAGTCAATTAAATCATTTTCTAACAATAGGCTATTGAGTTCAGATTCTGAGCTATTTAGTAAGAGAGAGAATCTTGAATTACTATTAGCTGCGTCGAATTTTGATTTTAGTAATTGAGACTTTAATTGGATAATGTAGTTGTTGTATTTTTCAGTTTTGGTATTGAATTTGAATCTTAAATTAGATAATTGGTATTTATGGTTTAATAGTTCCTGAGCCAATTTTGATACTGATTCATTTAGTATTTTATTCTGGTTCTGGAGTTCCTTTATGGTTGATTTCTTTTGAAAGTTTTCAAACTGGAGTTTTCTTGTTTCTTTGGTGAGATTGTTTGATAGTCCAAGAGAGAAGCCCAATTCTTGATTAGAAACTAAAGAAAAGAAGTTTTGTTGGTTTTCTTTGTATTTGATGAGAGGAAAGTTGTGGGTATTGTTATCATTATAGGAAATATCGGTTATATTGGTTATATCAGCTTTATTGGAGTCGAAGGAGATATTATTAGCTGTAGTATTAATAGTGTTATGAGGATTAATATTTAGTGCTTCAATATCAGGCATCTTATTCAAGAAAATAAAATTCAGCAAGTTGAAATGATTAAAGAAAAAATTATTTATAGATATTTGTGATGTGGTAAATATAGTAGATACTATCTATGTGATTATCAGAATAATTTTAAAACAGAAACAAACAGCCAGTTGGGCAGTGAACAACAGTAGTTTAATGAACAGAAGATATGGTATATGGTATATGCTATATATAAAAGGAATAAACATAAGATTTACATTCTTGTTGGCTGTAAAGTTCTGGATAGATTAAATATAGAGCCCTTGCTGTATTTTAACCTGGAAAAACAACCAGAAGAAAATGAAGAAGCTTTTGAAGTTTGAGAAACGAATCAAACAAGAAATAGCTTTAGAAATTTTGCAAACTGTTTTAAACAGCAAAATCTAGACAGAATTTCAAAAACATTTATGCAAAAATTAGTCCAACAGCACTAGTACTGTAAGTTTAATGCCCATTTCATGAGAAATCTGATAAAACTGGCAAATGAGTGCTCAAGTCAGTGAGAGAAAGTTGCCCATAACCAACGCACATTTGCAATCAGAAGCTCCTTAAATCTGCTACAGTCTGTGATTTAAATGACATTATTGGACATTTGCTAAACATTTACTGGACATTTGGAGATGATCAAGAGAAATGCACGAATACCGTTACAAACAAAATGACCCTAAATGGAATATTTATGATGGATATTAAAACTATGGTTGGAAGTATGATTGAAAATATGATTAACTTATCACGACCCGTTATAATTTCATCACAGCAAATGAAAACGCAAGTAAATCACCTCAGAGTGAGTGCTAATCGTTTAGTGGTCTACAATCCAGCAACAGTGCAATAGGAGAACGATAAAATGATACCACTTTGTTTTACTATCTGGTCCAGTTTATTATTCTGCGATAATATGGGAATAAAGGAGTGCTGAAACCTAATTGCTCGACTCTTCCGGAACAAAAGCTGGAAGCAGCTCTTTCTGGACTAGGCATTTGACTAGCCAGAAGAGCCATTTGCTCAACCATCTCATTTCCAGCTCATTGCCAGTTTCGCTCAACCTGTTTTACAAAAGTTTCGCAAAGTGTTTTAAATTCTTGTCAAATTCTTTCAAATTCCTGTGAGGTTTTTGCTTTTTTTTTTGCTTTTTTTTGCTTTTTTCTACGAGTTTTCAACCGCATTCCTAAACGGGCGATGAATCCGTAGAGGTGGTTGCATCTTTCAACGTGCGTTTTGCGTTGTGTCTGATTTATGCATTGACATGCGTGGTATGTCTGGCCAATGATAGACGAGTGTTTAGTATGGGAAAGAGTGGTATTTGATTCTTTAAAAGTTTCAAGAAAAAAACCAAAAGTTATACGTAAATGGTTTTCTTGGAGCCCTCAGTCTTTTACTGAGGGAAAAGCTCCGGTAAAAACGGCTAAGCTTGTTTATCTTAAGTGAGGAAACTGGACTGCAACACTCTAGTAGAGATAGACCTTTTGTGCGTTTAGGGCTTTTAGGGCTGTTTAAAGTGTGATATTCTTGTAAGATTCTTTTACTCCATGTTTAAAGCTTTGTAAGAGAAAATAAATGAATTGGATCAACTGGTGATTGGAACTAGTTTAGTTTCAGCTATGGGTTATGAATTTGTTTGATTGCAGGTTTGATTATAAAATGTCAATTGTATCTCAGCTTTTTTATTAATTTACTCCTTTTTTCTTTTCTTTTTCAATAAATTGAACAAATTTAAACTCTTTTAAACTCTTTTAAACTTTCATAAACTTCCAAATCGTTCCAAAGTTATTGATAATGGTTCAAACAAGAATTGAAACAGATGCCTTTGGCGAAATTGTAAGTTTTAATTTGAAATATTAAGAAACTAAGAAATTAAAAGAAAGAAAATTGGATTGTTTATTAACGTGATAATTTATTTTTTTTTTTCTATTTTATTTCAGAAAGTCGATGCCTCGAAATATTGGGGAGCTCAAACCCAAAGATCATTGCAAAATTTTGCAATTGGAGGAACCACCGAAAGATTACCAGAGCCATTAATTATATCATTTGGTATTCTTAAAAAAGCAGCAGCTATAATTAATATGAGATATGGGCTAGATCCTAAAATTGGAAACGCAATAATTCAAGCAGCAGATGAAATCATTAATGAAAAATTGAATGATCAATTTCCATTAGTTGTATTTCAAACTGGATCTGGAACCCAATCAAATATGAACTGTAACGAAGTTATTAGTAATAGAGCAATTGAGATCTTGGGAGGCCAAAGAGGATCAAAGACTTCAGTTCATCCTAATGATCACGTCAATATGTCGCAATCATCGAATGATACATTCCCAACAGTTATGCATATTGCAGCTGTTTTAGAGATTAGTAATAAATTACTACCATCACTAACTAAATTAAGAGACTCGTTAAAGAGTAAAAGTGAAGAGTTTAGTAAAATCATTAAAATTGGTAGAACACATTTACAAGATGCTACACCATTGACGTTGGGACAAGAATTTTCCGGCTATGTTCAACAACTAAATTTTGGAATAGAAAGAGTTAAAGAGACGTTACCAAGGCTAAGTAATTTAGCGCAGGGAGGAACTGCAGTTGGAACAGGATTAAATACAAGAAAAGGATTTGATGTCGCGATTGCTGAACAAGTATCGAAGATAACTGGACTTTGCTTCAAAACAGCACCAAATAAGTTTGAAGCACTAGCTGCTCATGATGCATTGGTTGAAGCATCAGGAGCGTTAAATACGTTGGCATGTTCATTGTTTAAGATAGCCCAGGATATTAGATATTTGGGGTCGGGACCTAGATGTGGATATGGAGAGTTGATATTACCAGAGAATGAGCCAGGGTCTTCAATAATGCCAGGAAAGGTGAATCCAACACAATGCGAAGCAATGACCATGGTTTGTGCACAGGTATTTGGCAATCACAATACAATAACGTTTTGTGGTGCTTCAGGGCAGTTTGAGTTGAATGTATTCAAGCCTGTGATGGCAAAGAATTTGTTGAAATCGATTCGGTTGATTAGCGATTGTTGCAATTCATTCAGAGTGCATTGTATTGATGGCATCAAAGCGAACGAAAAGAAGATTAGCAAGTTGTTACATGAGTCGTTAATGTTGGTTACAGCATTGAATCCCAAGATTGGATATGATATGGCATCAAAGGTGGCAAAGAATGCTCACAAGAAGGGAATAACGTTGAAGGAAAGCGCATTAGAGTTGAAAGCGTTAAGTGAAGAAGAGTTTGATGAATGGGTTAGGCCAGAGAAGATGATTGGGCCAAAGTTATGAAGATATAATAAAAAAAACAGATGAGATGAAAGGGAATAAAATAGAATAAAGTAAGCTAACATGAAAAGAAGTGAAAAATAAGATGGAATAGAATTACGAGTTTATAATTTATTTTTTTTGTTGTTTCATTACAAAAATTTCCAATCAAATAAAATAATAATATTAGAATAATAACATTAGAGTGGCAATATTAGAATAATAGATGAATAATTTGAAATGGTTGTAGTAATTCCAAATCTCTAAAAGATTTCGAATATTGTAAATCTGTTTATTATTACCCTTTTTGAACCATTCGTCTGGAAATATAGGCTATTAGTGTTTCAAAAACAACTCAAAAGCAGATCATTTTAATGAAATATTATAAAAGTTTATAAAAAAAGCAGCAAATCAACAAGTAATTAAATTAGCAAAGTAACGAAATAGAAAGTTATGAAGAAATGCAATCAAAGTAGCAAAAATACAGAAAATACGAGAAATCTAGTAAAGGAAAGGGAAAAAATAAAAGCAAACAAAGGAAAAAGCAGTGAATATGTACGAAGAGCTGGATATAGAATCATAATAATAGTACATTAAATTTCATGAGGTTCATCATTAATTCATTAATCAGCTGAATATCATAATTTTAATTGAATTGCAATTGCAATTACCATTGAATAAGAAATGAAGTTGAATTGAATTTGAACTAACTTTGAGTTGAATTGGAACTGAATTTTAACTCCTTCAAGAAAGAATCATTTATAACCTGATAATTTCTCAATAGAAATAGCTTAATTTAGTGAAATATGCAGAATTTGCAAAAATCGAATCTCGAAACAAAAATTAACAAATCAAGCAAAAAAAAGCAAATCGAGCCAATGAAAACAAAGAGTTGTGTATCACATACTTGCATTTGGATACCGGTATCTGCAGGTATACACAGTATCCTGCATTTTATATCTGTTGCCAGACCACGCTGAGCAAACTGGCCAATGGAAGGCGTTTCTTTTGTCTGCGAGCAACCAGGAGCCAGAAAAAAAACCGCAGAAACTAGGTTTGGCCGATGGATCCGTGCGTCGCGTTTAACCGCTGCTGGATCCGAACTGATATACGAGCTGACCCTCGAACGGGCGTTTGGATTTGCAACCAGCATGTGACCGGATTAAGAATCGTCTCAGATTAATGTAGTGCGGCGGCAGCTCGGCCCCAAAACCGGTTGAGACCTCGTCACTGATCCACCAAATCTGTGCAGCACGCACGTCCGCGCGGGATGCTGCGTTGATCAATTTGTTTCTAGGCGGGTAAGCATGCCTTGTCCCAGTACTACAGGTTTCCTGCCAGAGACAGTTAAGAAAGAAGTAACTTGATGGAGCATTTTGTGTAAACGAATATTATTGGTATTGGTAGCTCTGTATCAGTTAATATATTGCTACAGAATAGAGCAATAAGTGCAAACCGCTAAATAATAATTGAGTATGAGGTGAAGATATGCTTGGTTTGTTAAAGGGTGTGTGATAAGTGTTGGAGAGAGAAGATAAACAGTTGGTTTAGAAACTCCAAAAGTCAGAAACTGGAAACTGAAAAGTGAAAAACTGAACAAATAAGAAAATGAGAGTCACTATTCTCCAAAAAATCTAAAATTTAATATGCTTTCAACTTGCTGTTTTCAACCAGCTAATTATAATTTCTCGTTGCTCAATGGCTGTTGATAAAACGGAGGAACAGGCGGTAGGGCGTCGCAGTTGAGAAGATTAAATTTATAACAAAAGAGCAATTTTAGGATTTTGTAACAAGCAAATTACGACCAGTGGCGATAAAACTGTCTTTTGAACTGCCATGAACTGCTGTGGTTGTTTGGATATGAGCTGGATATGAGCTGGATATATCTGCTATTTGAATGAGCGTAATGGATATTCAGGAGTAAACAATTTGATTCTTCAATCTCATTTCAAGAACTGGCCTGTGACTCTGCTGAAATTTAATTCATTGATCAGAAACACAAAACATAACATGATTGAAAAAAGGAAATGAAATGAAAAGAAGGAAAAAACAAAAATGCACTAATTATAAAACAATAATAGCAGTAATAATATTATTTTTATTGTTATCACTAATTTAAATTTTAACTTGCAATTCCAACACTGTAATTTCATTATATTTGGTTATATTTTGCTGTGTTTCGTTGTATTTTATTCTGTTGTTTTGTATTTTAGGTATTTTATTATATTTTTTTGTACAATTTTTGTTAATTTCTACCAATTTTTCATAGTTTTCATATTTTTTTATCATTTTTCTATCATACTTTTTCTATGATTTCATTATGATTTGCATTTTTATAAATCTTAAAAATCTTGAAAGTCCTGAAAATCTTATATTGAAAAATGGGTTAACTATTTTCTATGTTTACAATATTCTGAATATTTTACATATTTAATCTCGCTTTATCTCATTTTTCTAATTTTACTCATTTTTCAGTAATTTCTTTTTGCTTTTTTTTCACTTTTTGTTCTTGCTTTCTATCTCTTTCTTTTTCTTTTTTTCACTTTTTTTTACTTTTTTTTTAAACTCAAGATTACTTGTCAAGTCAGCTCCACGTTATTCAGAGTTTCATCTTCATAATCTCAAATGAATAATTAGCAAAATTCATGATTGTATTATCTCAATTTGTCTTTAGACTATCTTTAAACTATGTCCAGTCAAAGATTGCCCAATGATTTCCATAACGAATAAACAACAAAACAACAAAATAAAGAAATAAAGAAATAATAAATAAAAAGAATAACAGTACCCATTCATTTACAACCTTATCGGCCCTTTGGTTAAAATTGGCTGTTTTAATGGAATCTTTTTCACGAATCTTACTAGAATATTTCTCTTTAAAATTTACGTGCCTAAGCTTGATTGGAAATACAATCATTTAGTGTTTACTTATCATTTAGCGTTTGCTTAGCATCTAGATTATATTTAGATTCATCTAAATTTCATTTAGATATTATCTATTAAACACTTAGCCTGATTGCTATTGTAACTCTTATGATCAATAATATTGATATTCTGATTATATTCTGATTATATTCTGATTATATTCTGATTATATTCTGATTATATTCTAATATTCTGATCAATATTGTCTATCTTAATAGGCCTAATATCCGCTTCAGCATGCGTCTACATGCTTTGTCACGTCTGGTTACATAATCAGTACGCTCCCGATAAAACAAATCTCTAGCTATCCCGTTTGTGCAGCCTCGTCTCTCCTAACTGCCTATTAATTATTATTATTCCTACTCACTATCACTTAATATTATTTATTACTATTTTCTATTAATTCAGTAATCAATTACCAGTGTTCACTATTGTTTACTCCGATAATCTGATGCACTGAATACTATTTAGTATTAAATAATAATAAATAATATTATTTATTATTATTTATTATTATTATTTTATATTTTTAAAATTATTTATCATTTATTTTTATTTATTATTTAATATCATTTAGCTTTTCCCTGCCCAGCCAATCAACATGCTGCCTTCATCTCTCACAAGCATATTCCCTGCAATAACTACCGAAATACTACTTTTGCCACACAGCCCAAGAATGTTAACAGCACAGACCTTCTCAACCCGGAACACGCAACTCATGTTGACGCACAGCGGAATTCCAAACCTTCTGTATCTTCCAGTTTAAACATTAACTCTATTTACAACCTTAAACACGATACAGTTTTTTGCAAGGTTCACGTACAGTGCTGTTAAGGTTCTAATTAGAGTTCAGAAAAATTGCACCAAAACTCTAATTCGGTTCCTAATTAAACTTGCAAATTCAATTTCCTTTACAATTAAAATTCAAAAGGGCAGTTGTAATTTTTGAACTTATTTGGCTTTGTATAAATAACTTCTATTTTCTTTGCTTTTGTTTTCTGTTTGTTTTCTGATTCTTTGATTCTATTCAATTACATTAATTCAGGTTATCTCGTTTCTCCCTCCAATATCCAACCTCTCTTTATCTTTCATTTGTATTTATATCTCCTTCTGTTTATATCTATAATACCTCTCATTTTCTTCTCACAATGAATATGTATCAATATCAAAATCAAACCCCAACTCATTCCCTCACAAAATCTTACTATTCGAATCAAAACCAAATCCATAACCACCAAAACCAGATCCAAATCTCAAACCACAATCACAATCATAATCATAATCATCTCACTAATACCCCAAACACTAATATCAACGCTATTAGCAACAACAGTATCTCCTACAACAACCAAATCATTAATTGTAATAGTCAAAGTAACCAACAGAATCAGCAGAGTTTCAATCACCACAATAACTTTCCTGCCCAGCACCAGAGTACCCATAATAGCACACATAATACTCATATTGCTCAAGAATATAACCGCCAACTGTCTGTTTTCAGTCATTCTCAAAATTCAGTCCACAACCACAATCTTTTTAATAATGAAGCCTCAAATTATAACTCGAATAGCCAAATATGCTCGTTATCAACTTCTCCCAATGACTACACTCTAGGAAAATACGACTATAATAATAGCGCTATTCCTAATAACGCCAATCAGGTTCCTAATCTTAATAACACCATTAATAATCTTCACAGCATGATAAACAATACCACCAATGCTTTAAATACGTTTGCTTCTCTTGATTCTGTAAACTCTCTTCATTCGGTTAACTCTGTAAGCTCTGTAAGTTCAGCAAGCTCAGTAAATTCAACCAAAACTTTAAATACTCCTATTCTTAGTCAAAACAGCTCTTTTAATAATAACAATAATAGTATTAGTGCTAATAACAGTATTAATATTAACACCAATATCAATAACTATAGCGGTAGAAGTTCCCCAATAATATATAGTCCAAGTGACAATATTAATTATCAAAATGATAAACAAAATCAGTACCAAACTTTAATTCCAAAACATCAAAATAATGCTGCTCAGGCCAACAGCCTTGTTAATAACTATCCAAACACTTTTCCAAACACTTCACCAATCCAAAACCAAAGTATTAACTCTAACGATATGGTATCAAGTGCAGTTGGTAATCCAAACATGATTGTAAACACAGTCACAAATCCAATCACAAGTGCAATTCCAAATGCAGCCACAAATGCAAAGAAAAACTTTATCAACCAACAACCAAAAAAGTACAACACAATGAAAAAAATGAAAGCTTTTAAACCAGGTAAAACCGTCAGAAAGAGAAAAAACCAAAAAAATAATTCTGGAACCAAATCTCTAGATAAAAGCAATACACCAAGTATCAAAATGAGAAAAAATAAAATCACCAAGAACTCAAGCAAGGCCAATAAAAACACAATCGTCAATAACGTTACAAATTTTACTAATTTGGCGACTGTTAATCCTATGAATAATATCAACAATAATATTAATGTTAATATTAACAACAATTTTGCAAATGAAAGTGTCAAACAGTTTTATAAAAACCTTCATGCTGATGAGCAAGCATTTGAAAATGAATTACAATCTGTTTTTAATAGAATTTCAAATCTTATGAATGAATTTCCGTTATAAATGAATTTTTTTTATCCATCATTTTTTTTACTAAATTTATTTACTTTTTACTACCTTTTTTTTACTTTACTTTTTTGATTCCTTTAGCGTGTACCTTCTGTTATTTTTTTTATTATCATATTTTTTTTGTTATTTTACTGATATTTTCATGATTTTGGTTTTTGTTTTGGTGATTAAGGGTTTAATTTCATTTTATTCTATTCTATTCTTCATTCTATTTTACTTTACTTACTTTTTATTTAAGTATTGATTTTGTTATAATATATAGTCCAACATAGTATAATATAATATAAATTATTAGAAACCTGATTAGCAGCAACCTGTTCCATTCAAACTTGTTTAGTTGGAACTTGTTGGATTAGAATTTACAGTTTCAGAAATGTTAGAAGTAGAGTTAGCCTCAAATATCAAATAACGAGCTCCAACATTCAAGTTGCAAAAGTACGTTAGCTGGGGCAAGTTTATAATTGCAAATTAGCAGCAAATTTGTGTAGCAACATAGGCAGAAAAAAGATTGCCCAGTAAGTGGATAATGGGAATATTTTATTATTAAGGCTATTGTTGTTAATAGTGCTGAATGATGGCCTCAAATGGATGGGAACAAGAGAAAGAGAGAGATAAAAGGGAAATAGAGAGAAGAGTTGAGTACTTTTTACGAGTTTAAAGGCATGTAAGTAACCAAAAAGCAGATAAATCTCTCCTTATTTGTGTCGTTTGATTGAATAGGCAGAATAATTGGAGGGAAACCATTCATTGTGATTTCTAAAAATTGAAATGAAATAAATGTTTAAGATAAAAATTGAGTGATGAGAGCGATCTGTTGAATAGAGTAAGAGAATTTATAGAAAAATGCTAATTTATTAGCAGAACTTTGAAATTGGTACTAAAAAGTTGAAATTATTAGAAAATATGAAAAAAAACAGAGCCAATTTTTATAAAAAAGGATAGAAAAATATAAAAAAATATAAAACAATACAAAAAATTGGTAAATATTATTAAATATTATTAAATATTATTAAATATTATTAAATATTAGCAAATATTAGTAAAAAAATATGGTGATCAATTTATTTTATAGAATAAATACCAAATATTTTAAAATATGAAATGAAAATGATTTGATTTTTTTTAAACCATTTTAATTCAATACAAACAAATAAAAAGATTAAGTAAATTTAAACAAATCTAAATTACAATAAATTAAAATCGTTTTGAAACTAAAAAATTAATATTGTAATTGCTAAAATTAAAACAGAAACTTTTGATATTCCTTTAGAATTCAATTTTTCATAATATCAAATAAACAAGTCAGTAAATCAATAAGGAAATAAGGAAACAAATATTATTTAGTATTAATCAGCTGTTTAATAATCAACAGCTGAAATGTGGAAGAAAAAGAAAAAGAAAAGCAGTTTAAAGATTCCAAATATTTAAAAAGGTTTAAAAGAAGACTGGAAATGTTTTGAGAATTAAATTAAAATTAAATTAAAATTAAATTAAAATTAAAATAAATTAAAATAAATTAGAATTAATATTAAAATCAACTTAGATCAGATTGAAATGAAATTAATTCAAAACATTGAAAGAATTAAGGTACTTTGAACTCAGAATTTAAGACTTGAAGTTTGATTTGCAACAAGCAAAAAGTCACTAAAAAACTGACTCAATCTGCTTTTGATTTACTCAAAATAAAAAGAATTGAAAAACAAAGCCAAAGTCAACAGATTTCTTTGTAACAAAGCAGTTACAAAATAAAACAGATACTTGCTCACGATTCAGTATTCTGTTTCTATTGCTGTGATCCTTTGCCGTTCCGCACTCTGATTGGCTGATTCCGGTTTCCCAATCGGGCCGAGCAATTTCTCGTAGAAAGGTAAAAGAATATCTTGCTGAGAGCCCAAAAACAGTGCAAAACAGGGAATTATAGGAGAGAAAGAAGCATCGCACTGTTCTCATTTGCCTCTTCCTTGCTCGTGTTTCCTTGCTCGTTTTGCAGCACATTCCTCAAAAACAGCAGATCCATCACACGCGGTGCACGTGACTGTACCACGCAGGCAGGTTTGTCGCTCTTTCCCGCTGGAACGGGGAAATGCACCAAAAAAGCCCAAGGCGAGGAAGCAGGAGCACAAAATCGCCCAAACCCATGGGCTCCATCCGCTTGTTTTCCGCCGGTGAGATGCCTCAGATTCCTCAGCTAAGGCATCGGGGGCAGACTGATTGGAAGCACACTCAGCAGCCCGTGACCCGCAATCAATGTGTCCCGCGTTCTTTTGCATGCATGTTTGCCATCTACAATGTTGTTATGCTGACTTGCATGCACACGCGCTTGTGACTGTGCTGCAATTACGGTTTGAACACGGGTTGAACCGCTGCTGGGATGTGTTCCCTGTCGGTTCAGGAGAGCCCGCTCGTCAAACACGGAGCGGGCCCAGGAAACTTGCAAGGATTCAGCAGCAGCCAAAAATAACCGAATACAGCTTGCCACCTGAATATATTATTAACCTAGTTATTATTATACCTGTTGCACTTGTTATTATTGCACTGGTTGTTATTATACCTATAATTATGCTGTTTATTATTATCAGTAAAATTATTATTGCTTTTTTTTCTTATCTCCATGATATGTGATTGACAATTTCCCTTTTGAATCTAATTTCAAGGCTAGTGCAGTGTGTTGAATATTGACTATTTCTTCCTGTTTTGTGTTCTTTGTTCCTTTTTGATCATGTTTTTTGAAATCAGGATGGTGTTGTTAATTCATGTTCATGATTGAAATCATTTCTGGTTTGTTTGGTTTTCCCATAATCTCTTGTTTTTTTGTTTCGTTTTATTTGTTGTTGTTTTTTTTACATTGCATCAGCATTCAAAACGTATTTAAACTTCAGACCTCAGATGATTAAAATCATTTAGTTTGTTCAAAACATCATAACCAATCCTTGGTTTCATCAACAACTGCAATTACAATTTGATTTGCTCATTACATAAATTACTGATTTGATCCATTTCTTGTAAAAAAGTAGATGCAAATGCAAATTATTCTGATCTAAAATTCTTCTTGTAAATTCCCTCCAATCGCTTTTCTTTCTTTAATTTCATTTTGCTTTTTTCCAATTTACCAGTTTACAGCGTCTACTTTTCATTGGCTGATAAAGTTTAATTAACCACTGCTACCTAACAACTACAATTTAAATACTTAAATACTTAAACACTATTATTACACTACTATTATGTGGTTTAGAATTAATCTTTACTGGTAATTATTCATTATCTATTAAAGAATAATCACTAAATATAATTATAATTATAATTTTTTAATTAACCAAATTAAAATTTATGATTTTATTCAGTATTATTCTAAGTCATATTACTAATCCCAACGCTTTGTTTCAAAATCCCGATAGCAAAGGTTAAAATCTAATTATTTCTTGATTCCAATCACCCTATTAATTTTCCAATAAATTTCAAATTATCTCATTAACAAAAATAATAGAAAAAAAATATTTTTGGAATATTTTTAAAATAATTTATGATAATTTTATAATGATCTAAAATTTCCAATTAAAAAATTCAATTAAAAATTCAATTAAAAATTTAATTTAATTCAATTGAATTGAATTGAATCTTATTTTATTATTATTTTATTATTTTATTATTTTAATGTATTTTATTAATTCCATTTTCAACTTTTTCTATTATCTGAAACAAATTATCAAACTTCTTGGTTCGCCAAGTTTTTAACAAACATATTACCATTACTTATCTTATTCCTAAAACACTAAACTCTAAAAGTCTGGCTAATTGCTGATAAATAAATAATAATTGCTAAATTTCAAAGATACAAAACCTACAAACGCTGCTCAAACCGGTACACAGTATGTACTCACTTCATCTGCAGTTCAAACTCAAAATTAGTCCGTGTTAATCTTAGGTTTCCACCAGTTTTCTTTTTGCATCCGCCACAACTTAATCTGTAAACATTGCCCAACCTCTGTTTTCTTTTCTTCCTCCTTTGCTATCAGGACGTTCTCCAGACCTGTTTACAAACCTTATTCCCACGGTCAATATACTCTCCATTTACGACAGAGTTTCAACTTTAACTCAAATAATAAAAAAGAAACAATTTTGAGAAAAAAATTATTAAAATAAAATTAAAATAAAATTAAAATAAAATCAATTCAAACATCAATTACATAATTTGTACACTAACAAATCTAAATCTGGAGATGAATTCAATTAAAGTGAATAATAAGTATGAAAATAAATAAATATATATTAAAAACATCTCGTAAAATAAAAGAATAATATAAATATACAAAATAATTATCTCCAAATCTTACTCCGTAGTTTGACATAATATAGTATAGTATAGCTTAATAAAATATAATACAATATTAGTTATAATATTATTATAACCACAATTGTTATGACTCAACTTTTATAAAGTAACTTTTATGAAACATCTTTTACAAATTCATTAATCCTCCACTGAAGGCCAAACTCCATGTTAAACTCTGTCCATTATCGAGAAATTTAATATCAAATTCATCCTCTGAAAAAAATTCAAACGAACTTTTAGCATCAAACAACGCTTGATTTAACTTCAATATTCCTCTCCATCCACTGTCCAAATCGTCAACAATGTTTTCTAATAACCTCTCCCATTCATATTTACTAAATTCTTTCCCCCTAATCAATGATGAAATAGGTGTGATGGGTATCATTTGAATTCCATTAATATATGAAATGTCTGTCCCAAAAAAGGTTACATGATCAAGTTTGTTCTCAAATAATATTCCTGGAACAATATTTCCAACAAACTCACTAGGGATCACTGCATTATCTGAAGAATATAAATAATAATGGTTTATTGTTCTCTTCATTATTGATATCATCAAGTCTCCTCGTTTCTCCATTTGCTCATCTTCTACAACCATCCCCCATAGCTTCATTCCATATGCAAAGTTATAGTCTTCTGATGATGATTCCTGATTGCGCCCATCTCCTGAGCTAAATAACCCACTGGCCCAGGAATGCCCATGGAACCAATCAAAGCACCTATAAACTGGGAAATATTCGTCTTTCTCAGTGGGATTAGCTACATCTCGAATCAAATAATTAACCCAATCTTTGTTTTCATCGATCCAGCTTTTTTTCTCTGTATCTTCTTTTTCTTCTTTCTCATCATTTATCTCTAAGTCAACTTTCCCAACAACTGCTGCTGCATGAATGAAATACCCATAATGAAAATGATGATCATTAAAATATGAATTCCCATAATCTTCAGAGCTGCTTCCAGTTATCGCTATTCCCCCAATATCCTCAATATAACTGAGTGGATAATGTTGCGAATTGCTTGTAAATAACTGAAATGCTTCTTTGATCTCATTTAAAAGTATCTTGGTTAATGTATCATTTTTCAATATCATATGTGTAACGATCAAAATATACGCATATTTATCGATGATTTTACCTGAGCTATATGTGTCTGTTCCACTAATTAGATTTTTCATATTACCAACAACACTCATAATCTCGTTTTCTGCTGTCTTTTGTAATAACTCTATTTGTTCTTCTGAGTAATTAATTTCTTCTTCAGTTATATACTCAGAATTTACAGGTAGAAATTTTATACCCGAATATAATTTTTCTTCCATATACAATTCATCTGTCAAAAATCCTGTCATATATCCCTTCGTTGTTGATGATAATCGAATGTTGGTACTGCTTGAAAGAGTATCAGCACTCATGGCATCAATATGATGTTGAAATGCAAAAACTAAGGGTTTCAAATTATCATTAGATCCAGTAACCATCTCTGTCTCGTATTTGAACCCATATTTACTGGTTTCTTCGCTCAACATCTCACCAACTAATGTTGTTTTAGTCACATATATCCCAGCTGCTTTATCATAATACTCTTCTTTACCCAAATCATCCGGTGAAGTGGCAACCTGAATAACTAGTCCATCAATAGCTTTCGAGCCTACAATTGTCGTAGAACTATCTACTACCATCGTCAAATTGAAAATATCCATTTCATCTCTAGATATTCCACTGACATATACTAACCAAGTCGCTGAATTCGCCAATAAGACTCTATATTTTTGAATCGAATTAGAATTAGAATTAGAATTAAAATCGATATCTCGATTAATAGATGAAAATGATACACTTGATCCAAGAACTGGTACCAATAAAGAACCATGATAAACACTACTAACAAATCCCATTCCTTCAACAATAGGAATCTCAATGTAATTTGAATTGTCAAGTTCTGGTCTTAATTTAACATTAACTGACATATGTCTTTGTTCAGATATCTCTATTGATGGCTGGTTATCTTTAAATTCTGTTGATGAGAAGATAAATGATCCAACATATGTTGGATAACCCATACTTTTAGCTGCTGAGGAATTTCCTGTATTTTCATCAAAATTGAAAACAACATCTTCCTGACTTAAACTCGAAATTCCCCAGCCATATGGTGAAAATGAAGTATGATACCACATCCCATATGGATAACTCCATATCATTCCGGTTTGATCATCTAATAATAAATTAGTGTAAAATTTATTTGTTTGAAATTTATCAGTAAAATCAATGCCATCTGGAAATTTTAAAGATGATGAAATATCATGATCTGAAAACATGTTTTTGGGATTAACAGTAGAGATATTACTAAAAATAGATCCAGAGCTTTCAACTGATTCCGAGGTTGCAGTTTCAATAACATATTCACTGGTTTTTGAAAAAACAGAAGAACTAAAACTAGAACTAAAACTAGAACTAAAGCTAGAACTAAAATTGGGACTAAACAATGAAATTGAAGGAGAAGAAAGAAGTGAAGATGAAGATGAAGATGAAGATGAAGATGATGGAACTGAATATGATTCAATGCTTGTAACACTTAAAGGATTTTTGAATGAGCTTTGGAGACCTGTTTGTATCGATGAAGCAATATTGCTTTTTGAATTTCTTGATGTCGAAGAAGCATTCCAATAACTCAATAATAAAATGCTTGAAAAAGTAGAAGCATCATCTGCCAATGAATTGGGTTTGGATGCTTCACTAGATGAAAAGTCATCTAAAGAAGATGATAATAAAAACGATGTTGGTGATGATTCATTTGGGAAAGAAGTTTCCAGTGAACTTTTACTAGAACTTGGTTCAGCAAATAGCGTTTTTGTTTCACTAAAATTGGTAATAGTCGATGTTTCCTTGGAATCACTGCTTCTATTTTGGGTCGTTGGAACCAAATAAACAGAATTTGATAATGAATATGAGGAAAAAGAAGATGATAGCATTTCATCAGAATTAAACAGCCCATCAGCAACCGAAAACATGACCAGAACTTGATTCATAACATTTCTGGAAGAAGCTGAAGTTGAAACTGGAGACTGGATTGAAATAGCTGATTCAGATACAGTATCCGATGTGAACAATATTATGGATGTTTTTAATGGAAGCAATCCAAAATCCAATGTTAAAGCAACTTCATTATCATTAATATATGTATATGATTGAGGTTCTGTTATTTCTGCTGTTTCTGATGAGAATAAAAAATTTTCCAATAATGTTATTTCAGATGAGCTTGTTGTTGTTCCTAATATTGTTTTCGATGTTGTTTTTAATGTGCTAGTAGATATAGGAACTCCAAAACTTATTGTTAAGATGACTTTATTATCTTTATCTGCTCTTTTTCTTAAAATTTTGTTTTTCTGAGGTTGAAGAAAATTCTTTGCATTATAATAAAACGCCTTAAGATTATAACCAGAAGATGGTTTTGCTTTTTGATAATATGACATTGGATTTTGGCTTAAGAGCTTCAAGCACGATGTCTTTAGTGTTGTTTGTCTGTATTTTGATTTGATAGCTGATGCAGAAGTTTCTTGTAAATTTCTGGTGATTATTACTGAGGGTATTAGTGGTAATATGGACACATTAAATTTTTGACCAGAAGACTCAAGGATAAAGACTTCATTTCTATCATCCAAATATCCGGGATTGAGAAAGAATTTGCCCTGATCAGGCTTGATGAAAAGATTAGATCTATTTTGGAAAGTCTCCTGTCTTGTTCTGGAGATTATTACAGAAAAAGATGTAATAAATAGTAAAAACTTGGTGAAAAGAGATAATATAATCATAGTTCTGAATAGTTGTTTGTAGAAAGGTCAAATAAGCAAATTTTTAAATTGAAAAATAAAAAAATAATGTTTATAGAACTGGCTTTTTTCTTCAGCAATATTTGGATGTCTCTCCTGTCATAAAGCTGCTCATTTCGATACATCTAAGTCTCCAACTGGACGATAAATCAAGAAAGAAGCACAACTTGAGGTTTCAGATACCCCAAAACTGCTTCGGATTTGCTGATGTGTGCTTCCATGCATGTCAACAAATCTCAACGCACCTCAACGCATACAACCCAAAACAGTATCCGGCACGGATTGTGAGCACGCGACTCTATCCGCCGCAACCTCAAAAGCGTTTCACCACTCCTCTGCTTCTTCTGGTGACTAAGAAGCAGATGATTCCCTCCAGAAGAGCCAAAATAAGGCCTCCAAGGATATCTTCCTTGAACCAGGCCAATCTCTCAGACTCTTGGAATGACTTGTCCATAGCCATCACCGAAATCCAGAACAAGAATGCCTCAAATTTGTCTTTTGGAGAGCTTTACACCAAGGCCTACAACATGGTGTTAAGAAAGCATGGTGAAAAGTTGTACAACAATGTCAAGAACCAAATCAAGAATTACTTGCTCAATGTTTATAAAGATATTGTCAAGAGCTTTGACTACCAGCCCATTGTTATATATCCCTTGTTTGAATCCTCTATAAAGACTGGGGGCGACAATATCGATACGGAAGCTGATTTTAATGATAGCAATGATCCCAATGATACGCTTATTAATATTTCTACTGATGAACCAATTGTGCTTAAAGAAAACATTGATAGAAATATTAGATTTCTTGAAAAAATTGTGACAATTTGGGAAGATCACATCTTTTCAATGAAAATGATCTCCGATGTTCTCATGTATCTTGATCGAGTTTATGCAAAGGAAAATTCATTGCCATCAGTCTACGACTTTGGGATTTCATTATTCAATGACTTTGTCATCACATATAACAATAATAAAATTGGTGAAATGTTGAATCAAATAGTTATTGATCAATTTTATTTGACTCGAAAAAATTTAACGACCAATAGTGAGAACAACCTAATTAAATCGGCGATGAAAATGTTTGAATCATTACAAGAGGACTACCTAACTAGAAATAAATTAAGAAATAGTAGGTTAAAGGCAAAGGAAGGTTCAACCACTGCGGTGAATTATTACTTGAGATATTTTGAGCCATTTTTTTTGAAAAAATCATCGGATTATTATGAAGTTTTTGCTAAAAAATTACTATCATTTCATGATGGTTCAATTTATATAGAATCTATCTCTTCATTGATAAATGAAGAAGAAAACAGATTTTTATTAATTGTGCCAGATGAAACATATCCTAAATTAGTCCAATTAATGGACAATATATTAATTAATAATAATTTCAACCAAATATTGGATTTTGAGGGAAATTCATTAAATTATTGGTTATATAATTTAGATTTTAAAAAGTTGAAATTAACTTATAAATTAGCTAAAAGAATTGATAGTGAATTTAAATTATTGAGAGAAAAATTAAGAAATTATATTTTTTTAAATGGGCAAAAATTAGAAGTTAAAGTTAAACTTTTTATTCAAAATATTAATAATAATAATAATAATAATAATAATAATAATAATGGTGATAATAAAAACAACAACAGTCACAATAACAATAAATCAAATAGATTGAATGTTAAAAAAAGAACATTAAAAGAAACGCAAACTTTGTTTGCCAACGAATGGATTAAATTGATATTAAAATTCCGTGAAAAATTAAAAACTTCATTAAAAACCTGTTTTGAAAATAATAACAATTTTTCTGCTACAATTGAAAATGCATTTTCTGAATTTATTAATTTAAATCCAAAAGTTTCCGAATGTTTAGCGATTTACATGGATGATTATATTAAAAAATCTTTAAAACAATCAACCTCGATTTCTAGTAAAGTTAGTAATAATATTAGTAATGGTATCAATAATAGTGCCATTGCTAATGGTAATACTGCTATCAGCACTATCAACAGTTCCAGTAATAATAAACTAGGCTCAATGAATGATGATATTAAAACATGGATTGAAGGATCAGTTATATTATTAAAATTTATCAATGATAAGGATTTATTCGAAAAATATTATAAAAATTACTTGGGTAAACGATTATTAACAAGTAGAAACAGTTTTAATTCTGTGGTTGGAAATATTGATAATAATATTGAAAGCTTTGCGATAATCAAAATTAAAGAAGAAACTGGGACATCATTTACTAGCAAACTAGAAGGAATGTTTAGAGATATAAAAAAAAGTAAAGAATTAAATGATGAATTTAATAGTAATATAGGCAAGGATAGCTTGGAGTTGGAGGTTAATATATTAACTTCAACATTTTGGCCCCAAACCAATAGTAGAGAAATTGATAGCAAAATCATATACCCTGAGTTTCTCAAGTCTAAACAAGAGGAGTATAATGAATTTTATTATAAGAAATATTCTGGCAGATTTTTAAATTTTACGTCTAACTTTGGCACAATGGATATTCGAATTCAATTTAACAAGAAAAGACATGAGATCATTATTCCTATTTATGGTGGATTAATCTTATTGTTGTGGTCGGATTTAGATCAAAGAAACTTGAAGTTTACAATGAAGGAAATTGAAGAAAAGACAATGATACCAAGAAACGATTTGATCAGACATTTGCAGAGCATAAGTGTGGCTCCAAGAACAAGGCTATTAAAAAAGGAACCAATGTCAAAGGGTATAAATGAAACTGATCTCTTTTCATTTAATGAGAGTTTTGAGGCACCCACCTTTAAAGTGAAAGTTCTAACCATTTCCATGATATCGAGTGCAGCAACTAATGCTAAGGCCAACCAAGCTGCAAACAAGAAGGAAGATCAAGCAGGTGGAAAGAACAGGAATGTTGAGATGGATGTTGAGATTGAGGACAAAAAGAGGGAGGACCAACAGATCATGAGGGATGTGTTGCTTGACAGGAAATACGAAATCGATGCTGCCATTGTCAGAATAATGAAAGCAAGAAAGAGACTTGAGCATAACGAGTTGATGAGCGAGTTAATCAAGCTCTTGATTGGCAGATTCAAACCCTCGCCCCAATCGATCAAACAAAGAATCGAGAGTCTTTTGGAAAAAGATTACTTGAAGAGAGACGAGCAGAACATCAATCTATATGAGTATGTAGCCTGAACGTGTTGTGTTGTGCTGCTTGTGCTGCTTGTGCGGTTTTGACCCAGCGCGGGGGGTCTTTCAAACACAACGCACGCTGAGCGCGTCATGATGCACGTACCATTCCCACAGAACCGCCGTTTTTTTCCTACCACGCCGGCGGAGCCCAACGTGAAAAACGGATTTCTTTGTCTCAGACCACCAACTGCCAAATGACTCGATCCGGGCTCTCCACTGACAAATTTCCGGCTTGTGATTGGCCGGTTTCTAAATTTTGACAGCTCCGGTTTAGGGCCGGCCGGTATGGTTAAATCTGGCGCCGGTGCAGGAAAAAAAAATTGGAAAAAGCTTTTCGCCTTTTTCATGATTAACTTATTATTCAGTTATTGCTGTAAGCAACTAAAAAACAATTACTCATCTTCCTTATTATATATTGAACCATATTTCCCCAATTCTTTTCTTCTTTCTCTTTCAACATTTCTTCAAATTATTAAAGAAAAAATCGAATATTTCGCTATTTTTTTATTTTTGTCACTAAATCCACCTCATACAGATCTTATAGTCCCACTAATTTCAATAATACTCAGCTGTTTTGTGTTTTTTTCATAATAGATAATGACAACTTCAACGGCTCCTACAACTTTATATGACAAAGTTTTCAATGCTCATATCGTCCACAAGGACGAATCTGGCTCATATCTCTTATATATAGATAGACATTTAGTCCACGAAGTCACTTCCCCACAAGCCTTTGAAGGATTGGAAAATGCCGATAGAAAAGTCAGACGACCAGACTGTACATTAGTAACGGTTGACCACAATATTCCTACAGTTTCAAGAAAATCATTTAAGTCGATTGACTCATTTATTGATCAAAAGGATTCAAAACTCCAAGTACAAACTTTAGAGAAAAATGTTAAAAAATTTGATTTAACTTACTTTGGTATGACCGATGCCAGACAAGGTATTGTCCATATTGTTGGTCCAGAGCAGGGTTTCACCTTGCCAGGCACCACTGTCGTCTGTGGTGATTCTCATACTTCTACACATGGTGCTTTTGGCTCTTTAGCCTTTGGTATTGGAACTTCTGAAGTCGAGCATGTTTTGGCTACTCAAACTATTATCCAAAAGAAATCCAAAAACATGAGAATCTTAGTCAATGGTATCTTGAGCCCAGAAATCACTTCAAAGGATTTGATTTTACATATAATTCATGTGATTGGTACTGCTGGTGGTACTGGTTGTGTTATTGAATTTGCTGGTGAAGCCATATATAAACTATCAATGGAAGCTAGAATGTCAATGTGTAACATGGCAATTGAAGCTGGTGCAAGAGCTGGCATGATTCAGCCTGATCAAATCACTTTTGATTATATCAAAGGTAGACCCTTGGCCCCAAATGGTGAACAATGGAAAAAGGCCGTAAAGTACTGGAAAACTTTAAAATCAGACCCTGATGCTTATTTTGATCACGAAATCGTCATTGAAGCTAAAGACGTTATTCCAACTATAACTTGGGGTACTTCTCCACAAGATGCTTTACCAATAACTGCATCTGTTCCTGATCCAGCAAATGCCACCGATCCAATTCAAAAATCAGGTATGATTAGAGCTTTAAAATATATGGGTTTGAAATCAAATGTTCCCTTTGTTGACATTTCGATTGACAAAGTCTTTATTGGATCCTGTACAAATGCTAGACTTGAAGATTTAAGAAATGCCGCTAAGGTTGTTAATGGCTATAAAATTGCTCCAAATGTTAAATTAGCCTTGGTGGTTCCAGGTTCTGGTTTAATCAAAAGACAAGCTGAAAAAGAAGGTTTAGATAAAATTTTCGAAAAAGCAGGCTTCACTTGGAGAGAAGCTGGTTGTTCAATGTGTCTCGGTATGAACCCAGATATTCTTGATCCTGAAGAAAGATGTGCTTCTACTTCTAATCGTAATTTCGAAGGTAGACAAGGAGCTCTTTCAAGAACCCATTTAATGTCTCCAGCAATGGCTGCTGCCGCAGGAATTGCCGGTAAATTTGTCGATATTAGAAAATGGGAGTATAAAGATCCAGGCTCCCCAAGAATTTCAGTTGAAGCCGACAACTATGATGATGAAGATTATGAATTGTATAAGAAAGTTCAAGATGAAGAAAAACAACCATTGGAAGAAGATATCAATAGCAAAGAACTTAAGGAAAAAAATGGAAAAAAACCCATAACTGGTGAAGTTAGAAATGGCGTTAGAAAAATTAATGGTAATGGTATTTCTAAAGCTAAAAAGAAACCAGCTGGTTTGGAAAAATTCACAATTTTAAAAGGTGTATCCGCTATCTTAAATAAAGCAAATGTGGATACTGATTGCATTATACCAAAGCAGTTTTTGAAAACAATTAAAAGAACTGGTCTTAAAAATGGTTTGTTTTATGAATTAAGATTTGTAAAGGATGCCAATGGAAATGATGTTCCAACAGATTTCATTCTTAATCAACCATATTATGATAAATCCGAAATTTTAGTGGTTAACGGTGATAATTTTGGATGTGGTTCATCTAGAGAACATGCACCATGGGCCTTGAAAGATTTTGGTATTAAATGTTATATTGCACCATCTTTTGGTGATATATTTTATAATAACTCCTTGAAGAATGGATTATTGCCAATTAGAATACCTCCAGAAATAATTCAAAATAAAATCATTCCAGTGATTCAAGATACTCAAAATAAACTAGTCGTTGATTTGCCAAATCAAAATATATTAGATGAAAATGGTAATATAATAGTTGAGCATTTTGATATTGATGCATTTAGTAAACACTGTTTGATTAATGGTTTGGATGAAATTGGCTTGACTTTGCAAAAAGAAAAATACATTACACAATATGAAGAAGTTAGAAGGGATATTTATTCATTCTTGGAAGGTGGATCTAAATTAGTAAAGCCAATTAATGGAACCAAAAAGAGTTTGTATGGAGTTACTGCTCAAGAATGGTAATTTGGTAGTGATACACTCTATTTTCAATGCTTTTTGTGCTTATATTATTGTTATTTAATTTTGTATCGTGATAACTAATATTAATATGTATAATTAATTCATTCACTTGTGATTTTTTTTTTCAGCAGCATCTTTTTCCATATATATCTTTGTAATTTATATTATTTTCATTATTTATTTAGCTACTTTCCTGGTTACCACCTAATACATTCTGGCGTCCAATCACAGTGGAGCTCAAAAAATGTTAATGTACTGCACGTGTGTCTGAAAATAGACTCGATTTGGTAAGGGATAATCTGATTTTTGTTTGCAGGTCAAAAACCCATCCAGAAATTGTGCACTTTCTTGGTCTCTGAACTAAAATCAATCTACCACTTTGACGGTATTCATTTCCAGCTGCATACATCTGCATTCTAACGCGCTCTGTGTTTGTGAATCCGTTTTGGCTTATTAAATTAATTACTGCGGTACTCAAAATCAAATTAAAGACATTGTGATTACAATTACACTGACAGTTTTTCCATCGGGTCTGTCATAGCCATTATATATCAAAAGAAATTTTTCAGAGTGTTTGCAGCAGTGCTGAAGTGCTATCGAGAATTGCTATACTGCTGGTTTTAATATTTCAAAATTGACCTGGACATAAAGGAACAATCTGGTTTTAGATTTCGGATTTATTAGTTTTATCATCAAGCACAGCAGTTTGTTATCAGTTAATAAAAAAACTTAATGTGATATGATAATGTGCAAGTATAATAAAAAGTGAATATAAGCTGGTTTATCAGCAGTATTTTTTGTATCATCGAAATTCACTTATGTTTTTGCTTTTTGAATGACCTGAGGATTCACTTTTACGAATAACTGCTAGTCAAACGATTTTTTGGTTAAAATTATGAAAAAGAAAGAAAAGGAGACCACAAAACAGATTTTTGTACTGAAAACTGATTTCTACAAAAACATACATAATTAGACTAATTTTTCTGAATTTTTCTGAATTTTTTGTTCAAATGCTGGCTCGATTTGAAATTTCTTTCTCTTTTTATGCATTTCTAGTGATTCAGTCATACGAATTGTAAAAATATGCAGAAATTCATTTTCAGAAACTATAGATGAAACAGAAAAGCGGTTGTCGTGCAAGAGACAAATAGAAGGAGAAAGAGAAAGAGGAAAATTGATTGGAAGCTCCAAGCGTCGGCGATGGTTAACTCAGCAAAACGAAGGAAACGCCAAACAAGAACTGAGCACAGAAAATGCAGAACCCACAGGAGGAAATAAATATGGGTTGGCTGTTGGGGAGTTGTGATTGGTTGATTTGCACAGGTTTGCTAAATTAGGCAATTTTTGTGATATTTCACCAAGCAAATATACCGATATTGAGGTTTAAGTTGAGGACTCTAAAAGAAACACAAAAAGATTAGAGATTTAGAGAAAAAAAGCCCGATTACTGCCGAACAAGATATGTTTTAAAGTAGAAGTTTACTTAAATATAAAACTATTTAATAAACTAATTAACAATTAGATAATTACTATAAGTATGTAATGTATGTATGTGTGTATATGAATGTAATGAATTTTATAAATTTTTTTAACCATAACCCCCAGAAAGCATTTAATCAAAAAGTATAATAGAAAACAAAACTAAATGCAATTTTTCTCTATTTTCTTTGTGACTTGTGAGTAAACGTCTTTTTTCTTGTTTTTATTTTATTTTTTTTTTTCATGTTTTCTATATTATTTTTTATTTGAATAAATTATTCAACTTTTTCTTTTTGAATTTTGCTCAAAGAAAAAAGAGAAAAAAAACTCTATCTGATTTGTTTTTGCAACTACCCCAAATTTAAATGAATAACCAACAAATTTTTTTATAAAAAATGAAAAAAAAACAAAGCATAAAAAATTTTTTGAAATATAAACAGAAAGTTAAGAACTGAATTTAAATGAAAAGTGAAAAGTGAAAAAAAGCAAAATAAAGCAAAAATAATAAAAAAAAATGAGATAAAGATGAACTTGATAAAAACAATAACCAAAAAAAAAAAAAAAGTAAAATAATAATTAGAAAAAGCTAAAATTTAATTTACTTTTGAGATTGTCATTTTCAAATTAAATATAATTTAACTTTACAAATAATTTGGATCCAAATATTTCATCACCATTGCTGTCATAAATTGGTAAGTGTCTATATCCTTCTTTTAAATAAATTAACCTTGCAACAAATCTTCCAATGATATCAGTTGAATGATTTTTTTCATCTCTATTTTTGACTGTTAACCTGATAAATAAGAATTCTTTGAAACAATTTTTTAGATTTATTTCAAATCTATTGTTCCAAACTGGATTGAATCCATTGGATGAAACAATACAGCTTTTGAACTTAAGTTTATTATTGTAATTGTTTATAGTCTTTTGATACTGATTCGAAGCTGGTGAATCAGAAGTATAGCTTCTATCGCTGTAACTGTCGCAATCGCTGCTGTCTGTTGAGTCATCACTGTCACTTGAAAATGACTTTCCTCCCCAATTTATAGAGTCATTATCTTGTCCAAAAACCTCAACTTCAACATATGAATTAATATTGTTCTCTAAATTGATAACGTCATTATTTTCGATTTTTAAACTTAAACCTGAAATGATGTCAATAATGATTTTGGCATCTTTTCTATGGTTTTGTGCATTGAAAAAATCATCATCATCATCGTTTTGCTCTCTAAAATTTCCTTCTTTTCTTCTAATGGAGCGAAGAAATTCGGGTTTCAATACATAACCGGAACAGTTATTATTATTAAACATTGATTCATTTAATTGTTGACCCAAGTCCTTAGTTTGCCAGTTTGTTGCAACAAACTGGCAACCAAATTTCCAGTAATCTATTGGGTTAAAATTGCTTGAGTTGACTCTTAAACCTGATGGGTAAATTCTGTTGAGATATCTTCTATTATGCTTATCCAATAAAACTCTTTTATCAAAATCCTTTAACATTGAATTTATTGTTTTTTCGCTAAATGAAAAGCAATGAAATTTATTTTTTGATTCTGGTAATGAAAAACTTTTAAACTTTAAACCATACACGTAACTTATAGCACATAGTTGTGGAATAATTTTAAATTTATCATTACTATTTTTATTTTTTCCTTTTTTTTTTGAAATCAATTTCGATCTAAGATTATTTGAGTGATAAATGGAACCATTTTCACCAGAAGAAGAGAAGGAATTTAATGAAGAATAAGATGAAACCTTTGGAATGATATTAGTTAAATCGACTTCTGATTTATTAAAGCGATTAGATCTTTTAATTTTCATTATGACTTTGTTTTGCAAATCCAAGGGGCTGGGCAATTTTGTTTGATTAAGTTCATCTTCACTAGATTGAATAATCAACATGCCGCCTAAGATATCGATAAAGGTATTTTTCACAGTAACTTGAAAAGTTTTCTTACAGTGAATTTCGATTGATAACATCAAAGGCAAAGAAGAGTTTTCAAAAGCATATTTCTTTATTGTAAGCAATACATCTTTTAACATACATGGAGAAGTAAAAGTTAAACCATGACTAACAACTGGTCCATTTAAACCATCCCAGATATCAATTTCAATGCATTTGCACCCCTTTTTCAATGCATGAATATAGCCTTCAATGGAGGAAAAGCCTTTAACTTGTTTACCTAAAAGGTAAGTATTATGAGAGGAAGATATGTAGTATTCATTTAAAGGCCTTGTGAAGTCGCTTGTTTCTTTCAAGTCGTGAAAGATATCTGATTCAATCAAATAATTTTGAAAATCGTTTAAATTTAGATAATTTTTTGAATTTGAGTAAATTAGAAAAGTATTTTTTAGGTCTTTTTTGTTGAGATGAATTTCCTTTTGGGTATTAATTATAAAGTCTTTAAAATCATTAAAGAAAAGTTTATTTTTATGGTTTTGATTAGAAATATTTGAAGAAGATATGTTGTTGAAAATTGAAGATATTTCTAGTCTAGAATTCTTTAAAAAGGAGAATAGTTCCTTTAATTGGTTGTAGGATAATTTTTTTTTGTGGTGAAGATCATATTTATCAAATAAGAATCTAGCTCTTTTGATTGGAATTAGAATGTTGTATTTATTTAAGAATTGTAAATATAGATCAAATGATAAATAATGATTTTTGTAGTTGAATGAGTTTGAAAAAATTTTATTTGAAAAATGTAGATCAAAATTGAAGAAATTTTGCCAAAGAATTGAAAATAATTGATTAAAGGGTAATTTAGAAAGATTTTTATAGTAATCTTTTAAGAATAGTAGAATGATTATGAAGAGTTCGAATTCTAGTTTATTGTAACTTAGTAGATGTAATATTTTTGTTGTGTTGCTTCTTTTGCCATCAATTGAGGTGTGATCGTGTAGAGAGGATGTTAGAGAAGACAAGGAATGGTTACTAAAAGGACGAGAAATGAACCCATTAAATGAGGAATTTGAAGGGCTGATGGAATTTGAGCAATCCAGGAAGATGGGATTGTCAAAAGAGTCGGAAAAGGATGAATTGGAAGAATTGCGACTATGAGTAAAATTATTGGTGTTGGTGTTGTTGTTGTTGTTGTTGTTATTAGTGGTATTTTTTTTGTAGATAATTGTTAGTAGATCTGGATGAGAATCTGAAGATATGATGGAATTATTCTTTTTGGATTTTGAGATGTGGTTAATTCTAATGTCTATAATGTCATCTAGGTATAAGAAACCAGAGGAATTATTATTTTCCCAGATTAGAGAAAATTTTTTTGAGGATAGGTTGAATTTGAAAGATTTTGGAATGTTGTTGTGATTTTTATTCTGAGTATGAGAGTGGGTATGAGAGTGAGAGTGAGTGCTGGTGTTGAAAATGTTTGAATTGTTTTTAATTTTAATGAGATTGATTCCATCAAGAATGAAATTTTTTGGAATTAGGAGATTTAGAGGTAAAGCTAGAGATTGTGGATTGATGATATTGTTGAAATTGTTGGTGTTAAGAATGGATAAAGGAGTTTCAAATTTTGATAGTATATTTGTATTTTCAGTGTTGATGATGTTTGAGTTGATAAAGTGGTTTAAGGATTTGAGGAGTATTGATTTATTTTCTTTAAAATGAAGTATATTTTTGAATTTTTTGATATTTTTAAAGTGTTTTGTGTTGATAATGTTGGTGTTGATCTTTAAATCTTTTAAATTTTTTATATTTTTTATATTTTTGATATTTTTGATAGTTTTGATGTTTTTGATATTTTTAACATCTTTGGTGTTTTTCGTATTTTTTTTTGTGAGCGATAGTTCAGGTGAGGATTGGATTGAGTGAATAGTATTGTGAATATTATCGTTGTTTGAGGTTGTATTTGAGATAATAGAGTCATGAGAGTGACTAGAATAAGAATCCAGATGAGAGTTTAGAGATAAATTAGATAAATTAGACAAGTGGGATAAATTGAGGTCGTAGAAGGATTTGACCTGGAATAATTTTATATTTGAAAGAAAATCGTGCTGTGAATTTAATTGAGAATGCATATTTAAATGTAAGTCAGAATTTATATCAAAGGAAGATATGGAGGAGGAATCGTCATTAGAGAAATCGGAATCGAATAGCAAATCAGAGAAATTAGAAGCAGAGAATTTGAGTAGAGAATTTGGTATGGAGGAAGTTAGAGCAAGGTTGGCTTTGATAAGATTTGGATCTTTTTCTACTTCATCATGATCATCGTCATTAGTTAGGGGAAGATTTAATTGATTTGTGAGAGTAGTAATCATGAAAGGGAGAAAGAGAGGAGATAAAAAAAGAGAGGGAGAGGTAAATAGAGAGGGAAACAGAGAGAACGAGTAGAATATGGATGGATAGAAGCTGTGTAGATGAAAAAAAAAGATGGGAACGAGCAAGTAAGAGGGATATTTAAAGGGAAAAGAAATGAGATAGGCTGTTTCTAGAGAGGAAAATCAGACAAACTGAGAAAAAGAGATGGAAGAAAGCAAAAGGTAGGAACCAGGGAAAAGGGCAAAAAAGGAGGAAAAGGAAGAAGATTTATATGAAATGAGAGAAATAGGTTGAGAGGTAGAGAGGATAAAGAGTAATTCTCAGTAGTGAGTTCGTAATTGAAAGAAGAATGAAAAGGTAAATAGAAGGTAAGCAGAATCCAGAATAAACACTAATATTATTAAACACCAATATATTATTTAGGTAATGCAAATGGCAATTTACAATTTACAATTTATTATTTAGGATTAAACTGGCTGTGAATGGATAATCACTGCTTTAACATCTCAGAGCTGTCTGGAAGCAGTGCTAGTGCCACAAAGAGTTTGAAAGAAAGCTGCGCGCTCCCGCACACAAACCCTAAACCCTAAACCTTAATCCCGAGAGCGGTACTAATTAATTGGCACGCAACCATTGGCTGGGAGAGAATCACAGCGCTGGCTGGACCACGTCGCTGGGCTCACGAGCGCCAAAGCAGCAGGCCCAGCTCCCAGTGTGTTGCCAGTCCGGTGCTGGGCACAACATTGCTGGTGTTGTGGATCTCTCTGGGTGCTTTTGTGGTGCTTGCTGGGCACAACATCCACAAAACCACACCAGACACAAACAGCAGAGGTTCCACAGCAGCCTACGGTGGAAAGCTCGCTAGCGTTGCTGCACATGGAAACCTAAAACCCTGTTGGCACTGCGCGCGCGGTGCATCTCCGCTGCCAAACCAATGTTGTTTTCCTATTATAGAAGCTGACTCCCGACCGGTTTTTGTCCGTGAGCGTGCGGCAGTCACCTGACACCCAGAGAGGGGCGGGAGTGCGTCTGGAGTCTGCGGGCTCTTCTAGACCGTTGGGGAGGTTGCTGTGTGTGGACGAGCTTAAAATAGCAGCGGGCTTGCCAAAAATAAACAGCAGCGCGGAAACAGCGCGCCAGCAGTGCGGTAGCACTCGTGCGCCAGCTGTGATTGGTTGCTCCGGCTGTTTAATCGGCGGCCCAACGCGAGACCAGACAAGTTGGGAGTTACAAGTTAGCAGATAAAAACAGTACCGCCGGCTTGGAAGCGAGACCAGCAGCGGCCATGGGAATATTTCCCTGGGTCAAGAGCGCAAAAGTTGACTGATACTTTTTGCTCTTGACTTGGTGTTGGAGTGTCAGAATTAGCATTGGGATATTCACCCTTAGGAAGCTATTTAGATTTCTTATTTCATGTTTTGAAATTTTCACTTTTGAACGTGTGGTTGAAATTAAGACCCAGAATCTGGTTATGTTGCATTTTAAATTCACTACGGAAAACTAAAACAACAGACATTTGAAATCAGTTCACTAATCCAGAACAGGCCAAATTTAAACAATAAACGATCAACTGGTTGTATTACTGATTTGTAATGATCTGATATTAATTAAGATTTGCTTTAACGAAAAAGTAATCTGTGTTTATAATTGCAACCAGATTATATTTGTATACTCTTTTATTGGCTTGTGAGGAATCTGTGAAAAATATCTGAATTATCAGATTAACACTACAATGCTAATGGGTAAAGATTCTAAAGAATACCTAGTAATGTTGATGACGAAGACAATGTTTTGTCATTTTTGTCATCTTTTCCAACTTTTTGTTTTAATTTTTTAAACCTTTTTGATATGTTTAGTGATTTTTAAAAAATTTTGAATTTTCTTTTAAATTTTGCTTTTGAATTTTTTTTCTCAGCTATTCCAATTATTTAGCAAATTCTCTATGAATGATGGTAAAAATTGATCACCGATATTTACATAGGGACAACATTTGCGTTAATAGCTTTAAGGTCGTTAGCTTATATTATTATATTATTATATTATTATATTATTATATTATTATATTATTAAATAGATCATACTGATTTTGGCCACAGCAACCAATCAAACTGGACAACGTTTCTCTTTTCTGTCGCATCCTATAATGGAACTTTACAGAGAGTGATTTCTATTTATTTCTATTCCCATTTTCATTTTCATTTTCATTTTCATTTCCATTTCCATTTCTTTATTAATCACTCAACTCTCAACACTATGTACGTTTGTTTATCTATATTTATATTTACATAATTATGGATAATCAAACAAACAAACATATAAGAAATTTAATAAACTGCTTTCGTTTACGAATTTAGTTGAATAATTTAATGAATATTAAATTATCATTCAATAACAATATAGTTTGAATCTTAACTCTAATTTGTAACTCTAACCGTAACTCTAACCTTAATTTGGTATGAGTTTGAATTTGAATTTAACTTTTTGAAATTCATTTGAATGCCATTTCAATTCTATTAAATTTTAATTAAATTTTAATTCAATCTAAACCAAATTTTAATCAACCAACTAAATCTAAATCAAATTAAAATATAATCTTTTGTTAAAGGAGAATATTGAATATAATACTACTGGATTTAATTTTGTTTTCCCTATTGCCTTCACATATATAAATAGCTTGCACTTGCTAAATACAACTGTTAAAAACCACTCACTTTTATTGCTTTTGTGTTTCTATTCATGCAACTTCAATGGCTATGCTTGTAATTATAGTCAATTATTATAAATATATATAAAAATATTAATAATAAAAATATTCATAATAATAATAATAATAATAATAATAATAATAATAATAATATTCATAATGATGATTATGATGATATTAATGATTATTATCATTATCATTAATATTATTATAGTAAATATTCATTCACATAAATTAAATCGTTTCTTATTTGTTATTGAAATAATTCTTGTAAAGAATTGCCGCATTATTTCCTTAACAGTTTTCCACCTCTTGACAAACAATTGGTATGAAATACTCAAATTTATTAATTTAGTTTGATTTCAAGCTCCAAAAAAACGAAAACGGAAATACAATTAAAATTATAAACGAATTTGAAATTTGTTTGAAATTTATTTGAAATTTCAATTAACATCCAAAAAAACAAAACATAAAACAAACCAAAAAACAAACTGTAATTCACTTTTTTATTATTATTATTATTATTATTATGTGTTTATTGTTTTTCGACATTTTTTCTTATTTTCTCATTTTCTTACTTTTTGTTGGCTGTTCAAATTTTTGGAATAAAAAAGAAACAACATCCTCACAAAACTGTTTTTTTTTTCTTTTATTTTGAGACTTTTACAAGAATTCCAGAGAAACATGAAGAAAATCCTATAGAATCCTGTGGAATTCTTTAGAACCTTTTCGCATCCTCTAAAAATCTTTATGTCCTTTAAAAATCTTAATGTCCTTTCAATCTATATTAGTATCCTTGGAGCCTTTGAATACGAGCAAAATTAATTCAATTTTAATTCAATTTTAATCAAATCCTAATTACCACTACTCGAGCTTACAATATACATAAATCATTTAGCATTTGGTTATCTTTCCAACCACTATCTCCATTTTATCTTTTATCTTTTTCTTTTAATACGATAAAAATGATCATAACCATGATCTTTCTCACTTACACTTCAATCAATTAGAACTTTTACTTTAATTTTATGTTTGAAGGGGATGAGATAGCAATCTCTCAGAGTCATCAACTTATCAATCGCTAAGAAAAATTATAATTTAGAACAGAACATGATATTGAGGAGGAGCATTTTAACAATTTCATTAAAACTAATTACTAATTCCAACTAAAAGAGCCTCTTACATCCTTTCCCTCCTTTTCCTTTTAAATCTTCATCTTTAGTCCACTACACTGTTATTCTCCTATACTTTTATCACAAAAAAAAGAACTGCTTGTCAAGAAAAATCGTTTCAACATTGATAACACAACCGTTCTTACAAAGTACCCAAAGGAACCAATTGACGGTTTTGGCAAACTTGATAAAGCAAATACTGATCCAAGTACGTTATCTTGAGCATAAATGAATAGCACCTCAATTACTTCTATCTATAAGCTCCATAAGCTCTAAGCTCTATAAGCTCTATAAGTCGTGAACCACACCTCGTTTCATTTCCCTCTCCTTCTTTGTTGCTCATTCTGTGCTCTTCCAACAAATCCTCCCGTTTCTTTAGACTCAATGTCACGCGATATACGGCGTGGGACGGCAACAGAAGACGGCACCGTGCCAGACCGTCCTGAACACCAAGGGAGCAGATGCCAGATTTGCGGGACATGGAGCGGGTGCTGATCGCTGTCACGGGCTGCTTTACAACAAGCTGCTTTGGCCTTTGGCCTTTGGCTTTGGCTTGAAGCAACAAAGCAAAAAGAACAAAATAAAGGGAAGAAACCAAGAGCGTTTTGGCCCGCGAAAAAGGGTAACCATGATGCAATCTCAGCAAATTCAGAGATGGTCTCCGTCTCAACAATAGCGCGAGCCCAGTGCTTGTCTGTGATTGGCCTGTTTCTGCCAGCTATCTGCGCATGTTATGCACGCACACGCAGAGGCTGCATTGTGCGGTGCGATCTTCTTATTGTTGGAATTTTGGAGTGCTGCCCTATTTGCATAGAGGACAAATTGGTGAGTAGAAAAGTAGCATTATTCGTGTAGTCTCCCCCATTATTCAGCTATTCTCCCACAACCATCCACTGTTTATTCGTTAACTGTTCAATTCAAAACACATCATCAAAAGATAATTACTTAGCTCACTGAATTGTAACACCATTATTTCATTTAAATATCATACCTTTTGTTTTTTTTAGTAAGCTTGTATTTGTTTTCTCTCTTTTTTACTCTCTCTCGTCAATCATAACCAAAACAAAAATTCATTTAATTTCCTAAAAAGATTATTTTCTCATAAATTTAACGATCACATCTTCTATCTTGATTCCTTAACACATATCTTGACTTTCTGTATCCAACTCAGTCAACTCAAATACTCATTCTTAGGCGCAATTCCTCACATTACTTTCAACATCTTTGAAGAAAATTTAAGCAAATTTATTTCAAATTTTATACAGAAAAATTAACAACACCACTATTATTTATCAAATTTATCATATCATCCCATCCTATCAACTCATTACATTGCTTGGTTACATAATATCTCGCATCATATCTATCAACCTAGTGGTAAATTTTATTTAAATTTGTCTATCATTAGATTTACAATCATTATTTCAAATTTATCAATCTATTCCACAAATTAAATTAAATTGAATTTTATTCAATTTTACCCAAACTTATCCCAATTTTACTTACAACTTCAGAATAACTTAATAAAAAAATTTCTTCATTTATTATAAAAATTCTTTTAAATTATTTCATTATCAACCTATTTGCGTCTTGGTGTACTTTATTTATTGCACTAAATTTTATATCCTAATAGTTTATCAAAATTTCCCAATTTTCTTTGTTTCACTCAAAATCATATATTTTTGTTCCTACTCTTTTCTCTCTTTAAGTAATATTTTTTTTAATTTTTTAATTTTTTAATTTTATTCACCTTATTCTTAAGCTTATTTACACTTTTATTTTCATTTTCAACTTCGTTTTCATTCTCATCTTTTGACTTTATTTTTTCCTGTCTTATTGTTTCAACCTAATTCAAAAGATTGTCCCTTTTTTACTCGCTTTCTTAGTTTATCCTAATCTAATTATTTTTTTTGGTATATAACTTCCACTTATCCCTTTCAACTTTTTAAATCTTTTTTCTTTTCCTTTCTGAATGAAGGATCCAACAATGGACTATAGAAACTTTGCTGCGGCAAATGCTCATTATATTGAGCTTATGAAAGAACAACAAAGGGCTCAGCAAGAAAAGAGACTACGATTAAAAGAAGAAAAAGAATTGGAAAAAAAAAATAAAAAAAAAAATAAAAAAGAAGCAAAAAATAAACACAAACTACTACAAACTCAAACAACAAACTCTTCTAATACTACTCACAACTCAAACAACTCTAACAACTCTAACACTTCCACTGCCAACGAAAGAGCTTCCCTATTTTCAAAACAAAATACCATACAATCTTCAAATGCCTCCTCTGTCAACTCAAAATTGTCTTCAATCAACAACAACGACTATCTGAGATTCAAAAAATATCCTACAAGCACCTCCCATACCCAAAACATTTCTAACCAATACAACACCCACAACTTGAATAAAATCACCACCTCCATCTCAAATTCAACCTCAGGCTCAAGCTCAAATAACACTGTGATATCCGATTCTCATCGCCATAATATCAGTAGCAATGCCAATATCATTTCCAATTCGAATATTCCCAATAACGATAACTTACCTGCTTCCAACTCCTATCACTCCAAATTAAAGTTTTTCCACTTCAACTCAACTCAACCAAATTCTTCTCCCATAAACACCCATTCAAATAATACCATCCCCAACATCAACAGCCCAAACAATGTTAATCCAAATGCTAATACCAATACTAATACCAATACCAATACCACTAATATCCATACTCCTGGTAATGAAATCACCAGCCTTAGATCAAGTTCAATTAAAAACTCTTCTTCAATTAGAAACAATCCATCGTCATTAATTAATTCGTCTTACACGAATTCAATTCGAAAATCCGATAGTTCATCCAGTCTTACAAGTTTTGCTAATACTAATACTACGTATCCCACTGATCTATCGTCTGTGAAGTCCAATAATTCAGCGAATTTAATAAACAAATCTAGTAAATCTTTTAGAAATTCGAGTATTAATTTCAAGAGCTATTTGCCATTTTCTAATCCAATCAACCAACCTATTAATTTAAGCCATGACGGCAGTGGTAATAATACTGGTATCAATGATAATGGAAGCAATGCTAATAATCCATTTAATGATCCTCAATATCAATTACCTTTATACGATTTAACTGAGAATTTATCTACAGAATTTCTCAGTAGTATTAATAATAAGACGTTATCAAAATTTGAATTTTTCTTAAAATTTAATGAAAATATCGACCAGTTAAAATTGTTTAGCAATGCTAATGATATTGATAATTTTGAAAATCATAATAATAACAGATATAATGACGATCTAATTCACGAAGAAGGGGAAGAAGAGAAAGAAGATCATCATTATACTTATAATCATAATTACAAGGAATTATTTTTGAACAATTCTTCAAAGAGATACGATTTTTTTATTAATAATTATTTTACAATGGAGAATTTTTTCAATATTAATAATATTAGTAGAAAATACAATTTAAGTTTAAATTTGATTGAGTTGTGGTTTATTCATTCGCATAAATATTTATTTAACGATGGGATATTGGTTAATAATAATATCAAGAGATTGATTGAATCGATTGAATTTGCCAATACTAATACTACTACAGCTGGTGGAAATAGTAACATTAATCCGTTAAAATTATTGCATTTGTCTAATGAATTGGATGTTTACTGGTCATGGCAATTAAGTTTAGATGTTAAGAATTCATGTTCTGTTTATAATTATCGAAATTTTACCAATTCATTAGATTACGGGAATTCCATTGATAAAAAACCAAAGAATTATTTTGTTAATTCCGGAAAGACATTTGATAATTTGCCATACCAGGCAGGTTACTTTGATTTAATTTATTCAAATGAGTTTAATTTTTCGTTGAATTATAAGAATTGCAATAAAATTTTAACAGAATTGTATAGAATTTTGAACAAAAATGGATATGTTGAGTTGTTGTTGACAGATTTAACAGTTTTAAAAACACAAAATGATTTTGAAGGTGAAAATGAGCATGAAGATGATTTTGAAAGAGATAACAATGACACTGAAGGAATTACTAATAACGAGGAAGAAAGTGATAAAGATATATTTAATGAAGCGAATTACTATGAAAATGAAGAGCATAAAGAGAATCAAAATGAGAATCAAAACGATAAAGATAGTGAAAATGAAAATGAAACTAAAAACTCAAATTCAAATTCAAATGATAGTGAAGATAAAGAAAATGACATTTTAAATCATAATGAGGACAAGATAAGAGCCAACGGCTTATCTAAAAAGACTAAAAAAACTATCGATGATTTGAAATACTACTGGGATAAATGTCTTAAGAATATTGATGAATTCAGTATAAATAACAATGGAAATGGAAGCGGAAATGGAAAAGAGGATAATAAGAGATTAAGTAAAAATGAGGAATTAAATATTGACCCATATCCATCATTCAAGATTCTTAATAAATTAGAGGAAGCTGGTTTCAAAAACATCAGATATTCTATTATTGGATTACCAAGATTCAACATCTCATCGAATAGAGGAAGCCAAGAAGAAGAATTTGATATAGAAGATGAGTACTTGAAAAAAATGATTGGTCTTAATAGCTTGATTGAGTTTTATACAAGTTACTGGGAATTCAAGTTCTTCCAAAGATTTGGAAAGTTTACCAACGAGGACTTTGACAACTATGCTTATCTTAAGAGACTGAAATTGAATCAAACATCACTGGACAGCGAAAACTGCTCATTCAATGGGGGTCTCAACTACTTTATTGTTATCAATGCTCAAAAGGTGTTATAATGCATCAGGGTCCGACCGCCGATTCTGCCACAGACATTTATTTCTTTTCCATCGTTCGTATTTTTGTTCATATTTTTTTTCATATTTTTATCCATGTCCTTTAGTTCATTATCTTCAGCTCTTTATCTTTGGTTATTTTAGTTTATTATCTCTTTTGTTTTGTTCAGTTGTTAATTAACATTGTTTATGTCCCTAAAGCTGCATACCACACACAGTATGCATGGCGAGCGCACAACGCACATCATGCAGAGTTTGCATTATCCAAATGTGTGTTTTATCCAAATGCATGGGTCCAGAATTCTCACACATTGATATGCAGAAGCGGCCTCCCAGTGTTGCGGGGCTGGAACTGTAAGCGCATATGTTTGACTATGCATAAACATGCGAGCAAATGTCAGACTGCAGGTCCAAGACGAGCTGGTGGAAAAACGCAAAATGACCCAAAGAAGCAAAAGAGGAAGAGAGACAAAGATGGTGAATGAGAAGATGGTGGAAGAAGAGATGGTGAGGAAGGTGATTAAGATGATGGGCATGCTTCTCGAAAAGTAAAGAGCCCAATGACAGCAAGGCTGTTTTGCTCCACCCTTCCTTAACGGCCTTGGGTCTTGATGACTCGACTTTTAACGACGTGCTACTTCCTTTGCTACTTCAAAGCTCTCTTCAAAGTTAGCCTTTTAACAGAATATTCCTAACCATTCAATCAAGTTCATTCAATTTTGTTCACTTCCACTCACTTTCATTCAACCAAATTCACATTTATCCAAATTTAATCTCAGTTTCAGCAGCCTAAAACTACTTAAGGAATACTCGCAAAATCCTGAAAATTCGGCTGCTTTTGTTAACATTTGCATCTCTTGCTCGTTTTTTTTCTAAGGATTCATCACTTATTCATTAAAAATACAGTGTATTTGTAAAATTGTCTTTGTAAATCTCCAAATTGTTAATCTTATAACCACCAAACAACGAATAGCAGAGCGTAGCAACTTTTCTCTCTTAAATATTTTAACTCATTTAAAGCTTTTACCTCAATTTCATACCAACTTTTCCTGGTATATTTTCTTAAATTATCTGCTATTCCCCCTTTCCTATCTTCTTTTATTCACCTTATATTATATTACTAATATTCATACCAGTTTCCTTCAAAATTTCCCATTCTACCAATTTATAATTCATAATTATATCTACGTTTATAAAGGGGGAAACAAAAGTATACATACTCAACTTCCTTCTCTTATCCCCACCTTCCTCTATTCTTCTTCTAATCTTCCTCTATTCTTCCTCAAGTTCCTCCCACTCCTCTCTCATAATGAGCCAACAACCTCCTTCTCCTGTCCACTCCATCAAGAGATCTGTCGTTATCATTGGTGCTGGAATAGCTGGTTTGCAAGCTGCCTCTGAACTATACCATAATGGTGTTAAGGATGTCATAATCTTAGAAGCAAGAAATAGAATCGGTGGAAGATTGTTAACAATGAACTCAAGCTCTCTTATCGATCCTTCTACAAATAAACCTGTAACTTACGACTTAGGTGCTACCTGGTTCCACGATACTTTACAAAACCCCTTATTCGATGAATATGTTATCAATAGAAAAAAAATTGATATCTACTACGATGATTCCTTCATCAAAATCTTCAACTCAAAGGGCGAAATTCCTGATTCTTGGAAATTACCCCAAGTTAAAAATGAAATTGAAAAGTTTATGGAACTAGAAAATTTTAATGATATAGATTACGAAGACAAATCCCTATTCAATTCTTGTATAGACTATCTTTATAAGCAAAAATCAGTATTGACAAAAGAACAAATCACTTATACCCCAGAATTGTTAAGATATTTGGAATTATGGCATGGTCTTGACTGGAAAAGATTGTCCTCAAAATTCGCTATAATCTCTGCTGATGGTAGAAATGCTTACAATCTAAATGGTTATCAAGACATCATCCAAGATATCATCTCCGATTTGCCAAATGATACAATTCAAACCAACATCATCATTAAAAAAATCCAAAAAGTCGATCAAAATAGAAAAGTTAGAGTGCTCACCAACAACAATATCGAAATCATAGCTGACTACGTTATAGTAACCATCCCTCAGTCCCTATTATCTCTATCTGAGACTAATGAAACTGGTGCTATAAGTTTCTCTCCTCCCTTGCCTCCCTACATCGAAAAACCCTTATCCAGAATGCATTTCGGTTCCTTAGGTAAAGTGATTATCGAATTTAATTCAATAGAAGACATCTTTTGGGATAAGGAAACTGATCGCTTCTTAGTCATAGCTGATCCCGACCCAAAAATTAAAGAATTCTCCAAAGAAGTCCAATCTGCTAATGAAAAGAAATCAAATTTTGTTATTAAACCCGATTATGAAGTTGAAGATTATGATTTATACAAAAATAAAATCCCCAAACAATGGGAATACCCAATTAATATCTCAAATGGTTATACAATCAAAAAGTCCCCCTTCTTATTATGTATCACTCAGTCTCCTCTAACTGAGTTCTTAGAAGCTGCTCCTTTAGATGTGGTTTGGGAATATTTAAAACCAATGATCTACGTTCTAGCAGAAAAGAACCCAAATATTACTTCCATTGACAAATTGCCCACTCCAGTTCAAATACGCAAAACTTTCTGGTCGCAAGATCCTTTTGCAAGAGGCTCTTATGCTGGTTGCTTTGCAGGTGATGATCCCACTGACTTGATCATTGGTTTGACCAAAGGTTTTGGCCATGTTAGATTTGCTGGAGAACATACTATAATGGAAGGTGCTGGGTGTGTTCATGGTGCCTGGCTCAGTGGTAAAAGAGAAGCTAACTATATTTTAAGCAAACTTGGTTTATTGACTGATGATAACATTAATTGGTAATTTTCCTTCTAGATTTCTCTTTTTTTTGCGTCTTGCGTTTTTTTTTGTTTATTTGATGTGTTTGTTTCCTCAAAATTATTATAACTTGTGAAATAATTATGGTTACTAATTTAAATTCCTGTCTATCAATTTTTACTAATTTTTTTATTTCAAATCATTTTTTATTGTTTTTGTTTTTGTTTTATTTCTAATTCATGTGTTATACCACAATCTCAAATATTATTTTACTTTTATGTTTATATTTCTTTCATATTTAGAATAGTCAAATATTTCTTTTTCAAATCTTATTTGACTGTTTATTGATTGTAATTTATAATCTGTAATTTATAATTTCTTTTTTTATTAACTCAATACTACTGTTATTATCAATCCTATCATTACTATCGCTAATTGACTTCAATATTTTAATGCTATATTACTTTATCTAATAATTGAAATTTTATATAAAAAACCCAACTGTTCAATAATAATAAATAAAATCACTGAAAAAAGTTATTAATATTTTAAAATCTAAATAAAAAATGACAAAAAAAAAACAAAATTAACTTTAAGAATGATTCAAACATAAAACTCAGAACTCACAAAGATTAATAAATTAAGATTAATTAGTTACTAAAAAGAAGTAATTAAATAAAAAAAAAATTTAAGAAATTTAAAAAATATTAAACAAAAGATAAGATAACAAACACACATATATCTGTATATATATGAAACGAAGCGAAAAAAAGAAGAGAAAATAAAAATAAGGATAAAAATAAAAATAAAAATAAAAATAAAAATAAAAATAAAAATAAAAATAAAAATGAAAATAAACAAACAAAAGCATGGAGACCTGAAAACCTGAAAGATAATTATTTCAAATGCAGTTTAAAAATTTTCTATTTTAAATAATATAAAATTGAATGAGATCATTAAGTTTAACTATCAAAACCAACTCACCGATTTCAATTTTGTAAAGGTTAAATGAAATGTCTTTAACTTTTTCTTGCTCATTCCCATTTGACAATTCAAATGAAGAAACGATTGAACAATTGTTATTCAAATTTCTACATTCAATTGAACCTTCACCTGGAAAATACCTTAATAATAATAAATCACCATTTTGGTAAGTATCTCTATTTCTATGCATCTCGGTGACTTTAATGCACATTAACTGATTCTCCCCAGTTTCATTTGAATCAAGCACAAGATCATATGGTGTATAGATTTCATCAATTAAATTAAACAATACTAAAATATCGTTTTGGGAATTAGATTTATAGAAACCACGAACCAATATGTTATTATCATCAATAGAATAGATCTTTTGATTTGACGAAAAATCGTCTTCTAAATTAAATATTCTAATTGGATAAACATCATTTGGAGTAAAATCTTCTTGAACTGCATTATTAGCAAAAAATGTAGTGAATTTTAAGAGTGATATATCAAATTTTAATAATTTCCAATTGGACAATAATAAAATCAATGATTTAGAACTTGAAATAACTGTTTTTATCGCCTGATTATCTTCAGACTTATCCTCAGGTTTAACCTCAGCCTTAACCTCAATCTTATCATTGGTCTCATCCTCAGATTTATCTAAATTTTCCTTGACCTTTGAAAGAGAATCACTATTTTTGGGCAACAGAATAAAATTGGATAATTTAATCTCAGTAAAATTAGAGTTTATTGAATATATTATAATATTTTTATTTAAAACAATTAGTATTTGATTAGAAATATCATTAAATGAGAAATCAATCAAATTTTGATCATGCATTTCAAATTCTAAAGAGCAATCTTCATTATTATCATTAATATAATTGTGTAAATCATCGATTAAATTTATTTCTTTAATTGGAAAATTTTTATCGTATTCCCAAATATTTAAAATTTTGTTACTAGTATTGAAAGTCATAAAATTATTTTTAAATTCATTTGATAGCCATTTAATTTTTAGATCATTTTTTGTATTATTAATTGAATATTCTGTGATATTATTTGTTAAACTTTTTATAATTGAAGATTTATCTGTAGTATTAAATAATTTTTCAGAGTTTGGTATTGTAGCTAAGGTTTCTAAATCAAAATTTTTTAGAATTGATTCAGATGAATTTGAATAAACCAAGAGCTGATTATTTTCATTGTTAACTAAAATGTCGGAAATTATTGCCTTATTATCTAGAGTAAGTACGGGGTTTTCAGTTTTTGAAGTAAATGTAGTTTTAGTTAGAGCATTTTCTATTTCAATTTCATTTTGAATATTGGTTTTAGTTGTTTCTTCGAGTTGATTATGAACTTCGTTTTTACTGGTATCATTATCTTGGTTAATATCATTGTTGTTACTGTTATTGGTGCTATTAGTATTATTAGTATTAGTATTGTTGGTATTATTTGGATCATTTATCTGGTTAATTTGAGATTTATTTGATTGAATTTGATTGTTATCAATATTTTCATTGATTTCATTATCATCGACGATAGTTTCTAAATCTGTTTCGTAATCATTATTTTGATTATTTGAATTGAAATCTAAATTCTGTAAAATAAATTGATCATCGAATTGGTTGGCAAATTGATGGTCACTAAATTGGGACTTAAATCGTTTTGAGGTGTGAAAACCATTGTCATCATAGTCATCATCTAAATCACTGATTCCATTAATTGATTTTCTATTTGGATTGACTATTTGAGGGGCTTCTTTCATTGGAGGCGAATCAGTTAAATTATCCATTAATCTTGATTTTGAGTTATTATTTTGAACATCAAATATATCATGATCAATTTTTTCATTATGAATGTTATTGTTGTTATTGTTGTTATTGTTGTTGTTATTGTCGATATAGTCTTTTTTAAGGGGAGAACGAATGTTTTCGTTTGGATCAAAAGGGGAATTTAAATCGTTTAATTTAAGAACCTGTTCTTCGATTTCTGAATAATTGAAGCGATCAAAAGTGTTTAAGTTTGTGTTTTCCTCATTTGAACGTATTTGAACAAATTGGTCTTGATTTTGGTCATCACTATTTTGCATATTTTGGTTATTGAGATGGTTCATGTTATTTTGGAAATTGATATCATCAGGATTTTGGGAATTAATTAGGTTGATGTTGATATTATTTTGAATTGAACCGGAACCATTTTTCAATAAATAGAATATTTCTTTCATACAAGATTGCAAGAAATTTCTTGATTGAATTAAGGGGGTTAAATCGATTGTATTTAGAACGTCTTTTGAGTCTTCTAAATTGGATAAATTATTCAATAGGATTTCTGTTGATTTCAAATTATTTAGGGGCAACTCTGTATTAGAGTTATTTTTGTTGTTGTTGTTATTACTGACGTTGTTTGAGTTTTCGTTATCAATTAGTAATTGGTTTATTTGGTTAATTTCGAGTAAGAAATCATCTTCAGCCGATTTCAATCTTGGGTTTAAAATGTTAAGAATTTGTTTTTTTTCTGATTCGATTGGGTTTTTAGTTTTAGTTTTAGTTTTAGTTTTTTTTTGTTTAGTTTTGTTGTTGATTTCATTTTGGTTTTTATTGTTATTGTTATTGTTATTGTTATTGTTATTGTTATTGTTATTGTTATTGTTATTGTTATTGTTATTATCATTATCATTATCATTATCATTATCATTATCATTATCATTATCATTATCATTATCATTATCATTATCATTATCGTTATTATTATCGTTAAATTGGTTATACAGATTTTCAAAATCCCAATAGTTGTTATCATTATTTTCAGATTTGGTGTTATTGATAATTGTTGTATTATCCTTTTGGTTATTTTTGTTGGTCTTGGTGTTATTATTGTCATTACCATTATAAAAATCGTGAATCAATTTACTATTTTCAAAATCATCATCGATATCATCGATATCATCAATATCCTTATCGATGTCAATATCGTTGTAGTTTTCATCATCTAGATCATGGTCGGGATCCAAATCGTTATCGTTATCTATGTTATGGTCTATGGTATTTTTATTAATTTGAGGGTCATTATTGAAGTTGTTTCGTAGATTACGACTACGGGTATGACTGTGATCGTGGTTTTGATTATGGTTGTTTAAGCGAGTGTTGATAGATGCGTGATCATCAATTTCATCAAAATTCTGGATTGAATTTATTGATTTCAAGTCCTTTAAATGGTCGTCATTATCAAGATTTAAAGTTAGTTCTTTATTTAATTCTAGTTTCTCAATTCTTTCTTTCAATTTTGAGTTTTTTAGAGTTAATTGGTTGATTATCCTTAAGTTTTTGAGGTTGTCCTCTTTTAGATCGTTGATGTTGTTGATTAATTTGTTGTTGAGCAAGATCAAGGAGGACTTGATGCCTTCCAACTTGGCTATTTTAAACTTCATTTCAGACTTTTCTAGGGAGTTTGAGATCTTATATTTTTCAATCTGAGTGAACTCAGATTGGAGATAGTTCATCACTCCAGGAAGAGTGTAGTTGGTTGTGTTCATGATGAAGGAGGAAGAGGTAGAATGGAATTGGATCTCAAGCAGAGACAGTCTTACTCGTCAGAAACAGATCAATAGCAACCCAATCAAAGCAGCAAAACCAACAGAAACCAAACAGATGAAGATCAAAACCAAGATCAAATAAACAAATTTGTGGTGTTTTTGTTTTTGTTCTTTGGAAGTCAACGCAAATTTCTGTTTTTTACAACTCACCCTCAACAGTCACGGCGACGCAGTTTTGCACGCAGAGTCACACGCAGAGTTACACGTACTTATTCACGCACAGTCACACGAAGCGGCATTTTCAGCCGGACTCTTGCCAGATCCCGCCGGTGCATTTCAGCAGAAGCAGCACAGGAAGAAGAACAAAAATAAGAACAAGAACAAGAACAAGAACAAGAACAAGAACAAGAATAAGAAGAAGTTTCTCTTCCTCATTTTCTGTTTTGTTGCTCTCTCTGCTTTCATCATGCCCCCTCGTTCTACTGCTCAGCGTCGTTTGTTGAAGGAATATCAGCAGCTCTCAAGAGACCCTCCAGAGGGCATTATTGCTGGTCCTGCCAACGAAGACAACTTGTTTCTTTGGGATTGTTTGCTTGAAGGTCCTCCTGATACTCCCTACCAAGATGGTGTATTTTCTGCTACTCTACTGTTTCCCAAGGACTATCCTCTAGCTCCTCCTACTCTTAAGTTTTTTCCTCCAATTTTGCATCCCAATATCTACAAAGATGGCACTGTATGCATCTCCATTTTGCATCCTCCTGGCGATGATCCTCATCAATACGAAAGAGCAGAAGAAAGATGGTCCCCTGTTCAAAGTGTCGAGAAAATCTTGTTGTCTGTCATTAGCATGTTAGCTGAACCAAATCCTGAATCTGGTGCTAATATTGATGCATGCAAATTATGGAGAGACAATAGAGTTGAATTTGAAAGAATTGTCAAAGAAGATGTGAAAAAATCTCTAAGTCTCTAAATTCTCCTACTTACTAGAAAAAAAAATAATATATAAATTATTATAAGTATTATGATCATCACAAACATTATGATTACCACAATTATCATAATAATTTATAGACTTTCCTGATATTCTACTCTACATCTTTCTTTCTTTTTTAACTCAATTCAAGCATTTTCTTAATCTATTTGGCATTGTATAGTTTATCTATGGTTTCTGTTTTTGTTTCTGTTTCTGTTTCTGTTTGTTTTTTTTCAATTTCTTTTAGATACTAAATTTTGATAAACAAAGAATTTATAATACAAAATCTTCCATTTATTATTCTCTTTGTTTAACTTATAAACACATTAAAAAAAGCAATGACAAAAACAAATAAAAATCACCAAATAAAAATGAAATAAAAATAAAAATAAAAATAAAAATAAAAATAAAAATAAAAATAAAAATTGGTGTGTTTGACTTAGTTTTTCTTGTCTTTCCTCCAAATCACCCCTTTCTATTATTTCTAGATGAATAAAAAATAACCAAATAAATTGTGCTTCCAATAAATTTAAAAAGTGCTGTGAAAAAAATTATCCATAAAACAACTGTTAAAAAGATTTCACTATTTTTCTGGTATACTGAATCTGCCAAATTCCTCGTAACAATTGATTTATAATCAGGATTCGTCAACTCTTTCAATCCACCAGCATTTAAAATAAAAACGATTAGCAATGCATTAGTTCCAATCCACGACAAAACAACCATAGTTCGAATAAATGCATAGTCATTTTTTTGTTTCTCCTCAATTGATACCTCTTGTTTCCCATCGCTGTTGTCTCTCACTGCAATTACACTTGCTTGCTGCTTGTATGAAAAATTGATTTCATCGTCCGTAAGTGGAATACTGACTTCAAATATACCATCCTTATTCACTTTAACTTCCCCTAAAAATTCTTTACTGCCATCATCTCCCTTTGTACCCCAAGACACATCGTTTAAATTACAAAATGCATAAATGTTTAAAACATTGGCATATGATGGGCTTAATAAAAGATATTGCAAAAACGATGTAAACATATGATATGGTTCCAAATAAAGAAATGACGAAATAAAGTAAACAGCATATATTGATACAGTCGATAATAATAAATCTCTTGTTGTGGGATTTGAAAAAAATTCGGTCGATGATATCTTTCCATCATTTTCATCTTTAACTCTTTGAACTGCTTTAACACTGAGATAAATTGCTGCAAACATCATGTAAACCATTAAAATTGCATAGAAAATCATGATAACTTTATACACTATTTTAGTACCCCTTGGTCGATTCCCGAAAGAACAAACAAATACTGACACTGTTGCTGATGCATACAACCAAATAAAGATCAATGAAAACGCCTTTCCTGGTCCAAATTCTGCTTCGTCATCAGCTAATGAAACAGTGATGATTCTGAAAACTAAAAAATAACAACCAATTGAAAACCATGATAATAGTAGATTAAGAAAATTATAAATAAATTGAACTGAAAATAACAACTTTCTCTTTAATGAATGCTTTGATTTAAAAATTTTGAAAAAAAAAATCATTGAATAAACTGCTGCAAAAAATGATCCGTTAAGCCATCTTCTTCTTTGTGCTATAAATTCTGGTATATCCCCCGGAACGTCAGTCTTTGCAGTTGCAGATTTAACGTATTTCAATGTCCAGTTGCATCTTTGTCTGCTAACAATCTCAAAACACAATAATCTATCTTCTGCAAGATACATATTTTTGATAAAAATATGTGATTTCTTAAATTCTTGGTCTTGATCAATTATGTCTAAATTTTCGCCTTTAAAGTATTCCTTTAATGGACCATTATCTAGTTCATCATTCTTAATTGCATTATATCTATAAGCGCTAAAAGCACCAGGTAAAACAGAGATAAAACCAAAGATGGATTCTAAAGGTTTATCCAAGATGTTTGAGATTTTGTATTCGAAATTTTGCGAAGCAACTAGGGGATTTATCAAGTTTTTCCACTTGTGACCTAGTGAAGCCTTTATTTCACCACAGGCACCACCTACTTGTGGATCATAATGAAAAGCTTTCCAAAGTTCATAGAATGATCTCTTGGAAGGTTCAGTGCCAACATCTAATAAAATAATAACCTTGGGGTCTAAAATCGGGCAAAATGCTTGAAAACACCATCTATGAGAATTGATTTTTTTAAGATTTTTTTCTTTGAGACAAAATAAAAATTGGACTGGAATTACCAGATCAAATTCAAATTGAATTATATCATCTTTAATGCCTTTGATTCCTACTAATGAAGTGTATTCATAAAGATGAGCTTGAACTTCATTATCATTGACTTTATTTTGGGCAAAATTTTCTTGATAACAACCTAGAGTTGATAATAGAGCCAAAGATCTTTTATTGATGACAGATCTACCATCGCTAACGATGCAAACGACGATTTTTTTCCAGCCATCGACTCCCCAAATATCTTCATCGCCTTTGTTGCAAATGTATTTGATGTTATTCATGATGGTGGATAAAGTTCTTGCTAGTAGAATTTCATTTTCGTTGTACATTGTTACAACGACTAGAAGTTCAGTTTGTCTTTTTTGGGTGAAAAAGGTTTGTCTTAAAGAAAAGTTGTCAGATTGAAAATCTTTTGGATCACTTGTAACAGCAGAATATCTGAGATAGTTGAATTCTCTTGGAGAGTAATTGCCTTTGTAATTTGAGAGCAATTCTTTTGAGACTGGACAATCAAGAACGAAATTTCCATTTGTTGTTTTGACTTTACTTTTTGAGTTTGAATCTGGATTCAATTTTTCGTTATCATTGTCGTTATCATTGTTGCCTGAGTATTCATCCTCGTTATCGTTGTCACTATAAGAATGATTTTGGTTCATAACTGGATTAATTTCATAATATTCACCATTAATCGGAACAGGATTTAAATCGGGATCGTTTTGATTATAAAACTGTTGGTTTGTGAAGTTTGGTTGGTATAGAGTGTTTTGCATATAAATTGGGATATTAGTGTTGGTATTATTAATTTCTACAGAGTATAAGGAGCTATTATCATTTCTTTGAGGGAAACTTTGATTTTGACCTAAGATAGGAGATGTAGCAAAAACAGACAGTAAATTGTTATTGTTATTATTATTGATAATATCATTATTATTGATAATATCATTATTATTGATATCAAGATTATTATTGTTGCTGTTGTTGTTGTTATTGACGATGATATTGGGATTGGAATCAAAGGGAGATATGTATTCATTTGGAATTAAATTTGGTGTTGAATTTGGAATGTCATTTGGATTTGGATTTGAATTTTGGTAGCTGCTGTTATTGAATTGATTTGATAAAAAAGAAACTGAGCCCAAGTTGGAGCGAGTATTTTGAGATGGAACCAGAGGAGGAAAAAAAGGGTTATTGATTGCGTTGTGAGAATCTAAATTGGTAGTTAAATTATCGCTGTAGTTCATGTAATTTGTGTAGTTATCGTAATTTGCAGAGTGACTAGAGGAATTTCTTTGATGGGTATTTCCTGGGAAAGTTACACTGGGATCTAAAGTAGTTTGATCATCACCAGAGAAAAAAGAGGCATCGTCTCTAATGTTGAGATTATCAAGATTATTGTTGTTGTTACTATTTGTGTTATTGCCAGTATTACTGTTATTTAAAGGGTTATAACTCATCCTTTAATTTCTACTATTATTATATTATTGTTTTTATTTTAATTGGGTTATTTTAATTGGGTTATTTTTATTTTTATTTTTATTTTTATTTTTATTTTTATTTTTATTTTTATTTTGATTGGATTGTTTTTAAATATTTTTGTTCTCTTTTCGGTTGGTTAATGATTGAAAGTGAAAAAAAGCTATATTAATTGAATGAAATTTATGTTTGGTTAAAACAAAATTAGACATTTTATATTGGAGATGATTGATTTATATGGAGGATGAAAAAACCCACAATAGTGTTTTTTTTTCTTGGTGTTCTGTTTTTATGATCAAGGAGGAAGGACGTTTGCGTGGTTTGGAAGAGAAATATGGGCAAAGGAGCGAAAACAATGTGAAGGGAGACATAGTGAAGAAAACAGTCCGCGGAGAAAACGGAGAGAGAGGCGACGAAATAAAACAGTGGCTAAGTAAAGCTATCCATATTCTAAGAACATGATGTTGTTTTCCATGCTGAATTATAGCCCATTTCCAGAGTTTTGAAGAGAAAGAAGAGAAAAGAAGAGGAAGAAGTAAGGGCAGTGTAGCAATACAAGGGCTTTATAAAGAAATAGGGAGCAGGACAGTCAAATGAGTGAATGGAAAGGGTGGAATACAGAAATGGAGCCTATTTTGAGGAAGACTGAAGATGGCAATCAAATAGGCAGGTCTTATTTGGAATGGGTGAGTGCTGCTTGTAATTATGTTTTGTGTTCATGTATTGGAGAGAAACTGAAGTTGAAACTGGTCAAACCAGTGCAGGCAAAGGTTCTCTAGACTGATATTGAGTTTATATAGGATTGATATCGGATTAACAATTCACTGTATATCATTTCATCTTGTTTTCCATCCACAAGTCGTAAGTTTACAATTCAAAAGGGTCGCTTTTTACTCCAGAGTCGACAATACTTGTAGCGTCATATGTTTCTAAGAATCTTGAATCCTAAAGAACTGATATAAATTGCAAAAAACACAGTTGGTAAAAATTGGAATCGAAAAATTGCATTGAAACAAAAAAAGCGATTGTGTTTTCACTCACCTAAAATATGCAGTGCTGCAGGGTACCACACCACTGGCTCGGTCTCAAAGCGGCCGCGTGATCTCCGTCTTGGTATCGGCCGACTCTGCACCCGCAGGTGTAGCGTGCTGGTTCCGAGCCCACGCGAGCTGTGCGTTTGTGCTGGCATGCTTGTTAGTTACGTCATTGGCGGCGTGCAAATCGACAGCACGTTCTGAACTGATATACGAGGCTGCCCAGCATTGGACCAGCGCGCCGAGAGCACTCTCCCATTGGCCACTACGCACGAGCCGCGTGTTTGCGGCTGCCTGTTTTTGTGCAGATGTCTGTGTTAACCGGAGCATACCGGGAGTGTGCATGCACGTGTATTTCGGGAGACGTTGATTATCGCTGCAAGTGTAACGTTTTTAGAAATGGATTCGATGCTATAATTTTTCGAAATTTTGGAAAGATAATCCAATTATTAAAAGTTTCTAGAAGAATAAAATAATTTTCGAACTTTCGAATTCAAAAATTAGAATTAAAATTATTTAAACAATTTCAAGGTTTTGTAAACATGATATTATTTATATATTATATTCAATTTCAAGTATTTGCAAATAAGAAAATAAATACAAACAAATATTACTAATTGATTCAGTATCTCACCAATAACAAGCAGTAAATAATAATCACACAATTCTCGGGAATTTAATGATCTCTGCAATTCCCCTTTACTGATATCTTACTAATTATAAATAAATCCAACAAAAAACAAAGTATTTGTCAAATGAATTCCATTGCTAAAGTTCGTGGTCTTCTGTGATGCGAATTTTCCTTCTTTACAATCTTCTTCTCTATTTGATCTATTTGATTACTACGGCCCATTTTTTATGCTGTTTTAATTTCAATTTTTGGATAAATAGGCAAAAACATAAAAAAACGCTTTGGATTTTAGTGCTATTTATTCCAATAATCATGCAACTTATCACAGCTAGCCAGACAGACATGGTGTGTGATAGCAAAATCTGTGGAAAAAAAAAAGGCTTAATCTAGTTTCTACTTTCTTTGGTATTTTTGTTCTTTTCTTATATTTTCACCAAATGCGCATACTAATCTGGCTATTCAACTATCCAGGAATCTAATACACTGGTACATGTACATTAATTCCCCCCAGTTATCCAATAATCTTATCCGTAATTGGTTCAGCAAAAAAAAAGAAAACCAGCCTAATTTACGCTCCAAAAAGAAACACTGGTCTATCAATGTTCTCAATAGATTTAAACACTTTTAAAATGTTTCCATTTGTTTTGACCCAATCTGAACCAATTAAATTGACAACAATAAGAATCTTCTCTTTCTTGCCCAAACCGTTAAAAATTTATTGATTTTTCTTTGTTTTTATCACTGTTCTTTTATACTTTTTAATTGCAACAATGCATCAATGATTTGAATGTTCAAACCTTAAAAATGACCAATTTTACTGATTATAATCAGGAATTCACTTTTTCTTCCTTGCAAGAAAAATGAATTAGATTTAAATTAAAATTTCCATTTCACAATAAATTTGAAATAAATCTACAATATACAAAAAAATCACAACACACGTCCATGTCCACGTTCATTCAGAATCACGTCTGGTTCAGTTCAAGTCATCAATTTCAACACCAATTCTTCTTGCTTATCATTTAAATTACCACTTCTTTTTACTTAATTCTACGTGCTTTTTTTAAGGCTGATCTTCCTGTTGATCTTCTGTAACTAATCTTGTTTCATATTAGAAATTCCTAACAAAAAAGGGCAATTTCAACAGCTCAGCTACTCAACACTCCCACCTGAAATTGCCAACTGGCAAATAACCATTTCTTCTCAACCGCATCCTCTATCTCCCATCAAGTACCACCATTTCCCTTCAATTCAATTCAAATTTTATCTCTTTTCAGCTGAATTAACTTTGATTCTCTTTGATTTGGTTTTACAACCTCAGTTTTATACATCATTTTTCACGGCATCGCCTGTAAAAACGGAACCTCTTTGGGGCTTTGAGGGTTGTTTCTCTTGCTTGTCCTCTGCATAACCCTCCACAAATGGCATGGTTTATTCGCGATCTTTACCCGGACTAGACTTGAATTGGTTTTATTATTATTATTTTATTATTTTATTATTTTATTATTATTTTTTTTTCCAATTTTTCCTTTTTCAAACTTTTTTTGTCTTTTGAATTTTGTTGTTTTACATTTTTTTGTTTTGAATTTTTGCATTTTTGAATCTTTTTTATTTAAATCCAAATTCCAATTCCAATTTTATCGATTCCAGCTCTTTTTTTCGGTGTCTCGAAACGTTTTCATTGGCCCAAAACAGTTGTTGTTTCTTTCTCTGCTTTTCTTCTTTCTTTTGCTCCTTATAGAGAATATTTTCCTACTTTGGTTCTCACCATATCTCGACATTGTAGGTGATTAAAACCCTTCCAAATAAAGCAAAAATATTCAATTTGGCTTTGAGTTTTGATTTTTGATTTTTTTTTGTTCTCTTTTTAGCTCTTGTTTTTAGCTCTTGTTCTTTGCTTTGTTTTTATATTAACCCGTCTAGATTATGTTATCATAGATAATATTTTAATATTAAATAATGTAAATAATGTTAAAATAATGTTAAAATAATTTTAAAATAGTGTTAAAAAAATATTAATATGTTATCTCAAATACTAATCTTAAACTTCAAATATTTTAGCAGAATTTTGGAATAATCGCTTGATATCATTCTTGATTTGAATTTGCACAAATACTCATCAACTCCAATCCTAAAAAATAAAACACGATCTTGCAATATTGTTCTTAATCATTATTCTAACAAGTCATTAGATTTTAGACACTCATTTCCATCCATTTTATTTCTGGAAAAAAACTTAAATGGATATATTGATCGTTATTTGCTTTCTTGTTTTATTCCATTTTATTCTTTTTTGTATGCCTTCGTTTGCATTCATCTCCTGTTGTTGTTATTTTGTTTCACAATAAAAGTGTCTTGAAAGAGCGAACAGTCTGCCTCAATCCTCGTACAATATAGATTTTCCTTCTTCCAATGTCTGGTTTCAAATTCCTTAATGCTTTTAATGCTGTTGAATAACTGCTTCAACTGCCGTAATCGATACCAACAAAAATCTTGCCATTTCGCTCATTTACTTTGCATAAATAATATTAATTAATTGCTCTTTTCTTTGTTAATTCCATAATTTGGATTAACTCAAATATTCCACACCATGAGCAATATCATCGCACTACCTTACCATAACCCAATATTCCTCTACTCTCTTTTAATATTCTCATAGTTGCAGAAATAATCTCTTGAAATGACTTGATCTTCTCCTGAAATACCATCAACAGGAAACCCAACATAACCACCTCTGCTTCGGCTAGAGCTGTGCTTCTCAGCTTTGTTCCATTCCCTCTGCCATTTATATATCTTCACCACTCTTCCTCTGCTGCTCTGCTTTCAAGACAACTTTTGTAAAATTCCTGTTTTACTCAGCTTCCTCTGAAATTTTATATATGTGTCTGCTTTGGCCTGCAGATGCTCTTTTGCACAATAGTTCTGTTTTCCCTTCTCGTTGCTTCTTTCTTTCTTGCTTTTGCTGTCGCAAACTCTGTCCAGCAACCTGAGTAGCCTGCTTCGACTGGTTAGCATGACTGGCTCCAGCCTGCCTGTTCCAAATAGCCCTTAATTGCGTTTCAAGCTGCTGTTGGGTGGTTGCTGAGTAGCTTTTGGATTTCCGAAAATTTAGGAAAAATGTTGTTTAATGTAGATATTCCTTTTAAATTTTTAAATTTTTACAAAACAAAAAAATTAAATTATTAAACTCCTAATTTAACTAGTAATCTACTTTCGTTATTAGTTTAAATTTTTTATTTGAAAAATATTTATTATTCTAATTTAATGCAATTTTTTTTCTTTCACTTTGTATTCAAATTCTTTATTCAAAGTGTTAGAAATATTAACGAAATACTAAAAAATATTAAAAATAAAAAAAAAAATCTAAAAAAAATAAAGACACTTATGATTTTTATGTTCCTAAGGTTTTTTCACTTAATATTTTAAAATACCTATTTTATCATATTATTATCTACTTTTTTCTCTTGTTTTTTCTCTATTACACATTACTTGGTTTCTTAATTATCGACTTGATAATATCCTTTAAACTTAATATAAAATTTTTCAAATTATCGCTATGAATTTGCGAAAACAGTTTCTTTTTTGCTAGAGACTACAAATAATCTATTTGTTTATTAATTTACTTTATTAATTCATTTTATTGATTTAAACATGAAACTATAGTAAGTTTTCATTCAAATTACTCTTTAAATGATATATTTAAAATTAAAAAAAGGTTTTAAAGAGTCAATTTATACAACTCTGCTTGTAACTTTTATCAAACACCATCTTATAATCCCATTATATATACATATATATACTGATATATATATATGACTGGTTTTAGCTCTACTACAGATAATCTATAACATATTTTCCAAAGTTGGTGACAGAGGTTTCAATTTTTAAATATAACTGCATTATACTAATCCATTTTTTTTTGTTTCTTTTTTGTTGATTTTTTTGTTCTAGCTTTTGTCACTTTCTTGAATATTTTTTCTAAAATTATAACTAATCTAATATTTTTAACTAAAAATAACTAACAAATAACAAAAATAACAACAAAAACAAAAACAAAAACAAAAACAAAAACAATAACAACAATAATAATAATAATAATAATAATAATAATAATAATAATAATAATAATAATAATAATAATAATAATAATAATAATAATAATAATAATAATAATAATAGTAATAATAACAACGACTAATAATAATATTGGTACAATATCGATATTCATAAATATTATAGATATTCAAATAAACAAATAAACTAGATACGTTGACAATACAATTGATAATAATAATGAAGTTATTTAGTCTCAAAATATTCACGTTTTTTCTTCTTTTAAAGGAATCTGACAGCATAAACAGCGAAGATTTCCACATAATAACAGCAAATAGTTCATTTAATGATATTAGTAATATAAACATAATAGGCTTTTCCAACAATTTTGGCAAAAATAGCAATGTACTAAATTTTCATGAGGTTGGAATACGTTTTAATGCTTTTCACACTGGAAAACAGTCAAGAAATGGATGCAAATTCACTTGCACTCATGAAGATTGTTATGTGATGCTAAAGGCCTGTGATAGGCGTTGTGAATATCCAATATATCATCCAGGAGTTCCAAAATTTTGTATAAAATCCAATTCATGCACTTGCTATCAAATATAAGGTTGGTTTCAGTGTTTATATACAAAGATGTATATATATATCTTCAATAATAGTGTGTGAAGGTATTCATATCATATTTTTTGTCTTTAATTTTTCATATCATAGTTCATCTTTATTTTTTATTTTTTTTTTCTTGTTTTTTCTTGCCCTGTTAACTAACTCATTTTATATTATTTATAATATTATTTATAATATTTTTTATAATATTTTTTATCCTTAAATAATTTAATAATTTTCTATAGTTTTTGGTTTTTTTCGTGCTAATTTCAACATCATATTTCTTTCTTAATAATTTTTTGTTTTTAAGATTAAACTTAAATACTTGGTTTTTGGTATTCATTTAAAGCATAATTGAGATTTGACAGCACAGAAATAAAAATAATTATATTTCTATTAAACATTTTTTTTGCAAATCGTTTGCTTGGTTCAGTTGTTTTTATTACCATTTTTTTGTAGATTTCTTTGAACGATTTCTGTATTTAAACAAAAACTGGAAAATTTTTTAATTGTATATATCCAAAATGTAATCCAAATATAATTTCAATAAAGATCTTTGTTAAAAAATTATTTGAAGATATAAATTTCAGGAAAATAAACAAAATCACTCAGTGGAATACAAAATAAAAATGTTTTTTTTTTGTTGCTGTTATTTTTGTATCATACATCCATGTATACCTTTTTCTTTCTCTGTGGCAAAAAAAAATAGAAAATTTCCCCATTTTTCTCCATTTTTATTTGCCTAGTAAAATTTTCTTCATTTGAGGATTCCAATGATACAACATAGAGATGTCATAGAAGAAGATGTCCTGCTCATTTATGAGTACTGAATAACTGGAAGAAAACCTGTTCTTTTACACTCTAACAACTGGATTATATTAAACAATAAAGTTATACTGCTAATGATGATTTCAGAACAAAAATCAAGACTCAAGTTGTCTCAATTACTTCAAAGAACGTTTTATGATGACAAACAGCAGTGAGAATAAGAGGAAAACCTCTGATTAGTTAATTTTGCTGGAGAAATCCCTTCTTAACTGGTTAGCCCGCTCCAGAAAACCAACATTTCCATTCTTTTTTTTCCTCTTCCTCCTCTTTCTCTTCTTCTTTTCTTTAGGTTTAAATAATTCATAAAAATCTATACTAAAATTAGGTAAAGAATGTTTGGTACAAGAAAATAGAAAATTGAAAAAATTCCTAAAAAAAATACTACCTATCGCATCGGCCAATGAAATGTTGGGTCTTTTCTTTTTTTGCACACTAAAAAACTCCAGTGGGTTTGCAAAAGAAAATTTTACAAAAAATTTTATCTGAATTTTAGGCTTCAATTGAAATTCGTTGGTTATTGATCAATGAATTTGTCTACTTGGGAAAGTGGATAATAAAGCAGAAAATGGAGTAATTCCTAAAGCAGCAACTCAGCTATGAGGTATATGACCGGTGGAGATGGCGGTCAACGGTTACCCTACGTGGCGGTGCTGACTAACTCTTGGAAGTGTTGTCTGGAAGCAGACCGGCACCGACACTTACTCGGTTTGTGATGTATAAGGATGCCTCTCGGAAATGGAACCCTCGAACCTGCCATGCTCCACCGGTCTTCGCCTAAATCCACAGCTCTTTGGGTGTCCGTCCGCTTAAGGAGGATCTGGCTCACACTCTAATTCAGCCGGATCAGCAAAACTGCCTCCAATGGACTGCTGGAAAATTATATCACATCTCCCTTTGTTGACTCTAATACCACTGTGGATTTGGAATTAATAGTGGCATTTGTGTCTTTTATTGCTTTAGCTGGCGCAGTTGCTGGGAAATCAGAAAGCAAAACGCAACGTTTTTCAAAAGAAACAAACAATAAGGAGGTGAAGTCTTCTGGTGAGGAAAACAAGCTTTTGGTTTACCAACAGATTTTTTAGCATATTCAAAAAATGACCAACTTTGCTTATTTTGTTCCTTGAAAAAATACTTTTCAAGTGACAGTATCACAAATAACTGTGTCTTTTTCTTTTTATCTTGGTTTTCTGAGTTTTCTGAGTTTCTGGTTTCTACAAATAAAACCCTCGAATTGTGGATATTGCCATTTTTATAATTTATTTGTTGCATAATTTATACAAAAATTTCTCCATGAAATGGCTCCAGATGATCTAAATTGAAATCAAAAAAGCAAAACCCAAACCAAAAAACAAGAAAAAGGAAAAAAATATAAGAAGCAAATATGTCAAAGTCATTTCATACAGAAAAAGTGATAATATTTTACAACTGATTAATTTTTCACCCTTTTATTATTTAAGAAAGAAGGGTTTCGTAATGAACTTTAAAAAAATTTGAATTTATATAAAAAATAATCATTTTTACCAAATTTTAATTACTTTTCTTTTTACTACTTTTTTTAAAAACAAATCAATACAAAGATAAGAAAAACAAATAAAAAACAAATAAAAAAAACTCAAATATTGGATTGCTGAAATAATTGTTTAAATATTATTGATAATGAACAAAACTAATTTTGTTAGAAAAATTTCATTTGATACCTCAACTTCAATAGGACCAAAGACAAATTCGTATTATGAGACCAATGTTGCAATACATAATTGTATAAAAAATAACTTGCTACCAGGAAATTTTGCAGATTTTGTTGCTAAAAACCCCCAATTTTTAATTCCTCCCTCATATAATAAACCTTTGTTCAATACAAAATTTAATCATAATTTGTATTGCAAAAATGTTGAAAATTCTAAAAACATACTAATTGGGTTTGATTTAATCAAATTACAAAACTATGAAATATCCTTGAAATGTTTAAATATGATCTTCAACAACTTTGTTGATGACTACGATAACGTTTTTATTACAATTATTATAAACAAATTCACTTTAGATAAATATGGTTTAATCAATTTCGATGAAATAAACTATTGGAAGGAAAAATTGAATAAAGAGTTTATAAATCAATTGTTGATCAATAACATTTTCAAAAACCAGCCAGCAAAAGACAAAAAAATTTCTGTGTCTATTGATTTAATATTTGACAAAAATGTTAAAAGGGCTTTAGAAAACAATTTAATGGATTACAACCCCGATATATTAGTTTTAGGAATAAATGACAAAAACTTTTCAAGTTTGAATTCAATTACATCAAAGCTTTTCATGAAAGTGTCAAAACACTCAGCATCTACATCGACATATTTCTTGAGATCATCTAAGATTCCAGTAATTGTTGTCAATTCCAATTTCAACTTGAAGAATTCTATAATACCAAATAAAAAGGTGAAATTTATTAATAATGGACAAAAATTAGATCTCGAGTTCAATGGAAAATTGGTTTCAATCCCATCCAACTGCACATTCGGTCCTAGCAACATTGGACCCAGTTGCAAACAACAAAATTTCACTGCTAAGCACCCAATAATATCACCTTTGGGAACGTTTGTCTCATAGTAATTTTCCTGGCTTTTTTTTTCCACTTTTGCATCTTCCTATGATATATTTTTGTTTCTTTAGTATTAATGTCTTTTTGTCTAATGAATGCCTCCTACAAGTGACAAAACAGTTCCCCAAATCACAAATGCATTTATCTGTTTAATCGCATAATCATGCGCTGCATAATCTGGCGGCATTTTGAGTTTTTCTTGTTTTTTCTTGTTTTTTTCAACATTATCTCCGCCTGTGCCAAAAGTTCCCAAATCAACGAAAATGACCATGGTCCGCGAAAATTGCACATGGCTGCGAAAACCGTGGGACTCGCAAAGCTCCGAAATGGCGAAATCTCCCCGTGTTTTGCGAAAATTGTGACATTTATTGTTCTATTGTGTGAAGCACCGTACAGCTGCTGGAATATAAAGGATGATTCATAACTGTTCGCTAGCACTTGTGAGTCAATAGAGTAATACAAAACGATATAACTGGAAGAGAAAAACACCTGAATTCGCTGAAACCTGTTCTGTCCAACTATAATTTATCAAAGAAACAACATCTATCAAGAGTCAGTATCAAGACATGTGTCGTTTTTTAATTTTCAAAGGAACTGAGCCTATTAAACTTTCCCATCTTTTAACGAGACCTGCTCATTCTATTATTAACCAATCCTTTGATTCTAGATTAAGACTAGACAGAAGAAGACCAATTAATGGTGATGGATTTGGTGTCGGTTACTACTCTCTTGATCCTGATTTATATGACCAACCTTGTTTATTTCGTGCCATTACTCCTGCCTGGAACAATCAAAATTTAGAGACCTTGGCTGAAAGAACTAAATCAAACTTGGTTTTTGCTCATGTTAGAGCGTCTACTTATGGGGTCTTGAGTGAAACCAATTGCCATCCATTTGTTTTGAATTCCTTGATGTTTATGCACAATGGTGGTATTTCAAATTTTAATAAAATCAAAAGAAGAATTTTAGCGCATTTGAAAGACGAGTATTTTCTCTTTATCCAAGGTTCAACTGATTCGGAAGTTTGTTTTGCTTTATTTTTAGACACTTTAGATAAAATGGGATATGATCCCCATAAAATATTTGGAAATTTTGGTCATGATGTTCTAAGAACTTGTTTATTGAAAACAATTGAATATATTAATAAATGGTTAAAAGAGATTTCAAATGATATAGATTTCAATCCCGAGCCTTCTTTATTAAATTTTGCTGTAACTGATTCATCTTCAGTGGTTATATCCAGATATATAACTTCAAAGACTCAAGAAGCTGCTTCATTGCATTTTTCCTGCGGATCAGCATTTGTTGAATATGAACCAGGTCAATATAAGATGGAAAGATTGGATAGAAGACAAGATATTATCATGGTTGCTTCAGAACCCTTAACATTTGAGAGAGGTGATTGGATTACTGTTCCAACTAATACAACCTTAACAATCAAGGGTCAAACAGTTCTTTTACATCCAATTATCGACGAATATTATCAAAGAGATCCATTATTTGAAAGAAGTAGCGACTTTGCCGAAAGTAAAGGTTTAATGGGCAGTGTCCCATTAAGTGATAATACAAACTCTGAGGTTCCTCCACTAGAAAGAGAAGGCAGATCAAGAAATATTCAAACCCCAGTTTTTACTTGCGGTTGAGTATTTTAGGTTTATTATCATCGATCTTTTTTATTATTGTTATTACGTTTTCCTTTCTAAACAAGGCAGATTTTTCTTTTTTTTTTTTTAGATTTGACACCTCCACTCTTGTTTTTATTATAATTATATTTTTACATTTTTGGGCAAATAATTGTTATTTAGCATTTTACTTCATTTGAATTATCATTCATTTCTTCATTATCATTTTTTGTCAATTTCACTGGTTCTTTTTTATTTATACTATTTTATTATATATTCTATTTTATATTATATGATTTATTTCTAAATATTTACAAAGTTATATTACATTTTTATGTGGCAACTCTTCAAGCTGATAAATCTTATCATAATTATAAGTGAAGAGACCGGCGTCTTGTAATTCCTTTACAGTAGTTGCACTTATTCCAGTCTCCTTTTTATAAGCAATAAATGCTTCTTTCAATTCATTAATGTGAGATCTTAGTTTAATTTGATCATTGTCCCATATTACGGGGAATAAACCATAATCCATACCGAGTTGGACGATTTCTTTATTCAATAGATGGTAATATTTAACATCTTCGGGATATCTTAAATCGTGAAAACCAGTTCCATTTCCCCTTTGTCTAATTGTTTCACTTTCCTCATTTTCCATTGTTTGAACGTCAGGCAATTTAATTCTGCCAGACCAAACTCTTGCTAACCAAGTTCCTTGGGTCTCTGATAGTCTTGTTGGCAAAACATTTCTCGGTATACCAATAATTGCTAAAGCAGGAAACCTGTAAGATAGTAATTGCCTGTATAGACCATGAATCTTTAAACCGTCGGTTATTAAAGGGTGTTTATAAGTTTTGGTGTCAGATAGACTGTTAAGGTAAGGAATTGATCTTAAATAGCCGGTACAAAAAATGACTTTATCAATGTTATCTAAAGAGGAACCATCAACAAAGAAAATTTTTTTATTTTCATAGTCGAATTTTTCAACATCAGGAACATCGACAATTCTATCATCTTTCCCAGCAGGCAATGCTGTTTCACTTCTTTTGCTCTTCCAGACAGTGCAGTTGTTGATTGTGACAATTTGAAAGGCTAAATCAGCACCTGAAGCAGAATTTCCAATAATTAGAGTGTTTTTACTTTTATAATCTTGAGGCTTTTTATAGGATTTTGAATGTATAATTGAGCCAGGAAATTTTTCGTTCCACTCTTTCAAACCAGGTCTGTTAGGAACATAGGGAATATCATAGTTTCCACTTGCCACTACCACAGCGTCAAACAACTCAATGGTATCAGAAGCAGCACTTTCAATCAAAGCCCCATTTGTTTTTTTGGAAACAGGTCTAGAGGTGACTCTCCATTTGTAAGCAGATGTGCCATTATTCTCATTGAAAACTAGTCGAATATCGACAACTTTAGTCTTGAACAAAACATATTCACTTATTTCCTTTGAGTAATTCACCAAGTAGTCCAAGACGTCCTTTCTCAAGGGAAAAATGGGCAAGTCCTTTGCAAAAGGATAGCCATTATAGGCCATGATAGCAGATGGAACATTGGTGTCCAAGTAGTAATAGGCAGGAGTTGGGTAGATGTAATCATCACCAGAATAGTGTGCCTTATCATAAGGTGTTTTTGGTTCAGCAGGCAATGGATCATAGGAAAGTGGGTCCTCGCATGGAATAGGATGAAAATTATCAAAGGATTCAGTGTAGTTCCATAAACCACCAAATTTCGACCTCTTTTCAAACATCTTGATTTTGTTGAAATGGTTTTCGGCCAAAAGTGCCTTGGTAACAGCAGCACCACCAGGACCTGCTCCAATAACAGCAACGTCCTTTATATCCTGATTAAAGTGTATTCCAACATCCATCTTGCAGTAACCGAGAGTGAAGCAAAGGAGAGAAACGAGAAGAAAAACGACTCAACGTCGAGCCATTTATAGTTGAAGAGACCCAATCTGGAGCAACAGAGCTCGTCGACTTTGGCTGAATTGAACCAACACCTGTTTGTGTAGAGCAGTTATCTCGTTACCAACGCCATCTCTTCAAAACAGTTATCTTTTTAAAACAGTTATCTGCTTAAAATTCTCTACGAAAAGCTCCCAGTGATTCGAGACAAAAAGACTGATCTTTGAAAAAGATTTGAGCACACCCCTTTGAAAGCAGAATGTTTTTGCAGGGGAGATCTGGATACTTTGGGTTTGTGTGCCGATCCCCCTTCAGGAACGGGTTGTTTTGGCAACTGCTCTGTTTGGGAAATATCCGAGATGGAAATAGGTGCTTGATCCAGAAGAGGATATAATTTGCTAGAGAAAGACATCTTCAACAGTTTATGATATTCAATTTGATTCAATTAAAGTAGCGACTGGAAACTAAATAAACTAAATACAATAAAAGACAAAAAAGAAAAAAGACAAAAAAGAAAAAAGAAAAAAATACAAATACGGGACAGGTAAGTATATAGTTCAGTGACAAAAAAGCAAATAAAAGTAGGATATTTAATGCAGTATTGTTGATTGATAAAGGATATAAATCAAATGATTAAATAAAATAGCAAACAGTGAATAAAAAAGTTACTGGTTCCATAAAATATAATATAATTCAAAAGCATGAAATGAAATAAAGGCATAAACATCTTCAAGATAAGTATAGTTAAGTTTTTTTTAAGTAGGTAGTAAAGTAATAATAAAATAATAGTAATAAAGATAAAGATAAAGATAAAGATAAAAATAAAAATAAAGTAAAGGTACAAATAAAGAAAATGAGAAGTTGATGAGAATACGCATTTAAGTTATATATCTGATTTCTATCATTGTTTTATTTTGTTGTTTTTCTGAAAATTCTATAGTTATTTTTCGTTACTTTTAGCTTTTCTTTTTGCTAATTTTTAATTTAATCAATTTTTAGTATTTTTATTTTGCGTCATTAAAACCACCTGAACGAGGAATATTCATTACGAACTGGGTGCTTTCTGTAGTGTGTTGAGTAGAAGTATCGTTGCTTGGATTAGAAGGATCAGTAGATGAAACATCGGAACTTTCAAACGCTGAAGCTCTAGGATATGCAAAAGAAAAATTTGATTGAAAGCGTATTGAAGAATTGGGATTGTTAATATTACCATGGGTTGTTGGAGCAGGTAAGGTGATCAATTCATCGTTGTGAAAATTACTACGTTGTTCTTGATTATTCAAACTTAATAGAGAATTAAAGCTAGGAAGAGTTGAGGATATCAATTCTTTGAATGGGGGTAATTTAACAGATGAAGCTGGTAATGGAAGAGAAACACCGGTTGAAATATTTGAGGAAAGTGAGGCAGTGCTAGGAGATTCTAAATGAGATGAAAGATTTGAGGAAGCAGAAGAAGGGTGAGGAGGCAAAATTGAGCCTAGAGAAGCACGAGAAGTACTAGCAATTGTTCTATAGTTCTGGTGACGTAGCGAGTGTTGGTTAGTATTATTGTGAGAATGGTTATAAGTGTGTGAGGGTAGTAGTACTTGGTTGCCGATATTTATTGGATAATGGTTTCTTCTTGTTGGAATTTCATTAAAATCGTCCTCTTTATGAAATAGATTGGAAATATCGTGATTTCCATAAGTTAGTGGAATTCCTCTTAATGGGGGTAAGTTTCGTTTGTAGGAACCAAATTTAGAGAAATTTAAAGGATTTGAGGTGGTTTTGTCATTTTGATTAGAGATAGACGATTGGTTATTTGGGATTGTATCTACATCCATATCAGAAGTTATATTTTGGTTAAAACACTGATTTGCATTAGTATTTGTATTTGTATTTGCTGGTGTATTTATTGGGGTGATGGATGTTGTTTGATAAAAGTTTGTGGATGGATTTGGGAATTGACTTATATTTTGGAAACCAGAGGATGTGGTAGTTATATTTGCTGAGCTATAAGTTGCAGAGAAGAGTTGATTTGAAGTTGAGGAAGGACTAACGCTTTTGGTTTGATATATTGGAGGGTTTGATAAGGATATTGTTGAAGAGACTGGAGAATTGGTTAGGGAGCCTGGGGTTGAGATGCAGGGTCTTGATTTTTCATTTAAACAGTTTTCAACAGCTTTTGTTAGAGCTCTCTTTTTTGAGATTTTGTCTTTTGACAGATTTTGATTTTTGGAAAGAGAGGAAACAGGTCTTTTGAATACAGATTTGGGAGTTGTAATGTCTTCTAGTCTTGAAGGGTCAGATTCTTTTAGTTTATCGCTAGATTTTTCAGAGAGGCCGATGTTTCTTCTTCTTCTCTTGATGATTTCTTTTTTCATTTTGATGGGTCTGTGGTAGCCATGTAGTTTGTAGTAGAGACCACAAGCGTTGCAGATGACGTTACCTGAGTCGTCTCTTCTCCATAGAGGAGTTACAGTAGTTTGGCAGTTTGTGCAGGCAATGGCGACAGTTTCTTCTTCTTTTTCGTCATCAATGTCTATGGATTGGTGGTGGGATGTGGGTGTGAGTTTTGTGTCAGAAAGAGAGAGAGGGAGAGTGAGAGGGTTTATGTGTATGTTTGTAGAAGTGATTTGGGATTGATGGGACAGCTGGTAGGAGGAGTTGTAGTCAATTTTTTGTTTTTGTATTGTGTTGGAGTCTTTTGAAGAGAGGGAAAGGTCATTTAAAGGAGGAGATTGAGCAGCATTAAAGTCTATTTCGAAGTTTTTGTTTTTGTTTTTGTTAGAATTTGGATTAGGATTAGTGCTAGGATTAGGAAAGTCGTTGTTGGGAGAGAGAATGGAGTCGTTGTCGATGGGATTGTTTACAAGAAGCCTGTTGTTGTAGGAGGGACAGGTTGAGCAGGAAGCAGCACCCCCAGTGCCAGTACATTTGCCATCGCCTTTGCAAGAGGGCAGTTTTTTTTTGTCTTTGATGACAACGAAATGGGGAGGTCTTTTGAGGTTGACAGGTCTATCACAGTTGTTAGCTTTGTAGTATAGGCCACAGGCGTTGCAGATCAAGGTGCCATTGGGGGCTCTTCGCCATAGGGGAGTCTTTGTGGTGCCACAGTTGGAGCAGATTTGCTGTTGGGAGGCAGTAGTGGAGGAGGATTGGGCCTGGGTGGAAGAGGAAGCAACAGAGAAGAACTGGGGGTGGGATAAGTTTGGAGTTGAGGAGGGAATGTTTGAGACAGTTGTGGGAGTGGGATTGAAGGAGGAAAACGGGAGGTTTTTCAGAGAGTTAGAGGTAGAGTTATAGAAGAGTTGAGATGGCTGAGGTGGTTGAGATGGTTGATTTGGATGAGTGATTTGAGTAGATTGAGTACTTTGAGGGTTGAAAATGTAGTTTTGAGATTGTTGTTGGATTTGGATGTTTTTTTTTGAGGAGATGGTGTAGTGGCTAACTATTATTTTTTCGTTATTATTGTTATTATTGTTATTATTGTTATTATTGTTGTTGTTATTGTTTTTATTGTTATTCTTTTTATTGTCAATCTTATTCAAGTCATTAAGATTATCCTGAGGAAATGAAACCGACATTACTATTGAATGGTGCATAAGAGAGATAGAGAGAGGGAGGGTTATTAGTATAGTAGAATGAGAGATTAACTGATAAAGTGAGTGATATTGTTATATTGATATTGTTATATTGATAGTTATATTGATATTATATTATATTGATATTATATTATATTATATTGATATTATATTATATTATATTGATTAATAATTCTGAGTGATTTTGTTTTTGGATTAATATTTTTTTTTTTTTCTTTTTTCTTTAATTTTTTTTTGTAGTGCAGGTGGTTTTATGTAAGATTTAATTGATTAGATTGAATTGATAAAGCGAGGAGGGAAGAATAAGAGTAGAGGGAAAGAGAATAAAAAGAGAAGAATAAGAATAAGAAGAAGAAGAAGAAGAAAAAAAAACAGAGAGGGGAGAGAAATAAAAAGAGGAATTTGGGTTAAGAATTTATATTAAAAATAAAAACAAGAGTTGAAATAGAATTGGAAATAGAATTGGGATTTTCTTTAATTATAAGATGCGAGACATATTATAATTAAGGAAGAATAACAGAATGGAAGAATAAGAAGAATGAGAATAAGATGAAAAAAAGAGGTAGATAGATAGAAAGAAAGAGAGAGAGGTGTAGAAAGAAAGAGAGAGAGGTGTTGATATAGAATGTAAGTAGGCGAAAGTAATTAGTTGAATGGAATTAATTGGAGATATTTTGGAACTGATGGAGATGGTGATGATGAACAAGAATGGAAGCTAATGGATAATGGAAAGTAGCGAGAAAATATAGGGTATAAGTAAAATGAAAACAAGCCAGAGAGGTAGAAATAGAATTGGAAATAGGATTTGGAAGTAGTTGATAAATTGAAAAATTGATAAATTGATAAATTGATAAACTTTAACAAGGTCAAGCCAGAGGATATAATGGATTATGAGTATGGTGAAAATAATAGATTATGATTATAATGAAATATGAATATAATGAATATAATGGTATGGTGGTGGATGAATAAAGAGAGAGGAGATTTAATTCAATACAATACAATACAATACAATAGGATACGATAGAATACAATTCAATTACTGTAGTGATTGGAATGGAGACGAAAATAATCTTGTATTGCTTAAATAACAGAGAAAGAGAGTGAGAGTGAGAGTTGAGATTAGTTTTTTTTATTTTTGTATTTGAGTTTTTCTGCAATTATTATGAGTGAATTTGAAAATGTATGATTTGATAATTAGAATTTTGGCAAAATGCAATACTTTGCAATAATTTGCAATAATTTCCAGTAATTTCCAGTAATTGGTGGTGTTTTGCAGTGTTTTTTTTGATAAGTTGGAACCAGCGTAGAAAATAGCAGTGTGTCTTTGGGAGGAAGAGTAATAAAATGCTAGATTTTTTAGATATGGGAAATCTTAGCAGCTGGGATAAAGTTGGAGTGGGTCTAAGAATTTATTTAATCAGCACCCTTCGTTTTGATGGAATGAAACTTGGAAGAAAGCAAATAGAAAGAGAAACAAAAGGTGGGCCAACAAGAGACTAAAGCCTGTGTTCAAGTGTGAGAGATCAACGAAAAGAAAGCAGCTGGAGACTGGAGTTGAGAGAAAGAGAAACAGAGATAGAGAAGGTATTGCAAGATATTACAAGATGTTGCGAGCTTTCTAGAGCGAATATGCTAAAATACAGTTGCTGCACTGATTGTTAAGATAATGTTGCTCCCAAACGCAGATGCCGCTGCTCTGGCACACGCATTGCAGCACCGCAGTAGCAGAACTAGGAAGCAGCAGCAGCAACAGCAGCATCTTCTGCCTGTGCTTCTGCTGCTTCTCCGGTGCTGGCACCTCATCCACCTCATCCACCTGTGTCGCCACTGCAGCCCGCTGCCGGCATTAGGAATTACTCCCACATCGGGCAAGCGCAGCCCCTCGCGCGCCACGCACAGACAGGTTGGCACCGCCGCACACACCCAGAAACAGCAAAAATGGCGCGTGCAGATGGTTTTGATAACTCCTGAGACACCCACTGCACCCAATCACACAGCGGCAGTATGTCAGCTCTGCCTATACCTGCGTGTGTATGTGCACCCCCGTGTGTATACGCGCACCCACTCTACACTCCGTGCCGTGGCGCCCGGCTCAGCAAGCGAGACCCCCTGTGCGAGCCGGCTGCAGCACGTGCGCACCTCAAGCTTTCCCGGAAGACTATGCGGCTAGCGGCCCTGCAGCGGAGGAGCAGTGCTGATCTGGTGCGCGCACCCGCCCAGCGGCTGACTAAGCATTGCGTGGATGTTGCATAATCCGGATCCTTGTTGTTTAACTGGTACTGGAATATCCCACTGGATGAACACCGCGAGTTCACTTGCGCAGTTCTGTATAGATGACACGGTTCGGCTAATTCAAGAGCCGTTTTCTAGGATACCTCCTCCATAGACGTTGCGAAACACTCGTTTGATCTCGTCCACAGAGTAGTTTTCGTTCAAACACAACTGCAACAATATCCGTGTCTTTTGCGGATTCAAAAATCCACTGGCAATGGCGTGCGTGAAGGCTCTTCCCTCCACCACCACGGGCAAGTTCTCGATGGGCACAATCCCGTTCAACGTCCTGGAGCTGTACACCACGGGGATGCCGTGCTTCTGCGACGCCTCCAACGCCACCAAGTTGCCCTGCTCGGTCCAGGATCCAGAGCCTGTTCCTGCCAACACAATGCCCCTGGCGTGGAGCTGTGTGATGGCCAACTCCACCAACGCCGGATTCAACTCCTGGTAGCCGTAGAGGATGATCACCTCCGGCAAGTGTCCTCCTCGCCCCTTGAGTCTGAAGTTGCTGAAGAAGCCGGACAACCTGTTGAAGCGGCTCTCGTTGCCGATGAACCACACAATCTCATTGTTGATGAACATGCCCAAGTTGCCCTGCTCGAAGTTCTTGAACGTGTCCAACGAGTTGGCGTTGCCCTTGCTGATGTAGAAGCCAGACAAGATCCTGTCGTTCAAGTTGACCAAGATGCCTCTGTTCAGCGACTCCTGCTTCCTGCTGGCCACATACACTGCCTGGTAGAGGTTCATGATGCCATCCGACGACAACGCTGAGCTGGGCCTCATCGACCCCGTCAACACTATGGGAACGCTCACCTTCAACGTCATCTCCAAGAAGAAACTCGTCTCCTCGAGCGTGTCGGTTCCATGAGTGATCACTATCCCATCGATCTTCTTCTCTCTGTCTCCCACCAACCCAAGAATAAACTCTCGCAACTCCACCAAGTTCTTCGACGTCAACTCGTTCGACCCAATGTTGAAGATCTGCTTCGTCTCAATGTGGGCCAACCCTTTCAACTCGGGTATCTTCTGCACGAGATTCTCTATCGTCAAGTTCACCGAGTAGCCTGCTGTCAACAATGTGCAGTTGGCACTAGAGGCAATTGTTCCTCCTGTAGCAATAATCTCAACCAACGGGAGCTCATTATCATAATCACCACCATCTTCATTTTCATGCTCTGTAACATTACTATACTCATACTCATTCTTATATTCATTTTCATACTCGCTGATACACGAAAGATACTTGCCTTCATAATCAACCTCTTCGCTACTCACTCTCATTACCTCCGTAACTCCAATAATAAACAAAACACACACAATAACTCTAATCATTATTGTATCCATCTCTTTATCTTTATCTTTATCTCTCTCTTTATTTCTCTTTATTTCTCTTTATTTCTCTTTATTTCTCTGTAATACACACCAATATACCCCAAATAAACTCAAAGTGCTTTCACAACACTACTCGAGTTTCGCAAAATTTTCACCTTCTCGCTACTCTTATCTGCATCAAAACTTACTCTCCACTGCTCTTTTGTGTAGATAAGCGTTCTCTTCCAAACACTGATTGCTTGATTATCTTATTCAATAACAATCCTCTCTTATTCACTCTCACTCACTCTCATTCACCCTCATTCACTCCCATTCACTCTCTCTTAACTTTTCGCGTCTTTCAAAGCTTGTTCCTATCACTAATCCTCACACTCCATCCTTTCATTACACTTTTTTCATCTCCTTAATACACCTCTATCCCTCTCCCACTCTCTCTTAATGGGTATATCTGGCCTATTGCCATGCTTGAAACCAATCCAAAAAAACTCTCATCTAAACGCCTACGCTAACAAATCAATAGCCATCGATGCCTACTCATGGCTACATAAAGCCATCATCTCCTCAAACCTCGAAATCTACCACAACAAATCCACAAACAAATACTTAAACTACTTTATCAAAAAGCTAAACCTCCTCGCCCACTTCAACATCTCCCCCTACCTCGTCTTCGATGGCGACTACCTCCCTACAAAGGCCTCCACTGAATCTTCCAGATCACAATCAAGACTCAAAAACAAACAACTAGCCGACGCATACTTTCAACAGGCAAACTACAAAAAAGCTCTCGACGCTCACTTGAAATCAATAGACATCTCCCCACCATTCGCCAAAACAATCATAGACTACTTGAAAGCGAACAACATCAAATACATTGTCGCCCCCTACGAAGCTGACTCTCAATTGGTCTATCTCGAAAAATCCGGCTTGGTTGACGCTGTTATTAGCGAAGACTCTGACCTACTTATCTTTGGCTGCAAAACACTACTCACAAAATTAAACGATTCTGGTCATTTCATCGAAATCAGCTCATCCGATTTCACCAAAATACCCTCATTCTCTTCCCTCAACCACTATCAACTAAAACTAGTCGTCTCCCTATGTGGCTGCGACTACTACAAGGGTATTCCAAATATTGGTCTAAAAACTTCCTTGTCCTTAGTCAAAAAATACTCAAACTTGAAAAAACTCCTCTTGTTTCTAAGATTCCAAAACAAATTTAAAATACCTTCCAATTTCGACCAAATCTTCCTAAAAGTATACTATTGTTTCACCTACCAAAGAGTATTCGATCCAATTACCTCAAAAATAACCACCCTAAACCCAATTCCCTCTCAACAAGATAATCAACAAAATAATTATCAAGATAATGAAACCCCCATCGATTATAACATCCTATACTCTTGCATCGGCAAAAAATATGACGACCAAAATCTTCACTACCTAGTGTCAATTGGCGAAATAGACCCTTTTACTCATAAAAAATTGATTTCAAGAGAATTATTAATCAATAAAAATTACAACTTCAATAAACACTACTCAATCAATAAAAACGACAACAATCCTACTACCACTACCACCGCCACTACTGCTATTGCTACCACTACAACTACCACTAACAATAACTACTTTACTCCAAATAATAAAATCATCAACACAAACACCTTTAAAGCCTCAAACATTAGCGCTTCAACTTATAATTCAAGCATTAGCGCTTCAGCTTATAATTCAAAAAATGCTCACTTAAATTCTTCAAAGGTCAAATTCTCAACAATTGATTCCTTCTTTTCTCCAAAAAATAAAAATACTGACACCACCAATACCAAAATCTCCTCAGTAAAATCAATACTGAGAAATTCCTCACCACCATCCATGAAAACTAAACAAAACCTTTATAAAAATAATCAAAGCAATAACCTATCCTTTTCAACTCCTGTAACTAAAAGATTAAAGGGCTTTAACCCAAATAATCAAAACAATGCCCTCAAGACTTCTAGTTTTAGCAAATTTTTCAAAAAACCCAGTCAGGATGACCTATTTACTATTACACTCAATAATAACAACAAATTTGACAAGAATAAAATCATAGATCTAACTGACAATGATTTCAAAAACGAAAATCTCCCCAGCGTCTCTCATGAAAACCCACCTAAAATCTCTGACAATCAAGATCAGTTCAATTTATCAGAAATCAGCGACGACACTGATAGTGAGCAAGAACCCAGCACTCAATTGGCTTACCAAAACGAAAAAGTTGTTACCATCAACAAGTCGTTTTTGAGCGAACTCCGGAGCAAATACTCCTTTATGAATAAGAATCTAAATAAACAAAACACTCAATCTACAAAGAAAAGCCCACACGACCCACATCAGCCGTTGTCCAAGAGAGACTTGAACGTGGACTTAAACTACAGCAAAAAGAGAACCATCAGTGGCGCTATCAATGTCGAAGACATCAAGGAGCTTGAGTGCGAGAAACGTCCAACAGTCCGAAGAAAAGTGACAATTTCTGGAGCTATTGATGTTACTGGTGAAAAAACAGCACTAGAAAGCCATTTCTTTGGCAGGTTTGCCTACCAATCCTGAGCAATGTGCACTTTTGCTGCTCCATATTATTGCATCCCCATTTTCCATAGATTTTTCTCACTTTTTTTCTAATCTTTGAGTATTTCTAGACTTTTTTAACATCACTTCTAGACTTTCTAGACCATTTCATTCACATTTTCAAGTCGTTTCATTTTGAAAAATTTCCACTTCTTTATATATTCTCTGTTTCAAAAGATCGTTTTTGGCTAAATGAACAAAAGTCCTGTTTTTGAAGTGGTTTGTACTGTAGTTATGCTCAGCTCTGCAAATTTATGCGCAACTCTCCCATTTTTTCGAGAATTTTTCAGAAAACCTGCTTCAAAGTGGATTTGTCTTGATCGGTTGGTGGAACTATTTAATTGCGATAAATTGCGATCACTACCAATATTTGATTATATCGTGGTTTTATTGGGGTTGCACTGCTGGTGTACTTTTATTCTTTGTGTCTTCTTTTTAGTTATTTCTTTTCTACTTCTACTCAAACCCGCTATTCATTAATCATAATGGTTGGAAGAAACCCATTATCCATAAGCTCATTGATCAACAACGATAGCGAAATCGTAAACAACTACAAACAACCAAATTATAATAATTCCTTTGAAAATGAGAACAGCCCTGGGAATCATAATGGAAATAATGCAAAGACCCCTGATCATTCAAAGCAAAACACTAATACTACCGGTTTATCTCAGAGCTTAAAATTAAGTTCAAATTATGCCATAAATGATGATTCTGATTCTGATCTTGAATTGTCTGATAGCAATGGAGCTTTACAAAATACAAAGAAAAAAGCTAATATCAAGTCTATGGACAAACTATCCTTGTCTAATTATGGAAGTAGCAAGAAGTCTTCATTTTCATCATCTGGAATCCCAACTCATCAGTTTAATATTATAAAATACAATAACAATAGCACTACCACTGCTACTAATAATAATGCTAATGCTAATGCTAATGCTAATTTTAATGTTAATAGTGTTGAGAAGATTTCAATATGCAAATGGGTGAACTGTGATAAAAAATTTCACTCCTTAGATAAATTAGTTCGTCATATTAACAACGATCATATTGGGATTCGACAGTCAAAATATAAATGTGAATGGAATGGGTGTTTAAGATTTGGAGTTAATCAACCAAGTAGATTTGCACTAGTTTCTCATTTAAGATCACATACGGGAGAAAAACCATTTTATTGTATTGTGCCAGAATGCTCAAGAAATTTTACAAGATCAGATGCTTTAACAAAACATATGAGAACAGTTCATAATAATATTCCACATATTGACGATGACAATCAGTATAATGAGCAACACAATATTAATAAACTGACCATGAAAATGAAAAGTGGATCGAATGATAATAACAGTAATGGTAATAGTAACAATAACAATAACAATAACAACAATGATAATGATTTCAGTAATGAGGTGAAAAGGTATAATTTTCCTTGGTGGTTTGAAAATAAAAATTTGTTTTCCAATAGGAAAAACAAAATATCGAATTTTATTGATAGCGATAATGAAGAAAATGATAGTAATATAAAGAACAATAAGAATACTATTAACTATGGTGTTAATTACGATATCAATTATGATAATAATTATGACAACATTGACCTATTAAATGATAAAAGATTTCAACATGAGAGAAACGCTAGAACTCGATTTAAACAATTGATTAAATTATTTAACAACAAGGGAAACAATAACCAAATTAATAAAGAACTGCTATTGGCCGAGTTATTATTTAACAATCCAAATGACGATTGCAAAATTATCAAGATTAATATCAAGAATACTATAAATAATACAAATAATAATTTAATACTTAATAGCATCCATGATAGCGATTACCTTAATGATGAAATCAATTTGGATTATAATGACTATTATAATCACAATCATAATACAAATGGCAATAGGAACAATTTCAGTAATAACCTTCATAACAGTATAAGTAATGATGGCAGTATAAATATTGGAAATATAGGCCAGACAAATAAGAAAAGAAGATTATCCAATAAATCAAATGGATATCAGGAGATTTATTCCAATAACAATTATAATAACAACAATTACTATAATAATGACAATGACAATGATAATAATGACAACGACAATGATAATAATGATATTAGAGAGAATAAAAGACCTTTAACGAAATTTCAGAGAGAGATTATCGAACAAATAATGTATACACTCTCAACAAATGATAATGATAACCATAGTGATAATGACAATGACAATGACAATGACAATGACAATGATAATATGGACAACATAGAGAAGACTGAGAATATAAATGAATTGAATGGGATATACAATAGATTGAAAAGAAAATTAGGGTGGAGTCTAGAGGTTAAGGAGTTATTAGAAAAGGATTTAAGAAAAGTTATGAAGGAAAAAGAAGAACTTTGGTATAAGAAAGAGGTTTTATTAGATACTACTTTTAAGATGGAATTGAATGAAAAACTTGAAAAGAGATTAATTAAAAATGATTAATTAATAATCGATGTATATTAAAAGTGAAATTGGTAAATATAGTATAGTTGATTTTTTTTTTTTTTTTTGTATTTTATTTTATTTCGTTGTAATTTTAAATTAGTTTGGTTGAATTATGTATTACTGTTACAAAGACCATCTGTTACTTGATGAATCAAATCATTACAAATTAATAACAAGTTATTTTTCTCATCAATTTTTTGTAATCTTTTTTTCTCCAATTGAATTAATTGATTCTGTAAAAGATTTATGGTATTTAATTGATCATCAGTGGAAACACCCGCACCAGGTAAAGACTCTATTATTTTCAAGATTTGTCTTGTTTTCAATATTATATCGGTCGATAATTCCTTAACAGTATTTTCAAAGATTTTAGGATCAGCTATTTGACTTTGAGAATCAGACATTTTCTCTTCACCTTGAGCAGGTATAAAATCATGATATGAACTGACATAAAATAATGAAGCATAAAATTGCTCAACAAGCTGCAAAAAATAAACAATATCAACAAAAAAATGCAAAACAGCAAAACAATAAGAAGGATGAGAGAAGGTTAGAGATACAAGATGTTAAAGACAAAACTAATAATAGAATGAAAAACTATTTCAAACATACCTGGTCAAGACAAACCTGTAATTGAGTGATTCTATCGGACATGAGAAAAATTATTATTATATATTCATAAGAGCTGATTCTGATAAAGTGAAGATGATTTATATTTGAATAATCTGAACATTTGAATAAAAAACGAAAACCAATAATGTGGTTGAATATTCAGAGAGGGTAACTTTATGATTCGGAGACCGAGAAAAGACGATTGTGAAGGAAAACCACGTGAGTGTTCCGAACTCGAACATTGCATATTCCGCTTTTGAAATTTCCGGTATCGTTTTGTTCGAGATATTTGCAAAAAATGGTGAATTTGGAACTAGTCTTTTGGGATAATAGCAAAATGAAAGGGATTGAATAGAGAGGTGAGCATTCAGATATTACTATCGAAAAATTACTGCTAAGAATATAATAGAATTTATCTATAATACTTGGAGAAATATTGGTCAACAAATACAAAAGATGCAGTTCTAAAATTAATCGGAATTGGCACTTCAACGAAATTGCAATGTCTCGCTCTATTCTTCCCCTTATAGGACATGTATTTTGCAAAATCAACCTGCAAAAGATAAATAGTATAATAGGTGATTATCCGAGTCCTGAAAAGTTCTTTGATTATTTCAAACAACTCTTCCCGGAAATGACTTCAATCAAGAAAATATCAGCTGCAGAACCTAAAGGGTTAAAACAATTAACTAATAAACAACTAATTAATAAACAATTATTAATATTACTCGAAAAATTTTAAAAGCAAGTCACCATAAATTAAACAAATCCAACATTCACAGTTCCAAACTCAAAGGTTCGCACACATAGACCAGGAAATAGCCATCTCTCAAAAAGATTTCATACTTGCAAAGATTTCATCAAAGTTGATGATACCAGCAGATATGAAATTTAGGATATCTCAACAAAAAATGATTTTACTGTTTTTTCTTAAATAGCTGGGTTTTAGTTATTTGATTTTTTTTTTTACTTGTTTTTTTTTTATCTTATTAGATTTTTAGAATTTTCAGAATCTTAATAATTTTTAGATAGCTTAGATTAATTGTATTATGACACAGATACATATTGCTATTAAATTAATTAACTGAGAGAGCTAGTTATTTAATAAAATTTTTATTGAAATTTAGAATCAATATTTTAAAAAGAATTTGCAGTAAAATTATAATTTAATAATAATATGATATAATGTGGTGAAGAATATAAAATGGCATAGAATGATATTATTTTATTCAGTAATTTAGACAATTGAATAGCCGATTTGAAAACAAGTGGAATTATTAATTATATAGATCGGATTAACACAAACTTCGCCGGTAAGCCATATTCTTTGAAATATTAAATCTTAATGACTTCAAATGTAATATCTAATAAAAAATTTTCTGTTTCCACAAACACCGTTACAATTATTTGGGATTCAATTTTAACCTTCCGGTTTTGCTGATACACAAGATCTAGAACTCGAAATTCAAAATAAACCTGCAAAAAATATCGATGGGCAAAATTAATAAATTATCTAAAGTTCATTATTATTTTGTTAATAAAAGCAGACAAAAGCTGCCGTTTCTTTATCTTATCCTGATTTATTTCACCCATTTCCACCCAAAACCCTCAGCTCAAACCCATTTGATCTATCAACACCATCCCATCTCCAGCCTGGAACAATGCCAAACCGATTTGGTGGACTTGGTCGCGTGCTAATTTGTATGGTCAGATACTTGGTCTCCTTTGCTTCCTGTTTAAACCTAGTGAGTGGGTCATCAGACGACAATAGCATAGCTCTCTTTTTCTGCTCACGCGTCTTGTTTCTGACTTTTTGGCTTTTATTATTCGTATTTTGTTCAACGTTATCCAAATCACCATTTTCAGAAACATCCCCTTGCTTCTTTTTTGTTTTGGAACTTATGATTGCTGAGTCATCCTCTTTATTGTTGCAATTATTATTATCGTTGCAAATCGTGTTCAACCTTTTCCTATCTCCATTGGAATCTCCTCTGCTATCGCTGCCGGTGTCTTTATTGTTGTTAATAATGCTTGACTCATCGGATGAAACCACAGGTTTGCTGATTTTATTGTTATCTTTATAGCATATCACTTCGTTTGTCCCGATTCTCTTCCATAAATGTTTCTTCTTTGCAATTCTGTGTTCACCGTTACCAATGACTTGATTGTTGTTTTGTCTGCTATTCTTGTTGCCTTTGGACTGCTGGAAATTGTTTGATAATGACGTGAAATCGTTCTCGTCGATAATTGTTGTTGATGATCTTAATGCTGAGAACCGAGTTGTGCTCCTTCTCTTCTTTTGCTTGGAGCTCAAATGATGTTGATTAAGGTAATCAGATACACTGCCCATGGTTATACGGACAATTGGCAAGTAACTAGCAAGAAAAACCAAAGCATCTAAATATCGGTGGATTAAACAACAGTTTGATGGAACAAAAACAATAGTTCCATCATTGGTTATACTCCAATAATACTTGCAAGTTAAAGTCTGTTTGGATATCCGGTCACTTTTAAAGGGTCTCGTGCACGTAAGTCGGTATTCCTAATTGATACACCAATGAATTTCTATTAGATCCGGTCTGAAGTGTCTTCCGGTTGGATATTTCTCTTGAAATTTCGAACTTCCATTTGTCATAATTCCTGAGATATTGTACTTTTGGGCAAGTTGGATTAATTCAAAAATAAAGTATTTCATCCAATCTATTTGCCTGACTGGGACAACAGTCAGCGAGAAGTGGAATCTTTCAAGGACCTAAATAGAATATACACAAACTATTGTATTGAAGGAAGTTGCCATCCATTAGTTTTGAAGACCATTCAAACACATTCGTATCAAGATATAATAAAACTTATAAAAAAATTTCAACTAAGACTGATTCATTACAAAACAATAGATTGAAATTAAAGAATATTTCAAACTTGGAAAATATTCATTAAATTAAATTTTCAATTAATCTTAATTCTGATAATCAATTAATCCATTGATCAAAGACTAAAAGTGTTTATTTGAGATTTTTAATTGAAGTAAAACATTGGATATTTTTTTTAAGTGAAATTTTGAGTAACGATTTTAATTTTTTGATGCGTAATTATATTGAATCATATTATTTTAATTCAATTACAAGTGGGCTATTTACCCAATTAGATATAAATTTTGATTCAATAATGACAACTTTTTTAACAATCAAAATTTTTTTAGAAAAGGTTGAGAAACTGGAACAAGAGTTCATAATTATATGGAATCAAGGGAGGAACGTCCGTAAACAATCAATAAAACAATATATTTATACAAGTGGATTGAAAAAAACAAGATGACGCTGATAAAGACAGGTGAAAAGCAAACTAGACGTTATTATGATAAATTAGATCTGATTTCTATTGATAGGTGATACTATTGGAGAATGCAACAAACCCAAGAAACTTGTGTGAATAAGGTGGCGAAAGCAAAGTTGGTACCGGATAGAGTAATTTGGTAGAGGATGCATGTTGAGGTTAGGATGAGTAGAAATACATGTTATTGCAGATTGATTGCTTTTTATGTATAAAGCAAGAAACAATTTCCAATGTTTTTGATATGAATAGAGGAATATTTGGTCAAGTGTGATTACTCTGAGTTAGTTGCAGTACAAGAATAAGTCAAATACAAGCTATAAAAATGCAGTTGCTAACTTTTTTGAACGAAAACTCGGAATATGTTTACACACTGTTTAACAAACTACCAGATTTTGTTTTCCAGCGTATATTAAATGATATATCAATTGATAAAGTTGCTCTATTCATATTATCAAACAGTGAATCGCTAAGAAAAAAAGCGTATGGTGTATTATTCGATACAGTTGAAGTGATTGACCAAGATATAAAACCTGAATACTTATCAGTCAAGAAAATTTTGAAACCGTTGACGTTAAAACCGCACTTAATTTTACAAATTAAAGATGTTTCGTTATTCAAAAATCAATTAGGTCATTTTACAAAATGTTTTGTTGCAAACCTTAGAATTTTATCCAGTGCACTAGATGGAAACAAATACATGCTTCCCACAATGTTTTATTCTTTAAAGCAATTGTTTGTGTTAGCATTTTTTGAAACAACAATTACAAAAAAATTTTCACTTTCTGAGTTTGATATCACAAATACTTTGAATGCGTATAAGTGAGAATTTATATTTGATCCAAACAAATGGCAAACTGACAAGGCTTTTATGAAAAAAATATACAAAAATGATAACAACTACTACACACTATTCAGTTTTGATCGAATTAAACCAATAAATTCCAACTCTTCAAAAAATCTATTGAAGAAAAGAAATATTCCAACCCCATTTGATAGCTCTATATTATCAAATGTGAAATGTTTAAATATGTCTCATCAAAATATTTGGGCAATTAAATAATTACCAGTTTTAGTTAATTTGAACAGTCTTGATCTATTTCATAATCAACTAGGAATGCTAACTGATTTATCAATGTTGACCGATTTGATTGATTTAAAGCAGTGAGTCTGTTTGAAGAATCTCAATTTATCAAACAAATATTTGCTTTTTTTTCAAATATCAGTTTGAATAATTTGGAAACATTGTCATTATCTGGAAATAATACTAGAGAAATTGGAAATTCAAATACACTTCCTAACCTATTAAAACTTGAGTTATCATCTAATAAGCTATCTACAAACCACAATCTACAGCAGTTTCCATCACTAAATGACTTGAATCTTGGTGCAATCGACAATTTTCGATATCACTCATATAGGTATACTCAAACACTTACGGGTTATTCATTTAAAAGCCGGAAATGTTGATTCAATAAAAGGATTAGAAAAACTACCAAAACTAGACTCAATGGTGTTGAGTATAACAAAGCAAAATTCAATTATAAAATTTCCAAAACTTGCTAACTTAATAACATTAAATTTAAGTATACACTACACTCCAGGATTAAATATCTATGGAATATTTCCAAAATTAAAAAGATTAGATTTATATTTCAAGAGTATCCAAAATCGAGGTTCTTGATTTAAGAGATAATCGAATTGAAAGAATCGAGAAGTTAAGAAATACTCCAAGCTGGTTCGGCGTATTGAAAAGCACATCCGGTGAGAAAGCTGCCGAAAAGCCTGAAAAACCAGAGAATATGAAGAAGATTGAATATGACAATAACAAAGACGATAAGGGTAAGGGTCTAATCAAATACTCCTGAGGTTTGAAAGATCTTCCAAAGAAATGCCAAATAGTAAGTCATGACCCTTCAAATCCTAAGAAAACCTAATTTACATGTTCTCCATATAGATAGGTTTATTTGAGAGTGACATATCGATGCACTTTGCGATAGAGTTGGCAATAAATTCTACATTTTGAGATTTTATATTTTATAGCACCTCAAAACACCACCTAGCACTATAGATAGCTCCTCTAGGCCCTCCAGGCTCTCCAGGCCCTGCCCGTGGGCCCCGTGACCCACGGCGGGTGGGTGCGGCGCGGACCCTGGGCCTTTGTTGACGCCCGTCGCTGCAGCAGACGACGTCTTTCGCTGGGATTGTCTCTTTCTGTCTCTGGTCGTCCTTATTCTCTGCAACCACTTAACCACTTATATATTCCTTCTTTCTCGCCTCACAATCGATCGCTTTTTTTCTCCTGCCGTTATCCAAGAGACTGACTATATCAATTGCTTCTTGCTATTCCATATATTGTTTTTGCTTTGCTTTTCCTCCTTTTCCCTACTTCTTTGTGTGTGGTTCCACTATTCTATCTAACCTTTTTTCTTCTCCCACCTGTTCTTTTAGCTCAGAATGAGTGATTATCAGATTACTTCAAACGAGCTCCCTGCTCCCACTTATCGCCATAAGAGAAGATTAACTGGGTTTTCTCTCAACGAAATCAAATCAATTGAAGCTCAAATCCCCTTGTCCTCCAGATCCCTATGGAAAAAATTTGCTGTAAAGGAATTTTCTGAGAAATCTGATTTCGAAAGAGATTTCGTTCACCACATCGAAACAACTTTGGCTAGATCAATGTACAATTGTGATGATTTGGCTGCTTATCAAGCTGCTTCCAATACTGTTCGTGATAAGTTGATTGTAGAATGGAATGAAACACAACAATTCCAAACCTTGAAGGACCCAAAAAGAATCTACTATTTGTCCTTGGAATTTCTCATGGGCAGAGCAATGGACAATGCAATGCTAAACGCTGGCGTTAAAGACTTGGTTAAAGACTCTCTCTCTGAATTGGGTTTCAATTTAGAAGACATCTTGGAACAAGAACCTGATGCCGCTCTAGGTAATGGTGGTTTAGGAAGATTGGCAGCTTGTTTTCTCGATTCTTTATCAACTGGTAAATATCCCTCTTGGGGTTATGGTTTGAGATACCAATATGGTATCTTTGCTCAAAGAATTATTGATGGTTATCAAGTTGAAACTCCTGATTACTGGTTGACTTTTTCAAACCCATGGGAAATCCCAAGACACGAGATTCAAATTCCTGTCGACTTCTATGGTTTTGTTGAAGAAGAGTTTAATCCCCAAACCAATGAAACCAAAAAAATTTGGAAAGGTGGCGAAAGAGTTATCGCTGTTGCTTATGATTTCCCCATCCCTGGTTACAGCACTAAAAATGTTAATAACCTAAGATTATGGTCTGCAAAGCCAACTACTGAATTTGATTTCTCAAAATTTAATTCTGGTGATTACCAAAACTCTGTTCGTTTGCAACAAAGAGCCGAATCAATTACCGCTGTCTTGTATCCAAACGACAATTTTGATCAAGGTAAAGAACTAAGATTGAAACAACAATACTTCTGGGTTGCTGCATCCCTTCATGATATCGTCAGAAGATTCAAGAAAACAAAAAGACCATGGTCTGAATTCCCTCTTCAAGTTGCTATCCAATTAAATGACACCCATCCAACTCTAGCTATCGTTGAATTACAAAGGATCTTCATTGATTTAGAAGGTTTTTCTTGGGATGATGCCTGGGAAATTGTTGTTAAAACATTTGGTTACACAAATCACACAGTCATGCAAGAAGCTTTAGAAAAATGGCCTATCCCATTATTTGAAAGATTATTACCAAGACACTTGGAAATCATCTACACTATCAACTTTTTCTTTTTGCAACAAGTTGAAAAGAAATTCCAATCAACTTATTCACAAAAAGAATTGGAAAATTTGTTATCAAGTGTCTCTGTCATCGAGGAATACTACCCAAAACAAGTCAGAATGGCTAACTTGGCTATTATTGGTTCTCACAGAGTTAACGGTGTAGCTGAATTACACTCTGAATTAATCAAAACAACCATTTTCAAGGATTTCGTCAAGGTTTACGGCGATAAAAAGTTCACAAATGTTACCAATGGTGTTACTCCAAGAAGATGGTTAAGAGAAGCTAACCCAGAATTAGCCGAATTGATTGCCTCAAAATTAGGTGGTTATGAATATTTGCTTAATTTGAACTTGTTGAAAAATTTAGAAAACTATCTTGACGATAAGGATTTCAAACACAAATGGGATATAGTCAAGTTGAATAACAAATTCAGATTAACTAAATTGATCAAAAAATTAACTGGTATTGAAATTAATCCAACTGAGTATTTATTTGATATTCAGGTCAAGAGAATTCATGAATATAAAAGACAGCAATTGAATATCTTTGGTGTCATTCACAGATATCTTTGGATCAAATCACTATCACCAAAAGAAAGAAAATCATTGGTTCAACCAAAGGTCTATGTCTTTGGTGGTAAATCTGCTCCAGGTTACTACATGGCTAAATTAATCATTAAATTAATTAACGCTGTTGGTGAGTTAGTTAATAATGATGCAGATGCTGAAGGATACTTGAAATGTATCTTTGTTCCTGACTATAATGTTTCAAAAGCTCAAATTATTATCCCTGCTTCTGATATTTCAGAACATATCTCAACCGCTGGTACTGAAGCCTCTGGTACTTCAAATATGAAATTCGTTCTTAATGGTGGTTTAATTATCGGTACCGTTGATGGTGCTAACGTTGAAATCACTAGAGAAATCGGTGAAGATAATATCTTCTTATTTGGTAATTTAGCTGAAAATGTTGAAGACATTCGTCATGCTCATAGATATGCCCCTCACTTGGAATTACCTGAATCACTTAAACAGGTGTTTGAAGCAATTGAATCAGGTAAATTTGGTGAAGGTGATGAATATAAACCATTATTAGATTCAGTCAGATACCATAAAGATTATTATTTAGTCTCAGATGATTTTGATAGTTATTTACAAGCTCAAGAATTAATCGACGAGGCTTATAAAGATCGTGATGATTGGATTCAAAAGTCTATCATCAGTGTTGCAAATATGGGATTCTTCAGTAGTGACAGATGTATTGAAGAATATGCTGAGATGATTTGGGACGTTGAACCATTAGAAAGAGATTGAACTGATACTTGAATAGAAATTTTGTGTTTGTTTGTTTTTATTTTTACCCTTAATCTTATTCTACTTTTACTATTATTCTTTGACTGTTTTTATTTGTTTGACTATAGAAATGGGTTTTTTAGTTTTAGTGTTTATTTACTTTACTTATTTACTTATTGTCAATTTTTTTTCCATTTTAATTAGAAATAAATTTGTTTTAGTTTCAATAACAATAGAGGCGAGATGATTGAACACTAAAAATACCCTGCAAATAGGTTATTCTTTCTGGTTTTAACAAAAACATTTTGCCAATATAATCATAGGTGACCTGAACAATTGAACAAATTTACAGGTTGAAAAAAGTTGGAAGGAAAATCAAGAAAAAATGAAAAAAAAACTAGGAAAAGTTAGGAAAAGCCAATAAAGTGCAAATGAGAATGGGGCTTTAAATATCTGGCTAGATGGACACCTCCCCGAAATACCTCCTGGGGGACATTATCATTAGACAAACTATGTTGGGTGTGATGAAATTACAATGAAATTGTTGAATACAAACCGAAAAACCTGAAATTCACTTATCTGGCCTAGAAAGGTGAAAATGCAGGTTTGAAAACGACGTGCTTCAACACCAATCGAAATGAACTGCGAGCTGACTCAAAGCACAAATCGATGAAGAAAACAATGTCTTCTTTCCTTGAGAAAACAATAAACATCACAGAGCTGAAATTCACTGTCCCTGGGACAACCGCAGCTCGAGTAAGCAACTCCCCAACAACCACAAACTCTGCTGGCACCATCGGCTCTTGTCCTTGCTGCCGGTGCTCCAGAAAGCTCTTCTTTCCAGTAGCAGAAGCACCAAAACCACCAGAGACAGCACAACCCTGGCACGAGGTTTCTAGAAGGATGCTCAGGCTTCTAGAACAATACGGTCTCTCGTGGGAACAGCCGGGGTCTTCGGCGGTTAGCAGCGATGGCATTGCAACGCGCGAAATATCTGCGTCTATTGTGTGCAGAACGAGCCGGAGCGTGGCCGACGCGGGGCTGCAGCGCGAAAAGAGCAGTTTCTCTGCCGAAAAGCTTCGCCGGAACAAAAGAAACTTCAGGGAGCATTGTTCGAACTGAGAGAAGACTTTTTTGATTCTGAGCTTTTCTGAGCTTTGAGGGAGGCTGTTAAAGTGTTCCTTCCTTTTCTTCTCTTTCTTCTCTTTCTGCTGTCTCTGCTGTTGCTGCTACTTCTTCCGTTCTGCTGCTGCTGCTTCTCGCCCCTTTTTGCACTCTACAGCAGGTTCTCAGGCGCCCGAAGAACTGGTGCCATCTCAAGTCATCTTCCTGGTGTTTTACTTCCTTCTCTGCATTTGGTGGTGCAAATTCCATCTTAAGATCAGTATTTACTATTGATCTATTTTTCGATTATTTTTTAAAACACTTGATTGAAACTATTTTTTTAACTTTAATAATATTATTAAAGAGATCATCTTTTATTGTTTGCGAGACAGAGCTATATAAGAGCGTTGATTTCTCTTTCTTTTCTTCTGTCTCTTCTTAAGATCGTTTCATTTCTTCGTTTGCTTATTTTCTTTGGATTTATTGTTCTTTTCTTGGTTTTCCACTTGGTTTTCTTATTTTCCCCCAATCTCTTAAAATTCCAATTCTTTTCTCTCTTTGTTTCTCAAATCTCCCCTTTTCCTTACTATTTTCAGCTTTTTGGTCTGTTTAGAACATTCCAATTCCAGGTAAAACCATATTTATTTTGCCCACTAAATGAGTCTCTCTTACAACAATTACAATTATAATAATTGTAATGCTATACCTAATAACATCAGTAATGTTAACAATTATAATAATTTCAATAATATAAAAAATGTCAAAAACATAAAGAATAATCAAAATTTTAATAAATCTAACTCAACCCCAATAAATTTATCATCATATAACATAAATTACAATTCCAATAACTTTAACAATTTCAATAATTCCAATAATTCCAATAATTCCAATAATTTTAATAATTTTAATAATTTTAATAATTTTAGTGAAAATTCACAAAATTATATTCCAACTTTAGAAGAATTAATAAACTGTTGCTACATCTTGGATGGTTTCTCTGATAATGACTTGTCCAAAATCAACTATGACAATGATTTTTCCTTTATAGATTTAAATATCTTGAAAGATGATATAAGATTAAATAAAAAAATTAATACTAATATAAATAACACCAATATTTCAATTATAAATGAAATCAAAAGTCTAATCATAAATGAATTTTCCTCAATTTCTCATTTTAAATTAAACTTCAATAATAATAATAGTAATAATAACAACAAAAACAACAACAACAACGATAACAACAACAATGATAATGATGACCCATTATCTCCAATCAAAATCAACAATCCTATTTCCACAGCTTCCAGCTCTTCAAATCTTCCAAATAATATAGAAAAAGTTAAAATCAATAAACTAATCCATATCACAAATAAGTTCAAACAAAATATTAACCTCTCTCATTGTGAAGAAAATTTAGCCTTTCTAATCCAAATTTATAATTATCAAAAAATATGGAATTTTATATTCACTGAAAGAAGATACTCAATCCTCAAATGCAAAATTAATAACAACAATAAAAGAAGCAGTATCTCTTCAATAAAATTCAATCTAAACAAAAGAAGACAAAGCTCCTCTTTTAACCCCTTCAATGATAATAGAAACTCTGAAAATTCAATAACCTCAACGCTACTTAATTTAAGAGACAATTCTTATTCAAAACTAAACTCTTTTTCAAATAATCTTTCTCTAATTAACACTAATAATAATAACAACAATATCGAAAAGATTAAAGATCCTGATACTCTCAATTTATTCAAAGATGAACTTAATGAAATATGGAACAACCTAATGAGCGAATACGTTTTAAATAATTCCCCAAAACAAATCAATTTACCAAATGAAGTCTATAAAAATATCATAAATGAACACAACGACCCCGATGTTCTTTATCATTCCCCAATCTTTTTAGTTCAAGCTAAAAATTCGGTTCTACAATTACTACGAGAAAATATTTACAACTCCTTTATAACTGATTTCCAAAATGATAACAACTCCCATTTTATCACTTCTCAAATTAAAAATTCCGATAATCAATCTCAATCTCAATCTCAATCCGTTTTTTTTAATGATTCAACTTCCTTATCAACTTCTCCTGATTCAATGTCAACTTCTCCAACTTTTCCAACTCCTTCATCAATTCTATCAAATAATCTCTACGATCATTCTCCAAAGAACAAACTACTTAAAGACAATGTATCCTTCAACTTAAATCCTTATAAAATCAATTATAAAAGTAATCAGGTTCAACAGAAAAAAAATAAATCAAATTTGCCAATAGATCCATTAGATGAACCTATAAATCAATCCCATAGCTATATTCATAATCACAAAAATAATCATTTTTCAATTGATAGTAATAGAAATAATAAACTAAATTTGAATCCAAATACAAACTCGCCCCTAATGACTTATTCTCCTGAAAATACTTCAACTCTTGATGATAAAGAATACATTTTTTCCAAGAAGTCTGCTGTAAAGGGAAAGTCAAAGTCAAAGTCTTTGACTTTTAAATTAATTAAACAAAAATCAACCGAAGGACATGAACTCCATTCACTAAAGGCCCCAAGAGGTCCTTGTGGTATGGTTTTCGATGAAAATGCCTATAATCCTAAACCACCAATGCAAAAAAAGCAATCATCAACCACTGGACATAGAAGATGGAGCTCATTAATGGGAAAGTTTAAGAAAAAATAGAATGGGTATCTAAATCGTTAATTAAAAGGGAATTTTTTTCTTTTTTTTTTAAGTTAAATGTTTTAATGGCTTTTTTTTTTGTTTAATATTAATTACTTTTGGCTGTTTTCTTTTGTATTTTTATTTATTAATATATATGATGGTATTTTGCGGTAGGGCTTTCTTTTTTGTACTTCTCTTGCTACTTTTAAATGGTTTATTCAAATTTTAATTTTTTTACTCTTGGAAGTCTTATCTTTAACAGATTTCATATTACGTTCTTGTAGACTGTGATTGGCCAGTTCCGTTTTAATGTAAGCAAACAGGGATTTTGCTATTATTTGTTTATACTTTTTCAAACAATATATAATGCATACCAGCACAAACGGGTCTTTTTTTCCAAACTTTTCTTCAAAAACTGATAAATCATAAAATCTCTGGTTTAGAAACTAATATTAAGAAGAATGTCTTCTGGACTAGATATTGACTGTTTTCAAAGATTAGAAATCATGAATATGCTAAGATGATCTGCTCACTTAAAAACTTTCAAAATTTCAAAAACAACTTTTTATCAGCTTTTTTGAATTCTAACAAGAGAAATATTTCCCAAAAAGTGTTGAGATTAAAAATTCCTAATAAAACCAATTGGTTGACTTTTCAAAACTTGAATGAAACAAAAAATATTGGTCTAGTAGATAAGTCAAACTGTCTCACCAACTTGGATCAACTGAATCATTTGAATATTTTGGAGCATCCAGATCATTTGCACACCTTGGGCGACTCAAATAATTTTAACACAGTTGATAAGCTACATGACTTGCAAGATGACTTACAAAGTAACTTAGATGAGCTAAACAATTCAGTTAATTTGGATAAGTCAATAGATTTTGATAATTCTACTAACTTGAGTGATTCGATGGAAACTGAAATTGAAACTTCTGGTACTTTGGATACAAATGATACTCTTTCCCCTACTCCAATTGACGTTTTGAACGCCCCTCCACCAAATATTCTATTCGAAACTTTTGATAATAATTCAAAGTTTCCTGAAGTTGATAATTCCATTTTTTCTAAAATAGAGTCAAGGCAACATTTTTCACTTCTAGACAAAAATGTAAAGATTAAAAAAAAAGATAATTCGGATTTGGAAAGAAGAGAGAACCTTGAAGAAGCAAAGTCTTTAATTGAAAAATACTTATGTTCAATTGAAAAAAATATCACTCAAGATTTTACAAATGATAATGCATCTGATTTACAAGTGGATAATTTTTATCAAATATTACAAATTGATAAAACAGGCTATTTACCTCTCAAAATTTTTCCTTCGAATTTGTTAAATCCTTATGATTTTTATAATAATGAAAAACCCTTTTCAAGTCGAATAGATGAATTTGACGATCAAGAAAAAATTAACCAATTATCACAACAAAAGAAAACCATATACAATTACAAAGACTTGAACAGTTTTCAAAAAAATTATGATTCTTACTTATTCAATTTTTCAATGAAAAATAAGTTTGTTCCAAGACTATCTGTTACAAAAATTCTAACAAATACCTTTTGTGAGTTTAAATACATATATGAAATATATAATAAAAATGCTCCAGAAAAGTCAAAAGCCATGTTTCAAGGACAAAAAATACATTCAATTTTAGAAAATTCTATTTATCCTGACAAAGCTGAATTGTTGAATAACTTTGTTGAAAGATACACTATAGGTTCACAATTGCCGTTGAGAAAAAACGTTGATATAATGGGTTATCAACTTTTCTCAAATACCATAAAATTCAAAGATCTTTTCTTCATAGGAGAATCCAGAGAAAATCAAATACATGGCTTTATAAATACAAACACTTTAAAAATTGTTGGTAGTCATAAACCTGAAAGTAGGAATGATAGTGAGAATGAAAATAATGATTTGTTGATTTCAGGAATTATAGATCACTTAATTTTAACAAAAACCAACCACAAAGAAATAGCAAAGCGGATGGACTTTGAAACAAATACAAAATATCTACAAGGTTTCAATGAATCACTCGACTTAAATAAATACTCTAATGATTTAAATGACTTCATTGAAAAATTTTCTGAAGACAGTGTACAAGATGCATTTCTAAAAGAAAATTTTAGAATTATTGTTAGCGATGTAAAAACAAGAGGAATAAAAAGGAAACCTGATCATCAGAATGTGATTGATGGTTCAAAATTGCAAATTCAAATCTATCGAAGCTTTTTGGAAATTTTATCTGATGACGTTGAAAATAGTTACTGGAGTATAATAAAAAGTCTCCAGAAAAGAAATCTAGATGTTGATGAACCCTTGTCAAAGGAATATATGTTTATATATTTAAAGGAGTTTCCCGAGTACTTTTCCGATATGGTCAGATTATCTAAAGGAAAAAAAATTGGATTTGAAGACTTTGGTGGTAATATAACATTAAATCAAAAAAAACCGGAAATCAAAATTGAAACTGATACTAAAGAAACACTGAGACAAGAAAACTCTTCTTCGACAATATTTCCAATTTTTAAGGGAGAAGATGAAAAAATGAATGATTTATTAATAGATTGGAAAAGTCCATTAACCTTAAGATACCTTGCATATAGGCTTAGTCAAGTATTAGGGATCTTCAAAAAATTTCTTTCTGATGAGTTAAAAATCGAGTATTATTCAAATAAAGAATTTGGGCAATCTTTTCTCCACGTTAATTTTAATAAGCTTCCAAAGGATGAACTTGATAAAGTTATTGAAAGTAATATGGAACTAATATTGGGAAAACGAAATCCTGATTTAAACTGGATTGGAAAGGACATGAGAAAAGTTGAAAAATATTGTAAATACTGTAATTTTAGAGAAAAATGTGGATGGAGAAATTATATGAAATTATAGAACATTCAAATTAAATTGTTTTTAGAGAATGTATTGTTGAATCATAAATTCCTGAAAGATAATGGATATATAATGACTTTCCGTGTAGAAATTAAATAAATAATTAAACAAAAACTCCAAAAATTTTAATCTCCTAACTTTTTCATTATTATGTCAAGATTTGAGGAAATTTTATCAAATCGTTTGTTATACTTATATTCTAAATCAACTAGCTTTTTTGCTATTGTGTCGAATTTTTCATTAATTAAAGAAATTATCTTAAGATTATTGGAATTATTTGTGTCAGTAGTTTTATTTTGATTATTGTTGACAATACCATTATATTGTTTATTAGCATTACTGCTACAATCATCATCACTATGACGAAATTTAATTTGAATTGGTTTGCTTAAAATTTCTTTTAAGATCTCTAAATCTGTTTTTTTCTCAGCTTTTCGTCTTTTGTTGGAAGCATTTTGAAATTCATCAAATCTCAAGTCAGTTTCACTTGATGATTCATCATTTTCAAAATTAGCATCGTTGAAACTTTGAAGTTGATTGATTTCCTTTAATGAAGATATACTATTATTATTCGTTGGAGTAGCTTCAGGATTGCTTTGTATATCTTTAGTATTGAGTTTAATATTTTCTTTGTTGTTATCATTTTCTTGATTTCTATGATTGTTATTGTTATTGTTATTATTTATTTCAATTATCTCATTTTTTCTCTTAATAACGTCATTGTTCTGATTATTGACAATAGTGTTATTGTCATCCATGATAACATCGGATGTAGTATTTGTATCAATAATATTCTCACAAATGTTAATACCACTATTATCTGCTCTATTATCATCATTGTTATTTATTGGCTGAATGTTGCCATTATTAGTATTAATATTTGCATTGTTACTGTATTCATTATTATGATTGTAACTGATGGTATCGTTATTGTTTACAATACTGTTTGGGTCGTCAATGGTCTGGTTATTGTTGATATTTTGGAGAGCTTTAAAAATACTGCTGTCTTCGAAGTTTTTCAGATTATCAGAATCATCATTATCTATATCGTGATCGTTTTCATTATCTTGATCATTATCATGATCATTGTTATTTTCGGTCCCATTATCAATTATATCTTGGTGAAGGTTGTTTTTATTTTTTTTTGTTTCCAGTTTGTCAAGATTTAGCTTGCTTGATCTTTTCTGTGCATTATGAGCAGCCTTATGCTGAATAATCTTTACCAAAATAGATTGAAGTTCATTATTTAACACCACACCACCATTGAGTCCATCTATGTCATTAAATTTAAATGTTGTTTCCAAAGATTTATAACGGGTTTTAAGGGTTCTGTATTGCTTGAAATTCAAGTTGAACGTTTTGTTAAACTGTTTCAAAACAGTTTTCCAGTTTTTATCTTTGTGTCTTATTCTATCGTCTAGTATATAAGGCATGTTCTCCTGAACTAGATTGCACAAAGTAGAATCCATTTCTGATGTCCATTTATGAACCTTCCCAGGCTGATCCATATCCAATGTCTAATGTTTATTAATGAACCGAGATGGCGATGAACAGCAACTTTGAAAAGGCCAAAAGAAGCAAAACAAAAGGTTGAGGCAGAAGTAATAATATAACACTAGGTCTACAACAAACAGCAACCAATTCTCTGCAAATACAGCCACAGACAACAGGTATCCCACACACAAATAATGACCCAGCAATTGACGAGGCATACAAAACTGAGATGAACAATTTCACTTTTTGGGACGCATCAACAAAGTTTCTTCGGTGAAGTTCCGTCGGCAGCCAGTGATATTTCCAGATCTGGAAGTTTCCGTCGTGTGACAGGAAACGCAAGTGCATGTGTAGTTACGTATTTTATGCATGAACCACAGAGCTGGCTTATTATTTTGGTTTGTGTTGAAATGTATAAGAAATATATCATTCTAAAATATTTAAAGTAGTTGGGATATAGTTGTTTATTTACAAATAGTGCTAATTAGCGTTAAATCGATTGCTTACCTTTCTGCTTCTAAGACTAGCCAATTTCTTTCGAAGAGCAGTGTCGTCGATGGTGAGACTGTGCGAACAGTTGTTGCCTTTGACGTTGTGGACGTTGTTGGTATATGTGCTGTTTTTGATATGGCTATGATTTCTTAAGTATTTTTTATCGTCAGAGGAAATGAAAAAGTAGTTTTCTAAAATGTCCCTTGAATAAATTTTGTAGTGGGTTTTCCAAATTAGCGAGTCTATTTTCGGTTTGGTTTTGAAATTGCCGGAACATATTTGGAAAAAATTTGAAATCGATTGAAAAATAGAATCTTCAGGAAAGTTAAATCTTTTATAAAAGTTTGAGTAGTAGAATAAAAGTGATTGGATCAAAGATATCAAAAAATCTTCTTCTTTTTCAAGTTTTGTTATATTATTTGTTAGCGAATTAATATTAGAATTGATATTTTTAAGCTCTAAAGCATCTTCTTTTCCTGTTGACAATTCATTTCTTTTTTCTTGTTCTCTTTCAAGTTTTTTTTGTAATTTTTCCAAATTATTGACATACTCCTGCTTTTTAGTTGAAATAATTTCATTTTGAATAATAGCAAACAATTTTTTTTCAAACTCCAAATTTTTAGCATACTGATAGGTATGATTAAAGTTTACAAAATTATTTTCAACTAGTTTATTGTAGTAATTTTTCTCAAACTCACTTAAATATAAAATAGAATCTGCTTTTTCAAGTGAAAATCCTCTTGAAGTTCTACCGATTTTATGAATATAATTTTCAAAGTTTTTTTGAGCTCCAAGTATTAAGACATTAGTTAAATCTGGAAAATCCATTCCTCTACTTGATAAATCAGTTGATATTAAAATTGAGTTCCCAGTCTCTTTGAATATTTTCAAGACTCTTTCTCTTGATTCAGTTGTAGTAGACCCGGAGATGTAAAAGACATTATAGTTAATTTTGTGCTTTAAATCTGGATAATAAGTTTCAAGATAATTCAATAATAGCATATAAAAAAATTCGACTGATAGGATTGTGGGTAAGAAAACCAAATCTTTAAAATGCTGTTGCTTCTGGGTTTTACTATTATTATCTTTTGGCATTTTGCTGTTAACAATTTGACTTTCGATAAATGAAACCATCGCAAAAAAACTCGATACTAAATTATCAGTGATAACCAAACTTTGATTGATTGATTCCCTTGTATTAAAATTATTTATGGTGGACAAATCATTGTTTTTATTGGCATTTATAAATAAAGGAGCTTCAATGAGTTCTTGATTTGCAGCACATTTCTTTTCCAAATATTTATTGAATTTTGTTGCATGATTGCCAATTGAATTTAAAGTGTTTTCATCAATTGTTGCAGAAAAGTATAAATGTCTAAATTCACTTTGGGAATTGTTCAATTTGTAAAGATAGGATTGAATTTTATAAACATTCATCTTTTGCATTGGATTTAATAATTGGTCTGTTTCATCAAACACTAAATAAGATAGATTGCAGAATAAATGTTTACAATTATTACTTGCCAAAAACAAATCAACAAATCTACCAGGAGTTGCAATGATGACATTTGGTTTGATAGTGTTCACTGATTTTAATTGTAAAATTTTTGACATACCACCACCAGTTATCATCATACTGGAAAAATTAAAATTGTTGGTCTCGCTCTTATTCAAAACATTAAAAAATCTATTAAATTCGCTGTTAATTTGTATTGCTAATGTGGTAGTGTTAACGATAATAACCGAATCAATAGAATATTCATCATTTGTATCATTTATTTGGATATCTTCAGCAGTTTGTTTGGAGGTATTTTTCAATAGATTATTAATTATAGGTAGAATAAATGATAGTGTCTTTCCAGAACCAGTTTCGGCAGAAACAACAAAAGTCTTAGGAGAAGATAATATTGGCCGCAAAATTAGTCTTTGAGTTGTAGTCAAATATGCAAAACCCAAGGAGTGCAAACAGTGCAAAATATCCAGAGAAATCAATCTTTTATCATATAATTCCTGGAAAGTTTTAACTGGAGTTTGATCTTGAGTTATCAAAACAGTCTTATTATTGTCGTTTTTTTTGAAGCAGCTCAAGTATCTAATGGGTAAAGTTTTTCCCGTTATGACCCCAGATATTGCTGTTGGTCTGGAACAGAACAACAATCTTCTTATCATGATTATATGGTTTATTATTGCCAACTATCGATCTCATCTCTCAGAGCACTTTACCAAACCAATGAATAAGAGTCTGGGAAAAAAATTAAATTTCACGGCAAACCAAAATACTTCCGTCAAAATCCGGTGAAAGAGCCGCCGCCGAAGATCAAACCGTGTATGTCTTGAGCAGTATGAATACGCGTTATTAGATAATTATGCAGATTATCCAAACCAGAACCACGGATCGTTTGCAGCATGACTTTGGGTTTATTGCCAGTTGTTATTCAGAAACCAAAGCCAGTAGAAGAAGTGTCGATTCGACTGTTTTATGAAGAAGCTGGTTTGCGAAGAACTGTCTGGATATCTACTTGCACTTGGTTTATATAAGAATGTCTTTTGGTCAACTGTCTCAATTCACCACATTGCGCCAGAAACAGGTGGCTTCTCTTGAGCAAATGCTAAATCTCAACCAGGTTCCATCAACAACTACAGTCATAGATGATTCCAACTCAAGGAGCGATGTAATATGGAAAGTGTTGATTTTGGATTCAAAGTCTACTGCAATTGTATCTTCCATATTGAGAGTCAATGACCTATTAAAATCAGGAATAACAATGCATTATTCAATAAACTCAGTGAGATCTCCCTTGCCTGATGTTCCTGTGATTTATTTTATTGAACCATTAAAATCAAATATTGATTTAATAATTGAAGATCTAAAATCTGAAAAATATTCAGAATTCTATATCAATTTCACCAGCAACTTACCACGAAACTTGTTGGAGTATTTTGCTAATTTGGTTTCTCTAACCAACAAATCCTTTAAAATTAAACAAGTTTTTGATCAATATTTGAATTATTTAGTAACAGAGCCAAACTTGTTTTCTTTGAACTTGCCCAATACTTACTCTCTTTTAAATAACCCCAAAATCAATGAAGATCAAATTAATTTAATAACTGAACAAATTTCAAATGGCTTGTTTAATACTATCCTAACTTTAAATTCGATTCCAATTATAAGAGCCCCTAGAGGTGGTCCAGCTGAACTTATTGCTCAAAGCTTAGATTCAAAATTGAAAGACCATGTTATTAATGCAAAGCTATCAAATAATTCTTCAATATCTTCAAACAGATCGGTTTTGATATTACTAGACAGAAATTTCGATCTTGCTTCAATGTTTGCTCATTCTTGGATTTATCAATGTATGGTATTTGATATCTTCAAGCTAGAAAGAAACACTATAACTATAACAAAAAGCGACGAAAAAAATACAGATAAAATAATTACAACCAAATATGATATTGATTCTTCTGACTTCTTTTGGAATTCAAATTCTCAAATTCCATTTCCAGATGCAGTGGAAAATGTTGAAAAAGAATTGAATAACTATAAAATTGAAGCCAAGGAACTAACAAATAAAACAGGTGGAATATCTTCTTTGAATGAAATTAGCAATCAGAATTCTGATCAATATGATACTCAACAAATTCAATTAGCAGTTAAAAAACTACCTTACTTGACAAAGAAAAAACAAATTATTGATATGCATATGAACATTCTAGCTTCATTGTTAAAGGAACTAGAATCAAAACATTTAGATTTCTATTTTGAAGTGGAGCAAAATATAAATGATCCCAAAATTAGACAAGATTTCCTAAATAAATTATCAGAAAACCCTGACAACAAAGAAATCTTAAATGATAAATTAAGAACTTATTTGTTTCTATATTTATTATGTGATTTGCCTGCTGATTTTACAAAAAAAGTAGAAAAGATATTAACAGATTTAAATTGTGATTTAAGTCCCTTGAATTATATCAAAAGAGCCAAAGATGTTATCAAATTAGCCACTTTTCAACTGAATGATTCCTCAAATTTCAATAGTAATAAATCTGCAAATAACTCTCAGCAAAAGACTTCTAACTTCTCTGGTTTATCTTCAAGATTATTTGGTTTAGCTGAGGGAACAGGTGTGGGCTCAATAATTTCAAACTTACAAAAACTATTGCCTGAAAAAAACCAAATTCCAATAACAAATATTGTAGAATCAATAATGGATCCCTCAAAATCTACATCGACAATTTTAAACACCACAGATGACTATCTATATTTTGATCCTCTAATTATTAGAGGAACGCAATCAAAAACACCAAAAAGGAATGTTTACAATCTAGGAATTACCTTTGTGGTTGGAGATGGAAATTACTTGGAATACCAAAACTTGCAAGAATGGTGTAATAATGCTTCTAACACCAATTCATCCAGTCTCAATCCTACAAGTACCACCAATAAATTAGGAGGAAAAAATGTCATATATGGTAGTACCAATATTGTAACCCCCAAAGAGTTCTTGAAAGAGTGTTCTAGTTTAGTTGAAGCAGCTTCATCCGCTTCTAAATAAATAAATAATCTATTTTTTTTTTCTATTTAATAGGTTTTTGTCTTATCAAAATGGTTTTTGTGTAACGTTCTTGTTATTAAAGTTCTTAAAAAGTGCTCTTTGCGAGAGATCGCTTTTTGAGGGCTCAATTCCTTATCACAACTATCATTCCCATCTAAAGCTACCATAAACATATTATCAGGCTCATCGAACATAATGGTATCTTCTTCATCAGGATAAAAATTTGAACATTACATAAATTACGAATTTTGATATGTGATTTTCCTTTAAAGTTTTCGAAGGCTGATAATAAAATTCTGCCCGAATCAAGAATTCCTAATTATGCAGAATCAAGTAAATTTTCAAACATTTGAATTTTGTTATTTTCCGTATATAATCCTTTTAATTTTGAAAAATATTTAAGATTTTCCAGTATGCTGATATTATTGTTCGCAAAAAATCTAATAATTACAAATTGCCAAGTTGTTTACAATGTGCAGTTTTTGAGATGTAATTAGTTGATAACAATTCAATTTCCAAATTTTTTACTGTTATTTGATAAATTGAGTATTTCCAATGCTTGCAATCATCTTCAGTTTCAATTTTTTGTATTTGGTTAAATAATGTGTCCAATTAATTTACTAATTTGATCCGATGAATATTTTCAATTTTCATAGTTTTATTGATACAGAAATACAATTGTTCTAAATTTTTGAAATTTTTGAAATTTTCTATCTTCGAAGTATTGTTGGATTTCAAATTCAACACCAGCAAATTATTCATCGATATTTCAAAATTTGATATCTGATTTTAATAGCATTTATGATTTTCATGGAGGAATTCCTAGCTTCAGGTTCGACTTTCATAATTTTCCAGTTTGATAAACTCATATTGTCCCACTTTAGCTAATTAGATAGCTACAGACAATACAAATAATGAGAATGATAAAATCAAGTTGTTTTCAATTTGTGAAAGTGATTTGAAAGTTTAAATCATTTTGTGCCACTTCTCTATCTAACTGTTTCTTTAAAATAGATCATAGTTGTCGAATCCCTGAGAAACTTTAGATTTAAATTGTTAAAATGTAATTATAATATTTTCATCCTATTCGAGAATTTCCAAAGTCGTGATTTTTAATTGATGATCAACTTAAATGTAAAATTCTTGTTTTGGAAAAAAATGTAATGTATGAAGTGATCAAAGTTTATAAAATTAATCTATCAAAATTCGTAAATCGAAATTCCATGATTGGAGATTTGAAAAATCTCATTGAAGATTCAAATTATTTTCTATTGTTAAAATTATGATCTACCCCTCTTGGTTAACGAAGTGGTGGAAATAGTGATAACCGGAATAAACGCAATAAAATGTTGCAAAGCGCCCGGATCTCTAGATTCGGTCTATACTCTTTCCCAGCACATGCTCCCGGTCTGCTCCTGTTGTAGCAAATCCATGATCATATATTAAAGAAGTATATAGAAATGAAGAGCGTAGAAGAGAACTCCAGCCTGCTTTGTTAATTGCTTTTGAAAGTCTGGGACATTGTTTGGTTAGGCCTTAATTTAGGGCTTGTCCAGTTCCAAGCAAACTTTTTGTATAATGTAATATCTGGCAGTTTTTTCACTTTTCTGAGTTGTAGTTTACTCGTTTTACGCTATAGTACTGTTCTATTATATGCTCTTCCAGAGTTGGGAACAAATGAAGGAGGAGGCTATTTTTATGGGTCCAAATCTCAATGTTGAAAACTCCTGTGAGGATATAAGGAGAGACATCTCCCATAGCTATTAAAGAAGCAAAAACTGATTTACATACCATTTAATTNAAACTCACACTTCTTATATCTCACCAAAGACGTGTGTATATCTAACCTCTAGTCTCCAGTCAGTGGAAGCAATTGCTCACAACAACTCATCATTATGGACTTTGCATTATTTCATCCTGATGTATTTCTGTTGGTTGTAGAATATTTGCCATTGGATATTGTTTGGTTGCTCTCATTATCAGACAATTAGTACATTTCCTATCTCTGTTACAGAAAACTATTTACTGTTTTAAAAATTGCATATAATCGATTTTGCGTAAGAAATACTTCTATTGGCTATTTAATGTGGAATGATCGTAAATGGCAGATGGTTTTATTAAAAGATGATTGCTTTATACTTAAAAGTTATTTGAAATCATTTACTAAAACGCTATTTATTGATGATCCAATTCATTATTTTGAGCGCAAGCACACAAGAAGAATTGAGAATGCTTATAAACTTCAAAAATCTATTGACCAATTACTAACAGAGAATTTGTATTTTGATAATCTGCAAAATATCGTTTCTGCTCAATCATCTAGTTTGTTCTCACCTCAATCTTCCAGAAATGAGGATTTTTATAGAGTCCAAATGGCTATTCACCAATATTTAGCACAGGATCTTTATTTTGAGAATCTTCAAACTATCACTATTGTTCAACCATCTCGTTTCCTCTCACGCGAATTTTCCCCAGAAGAAACATTGTTTAACAGCGCCATGCTTGAAATTACAAATAATTTTTTTAATCTGTTAATCTGCAATCCTAAATATTTGAATGGAATTCAGTTATCAGGTTTTATTGATGATACAAACAAGTTGGAGATATTGAGAAATCAACAATTTATGAATTTAGAGCGTCTTGACTTGAGCCTTAATATAATTGAACGAATTGATAATTTAAATCATTTCATTAATTTAACAAAATTATTACTAGATAACAACAAGATACATATATTGGAAAACTTAGAAAATCTTGTTAATTTAGAAGTATTATATTTATCACACAACAATTTAACGAAAATAGAAAATTTAGATTGTTTAACTGGTTTGGAAAAGTTGGACTTAGATTTTAATAGTGAGTTAGAAGTTGTTGAGAACTTGGATAATTTAATTAATTTGAAAGTTTTGTCAATCAGAAATTGCAGAATCAGCAGAATTNACTCGTCAATTTCAAAGTTAAATAATCTTAGAGTTTTAGATCTATCTAAAAATAAGATAACAGAAATTCCAATTGAGTTTAATTGTTTGAGGGACTTGAGAAAATTAGACTTATCCTGCAATCAAATTGAAAGAATTGAGAACATCAATAAATTAGAAAAGCTACATACTTTGTGTATTTCGAAAAATGAAATTAGTAAATTTGAAAATTTGAACATTAATCTAGAGGTTTGTGAGATAAATGGTAATAAGGTTACAAATATTGAAAATTTAGATCAGTTGGTCAATCTAAAACTACTTTCGTTAGAAGGTAATGAAATCAAAAAGCTTGAGAATTTGGATAAATTGACAAATCTTGAACAATTATCAGTTAGAGAAAATCAAATCACAAAACTTGAGAATTTGAATAAACTAATCAATTTAAAAGAACTATCACTATATGGAAATAAAATTGGAAAAATCGAAAATTTGAACAAGTTGAGTAACCTCACTGTACTTGATTTACGTAGTTGCGATATCAGTGAAATTGATAACTTGAAAGAGTTGGTTAATTTGAATAAGTTATATTTGGGAGGCAATAATATACAGAAAATGCAGAATATCAGCCATTTGAAACACTTGACCATGTTGAATTTGGAGGGAAACANNNTGAGGAAGATTGAGAATCTTGAAGGGTTGAAAAAGTTAACTGACTTAGATTTAAGAAGGAACGCAATTACAAAAATTGAGGGACTCGATGAATTAATTAATTTGGAACTGTTGGTGTTAACTAGAAATTGTATTAGTAAAATTGAGAATTTGAATAGCTTACAAAAGCTAAGATATCTTTATTTAAATGATAATGAGATTGAAACCATCGATAATATTTTTATTTCACAATGGCTAACTGTGGTGCTAATTCGAAATCCCATTACTACAGTTGGGAAAACTTTTATGGATGAATTAAATAAGTTTGATAAGGGATTTATTGCAGAAATTGGTATGAGCAATGTAAGGTCAGAGGCTCCATTTTCAGCCCAATTAAATGCGATTATTAAGCGACTCAGAGGTTTCTTTTTTCTTTAGGATTATATGATATTATTATCAATACAAAAAGGGACATTGGTTAGATATTGACCTATCATTAGTGAACAAAAGAAAGAAAGAAATCAAGTCTTGCACTGCGCTCACTAGAAGAGATCTATATATATATATTTATATTACTCTGACAAATTGAAGTCAATTAGCCTGTTGTATCCATCAATGGCCTCCACCAATTCGTGCAAGTACAAGCTTTCGTTGGGAGCATGACACACGAGAATTGTGCCAGGTCCATAAAGGTATTTTCTTACTGGTACTTTGTCAACTTGATAATTGACAATGTCAGTTCCATATTTTAGTACAACACTCTCAAATCCTTCTACTTGGTAATCCAAAAACTGGGGAGGTGTTTTGACAACATCGTTGAACTGGATGATATCTGAAATGTTTAAAGTACTCAATTCTCTCTTGAATTCGGGATATTTCTCACTGTAGTGTTCGTTTTTCTCTTTCAATATCTTGTGGATTAAAGTATCTAATTCGTCGAGCTTGTCAGCAACTCTGAATAATACATAAGCATTACTTTCAGCTGAAACAACATTAGCAGCTACTCCACCTTCAAGTTTGCCGATGTTAAACGTAGTGTCGCCTAATATTTGTGAGTATGGGAAATGTTCAGCGCTTACATTGATCTCGTTTATTAGGTCAATTAGAATGTCATTGGAGGAAACACCTAATTCAGGATATCCAGAATGAGAGGCCTTGCCATAAACATGAAAATTCCCTAAATAGATACCCTTATGGCCAACTCCTAGCTTATTTTCTGTTGGTTCACCAAAGATGACCACATCAAACTGCTCTTTTTTTGAATTGAATATTTTCGAGGCTTTTAGCATTCCAACACCATCCACTTCCTCGCCAATAACAAATAATAAACTGAGGTTTTTCTTGAGAGTAGGATTCTTTTCGACAGACTCTAAAACCGAGAATATCTGAACAATAACTGAGCCTTTAGCATCAACAGAACCTCTTCCTGAGATCAATCCGGTTGCAGGATTGTAGTTATAAGGAATAAATGGCGGAACAGTGTCAATATGAGAAGTCAATAAAACCTTTCGATTTCCAGCAGCATCAGATGAACTTGGATCCAACGATCCAATTTCAGGATAATAAGCAAACACGTTTTGTCTTAAAGGCTTTTCTCTCACTGTTTGCAACTCAACTTTTAATCCCTGGCCACTTAAGAATCTTTCCAAATATTTAGCAACATGATCCTCGTCTTCTGTAATTGACGATATTTCAATCAACTCTTTATGAATCTTCAAAATTTGATCGATATCGTGTTCGGTATAGCTGATATCGTGAACACTATTTCCACCAATATCAGATAGTTCGAGTTGACCGGGATGTTTATTGGAGAGAAGATTCAAGTACTTTTCCAATGATGGAGCAGAACAAGCAGACACAATACTCAAAAAAATAGTGAACAGGACTATTAGTGGCAAATAAATACCATCAAAATTTAAACACGCTCCCATCATCATGGATATCCTTATTTCTCTTTTTATAATCTTTTGGTTATTTCGTAAGTAATATATTGTTCAAAATTTACCCAATACTATTGGATAGCGTTTAAGATATATTGAGCCAATATTTATGTGAGGGAAACTGCAGTAAATATTCTCCACCAGTGCCACAACAGAAACATGCAGGCACCCTGCAGCTGTCCATTACCACAGCTGTGGGCTCTGTTGGACCACAGTTAAAATGAGTTGCTGTGATGGAATGATTTCAACAGAGAGCAAGACTGAGACTGGAACTGACCAACACTGTGCTTTACAAACAGATATCTGGGCTCTTTCCTGTACATAAAGCATTCAATAAGTATACAAAGACTCTTGAACGAGATATGGTTCAGCTCAGACCGTGCAAACTAAAAAGATAATGTAAATTTCATAAATATTTACACGTTTGTCAATGATACCTTGTTTACTTTTGAACTTATCGTTGCACCGATTCTATCTGTTGATATGATCTACAAATCTTATTTACCAATCCCATCTACTAGAACAATGCCGGCTTTTCTGTTGATAAAACACAACACAATTGAAACATGACTATTTTTTAAAATGCGCAGGATCAATTTGCCGGATGATGACCAATCAAATCGCAAAATCAACAGAAATAACAGGACACCCGACAGCAGCTCCACCAACAAAATAGGGCAAACACTTTCCCAAATCCAGGTTCAACACCAAAGCAACATCCAACCCCATCCAGGCCCAGTCCAAATCGGCAGCCCGGTGGAGCTGATCTTATTTCTTTTTCGGTGAAGGAAGGACACCAACAGCGGTTGTTCTCATCGGCTTCAGCAGAAGACAAGATATCGGCAGCGGTATCTGAACTTTGTAGGCCGCTGCCTCCAAGAAAACAGAATAATAGAGCCCTATATCCTAATTAGTCTTTTTTATGGCTTTGGATGATTCAAATCCCGTGCTAGTTCCCTTCTGCTTTGGTGACCTGCCTGTTAGTTTCTGCGCATATATGCATATGCGCAAAACCGTTTGAACTTATTCGCATTAGCACACATTAATCATCAAATAATTTTCCTTTTCAGAGTGCTCTTATCTGTTCTTTCATCAAAAACACAACAAAATAAGCTGTTATTACTGTGTTCATCGATGAAGCAGTGTTTGATCCGTGGAAAAGTCTGTTCATCTTTTTCCAGCTTTATCTTGATGATCTTTCTGGGTTTTGCTGCGATTGCTTCATACTTTGTTATTCACTCACCGGCATATTTTCCTTTTGATGTTTAAAGTATCGAAATTGGCGCTTGAGTAAAACACCACATCTCACACATGGCTCGAAATTATTCATTTCCAACTGACTTCATGACAAAAAAGCGCAATAAGTAAAGTGAAGTGTTCAATTTTAGTTATTCTAAACAAGTCAAGGGAATTTGAAGCTTAAAACAAAGCTATTATTGTTAATTAGGCGCAGTATTTATAAACACCAATCTCCCTTCGGCAGCCCAATAACCACTATTTGTTTCTCAGTAAAAAACTTTTTGCACTAGTACTGAATCATTTCAAAAAGCTTAAATATATAAAAGCTTTATAAACAAAGATTCTTCCATTTGAACTTGGTTTGATCTATCTTTATTTCATTTCATTTCATTTTGGCTGATCTAATCTTTTGAAGAGTTTGTTTTCACCATTGGACGTTATAACCAACTTAATCTAAACTAAACTGATTCTTTTTAATTGCTGTTAATTAAATAGATATAATATAATTAATAAAATTTTATTTGGACAATTATTTTTATTAGTAGTTTACTAATTAATCAATTAGCCTATTCGTTAATTAATTAATACAATAAAGTAATAAAAGCACAAAAAAATCACTAAATAAAAAAACTATGGATTTTTCTATCTTTGACCAAGATTCTTCTTATTTTCAAAACAAACAATTAATGCAATTCAAAAAATTTCAAAAAAAAACCTCTGATAAAAACATTACAAATTACATCAAAATTGAAAAATTGTCAAAATCTCAATTAATAAACAAAAACTCCAATTTAAATTACTCAAACAATAATGATTATAATGATTACACAGATGAAATTAATCTTCATCAAATTAAAAATTATGATAACCCATTGAGATTTGCTTTGTTAGGTTCAAACAATGTTGGTAAATCAACTTTTACAATAAAAGTATCAAATCCTTTTAATTTTAGAGAGGTTTATTATCCAACTTTAAACAATAACTCAATTTTATTTAATTTTAAACCATCACTAATCAAATCAAAATTTATCTTGAACGAAAATCTATCTGATAATGATCTTAACATTTTAAAGGATTTAGTTTTAAAAAATAAATTAGTTAAAAATCAAAATTTCGATTTAAAATTATCCAAAAATATTCTAAATTCAATCTCAAAAAACTCCATCATTAGCAACATCAATAAAGACAAGAATAAAAACAAGAGCAAAAATAAAAAAATATTTTCGATTTTTAAGGAATTGAAATCCAAATTAAATGATAATCCCTATTATGATTGTCATTTTATCAATAACATTAACAGCAATAATGCTTCAATTGAAGATAACATAAACATCAAATACAAAGACTTATTATCGATATTAGGCATTAAAGATGATCGCTCGTTATCAGTCTTTGAGGAAAATAATAAACTATTATTTTTTTCTTTAGCATCAAATCCACTATTGTCAAGCAATATAAGGAGAATAACTAATTTTACTCAAAATGATTACTGCAATGGCCTCTCAAGTGTAGTCTCAAACAGAACACTTACACAATTCAATTCTAATTTAACCGCAACACCATCGTTATTGTCATCCTCCAGTTCATCTATTTACAGCGAATTTTCTGCAAATTCAAATTTAGATTTAAATTCAGATAAAAATTTAGCTTGTATTGGCGAGTATAATAATAATTTTAATGTTATTGATGATAATAGTAACAACAATCATAATCCACCAGAAATATCACCAATTTTTGTTGAATTAATTGACACGCCAGGTTTTCAACCCGTTAATATAATTCCATTTCTTGAATTATCATTGAACACCAGGCTAAGTGAAAACCAGCTAGGAAACTTGATAGATGGTTCAATGAGAACCAACATCACACAGCAGAGTTTAATCATCGGATCAGGATTGGGTGAATTGAATGGAAAAATCGATGGGTATATTCTTATGTATAGCTGTGTTCCCCATTTAAACAATGATGAACCTCCAAGTTATGAGAATGTTGTTGGTTCTGAGAGTAATAAAGGCAATAATAGCGACAAAAATGATATGGCCAATTCGTTAAAGGCATTAGGGGTAATTCGAGATACTATTGTTGAAGCGTGGATTGAGTTTTTAGTATACCAAGAGAAAACTAACAAGATAGTTGAGGGGGATATCTTTTCATTATCATATACTTTGAAACAACTTTGGAAGAATGAGCAACTAGAAGAACATGAGAAAAAAATGAGTAAAAAACTTCATTCTAAATATGACGCTGAAAACTTGAGGAACAGTCCAAGTGAATTTGAAAAATTAAAGGATAGAATTATTCGTAATTATTTTTTGCCCCCAATTATGATTATCTGCAGTAATATTGAGAATAAGAAAATGAGTCCAGTTTTGGTTGAAGAAGGAAAAAAAATAGCCAAAGATTGGAATTGCAGTTTTATTACAATTGATAGTTCAATTGGATATGGGGTCGAAGAAGCATTGAGTTTGATGATCCGAGATTCCATAGAGAATAAGAAGTTGAAAAGAGGTAATAAAAAACATTAGAAGGAGAGTTTAAAGAGTGTATTTTAATTAGAGGTGATCAAGAGATGTTTTGGACATTCTTTTTATTAATTATTTTTATTTTTAAATTATTTTTAATCATTTCAAGGTGGTTGGAAGTGACAGGGGAGAGATGGTGTATTATTTTTATTAATTTCTATTTTCATTAATTTTTATTTTCATTAATTTTTATTTTTATTTTCATTTCATATATACTCAATTAATATATAGTATTATGAGACGGAATCCGAGTAATAATTGATAAGTATATTTAATATTTTTGGTATATTAAATATAATGGGATTGAAGTATTGAAAGTAAGTAGTAGAGTAGAAGTGATAAAACATATATAAACTAGGAAGAAGGAAGATATAGATGAAAAGTAAAAAATAAATAACAAAGAACAGAGAGAAATTTTCCAAATGAATTTTGTGTATATGTAAAATTAAACAATAAAAAAGAAAAGAAAAAGATCTAAAGCGAAAATATAATTATTAAAAGTGAAGAGTCAAGAGTGAAGAAGAAAAGCAAGATATATAATTGAAACTGATGGGTGAAAAGAAGAGCGAGAAGTAGAGATGAAAAGAGATAATAAGACAGCGAAAGCATATTTTGGAGGGGAGGTTATGTTTTGATTTCATTTAAATTGATTTTTCTTTTAATTTGTGAATAACTTTACAATCAACAACTTCATAGTCTTTGTAAATACCAAAGAGATAGGCGAATCTGGTTACTATTAAATCGATGGCCATTTTGATGCTATCTCTTGCCAAATCGACTTTTGAACCGCTGACTTCATGCCATGATATGGGAACTTCTTCGATGGGGATCTTCTTATGGTTTGCTATCATTAGTATTTCGACATCGAAGATGAATCTTTCATTGTGCATGTAGGGAAAGATTTGTTGAATGGCAGCTTTGTTGAATAGTTTGAAACCGCACTGAGAGTCCTTGACGTTTCTAATACCAAAGATGAAGAGAATTGAGTGGAATGAAAGCATCAAAAAGCTGCGGATGAGAGATCTTTTGACGACTGAGTGGTTGTTGTTTTTTTCATACAATTGGGCTCTTGAACCAACAGCAACAACAGGGACTTGTTGTGATTTTGGAGATTGGTGTTTTTCGATAGCAGTGATTAGTTTTGATATATCAGAGAATTTTGAAGCGCCATCAGCGTCAGCGAAAATTGAGTATTTTCCTCTAGTGTACTGTAAGCCATGGGTGACAGCACCACCTTTTCCTCTGTTTTTGATCAATTTTATGATTCTAATCTGGTCTGGCTTGAGGCTGTATAAGTTTTCAGATAGATCTAGAATGAAATTTGAGGTGCCATCAGTTGAACCATCATCGACGATTAAGATTTCAAAAGCATCGTCGCCATATTTTTCTTTCAAAAAGGATGTTGAATCATCTAGCATTGGTTTGATTCTGTTGATTTCATTGTAGCAAGGTATGACGAGAGAGATAAGGATATTTGACTTTGGATCGTAATTTGAGTTTTTCAAGGGCAAAGGTTTTAGATCTGAATAAACTGATTTTTCTGCAGTCAATGTTGTGTAATAAATTTCGTCTTCGTGTAAAGGCCTTGGATTGTGAGAGAAGATTAGGACAACCAAGTAAACTGAGATAAAAGCTAGAATAAACAACCAGACAAAGAGCGATACGATGGAGATTAAAATATACATTTTCAAACTAGTCTTAAATGGGTGATGTGAAGTGGTATAGACTAGTAGAAGTAACGAGAATTGAAGAAGAAAAAAGGGAAATTGTAGGTGAATATAAAAAACAGGCTTGTTGGCATTTACACTAGACCATAGACAATTCTCAGAAGCAGCGAAACGAGAGAAACAGACCTTTGCAATGAGAGGAAAGCGAGAAGCACAGGCCTCACGATGCGATGAACAGCTATGGAGAACGACCGCAAAACAGCTACGTGACAAAAGTCAGCGCGGGAGGATGCAAAGACCGCTGGTAGACGCAGACTCAGCGTCGGAAAGCGTCGAGAAACTGCGTGCCGAGGGGTCTGACCGGCTCGTCGTTGGGGTCGAGGTCTGTGGAGGAGTCGTTTGTGGCGGCGGGGCTGGTGGCAGGGGGCAAGCACTTTTTGGGACCTTTCTGGAAGAGGCGGTGGAGGAGGGAGAAGGAGCAGTTTTTACCTGGGAAAATGTCGTTGAAAACGAGGGAGCAGAGGAGCCAGCCCATGAAACTCGGTTTCAAGCTTTTGAAGCCCTCTGAGAGCGCCAACTGGATCGCTAGCACATAAACAAAGATCTTGTCATTGAGCACGAACTTGTACCTGTCGTTGTCGTCAGTAAATCCATTACTGGTGGGATTGGTGGTGGTGTTGGGAGACTCCTTGGTGCTCTTGTTTTTGGTCGAGAGCTGGATCTCGAACTTGTAGATGGTGGGGATCAATTCATTGTAGAGATATAGCAAGCCAAAGAGGACACTGAAGGGGCCTGAGGCTAGGTCGTTGATTAAGCAATTGAGAAAGTTCAATACAACATGGAGATAATTATTATTAGTGGCAGTGCTGTTCTCAATATTGACATTTAAAAAGCCCAATAGCAAAAAGTTGATTAGGAAGTTTAGTATGAATAAATACAAAAAGTTGTAGATTAAAACCAATAGGATCAATTTCAAGTAGGTATAACTTGATAGGAATTTTTCTAGATTTTTGAAATTGTAAAATAGAATTGAAGAGACCAATACCTGGGACTCGTTTAAAAAGAAAAACTGATGGAAAATCAATTTTTGTAGATATTGCTTGTATATTTTCAAAAAAGGATTAAATCTTATAATGAAAAAGTACTTGTAGTTTGTAATTGAGATAAGGATGGGAAATATGATGTTGATCAACAAGAGGTATTTCGTGACCGATGTGTTTTTGAATCCCTTGACAATAGAAATTGGAGGAGCCATTGTTGCATCAATCTAATATAATAAACTATATCTAAGATAATCAAAATGATAAATATATTCAGTATTTTCAAATCACAATCAAATGATGAGAAGAACAAAAAACCATCAGTGCGGGTGACCTTATTCTGCTTGCGGTTTCTTTGCCTTCGTTTTCTATTTTCATGAATGTGTGTTTTCACCCAACTTTATCAACGAGCAAAAATAAATCATAAAAAAGAGAGAAAAAGAACAAAAGAACAGAATAAATGAAAAAAATGAAAAAATGAAGGAATATAAGAAAACTATAATTATTTCCGGAGCTTCAGGATGTGGGAAGTCTTCTGTTGCATTAGAACTATATTCACAAATAAACCAATTCGATCTCCTACACCAAAAACTAGTTACTAAATTCATCGAGGGCGATGACTTGCATTCAATGGGAAATATAAGAAAAATGAGCAGCGGAATTCCATTGAACGATGAAGATCGAATCAAATGGTTAAAGTTGATTTACAAGACAATTTATGAGTCCGACGCAAATTTAAACATCGCTACATGTTCGTTGTTGAAAAAAAAGTATCGGGACTTTATTATTGGTGAAAAGAGAAAAAGAAATTCAAATAATATTGACATTTTTTTTCTTTATTGTGATTACGAAAAAACAGTTAAAAGAGTTCAAAATAGATCAAACCACTTTATGAAGGAAAACATGTTGAGGTCTCAGTTTGATATTCTAGAGTTGCCAAATGAAGACGACGAACAATACTGTCATGTTATCAATGTGAACAACAAAACCATTCAACAAATTGTCAATGAAATACACAGAAAAATATTGCCCAGTGCTGTGGAACAGAGCACGTGACACAAAAGAAGGAAAAAATGTGGAGATCGGGTGTTCGACTCACTCAGGAGATTTGTTTGAATTTAAAGCACATCATTTCACGTGATATATGACTGCGTAGCAAAAAGAAAGGTATTTGCTCCAGGAGGGGATCGAACCCACGACCGTCGCGTTACTTAACGGACCGTGACATTGTGATAAACGTCTTTGAACGATTATAAGCACGAAGCGCTTACCTCTGCGCCACAAGAGCAAATCCTTTACTTTGAGTGCCCTGTGCTTATCACAATTTTTGTCCCGGAACTGCATATCCGTTAACCATCGTAGTGGTTTGCAACATCACGTGGCTGCTGCTTTCTCCCTTCCTCTCTCTGTTCCATCCCTTAACTTCTCTTATAAAGTGCTCCCTTCCTCTTCGAAAGTCTTCAGTCTCCTCTCAAACCTTTTACGTTTATTCTTTTTGCTGTTTTCTTGAATCTCTTCGCTCTTCTCTTTTATTTGTCCTTTTTTCTTTTTTCTTTTTTTTTCCTCTGAATCTCTAGCCCCATTTTTCCCGTTTTGTTTCAGCCCAACAATGAACTACTACAGCATCAACAACAACAGTCTCAACAACAACAATCTCAACAATAACATTAATATGAACAATATTAATACAGCTAATTATTACTCAAACAACTCGAATTACTACAACAATATGCCTCAGATAAATAGTAACACCTCTAACAGTATTAATACTAAGAATCTATACAATAACCCCCAATTTTCTAACTCCCCTCCGGTTTTTTCCAATCAACAAATCTATACCAACAATAACAATAGTTATAATTATAACAACAAAAGCAACAATGTAAATATATCTCAATCAACTAACAACATCAATATTATTAGTAACAATAATGCTGTTATCTCTACTGCTACTACTAATACTAGCGATTACTCTTCTCCAAACTCTTCAATATCTTCCTTATACTCCACCTCATCAAACGTTTCCAACGCTTCCAATGTTTCTAACGGCTCAAATTCCTCTTCCTCTTCCGCCTCTTCTACTTCTTCTTTTACCTCTTTTTATAAAAATTTAAATTTGATGTCAAACTCAAGAGAAAAATTCTTGTCTTCCAAGGGTTTTGATTTAGAAGATGACTTTGAATACTACCCCAACTCAAATTCAACTTCAATCCCTTTTCAAAATAACTTTAATAACTCCTTTAATGATGATTCATTTAATTTATTATACTTCAATTCAATCTTAAATTCAATTCAAGATTCCAACTCCACTTCAAGCTCAAATTTGAATTCCTTATCAACTCTACAAATCTCAAATAATTCATCTCCAAACCACTCTCCAAATCATTCCTCAATTAATCCTATAATTCAATCAACTCCAATTAATAATAACAATAACAATAACAATAACTCAACCTCAAGTTATCATAAATTTAATCCCTACACTTCAACAACTTTCTCTCCCCACACATCTCCAAATAATTTATCAAACAAAATCTCTAACAAATTACCAACAAAAAAAAACTTCTCAACTTCTCCAACTCCAAGATCAAAAAAAATTATAGATATTATCAACCCATTAACTGGCCTAATCATTTCCTCAAATCAATCCAACCATTGACCCATTGACCCTATTTAATTATTAAATGTTTTAAACAGAGACTATAAATATACAAGAATAAAAGAATAAAACATTCAATCTAATAAAATCGTCTCTTTCTACTTCTCTTTCACTATCTTTTTTATCCTTAACTGTTTTTTATTGTCTTGTCCCTTTTCTTACTACTTGATTTTTTTTGACTGCGGAGCTTGAAGTTGATATTTGGAAATTTGGAACTTGGAATTTTGTTATTAAAAAATTAAATTTTATAATGATTTAAAGGTAAATATTAATATCAATTAAAAAACAAAAGAAAAAAAAATAAAATTAATAAAAAAAAAATCTGTGAACATGAATTAATTCTTTAATTGATTATACTTCTAATCTTGTCTTAATTGTATATCTGTTTTATTGTATTCATCTTTATATCTATAGCTATATCTCTATATCATTATCATTATCTCTTATATTTTTATTTTCTTTATATTTATCTCTTTCGTTTTTTTCATCTTCATTTTTTCATTATAGATTGTTATTTTGTTTTGATTTTCTTAATTTCAAAATTCTTCTTCACTTTCATCTTCATCCTCATTTTATTTTCTTATTTTCTTATTTTCTTATTTTCTTATTTTCTTACTTTCTTTTTCTTTTTCTCTTATGTTATTTGTTATTTAATTCCCTTTGTGATAGAAAGCTGATTTTTTAATGATTACCTTTAATTTTTTTTTCCCCTTTTTCTTTTTCTTTTATTCTCATTATATTAATATTCTCTGTTTAAATATCTTCCCTTATCCTTTTATCTCTGAATCATTTTTTGTACTGTTTTCTTTTTTTTTTTTTCATAATCCCATTTTGATTTTAATTCTTCAATTTTTTTTTCTTTTTTAATTTAATTATTTTGTTAGCCAAGAAAAAAAAAAAGAAGTCTTTATTTATTTATTAAAATATATTAATATTTTGTTTTTGTTTTTGTTTTGTGTGTTTGTTTTTCATTTGATTGATGCCATTATTGTTTTTTTATAATTATTATTGAATTATTTATGGGGTAATAATTCATCATAATTTTTTTATTTAAATTTATTATATTTATTTTACTATATCTATTTTATATATATCTCTACTATGTTGATTTGTCTATTTAATTACACCTACTCTCTGATACTGATTGTCTATTGAATGGATTTGCATATTGGTATGCAAAGACGTGCGCATTATACTACAGAGAGTAGTATTTTTATAATAAAAAAACTGATATGGACGAGTTGGGAATTGAACCCAAGACCTTCTGCACGCTAAGCAGACGCGCTACCAACTGCGCTACACGCCCGTTCGATGTCCAAGTGAAGCTAATATTCATTAATAAAAATTCTTATAATTATTTTATTTTTTTGTACTCAAATATTTCTTGTTATTAATTTTCATCATATCTCCACTGCCATCATTAAAATGTTCTTTTCACATCCAACATATACATAATTTGATTATCCCTCAATATTTTTATCTAATCTATAAATTTTCAATATTGTTTTATCTTCTTTTTATTTCATAACTTTGAACTTGAATTTGTATTATTGAATTAATCAATTTCAATCAATTCAATTTAACTGGACTGGATTAATTATTGCTTAATGGGATACAAAAGACTTTATTTTCTGTATACCATACACAATTAGTCGTGGGACGACCCAAAGGTTTTTGGTGGAGTCATTTTATTCTATCATTTCAATTATACTTTTATATATCCTTTTAATCTCATTTTTAATTTTTCTCTTGTTTTATATTCTAATTTTAATTTTAATTTTTCAAATGATGACGATTTTTATGAAAAAACTTTTAAAGCGATTTAAATTAATGTAAATTAATGTAAATTAGTGTAAATTATATTAATCTTATTACAATATCAAAATAGCAGCCAGCTTCAAAATTACCACAAAAATATAATTTAATAATATTTTTGAATGCTATCACATATGTTAGCTTATACATTAATATTGAGGAGTTGTTATTGATCTAATTTGCATTTTGAAAGCATTTTTTTATAACTATTGTAACAAAGCCGCTTATTTCTCAAAAAAATGAAACCAATCTATTTTCATATAAAATATTCAACCTGTTACTATTTATTATTTTGGGTAATACTTGAACATTTAAGAAGGCCCTTGTGAAAGTAAAAAAATAGAAACTAAGGACTATGAACCACAAGATAAGTAACTGCGATTTGATAATATGATGTTTATGGAAATTGAATATGTGTTATAGAGTTTTAGTGTCATTTATTATTTGCTTTTTGTAATTAATAAATGACAACCATCAATATTGATTTCACAATACAAATTTCACATTTTTCCTCACTTATTTTATCTGGCAAAAGGTTAAAAACAAAACACCGACATTTCTCTTGCCATAAAATAATCAGGTATCAAAATGATATCTGCTTTTTTGTCGATTGATTGTGAGTTATCGAAGGAAAGATTGTCCTGTTGGTTTGGAAAAGTCGTATCTGCCAACAGAGAAATTATGAAGCAAGATTCATTGGGTGAAATTATCTTTTTGCTTTAGTCTGAGTAGGTGATATTTTTTTCTTTTTGCTTGCCAAAGTTTTACTTTGAAATGATAATACAATGAAATTCCATCCCAGACAACATCTTATGATTTGGTTCAGTTGCAACTTTTAGTCTTTGAGCATAGTCCAGAGACCTGAGACAAATATTAGATTTACTCAATTAACCGTAACTCAGAGACTGGGTCGTAGTCTTTTTGGGTCCACATATTAGTTTTATGCAGCTATTTTGTGTATTTTTCAAACTTTTTAAGCCCGATCCGTGCATTGCCAAATTGGGCTTCGGTTGCAAGTCGTTTCAGCAACTTTCTGTATTGGCTGTTGCACTTTAGAGTTGTTGTATCCAGATAGTGATTCACAAAGGACAGGTTTTTTGTCCGGTAAATCGGTACTTCTGTAAACCTGTAAGCCTGTGTACATTGGTAAATTTATTTTTTGAATTTTGCAGTGTCTGGGATTTGAACAAATGCAGCTCAGATTATTGTAAGGTCGGCAGAGTTCTGGTATTTTGTAATATTGTGTGGGTTTTCAGCTATTTGATTTAGGTTTGTAAAGCTACTTAGTTTGCCTGCAATAATACATACATATATGTACATATTTGTGCTATATTTTACTGCTTTTCACGATAATCTACATATACTTACAATAAATAACAGCACTGCACGGCTTGATACGTTTTGTGCTGTTTGTCAGATTTCTCAATTATTGCAAATTTCATAACTTTGTAATTTTCATTCAACCTTATTTAAAATCTCTAAACCTTAATTCCAGTCTTCGATATTCTCAACAAAGCGGACATAAATCAAGTTGAAAATTTTTATTTTCTTAGTTTTTTAGGAAAGTAGCACTTTAACAGTTTGATTATTCTCAACAAATAACTTCAATAAGTTTTGTCTACAGCATTACAAAGTGTTTATAAAATTCTTTTGCAAAGTCATAATTCTGTAAAACTATTGTCTAATAAGAATTTGATTCAACACAAATTGAATTTATCTACTTCATTAAATAACAACACGGATTTAATTGTTTTGATATTCAAATTCGTTCTATTTATTTTATTTTATTTGTTGTGTAACTTATGTTTATTTTTAGATATTCAATTGAAAATTTTGAATCAATCGATTGGTTTTTTATTCATGATCATAAATGAATAATTTGGTTTGAATACATTTTCAAAATAAGTTTAATTCAAATTCTCGTTATGAAAAAATAGATAATCAATTAAACTGAAGCCGATCAAGAGTGAATTCAATATGAAAACAGAGTCTGTGTTCTCTTTTTTTTCTACTTTTTTTAATCTAGAATTTTCGTTTTCTCTCTTATTAACATTTACCCTTTTGAATATTCTTTTTGTATTAACATTCTAATTTTTTACTTTTCTTTGTAACTACTTTTCAGATTTATTCACCGACATCGTTAAACAGTCTTTGAGGATAATTTAATAGTTTAACACTTGAATAGATAGTTAGTTAATTAGTTTATAGGTATATTCAATAATAATTAATTTGCTATCAGCAATTATTAATGAAAAAAATTGAAATTCAAAGGCACCAAGAATGTGAAAAAAAAGGTTATTGTTGGGTCTGTTGTTGGATATATTAAAGATATTATTGAGCAAATTATTAAGCAAATTATTGAGCACATTGAGCTATTTGTTTTCAAGTAAGTATGAATATGAATCGTTAAGTATCTAGTTTTGGATTGTGTTATTTGCCAGTGCATCCTTTGATCATATCATTCTTGTCTTCAAACAACAGTGAGCGATGTCCAGCAGAATCGTCAGCAGTATCCTCAGCAAATATGTATTACCTATGCGATATGAGCATATATATGCAGATATACTGCAGCACCGCATCGGTTCCTGGTCACATGCCCAGATTCTCCCGTTCGGGAAGCCCCAATAGAGCTCTCATTTTCAGGTTATGATCCATACGTCTGGAGGGCATTACGTACAAGAGCCTGAGGGAGCAGCTTTATGATGATTGTGCTTCTCAGCAATTGCTTGGGATATGATTAGTGTGATACGGGAGATATTTAGTGTATGATGGAAGACAACAGCAGCTTTAAGAGATCAATGTCAACCAAAAATAAGGAGATTAGTCCTTGTAAGTTTTGCATGTTCTGTAGTTAGGGAGATATTATTTTTAGTTTGATTCTTGATTCCTGTATTGGTGTTGTTCAAGTGTCTGATCACTTAATGCGTGTAGTTAAAAATGAGAGTTCAATTATAATCAAATTGTTCTTTGTGTGTAGTTGTTGTTGTTTTTTGATCTTTTTTTGAAATGATTAAGAAATACTTAAAGCAGAAGAAAAGAAATAAATAATTATAAAGCCGGATCCAAAACAAACTAAAAAGCTTTAATTAAACCTTTTGCAGAATAATAAAATAGGAGACTAATAAAATAGAAGACTAATAGAGTAATAATATTTATTTTAAAAGAATTTTTTCCATCTGTTTAGAACCACAAGATTAGATTTGTTAATGAAATTTTCTTTTTTGCTTTTGTTTTTGTTTAGTTTAATTTAATTTGACTTATTTCACTTTTAATCATAGCAAAAGAAGGTCATTAAATTTATAATAATTTGTAATTGCAAATGAAATTGGAATAGGCTTAAAGTCATAAAAAGGAGTGAAAGATGGAATAAAATTGAATGCGACATTGTTAATTCGTTTAAAAGTGGACTAATCAAATGGAGCAAAATGGAGTGAAATAGATTAAGATAGATTTAAGTGAATTGGAAGTAATTTCAATTAATATAATGATCTAATTTTTAAATTTTTGGTTCATTTATTCATGTAAGAAAGATTATGTAATAATTGGGAATTCATTTAAACAAATAAAAGTGTTTTAAAAAGATAAGAGATTTTGAATAATGTAATCTTATTAAATAAAATAACGTTATTTTAGCCGAAATAGGTAACCAGAGATAAAATTCAGTCTGAGAAAGTATGAACACAAGTGCAAATGAAATAATAATAATAATAATAATAATTATTATTATTATTATTATTATAACAAGGATAATAATTTTAATTAATATTTTAATAACAATAATAATAGTAATAAAATTCGTATTGTTAGTTGTATTAAGTCAAAAAAAAAAAGCAATTTAAATAATTATATAATTATATAATATACTCTGGCGCTCGTTCGATTTATCTGAGTTTTTTCAATTGTAATTGAATACCAAAATTACCTGAATGATTCAAGCAAACTAAGTAAACTAATTGAAATAAGTAGATTAAATACAATAATTTTAAATGAATTGTTTTGCAGATAGGGAGCCTCGGTTATATGTATTAATTGATTGACTTTGCAGGTTTTATTTGGTGGTTTTATTGCTTTATTTGTTTTTTCTTTGTTTTGAGCAAAAGAGTGCGAATAAATTAAATTCACAATATGTAATAAGACTCATTTTTTCATTCTCTCATTTTTCTCGTTTTCTTATTTCCCTTTTTTCTACCAACCCATCAGGAAAAGCCAAAATAAATGGGTCAAACATTTTCCAATCTAATTGAGTCTAATTATAAATTATAAAAAAAACAACCTGGTACTTTTCAACCAAAAGCAAGAATTAGGCAGTCTTTTAGCCTATTTGAATTTCAAGTTTAAATAATAATATTATTAAAATATTTAAGTAAGAGAATTAATGGAATAAATTCATTTCAATTGAAATCCTGACAAGTTAAAGTATATTTTTTTTCTCTCTCATTTTAGTTTTAGTTTTTAGTTTTGTGATTGAGTTTTACAGTTTCAGTTGCCGATAAGTTTAATTTCGAATTGTCAATAAGTAATTGAATATTATTTGGCTTTTACAAATATATTTGAATTGGTCGATATAACCCAGAACCAAATACATGTGTTTTCTGGTTAGCAGTGGTTTAATTGTTGAAAAATATATTGGTTTAGTGGTACAGAGGTTTAATGGTTTAGTGTGTTTCTGATATTAGAATGGGTTCGTTGGAGATTGTCTAAATTTTTGTTTTCTTTGTAATTCTGGGTGTTTGGGTCGTATTGTGATTTGTAGACGTGAGAACCAAAGGCAGGCAGTGTTATCTCCTCACTTGCCTAAGTTTGATCTTCTGCTGGAATTCTTCTCTCAGGATTCGTTTGAGATTCTCTTTGTGGGATATTCATGGGATCTTCGTAGGATTTTCTTGGGATGTTCTTGAGATCTTTTTAAGATCTTCTCTTCAGATTTCTCTTCAGATTTCCCTGAAAATTTGTTTTCTAAGCTTTTGCTGACCCCAAAAATGGCCCACACCAGTCCTCCCACATTGCTGGAACCAAGCACTGACACGACCAAATGCACGCTGATTGGCTGTAACGCATCTCAACCACAGCAGCCGCACACACAGGCGCGTTGTTGGCGGTCCAGGTTTATGGCGCCGACCTGCGTTTGCACGTCCTGTTTGTGGGTCGCAGACTGGTCTCATGTCTGCTGCCGGACCCAGGTGTACTGCGGGAGAGCGGCACACACTTTGATTGGCCACTCTAAACGAGCCGGTGCTGCAGAGAAGCCACATATGGCTGTGTTCGACTGATGATTTTTAGTACGACATCTTCTGTAGACAAATTGGTCTCGATTAGCTTTAAGATTATTCAAATTATTCAGATTCATTTTTCCTTTGATTTTTATGTTTATTCACCTGTAAGCTCAAAAGCTCAAAAGTTCAAATTAAATTTGGCTCAATTTCCACTTAGTCTGCATTTATTTAAGTTTTAATAAACCCAATTTCTCTTCGTTTTTCTCTTCTCTTTGCTCGTCCTTTCGCATTTTAAAATTATTTTTTTCCAACTTAATGAAATAAAACCTAGATAAATTCTCACCTTTTTCCTTTTTTTTCCCTTTACCTTTTCACACTCTTTTTTTTTTGTGCCTTATCAAGAATTAAATTCAATTTCAATTTCAATTTTAATTTCCATTTCCACTTCCATTTTCAAAGTCTAAGTCAATTTTTTTATTCATTCAATTTTTTTCTTTTTTTTCTTTTCCTCTATATTTTATTCTCTTATCACTTCAATTTGTTTTTTATATCTGTATCTGTTTATATTATATTATATTATATTATAAAGCAGAAAACTTCCATCATAAACATCTCTATACTATACTTATATTATATCATATTATAATATTACTACATTCATCGCCAATAGAAAAACCAAATAGGTACACTCTATTAGATAATTCATAATTCATAATTCATAATTCACATTTTACTCATTTTGCTCATATAGTTAAAAATGCCATTGAATAGAAATATTCTAAACAACCAACAAAATTCCCCAGTTAATTCTACAGAGTTTGCAATCAAAAACAGACAAAACAATTTAACTCTCCTACCTGTATTGCCTGCTATTTCAAACACCCAACTAAATCCTCAAATTAATAACACCAATACCAACACCAACAACCAAAAAATATCCAGCTTTCCCAACAAAAACATCCAAAGCTACTATTCAATTCCATCGCAACAGCAAAATCAACCTCATCGGCTCCACCAGACCCAACCTCTGCAGACCCAACCCCTCCAATCCCAGCCTCTTCTATCCAACAATAATCCCGCCGAAATTAACCTTGAAATCAATAATACCTCTTCAATCAATAAAACAAGAAATAGTACCCAATTCCAATCTTCTTTACCGCCATTAAATTCCTTTTCTGGCGTTTTTCCTCCTTCCTCAAATCATCCTCAATCCTTTAATTTCATCCAGCATCCCCAACATCAGATTCAAAACCAATCTCAGCTTCAACCTCAAAACCAGTTACAGCCACATCAACAGCAACAAAAAAAACCCCGTTACCAACCGATCCAACCTAATACTTCTCGCAATAATCAAAACAATCAACCCTTCCAACCTCAACTTCAGCAATTTGCTCCCAATATTCCCCAAAGACACGAAGTTCATATCCCATTTAACAACAATACTCTTCTAAACCCTCAAAATCAACAACAACAACCCCATATTGAACCCCATATCGACTCAAATAATTTCAACTCTCATTTCAACTCTCAAAACAAATCTCAATCAAAATTCAAAGATAATCAAAATACAATCATAAACGATAATTCCAATAATACCCAAAATAAATTCAATTTTAAATTTCACAACCCAAAAAATTATAACCAAAAAATCTTATCCTCTAATGACCCCAATAATTCTAATGACTCTAATATCTCAAATAATTCAAATGACCCTAATAACTCCAATGGCACATATCAGAATACTAATATAAATACAAATCAGAAAAATATATCAAAAAATCAAAAAAAATATATAGAAAATGCTCGTATTTCCACTCAATTATCAATCAATTCTCTAAATAATCCAGTAAACATTCATACCATTGATAATACCCCTCCACATTCTTTGCATTCCTCAAATCATTCATATAAAAAAAATCAATCAATCAACCATGACTATAATAATAATAATAATAATAATAATAATAATAATAATAACACTGCTAAACAATTTTCTATAGCCAGTCTAAATAATCCAATCAATTCCACCATCGATTCAGATATGAAAAAAAATAACTTGAATCCAATAACTAATAATGAATACATCTCAGAAATCAACACTAATAACGATGTATCCAAAGATGTTACCCCCATCCCAATTCCCATTTCTATTGCAAATACCTCAGCTGCAGAGAACTTTGTTAAAATCTGCCCATATCCTAATGCTGGTGATGATCCTCATTCAAATTGCGGCCTCAGACAGAAAGATGCTATTACCACTTTAACAAACTTAGTTAACACAAACCATGCACAGCAAAATGAAAATTTCAACTTAACTCTATCGTCCTTAACAACAAGTTTAAACAACTTTGTTAACCAATTTGACCAAAAATTAAATTCCATCCAAAATGATATTTATCATTTTAAAGCTAGCGTCACTAACAATAACTCCATAAATGACGCTCACCAACAAACTACTTCTGTCTTTACCTCGTCAAATGGTGATGTTTATAGCAACATTATCATTGATACAGATACTCCAGAGACAATTTCAACTGATACACCAGAAAAGGTTTTTAAAACTAGTTTGGAAAATCTTTCAAATGCTCCAAGTTCATCAAAAACTTTCAACTTTCCTAAACCTCTCAAAGATAAATTTGGAAAATCTTTAAAACCTCTGGGATCCGTTAAACCTGTAAATAATGGCAAAAATGTTAAGTTCACTAATTTTGAGAAATTACATACTGATTATGATGGAAGATTTGTCGATATCACCAAATTCATGATCCAAAACGAAATAATGACTTCATGTAGAAAAATCAATGAATTTAAAGATAAATATCGGTATTATTCCACGTTATATTCTAAAATTTGCCACGCTGCTGACAATGGAAACAGACATAAAGATATAGAAGATTTAACCATTAATAATGATAATGATAATCATAGCGATGATAATACTAATTATAGTGATAATAATAATCATAATAATCATAATAACGATAACGATAATAATGATGAAGATGACGATAATGATAATGGTTTTGGATCTAAAATTGATTCAAAACTTTACGGTAAGATGCCCGATAACTTTATGAATGAAGAGATATATGATATTAAACAAATCGATGAATTAAAGGATAAAGTTAATGATTTAACGAAAATTATTAATTATAATTTAGTGTTAAAAAGAATTAAACACAACAAGTTTGGAAATTTGAAAAAGGATAAAAATTTTGTTTCAAAATTTAGTGGGAAAGTTAATGATGAGAATTTTTTTAGCAAATATAGTAAATATTTTGATTTTCCAGAAAACTTCATTAGAAATTCTAGTGATATTATGAAAATTAAATTAGAGCATGGTGATGTTATCGACGAAGAAAATGATTTAAAAAATAACAATCAAATTGAAAACTCAATTGAAAAAGTGGGAGAAATGAATGAAGGCAATAAAACTCGAACTGAAATTGAAATTGAAAGTGAAAGTGAAGGTGAAGGTGAAGACTCTAAAGATCATTCTAAAATGATCGATGTAGATGAGAATGACAATGACGCTCTGAATACTATTATTAATGTTGAAGAAAAAGATGATATTCAAAAAGATAAAAAGAAAAAAAGTAACAAAACCAAAGAAAATTGTGAAAGTGCTGTTCTTGAGGAAAATAAAAAAGATGATAAAGACAATGAAGGTGCTGATAACATGAATAATAAACATAGTAATAATGAATTGGAGAAAAATAGTGAAAGCAATAATAGCGATGAGCAGAATGATAATGATCAAAATGGTGACAGCAAAAAAGAGTGTGATAAAAAAAATAAAGAAAGCACTAATGAAAACAATGATAACTGTGATGAACCTGATAAAAATAATAACAACAACAATGATGGTATTAAAATCATAAGTGCAAATATTATTAAACAACCGTTAAGACTGGTTATCAGCAAAAATAATAAAAATATAAAAAGCAATAAAAACAATAAAAAAAACAGTAATAATAAAAATAATAGCAATTTTCGAATGCTTAAGAATAATGCAAGCTGTTTACAAAGTACTTTTTTCAATACTAGTAAACATTTTTATGATTCTGTTTATTTATATCGCCTTGATAAATATAAGAAAGAAAACGGGATGTGTTCGATTATTCCTCCAATGTTAATTGAAAAGGATAAGAGAACCAACCCAATTATTTTCAATCATAGAAGTGAGTCGCCTGTTAGTGATGTTGGATCCGAGCATGAACCCGAAGTGGAAGTTAAGTTAGAAGCTAAAACTAGAGGTAAAGATAAAGAAAAACCTTTAGGTACTGAGAGCAAAAGAGGAAGAAGAAATATTAATTATCCGGTTAATTATATTGAAAAACTGAATGACTATGAAGAAGAAGTTAATAAAAACAATAAAAGACTAAGGTCTAAAACAAAAAACATAAAGAGACATCGATATCAAGAAGAATATGAGGAGGAAGAGGAAAACAATGACGACGATAATGAAGATGAAGATGAAGATGCAAAGCAAATACAAAGTGCCCCCAAGAAAAAAAAAACGAACAATCCAGAACCCATTTATTCTTTCACTAAAAACCTTACAACAGTTTCGGAAATTGTTGAAGAATATTTATCAGGACTTAACGGCAATCCGTCGATCAAAGAACTAGAAACGAAGTTTGGCTCCAAGTGGAGAGGTGGATCAAAGCATTCAGTGAGCAAACAGTTTGGAAGAAGAAAACAACTCTATTTGGCAGTGGAAAATGGGCTAAAGAAAGGATTGGAGTTGAATGAGATTGTCAACAAGCTCGAGAATTCGCGAAGTTTTTTCAACCAAACCAATAACACATACTACAAGAAGAGCATAAACTGGTTGCAGAACAATATTCCGCAGGATTTGCTATGAAGTGCTAAAACCAAGCTGGTGAGCACACAATGTCGTTTTGTATATAGTTTTAGAAAGTTAAGTCTGGCAAACCTGTCAAGTCGTCAAAATCCCAATCGGGCGCATGCATGTACAGACATATATATTTACATACACGCAAATACACGCAGAAAAAAGCTTTACCGCAGCTACGAAACCTAGTATGCATCTACATGCGGATCACGCGCCCTGGGACCGCGGGCCACCCCGTTCCGTTCTGGGGGAATGAAAACAGCTCTTGAGCTCTGCTGGTTCTGCTGTTTCTGCTTCCTCCTTTGCTTCTTCTTCTGCTTCATCCAGCCATGGACCCCAACCCGAACAGCCTTCTTCCCAATCAGCTCTCCAACTTGCTTTCTTCTGACCACGAGCAGCACAAAATGCTTCTTGTGCTGGACTCTTCAGCTCTTCAGGGCTCTGCTGCTAACACTACTTCTCGTCGATTGAATCACTTGGGTCTCTCCAGCTCCTCCTCTTTGCCTGCTCATCTCAATAGCTACCAGTCCTCAATTAGCAACATCTCTACCTTGGACCATTACAGCAACCTCAGTAACATATCCTCTCTCAACACTCTCAACACCTTGACCAATTTGGGTTACAACTCTCTGAACGAGCACTCTGGTAACAAGAACAGCAAAAATAGTAAGAATGGTAAAAATAATAAGAACAGGAAAAAGAATAGCAACAGCAACGATCTTAATAATGCAAATAACAATAGTAGTAACAACAATCCCTCCAAAAATGTTAACAATAGAAACACAGCCAACCTTTTAATTCAAAGAAATGGTAATTTAAACAATGCAAACTCAAATAATGACCTAACCTCAAATGGCTTGATCAATGGTCAAAACTTAAACGATGTTGATTCTGATTCTGATTCTGAACATGATTCAATTGATGAAGAAGCAATTAAAAATAATCATCCCACAAAAAATTTAAATCATAATCTGAATCGAAATACTTCAACTAATTCAAGGGTCAATTCAACAACTAGTTCAATTCTCAACTCAAATTCAAACTCAAATTCAAACTTATCAGCAATTTTAAATTCCAATAATAACAATAACAATAATAATAAAAATAATAACAATAATGACAATACTACTAATGATAATAACATTAATGCTAATAAATCAAATATGAATATCAATATGAACCAGGATATGGACCAGAACATGGATATGAATATGGACATAGATATGAACATGAACATGAACATGAACATGGACTTAAATAAAAACAATCCAAATAATAATTTTTCAAATCTTAATGACCAAGTAAATTCAAAATTAGATTTGCTCTTGAACACTGTCAATGTAAACTCAAATATTAATAATTTCAACAATCTAATTTTACTATCTTATATCAAGTTCGCTCTTGATCACGATAAAAACCAATTACTCTATTTCTCAAAACAATACGAATATTATAAAAATAAAGTCAACAAATTAACTACTTTATTAAAAAATTTAAAGAAATTAAATTTAAATAATATAAACAATTTTAATGATTTAATTGATGTCGAAAATATAAACATGCTTGAACTAAATGGCATGATAAGTTCAATTTTTAATTTAACTACTAACAAATCAAATCGTCATAATAATAATCATAATAATCATAATAATCATAATAATCATAATAATCATAATAATCATAATAATCATAATAATCATAATAATCATAATAATCATAATCATAATATTGATAATGACAATGACAATGACAATGACAATGATAATGACAATGATAATGACAATGATAATGACAATGATAATGATAATGATAATGATAATGACAATTCTAGTAACAATGATAATGAAAATGATAATGATGATTCTCAAAAACACCCAAATTCGATCCCAATGCATCAAAATATTAATGGCGGCATCAATGAGGCTATGCTACAACTCAACCAACTTATAAATCTAACTGATGACAAAAATCATCGTTCAAAATTATCATCGAGTTCTCGCACTCATTCTCATTCTAACATTCACACACATTCTCGTTCTCGTTCTAGTTCTAGTTCCAATCAATCTTCTTCACCTCCAAATAATATCAATATCAGTCGTATTAATAATGTCAATAATATCAACAGAATTGTCAATAGAAGTAATAAGAATACTATCGGTAATAACATTTCTCAAAATAAAACCAACAGAAACGATATAACTAACTTCACCACCACTAATGATGAAAATGAAAATAATCTCGCAAATATTAATCAAGAATCAAACACTTCTCACCCTTATCCTCACTCAAGATCCCACTCTCGCTCTCATAGTAGTACCAATAACATTGATGAAAATGACAATAACCTCAGTTTTATGTTTCCCAACAATGATGAAAATAGAGATGGCAATAATTCAAGCGCAAACATAACTCCAAACATGAGCCATAGTAGCTTGCCATTAGATGCAAATATGCAAAATGCTCTTGATGAAGCTCTATCAGATTCTGCAAATTTATCAACTAAAAAAAGAACCCAGTCTGTAAGAAAAAGATACACACCAACTTATCGATTTATTCGTAACGTCAAAAATGTCGAAGATTTGGTTAAAGAGTATTTGCATGGTGATAAAAACCAACCACCCGTTCAATCACTAGAAAAAAGATATGGTTCTTTATGGAGAGGTGGGTCTCATCATCCTATCTCCAAGCAATATCAAAGAAGAAAAAATATTTATAATGCTATTGAGCTTGGTCTAAATAGAAATTACTCAATTGAAAGGATCATTAAAGTCTTGGAGGATAAAAGAACAATGTTAAATGATAAAAATGGTAAAGCATACAAGAAAAGTATGACTTGGTTGCAAGAAAACATTCCTCTGGAATTATTATGAGCTTCTAATCCCTTTTTTCTAATTACTTTTTTTAATTTCTAATTTTATTTTGTTGTTTTTTTGATTGATTTTGATTTATTAGTTTTCACTTTGATTTTGATTTTTTAAATTTATCTTTATTTTTATCTGTTTTTAGTGTTTTTCATACTTATATTTTTTCTTCTGAAGTTTTGAATGCTTGAGTTTTTTTTGTGATTTTTCTTGTTAATCTTTTTTTCTCACTAATCCTTTATCGATTTTATTGGGTTGTTTTTGTTTTTCACCACTCAAGTTGTTGATTGGACTCAACCTGTTTTTTTCTCTTGATGTTTCACTGTTTGATATGAACTTAGCGTTTAGATTTCTTTTTTCCTATATTATCAATTTCATTTTCTGTATTTTTTTCTTTTAAATTTATACCTGCAATCTCTTTGCAGTGATAATATAACATTGTTGATTAATTCGGCTACTGCTTTGTAATGCTCGCTTTTGATTGGCTGAGAGTCACAGGGTTTTTGTGCATGAAGCCGAATTGATTTTTTTGGCTTTTGAGCAAAGAAAAGTGCTTTCTCTGGGTTGATATTTGGAGCAATGGAGGCCTTTATGAGAAGATCAGTTAATGCCAGCATCAAAACACGATATTCTACCATCAGATACACCAATTCCAGGGTGATTTCAAGAAGTTTGTTCAGCTCTTCACTTTTAAATAACTCAAAGAAAGATGGCGACTCCACAGATGAAGTGAAACCTTCCATAAAATATAATGAGTATAATGCACCGGAATTGAGTACCAGAGAAAAGTTTATAAAAGAACATGAAAAGAATTTTGTTTTTGTTTCAGATTTCTCAAAGTATCATGAAAAGAACTTGGAAACCGATATATATGGAAACATCGTTGAAGACTCCAGCGCAGATCCCAAGGTCGAAATATCCACTCCCGAATCAAGACTAGCTCAAGAAATAGCTGCAAAACATTACGAAAGATACCAAAAAGTCAAATCGATTTTAATGGGGCTAGGAGCTCTAGCGTTGGCTGTTTTATCGTTTCAGGGGTACACTTATTATCCCCAGATAAAATATCAAATTGGGAAGATCTTTTTTAGTCAAAATGAGGTCTTTGATGTTGAATCAGGAAAAGAGCTTGATGAATTTGAGAAAAGCAAAAGAAAAAATGATTTAAAGAAGAAAAAAGCAGAATTCAATGCTTATTTGAATATAATTAACTCTAGTGAAAGCGATTCCAATGTTCCTGGTCTTTATCTTTGGGGTTCAAATTTAAATGCCACTATTGCTCCTGATCATAAATCTTTGAAAAATGTCAAAGTTCCAATCAGATTAAAATACTTTGAGGGTATGGTTTTAAAGGATGTTAAATTAGGCCATCAAAGTGCTTATGCTATTGACGAAAATGGTGATTTACACCAATGGGGAAATGGATTTAACTTAGAAAATCCATCTCCTTCATTGAGCTTATCCAAACAAAAAATCAGCAAGGGAGAGCTTAGTAATGGTTGTTTATATTTTTTAAATAATAAGAATGAATTACTTATACTACCAGAAAACAAAAAATTGCAAGATTCAAATATTGAAACAACAAAGCAGTCTTTCACAAAATTAGCCACTAATGATGTATTTTCATGGGGAGAAAAAATTGTCGATTTCAAAACAGGTCTTGAGCATTTAATAGTTTTAACAAATAAAGGGAAAGTGTATTCTTCGGCTACGGGCTTGAAATTATCTTCCAAATCATTTGGTCAATTTGGATTGCCCGAATTTTCTCATTTTGATTCACCACCTGAACCCAATAAGCTTTATGAAATCAAATTATTAAACTATCAAATTGAAAAAAACCATAAAACTGGCAAAGTCAAATCGATAAATCAAAGAGTAATAGAGCAAGTTGCTTGTGGAGATTATCATACTCTCTGTAGAGACTTTGGCGGTTCAGTTTGGTCATTTGGAAGAAATACCTATGGTGAATTGGGTTTACCTGTTGCATATGATAGTGAATTTATTCCATTTCCCAAAAGAATAGAGTTATTTAATAAACATTTTACATCAGATAACCATGCTATTTGCACGAACATTGAGGCCGGTGGAGCTACTTCTTTTGCTACTTTCAAGACGCAAGATATTCGCAAAATGTTTATGGAACACTTTAATAAAGACAAGATTTCGTATAATAACGATAGCGACAAAGAAGCTGAAGAAAATGTCAAACCAGGAGATTTATTTCATTTTTCATTCGGAAATGGGTTATATGGACAGCTAGGCAATGGTCGATATATTCACTCTAATGCAGAACCAACGAAAATCCGAACATTGATGGACATGAAGGAATTCAATGAATCAGAAGAGATGATCAAAAACATACCAGTAAAGAATTGGTCTGCAGGATCTAACCATGCCTTTGTTAAATTGGATAATAATGATATTTATGGATGGGGATCAAACGAGTTTGGACAGTTAGGAAATGGTAAAAGAGCCAAGTCGCCCAAACCAATTTCGATTCCAACATTAATAGAACCACACAGCAAAATCAATTACAAAAAATATATGAATCAATCTGGATTTAACCCATGGAACAACAGATTGCAACTATTTACTAATAAGGAGTTGGTATTTAAAAACCCTAATGGAAAGACTATAAAGGGCAAATTCGACCAGGTTTTGGCTGCTGGGTACAACTCAAGTGCAATCTACTATGCTCGTTCTTAATGGAATACATTTTGGCTGAAGATTCTTGTACATATATAAACCGATATATTTTTTGGTTTTCACCACCTTTGTGGTATCATGTATGTTGTGCATTTGTTTCTTCTTTTTCAAACCAGCAATGGGGGTCATATTAAAAAAAAAGAAGAAAACGTTTTTCCTTCGTTGAGGTTATTTTTGAGTCATAAAAATTAACATTCATTCATTACTGGAAAATAAAAATGTAAGATAGTGCAAATTGAACTTTAGTAGAATCAATTAAGTATTATTATAAAGAGGAATTACATAGATAAAAGAATTTAAATATTGTAAGCCAAATGGATTATAATTTTTGCATAGCAGCGACATCAGTTGATTGAACATGGTCTTCATCTTCTTCGATTAATTGTTGCAAATCGTCTAAGGAAACCTTTGTATCTTCAATAACAAGATTGATTTGTAATTTTTTAATACCGAAACCAACTGGGACCCAGGAGTGACCACCCCAGGTTAAACCATCTTGAGTGATGCCCTTAACATTGGCTAACAATTCTTCTAAGTTAGTTTCATCATCCCATGGTTTGACATCTAAAGTAACAATGGATTTAGCAGCTGGTTTTGGACCTTTGGAAGCCTTTTTAGCAGCGTATTCAGCCAAACGCTCTTCTCTTAATTTAGCAGCGGCAGCATCTTCTTCTTCATCATCGGAACCGAATAAATCAACATCTTCATCATCTTCTTCTTCGGCAGCAGAAACTAGTTTTGGTTCTTTTTTGGCAGCTGGAACAGTGTTAAATTCTTCGGTAAAAGAAGCAATGTGATTGAACCATCTAGCAAAGTATGGGAATTCCTTTTGGAAAGCTTTGTAAGAAGCAACATCAGCTTGAGTAACTGAAGTACTAAATTGTAAATTGAAGTTAGTAACTGATTTTAGTTCGATTATACAATTCTGTTATTGACACTAAGTTTTTTCTTGGAAAAAAAGTGAATTTCATTTTGAATTTAAAAAATTGTTCTTGATAATTTTCAGGAAAAGTTATAAAACTTGAATTGGGTTTGATACTCATAGGATGGGGTCTTACGCCACCTAGTAAACACGGACCAATGTGATCATCATTCTAATTATCATTGCGAGATTGAGACATTTACTGATTGATTTGGAATATCAAACCAATATGCCTGTTTCAGAGAAGAAAAACAGTTAAACAATCAAAACTTCCACAGAATTTCAACGCAAAACATACCCTTGAATGTAAGATTTGTCAGCTAAAAAGTCATTTAATTCCTTGACAGATTTGATGTCAGTGAAACTGGTGTAGCTCATGTTGAAATATGGGATGGTTGAGTAGAGATAGTCGAAGAGGTGCTGGAAGAAAGTTGTTGAAGGAGCAGAGATATAAAAAGCTGTATAAATACCAAAGAAAATTTTCGCACTGTGAAACTTTCTAAAATTTTCTTTTTTTGACAAATGGCCTGAAAACTCTTAGGGTAAACACGGACACGTGCTGAGATGTACCCTCGGTAACACGTGTGCCGGATGCTGCTTCTGCTGCTTCTGCTGTTTTTACTTATTTTTTTTCCAGCCGGGCTGGAGCTGTGTTATTTACAGTGTATAGTACATATGTATGGGGCTTCTTAGCTGGCTTCACCACCTGCTCCTCCTCTTGTCTGGGTAGTTGTCTCTGGGCCCCTGCCTCTCGTTGTTTCGCTGGTACAACTTCTTCTTTATCTGGTTTCGGTCCATTTTGTCTTTGTTCAAAATCCAGTGAAGCTTTCTCACTGTGAATGTGTCGCCCATTTCTTGAGCCTTGATGTAGAAGTTCTTTACCAAGTAGTATGTCCATTTGAACTGATTCTCCGTACTAGTGATGATACTGAGTGCATCTCTCAAGTATCCTATCTCAGAAAATGTACCCACCAATTTTACTGCAAACGTAAAGTCTTCCTCTTTTCGAACATCTGGAGGCAAGGATTTGAACAATCGTGTCTTTCTGAATTTACCTCTTTCCATCCAAACCTCTTGAGCAAATCCTATGTCTTTGAAATTCTTCGCAGCTGCCAAAGCAATCTTGTAAATATAACTGTTTCTCGCTATTTTATATCCAAGGTTTTTAGCCAACTCGAGTGCTTCAGGTTTTTCAGCCTGTTGTGGAATTGTTGTTTTAATATCGTTTTCAATTTCAATGCCATCTTCAATCTCAATGTCATATTCATCTTTAGAACCATCCTCATCTTGATTCTCACTTTTACCTTCTTCCTCTTCTGCAGTTGTTTTGTTTTCGTTGGTATTACTATTATCGATTATCAAACCTTTATCTAACTTCTTAAATTTCAATCCGTCATCATCCAAATATGTAAAGTTTTCATATCTTTTCTTAAATTCATCCAAACTTTTAGCATGTTCAGTTGAAATTTGTAAATATGCACCAACTGTCCTAAAATTGATGATATCGGGATGTTCAAGTAAAATGTATGACCAAATGGCGTCTGATTCAAATAGAACTTGTTCATCAGTTTTTAATTCGTATACCGGTATAAATGGTAGCGTTACTTGATTAAAATCAAGCCTATTTGGCGAAGTTTTCAAATCTTCATATCCTTCTTCTTGTTCGATTCTATTTGATTTAAAATTGATCGAATGCAATAGATTAGTTCGCAAATTCTTTCCAAAATCAGTGGCCAACATCAAGGGCAATTTTTCAACTTGGTTTGTTTGACTTTTAATTTTGTTATTAATAAAGGTTCTATAACTTGAAAATAGCACAAACAAAACTTCGGGACTGATTTTTTTTATTCTCTGGTAAAGGTTTAAAAACAACACTCTTACCATGACTAAATCGTTATCCTTTGAACATAACGACATCAATAAAATTAATAATTGCTCGTTTATCTCATAATTATTTTTGACATAGGCCTTCAGAAAAAACTCCCAGGCCTGTAACATGTATTCATCCTTTGAAAAACAAACTCTTGACAAAATTTCATAAGTTCTTGCATCTGGCTCAATGCCATTTGTTCTCATATCTTCAAACAAATCTAAACATTTAAAGATATTTTGTGTATCGAAATCAGTATAAAACGTAAAAATTGAATTGTAAAAATGCACATCAGCGCCAATTGATAGGAATTTGACCATATCAAAGATTTCGACAACCTGTTGTTTATTTTTCAATTTTGTCGATATTTGTAAAAGTATTGTTATTATAACTAAATTTTCTTTTATATTGATTTTATATTTTTTCATTTCACTTAAATAATAATTTAATTTTTCGGTGATATCTTCAGATTGAAAGCTTGTTACTAATTCAGTATCAGTATTGAATTTAATAAATTTGAAAAAGGATTTGAAAATATTGCCAAAGGTTTGTTTTCCTGGTCTTTTCCCTTCGGCTATTAATTGTTGATAAAAACATTCTGAAAAATGAACGTTGCCCTGGTCAGCAAAGGAGTTTATTGCTAAATCATATATAAATCTAGAGGGTTGTTTATTTACATCCGATAACATTTCAAAAAACAATGAATTGATTTTTGTCTTTTGATCATTGGGAATTAAAGTGTATAGTTTTTCAATGTCCCCAATTTCAAGATCTTCAAATCCATTGCGGCTGAGATATAAATCCTTGATGACCTCGATCCAATTTTGGTTTTGTTTTGAAATTAAATAGATAATTGATGAATTCTTGATTTTATCATAAACTCTTTCAGGCAAGTTAATACCTGGAGCAGCTTTATCAAATAGGGAGTTTAGTGAGTTATCAAATTTTTTAGTTTGATTCTGAATCACTGAATTGGGCAATTCTAGGGTTGTATTGGAAGGTAAAGATTTCAGGAGATTAACCTTTATATTAGTGGATGGCTCAGGTAATAACTCATTAAGTATCGATTCAGCATCTTTCTTGTAATCATGGTTTTTCGCATCAAACTGCTGATTCATTTGTTTATTCTTTTCATGTTCGGTATTTTTTTTTATTACTTTGACTGCCTTTTCTATTCGTTTTATTCTTTCTAAATAAATATCTGTGCCCTTTTTGGTATCAGTTTGGTTTCCATAATATACATAATCCAACACATCCTTTTGTGTCTTTAATTGATTTTTTAAGTCAGGCTGAAATATTTCCTGGTTTGTTTTTGATTTTGGTTTTGATTTTGAATTTGAGTCCGGATGAGATTTTGACTTTGGAACGATTACAATTGATCGACTGAGTATCAAATGGTTTGAGAGCACCGAGCTCAAGAGATTTTTCTGCTGCTGCCTCAAACGAACATTCAACTGGTTCAAAAACATATTCTTTCCAGTTTGCAAAATCAATAAAATCCACTGTAGCTGAAAATTTTCCAGCTTTTCTCAGACCTTGAGGATTAAAGAAAAAAATCAAATGGAAAAAAATACTCAGAAAGACGCGGGAACCACCACCACGGATCACCAAGTTTGCACCTGTATGCACACTAAAACCTTTTTTACAGACCCCCCCTGCCACAAACCCCCTATCTACAACCCCCGAGGCTTGGCCTCAACGAAAAAAATCAATTAAATCACAGATTTCAGTGGGACGAGTGATGGATTCAAACAGATTAACCACAGCTGCCCATTGATCACTAGCTGGATTTGCTGAAATATTTTGGGGTAGGCTTGCTGCTCGATTGCACTCCCCGATAATTGCGTTTTTTCGGCTTCCAGTTCTCAGAAACTCACCTGTGTTTCACCTTTAAAGTCCAACATTTACATAACAAGTAAGCACCATCTCAGAAAAATGGCAAGAGATTTCATGAAAATTTTGAACAACGATAGCGAAGCTTCGAAAGCAAATCAGAGCCAGAGCCAGAGAAACAGAAAAGAGCCCATTGCTCCCACAAACAGCTACAGTCAGAACACTTCGCATCTTGCTTCTGATCCCAACGTTGCCTTTATGAACCACCATAATGTCGGTAGCAGCTTGAGATCCACTCTCCATCAACAGTTTCTGTCTCAAAACCATTCCCAACACTCCCAGTCTTCTTCTCAACCAACTATTCTGTCTCCAACTTTCCATTCTCAGTCCTTCAACAATGGCTTGAGTCTCCCAGCTGCAAGAAATCCCGCCTTCAATCCTCTGGCAAAGCACCAGTCTCTTTCAATCCAGTCTCAGCTGCCTAATAATAACCTGCCTCATTTACCACTGTTGAATTATTTTCCAAATAACGACGGCAGGTCTGAAAATGCTCCAAATTCCTCGTTAATCAGTAATTCCAACCAAAATCCCAGTCCCAATGTCAACATGAATATAAATACTATGGTGAATTTCGACAGGAGAACAAGTATATCGAGTTTGACCAATGAAAATGACGTCGATATTCATGGAATCGAGACTCCTAGATTTTCAAGACACTCGAGTCTTTTAAATTACAATAATACTAATAACAATACCAATAACAATACTAACTCAAATATAAATAACAATACTAACTCAAATATAAATAACAATAGTAACATTAACAGCTCTATTTCTGGCAACCTGAGTGTAACAAACTCCCCAATATTAAATAAAAAACCATCTTTGGTTTCCCTTCAGCCATTGCATTTACCACTACATTCTCAACGTCAGATCCTGCCAATATCTCCTCCAAAACTAACTAAAAGAAATTCTCTCGATATACTAATGAACAAACCTTCCAAAGATAATCCTAGCCATGATACTAGTCGAAAATCATCTTTAAAGGATCCACAATTTAACCTGTATCATACAGATATTAGCGAGCTGGAAGAATATGATAATAATAATAATAATACAAATAACAGTATTAATAACGATCATCACAATACTAACAATGTAGAAAATACAAGCAATAGCAAAATTCAAACCGACGAAAGTGATGAAAGCGATGAAAGTGATGAAGACGATGAAGACGATGAAGACGATGAAGACGATGACGATGAAGACATAAAAATGATCCACAATGAAATAAAATCTTTTAAAAATCAATCAACATTGAACAATCAAGTTCATGAAAATCAAATTTCTTCTTCTATAAAAACCTCTAATCCAATTGATAGCAAAGATAATTCTAATAACTTTAATAATTCCAATAACTTTAGTAACTCTAATAACTCTAACTTTAATGACCCCAATAATACCAATAACTCATCAAAAGAATTAGAACTTTTACAATCTTTAAAACAAAATCAAAGACAAAAACCAAAAAGATATACAACTCCTCCTATTTGGGCTCAGGAATGGATACCTCTATCCCACTCAAAAAACAATCAAATGCTTAATCAAATCAACCAACGAAATTTTATCCCACAGATTATAATTCCATTAAATACAATTGGAGGAAGTGCTTTAAAAAAAGATCCAGTATTAAAACATGATTTGAAAATTTCAATTTTGGACATCCAACCATATGATGACTTGATAAGAAAAATATCAGGATGGCTATATGCAAATTTAGCTCAAATAGATAGTGAAGATTTAAAATATGTTGAAGTTGAATTTAAATTGGGTCAGATTTGGTCAAGGGTTGATGATAGAAGAATTATGTTACCTATTTCAAATGAAGTTATCATAACTGACCAAAATAATTTTAATTTTACTCCCGGTTTAAGTGATATTTTATTTAACAAATTATCTTCCTATTTAGATGAACTCTCTTTAGTTCAAAAAAAAGATGAATTTGCTATCATGAATATAAATCACATTGATGAAGAATACGAATTGATAAGGCCCAATGAAAAGCCCTTTGAGGCAAGAATAACTAAAGATGTTGACACACAAAGAGTGGTGGACTCAGTTACCAAAATTAGAATCTCGAATTTATTAATTCATAATCCAAACAATTCTTTAGATTACAAAATCTCTTTATCTATTGAAAGACCCGTAGATACCTCCGATGCTGCAAAGGGGAGAAAGGTTGTAATAAGAAAGAAATTAAGAAAGTCTTATTTACACAAAAAGACAAATACAAAAATCGATATCACAAAAACAGCAACATCAACACCTCTGAAGTTTACTCCAAATAAATTTGAAACTGTTAATAATCTAGAAGCCGAGTTGGAAATGAACAATAAATTTCTTTTGGAGGGTTTTAATGCTTTAGCAACTGGTGAAGATGTTTATACTTTTGAAGATTTATTATTAATTTTAATGAATAATGCTAGAATTCTTAACCGTCAATTGGATTCAAAGGTTTAAATATATTAAAAATTCTCCAAAAACATTTAAAAATTGGTATTTTATTTTGTTAATTGTTTTTTTTTACGTTATTTTTATTTCTTTTTTAAACATCTCACCTGATTTCTTTTTTTTTCATTTTTATCAAAGATGTTATTTCGATGCCTATAATTTAGCTATATTTTATAAACAAAAGAATGTAACAATAAACAATAAATAGTTTTAATTTAGTGGAAGAATTGGAAGAATTAGAACAAAGAAAATGGCAAAAACTAATAAAGCGAAACAAAAATTTAAAAGAGTTCCAGGTCAAAAAGTAAAGTAAAATAGAGTGAAATAGAGTTAAAAGAAATTATACAAAAAAACCCAAACCTGATATTGAGAATGAAACAATTGGTTTTTTGGTTTCTAATTTTTATTAAGTTGAAGGAGGTTTGGTTTTAAAAGGATATGTTGGACTAAATATGTTGCTTGAATGATTTGGCGAAAGAGATGAGTTTTTGTTTGTCTCTGTTACTGTGGCTGATTTTTTATTACCAAATGGAGAGCCATGTAATGAGTTATTTATTAGGTGTGGTTCTAATTTTTTATTATCATTATCATTATGAGATGCGTTAAAGGGATTTTTATGATTTGATTTTTTATTGAGGTTTGGAATTTGAGTTGTTTGTTGAATTTTTTCATTTTGATTTTGATTATTTTGATTTTGATTATTTTGATTTTGATTTTGATTACTGAATTGAGACGAATTGGTTGTATAATTGTTCGATTGTCTTGAAAATAATAAGATATTTCTGTCGACAAATAAATATTCAATTTCATTGTTTGATTTATTCATTGTTTCTGGAAAACATATACCTATTAAAATACTCCCAATAAAGCAGATAACCGAAAATATCATGAAAGTTGCCCATTTTAAATGTTGTAATAATAATGGGCCAACTAAAGTTAGTAAAGTACTTAAAAACCAAGAAACGGCCATACAAACAGCAGTTCCCTTTCCTTTTGCTCTCACTGGAAAGATTTCACCGGTATAAAGCCAAGCAGCACAGGATAAAGAGGATGCAAAGATGGCAACAAAGAGATAACATAAAGCTAAAACAGTAGAACCGGGTTTGCCTTTTACTTGCCATTGGATGGAGGGATTACCATTTAAAGGAGGAATTTGATGGCCATATATTGCCATGACTAGAGAAATGAATAAAAGACAAAGGCTTAAAGAAGCAGAACCAAAGACTATGACATCTTTTCTCTTTAAATTATCTAGCCATAAGATTGGGAAAATGGTGAATAGGACATTGATTATATATTGAATTGAGGCAGCGATAATTTTGGCTTCACCTTGAAGGCCGATCATTTCACAAATATAGACAAGAAAGTACATCAAGACATTAATACCAGTTAATTGGACAACAGATTGAACAGTGATTCCACATAGAGTGTGTTTGTATAAATTTTTACCAAAGAGATCTAGGTAAGAGCATTGGGAAATAGATTGGTTATCATTAATATTGTGATTATCATTATCGTTATCATTTTCGTTTTCGTTATCAATGTCAATGTCAATGTCAATGTCAATGTCAATATTATTATTACTATTACTATTATTATTATTATTATTATTATTATTATTATTATCAGTATAATCATTAGATATATTTATATTATTCAAGAATTTTTCATTGTTATTGTTGACGATTATTTTTGATTTTCTGTATCTTAGATTTTCTAAATTGATTGAAATTTTATGAGCCTCAGAAAAACGAGTTTTTGAGACTAACCATTTGGGAGACTCGGGTAAAAAGAAGGAGAAAAAAAAGAATAATAGGCCAGGAATCATTTCAATACCCCAGGCTAATCTAAAGGAATAATCTGTTTGAATGGTCGAGCAAGCGTAAGACAAGAAAAACATCAATAGGATTCCCCAAGTTAAAGACCACTGAATAATCGACATTACAAAGCCTTTCTTGTAGGCAGGAATAATTTCAGATACGTAGACTGGCAAAGAAGCAGAAAAGATTCCAACAGAGAGCCCTTTGATGGATCTGCCTGCGATTACCATCTCGACATTAAACACAAAAATAGAGACCACAGCTTTAAATCCAGAAACAAAAGCAAAAGAAAAAAACAAAGGTTAATGGACAAGTTCTTTCGAGCATAAAAAAGGCAATAGGTAGTAAAACATACAGCCAATGATCCAGAGCATCGACGAGATTCTTAAAGTCGTAACTCTGCCAATTATGTCATTGAGAAAGCCAGAGAGAATGCATCCAACTAGCAGCAGACCATGGTCAGTTAGTAGGTCATTTCTTGGAGAGCAACAGCAGGAGGAGAAGAGGTTATAAGATACAGAAAGCCCCTAGAGGATTGGAAGCAGCCATAAGGCCCTGGGCGAGGCTGTTGGGGTTGTTGAAGTATCTCTTGAACTGCTCTGAGCCCATGAAAACAGCCAACGACGAGACGTCGAGGCCCAGGATCAAGCCAGCGAGGGCAACAATGGTGGTAATGAAGAGGAGGTTGAACGTGGTGAACATTGGAGAGGCAGCACTTGGTATGGTTGTAGAAGAAAGAGAAGTTTCTTCTTCTGCTGTTTTTGATGTTTTTGATGTTTTTGTGCAATGAAAATTTTTACCCGGCAGTCTTCGGTTTTTTTTGGTTTGTGAAATTTTTTTAGGCACAAAATGAAAGAAAAAGAATTGCAGAATTAAAGAATTGGTGAGAAATTGGTGGTTTTTTTCTGTTTTTGGTGAGAGATTCCTGGAAAAGAGAAAGAACAGTTTGGATTTGTATAGTAGAACACATACACACGACAAGATGAAACTTATAACATCGAATTTTATCAAATGCCCCATCAAGAAGTGTGATTCCTCTTTGGATTCGTATCCATTGAGCTATCAAAACTGTCAATTGGTAATAAAACAACAGGATTTTAATGCCAACTTCATCAAATCGATGTTGAACAGATTGGATTGGGATGCTTTGTTACGAGTGGCAAAAGAATTGGGCAATACTTTGTTGCCTTTGAACAAGCCAGCACTTGAGAATAGTGATCAAGAAGAGGACAAAGAAGATGACGAAGAAAATTTGAATGAAAATGATTTGAAATTGTTAAAAGATTTGCACAATTTACTTTTAGAAACAAATATCATTGAAGGTGAAATGATCTGTAGAAGTTGTAACCACAAATTCTATATCAAAGGTTCAATACCAAATTTATTATTACCACCACATTTAGTTGATTAGTTTTAATAAAACTTTACAAAGTCGTTCAAATGATTTCTTATTAATTCACATTAATTCACATTAACTCATATAAATTCGTACAAATCCACATTGATTCAAATTTAATGAAGTTTTACACGATGTTAAGATTTATTAAGAGTTATTAAGATTTAGAACCATTTAAAGCTTATAAAGCTTATAAATTTATCTCAATATCGATAAACATTACTATTTTCCTTTGTTGTTGTTTTTTCCTCTGTCATTATGGTTAAAGATATGTGTTTATTCAATCAATACGTTAGTAAATCTTATTAATTATATCATCAGATTTCTCCAAATTACATTAATACCTCAGAATCATAATATCATACTATATAATAAAAATTTTGTACAGTTAACTTCATTTTTATTCTTCTTATTCTTGTCCTGCTTATCCCTTTTTTTTTCTGTTTTCTTTACTATCTTCATATTACAAGTTATTTAATACAATCAAGTAAATCCAAAACAAAACTTCAATCAGCTTACAAAAGAATGAGTTTATTTCTCCAAGAAAAATAATGACATTATTAGTACTGATAGTACTGATAGTACTGATAGTACTAATAAGAATCAGGACAAACTAAAATTATAAACTCCATTGTAGATTATCTGATTTGGATTTAATCTGTGTTTATTCACTGGCTCATTTGTATCTGATTTCAAAGGTTATTCTCTTTAACTTTCTTAAATCAAATGGAATGAACTTAAAGAAAGACTCGTTTCTATTCAGCTTCAGTAGTTAATTGACTAATTAATTAACCTGTACTTGATAATATTTATTATTTAATATCTAATCTGTATGTGTTAAAAAGACGTTTATGTTATCTTTTACTTAAACTCCAATCGTTTTGGCTCGCTTTATTACAAAACTCAACATGAAATTATAGAAAAAACATTAATCTAATTCTATTATAGAATAAATGTATAAGAATAATAGTAGCAATAATAAAAAATAATCCAAAAACTGGCAAATAATGGCAAATAATGGCAATTAATACCAAATAATAGACAATTTAAGTTGGTAATTAATTATCTTGCTTGAACTGGTTATAACCAGCAAATCAATGATAATCAATAGCTCTAAAGTCTTTAAAATCTGGTTAGAGTTTTATTCAAAACTTGTTCAATTTCTCATTACAGCTTGAATTTTAATCGTTTGATAACCAAAATCTTAGTGGGTTTTAAAGTATTTTTGATCTAATTTAGCTTGCTTTTCAGTGAGAATTCCAGATATTTGAGTTCTTTTTTACCATAAAAAATGGCAAAATGGAAGATAATTGGATATTAATTGGATATTAAATGGATATTAAATGGACAAGAAATGGACAAGAAATGGATAATTCTACTCTACAGTTCTATTCCACTTCACTTGTCTCGCTTTAACTCCATTTTTACTCCATTTTATTAGTCTTTATCTTTCAGGCCAATTTTGCAATTTACATTTTCGTAAGTTTAAAAAGTGCTAATAAATCAGTTATCAAAAAGGAAAAAATTATCTAGCCTTAACTTCAACATGTACAATTCCCAAAAAATTTCAGCTGTGGGTCTGGGGATATTGGAGAAGGTTTAAACCTTGGGAATTGGCGACAGTTTTGTTGAATATGCTGTTGAGAAAAATATTATCAAACATTACCTAAACATTTTCAACCATTTTCAACCATTTGCTAACCTTTTTGCTAAACATCTAATCAAATGTTAAGCAACAAATTGTATCCACCTCGGTAATGCTGTTTGAATAATTATTTACACTGATTTGCTTGCAATAACGATAACTAATAACGAAATGCAGCTGAATTCTTTACTGAAACTATCATGAGGAACCTGTTGTAATATTTTTTTACAACAGATATTGCGAATGTTATTACAAGTTTTTATGATCAGTTTTATTGATGGTAAAAAAGAGCAAAGCGAAGTGTTTGCAAATCAAAACTATATTAAGATATGGTTTATTTGACCAAGCAGATTATCTTTAAAAGTTCAAATTTTAATTGATTTGACTTTGAAATATCAGATTTAAAAGTGTCAACGGTTTCATAATTTCATCATAGGTAGAAAAAAAATTAATAATGTAATATAATAATATAATAATATAATAGCAATAGTAATATAGCACTATGATGCTATAAATATAGTGCCTTTTTTTATTTTATTTTTTTTGTTTAAGATTTATTAATATGAAAGAGAATAAAAATTAGGAAAAAAAATGATTATAATTTAAAACAGAGCCACATATCTCAAGAAAACTTTTAAGTTGAAGTAAATAAAGAGAAAAAATAGATGATTTTTAAATCAAAAAGTACAGAAAACACAGAATAATTTTTTACAATCAAATTATTTTTACCAAGTGATGAGATTTATCAAATGGCAATAAACAGATATCAAGAAAGTATAATAAACAAATGGCAAAAAAAAGTAAGATTAGAAGATATGGTTATAGATTATTTCCCAGTCAAACGAGTTTGAAATACTTTTGATTAATTAAGAGAAAAAAAAACTCAAAAAAAGAGAAAAAATAATAAACAATATTAAACGAGAATAAGTCATTATTTTGACTCATAATTAGTTAATGGCTAATCATGTTTTTAACTAAAATTATGAAATTTTAAAAATGAGCCATAGGTGATTCAAGAATTTAATGTTAAGAGGTATTGAGATATAATAATACAGCAATAATATAGTAATATTGCAGCAATGTGGCAATAATATGGCAATAATATGGTAAATAGAATAAGAGACTGGGTTCGATTATTGACAAGTTTTTCATGAGTGATTGTGAATAAGATTTTTAATAAATTGGAACAAGTGAGCTAAAGAGTTAAAAAAAGTGGGAAAACCCAAATAATTTTTGTTGAGTGAGTAATATGAGAGATGGAAAGTGATGAATTGTGAAGGAATAAGGAATAAAAAGGTAATAAATTAGTTTTATAATTATATTTACAAAATTCAGTAACAAGTTAGAGAAAGATGGTTTAAATTACAGAGTATTTGAGTAAGATTTTTTTTTTTTGTTTTATTATTATTAGTTGGAATTAAATATGGGGAGATGAAATAAAGCGATTTGTTTTTAGTGAATAATTGGAACATTTTGGCAAATAGTTTCAAATGTTTTCAAATGTTTTTAAATTTTTAAAGTATTTGGGTAAATTAGGTAGCGAATTATTCTTTTATTGAGATATTCATATAAATAGAAAATTTTGCAATAGAATTTGTTATAAAATTTATTTTTTTTAGCTTTACAAAAACCGAATGTAATGATTTTAATAAATGAATTTATTTGATTACTTGTTAAGTAGAGTAGCTAAATAAATAAAAAAATGAATAAAAAAATCATTAGAAAAATGAGAAATACATAATAAATAGGATAATATAATAAAATACGTCAAATGATAACCATAAATCAAAAGTGTAATAAAATACGCAGCATAAGGGTGTAGTAAGATAAAGCAAACAAAATAAGTAGAGAAAGTGGAGGAAAAGAGAATGATTTATTTGACAAATTGAAATGAAGTAAAAACGTAATGAAAATGAAATAATGAGTATGAGAATGGAAGTAATAAAGATCATGAAGATGAGAACGATGATTGTAGTTTATATGATATAGGCATGAGTGATAGTGTAAATTATCGTATAATATAAAAGATGATTTATGAATAAGGGTGAACTAGGTATTATTCAATATCAGATTTATATTTACTAAAAATCTCCTCCAAGCCATCTTTTTTCTTTTCTAATCTTTGCAATCTTTGCAATCTCTTTTGTTTTAATCTTTGGATGAATTGTTCTTGAGTGTAATTGTTTTCTTGACCGAAAAGAAACGAGTTTTGTTCAGTGTAATTTGGAAACATGTTTCTCTTTTGCAATTTTGTTGAGGGAACATCAGGATTATTTAAATTTTCAGGAATTAAAGCAACAGTCTTTTGGTTTTCGCAAATTTTGGTGATTTTAAGGTCACTTTTGTTTGAGTGGTTTTTGGGCATAGAATTCATGCTGTAGAATCTATAGCTTAGTTGTGGTTGGGGAGAAGGTTGGTATAGGAACTTTTGCTTAGCAGTAGTTCTAAGCTGTGGAACATAGTTGGTGGTCATTTTAGAGAACAATAGAGAACAATAGAGAATATAGTTAGGGATATAGTTGAGAAGATAATTGGAATGAAAGATAGAATGGGGATTGTATTATTATAAGGTGGAAGGAGGAAAGAGATGATATATTATATATTAGCAGAGTAAAATAATAAAAGGAATAAGAAGAATAGGATAAATCGAGAATATGGTTTCGAAAACTAAAGGAAAAAGGAATGGTTTATATATGGGAGAAACGAACCACAGTTGAAGCAGAGAAAGAAAAAAAGAATTAAATTTAATGATTCATTATTATAGAATTTTTGGTTTTGATTTTAGATTCAATTTTGGATTACGATTTGATTTTAAATCTAAATCATGAGGTTGGAACATGATTTTGAATTATGATCTAAAATGGGATTTACAATATGATTCAAATCTGAGGTTATTCAGAAGCAGGCTCATTTAGGCTTTATCTTTCAGTCCCAGCGTGGTTGCGACCGCCAATTCGGGACAGCAGGCCCATAGTAGTCCTGTCCTGCTACGAGAATCCTGCTTTCCGCTCTTTATGTCCCAGACGGCTCAACGCAGCCAAACTACAGTAGTTGCACATACAAGCAGTTTTCCACGTGTATCAATGCGCCTGCGGAATCCGCACACCGCACACCGCTGCCAACAGCTGTCTTGCGCCTCCTCCACGACCCGGGTTCCTCCCCAGATGGCCCATCTAGTACATATAACCCATTTTGCAGTCAAGTGCCCGTACCCCCTGGGTGAAGAGGGTGAGGTGTGGTGCCATCGGTTGTATCAGCCGTTGTCTGTATGGCATGGTCTGGAGGCAGCCCCAGAGCACACCTGACTGCGAGCGCGTACCAGACAGTGAGCTCGAGTCTAAAAAGACCCCGGTTACCGCTTTCCTCTAACGGCAGACTCACCAAGCATTGCTCGGCAGTGTCACGTAGCCGTTTAGCAAACACTAAGACCCGGCAGTCCGCTGCGCTACATTTGCAGAAAGTAGCCTAGAGTTTTGAATAACTGCAGGTAGTCGACTGATCGACGGGGTTTAGTTGCGTTTGAACTCCTTTTAATCAGGAAAAAGCGCATGTTACTTTGCATACACAACTCTGTTGGCCCGGCTCGCCATGGCTGTAATTACATGCTTACAACTGCAACCCCTGTCTCTTCAGTAGTTATTATCCTTATTTCACAAATCTGCCACTCTTTGTCTGAAGCTATGAGCGAGATTCTTCTTAGGTAAGGCAGAACAAACAGCCCTTCATAACCTTTTTTGTAGCCGCACCCTCCAATAACAAATTGTCTATTTATCTTTTACTTCTGTGCCAGTTTCTATTATCAGCTGTCATCTAAAATTAACTGCAATTTGCTAATAGAATCACAAGCACAACTATTCTACGTTTTATCTTTGATCATATCATGGTTTTTGTTGCAGATGCAATTGCAAATAAAATCGCAAACAAAATTACAATGTTTCTTGCAACTTAGACATATATCGACCTTTTTCACTCCGCGAATCCTCAAATCGGGATATGCTTTGGGACAGCGATACTCATTCACATCTCTTTTGCTCGGTAGATTGGGTAATAATCGCAACAACCAAATAAAAAAAAAAATGGTGAAAAAATTCTAATTTCAACCGTGGTGGTAAAACGTTTTCAAATTACCAAGTTTCTGAAGTAATTGTTGTGATATCCGTTGAAGGATTGCAATTCTGAAATAATATTAATCACGTTTCCCACGTTAATCACATCAATCACAAAATGAGTAATAGAGCAAAGAGTCCGGTTAGTCATGGATTCATCATATGAGGTGCAAAAACATCAATATTCACCTAAAATTTCACCATACAAACCACCAACACAAGAAAAAGTTTTCTCTTTTTTTTTGCACAACAGCACTTTGATTGCTGGTAAACTCTAAAAAGAAAGAAATTATCACACAATCGCGAAATTTCGTCTGGAAATGAGAGCGCGTTCTGTTTTCACAGGGCATGTTCCTCTTGACGTGAATTAGCTTCTCCTGCGGTGCCGAACCTTAATATATGGAAGCAGTTCCGTCCTGATAATGCGGGTATTCCCTCTTAGCTGGATCTGAACGAGGAAGACTTCTCACTTATTTTATTGATCTTATTATCTTATTATCTTATTATCTCACCATCGCTATCTCTCTTGTGGTTATTATCTCTCATTTCTCTCAGTCCTCACTTTAGTCTCTTTCTCTCTCACTTTCCATTAGCTGTCCATCTTTTGCTCCAATGTAACTACCATATAATAACCACTACAATTGATGTATAAATAGCCAACCAAATGAATAGCCAAACAGCTTATTAAAATGCTCTGGAAATCACCATAATTTACCTACCAACTCGAGATATGAATACTTATATACTTATACTCTTTCCAGTTTGCCTAGCTTTCTGTTTCACTTTCACTATTTCTCTCTCTTTTTCTCTCCTTCTTTTCACCTTTTTTTTTGTTTACGAATACCTATTTTATACCTCACTAATCTATTTTACTCATTCGATTATCCGGGTCCATATCTCTCTCCCTTATTATTCGCTATTGTTTATTATTCTTTATTAACTTATGCCATTTGCTATTTCAAACTAGCCATATGTTATGTTATGATATGATATGATATGAGATAATATATTTCTTATCTTTTGAAGCGTATTAGCCTCATTTTTTTTTGTTTTTATTTAGTCAAAAACTATAAATTAAAAATAAAAATGTCATTTACGAATTATATTAAATTCATATTAATCCTACAGTAATTTTAATTCACTTTTAATTCAGTTCTACTTTCCTTTTATATTAGATTTATAATTTCGCTTTACTTTAATCAAAGCAAAAAGGTAATTCCATGTTTATAGACTTGTCATCCTCTCCATTCAAAAAATTCTATTTATTTTTAATTTGTTTTTGCTTTTGTTTTTATTTACATTTTCTTCTTTTTTTATTTAGTGATTTATTATATTCTGTCCAACAACCTTTATTTTTTTTGGAACTGGAATCTCTGTAAAGAATGACTGCATTCAAAAATTAGACTTCATAAAATATAATTTAATCTTGAAATTGTTGCTTACATTTTTTGTACTTGTTTCTATTATTTAATACGCTCCGAGATTATTTTACTAAACGATTACATAATTACATCCTAACCCTTTTATATTTAATCTTAATTTATCTTAATTTTTTTTAATTTTCCAAAAATTATACATAAAATTTACAATATTTTACAATGTTTCAATTAATTTGTGTATTCTTTTTTTTCTTCTTTCCAATTCGTAATATAAAGTGGAGACAAACATTTTGTTTTGTTAGCTCATTTCTTATTCCGTCTCTCTTATTCCTGATATAAACAATTATATTTACTGATATATCGTTATTATGAATTATCACTCAGGTTATTCCTGTTATTTTTTTACTCAATTCGCTCAAACATTTCAATTATTTGAAAACCAACTCACAAAAAGTCATCATTTACAAAACCCCATGTTTTTACTCTTAAACACCCCTATCAATGAAATATTCCTTCCTTTTTCTTTCCTGATTTATTTCATTTATTTGGCTCAGTATTTTCGTTGGGAATCTTTCATCAAATTGAATTTTTACTCCTAATTTTCATTTCCCTTTCATTTCATTTCATTTCATTCAATCCAGTTCAATTCAATTCAATTCTTTTAATGAAAATTCAATTCGTTTTGATTTTTCCTTCATATTTTCTTTCATCCTCTTACTCGATTGAAACTTTTTCAACTCACTTCCACTGAAATCCAATAACCAACAAACACTCTCCATTTGCTCCACTTCAATTACTTAATTCAATTCTCCAAACTTATGTGGCGTGCCTTCACTGCCTTGAGTCTGTCTTATAGGTTATACTCATAACTAGCTCGCTAAATTTCCAAACTTAACTACTTCTACGTCTGTTGGCTCAACTGTAAACTTTCATAGCAAAATCAGTTACATAATAACCTACGTCCACCTTACATCATTATATTGCTAAGTTACACTCAAAGACTCAAGCCTAATGTTACAATAAGTTTAATCTCAATCCAAACACTGCAAGGAATTCATCTCCACCCACAATTTATTCATCCCTTACCAACAAACCAACCAAATATCAACCCATCGTCCTGGAATTTTGGTGTAGTATATTTTATCAAATCTCATTAAATTCAGAGATTGATGCGGTGGCTCAATGGTAGAGCTTTCGACTCCAGTTCTCTGAGCAGCAATCGAAGGGCTGCAGGTTCAATTCCTGTCCGTGTCAGTTCTTTTTTCAACTTTTTAGAAACATTTCCAGTTAGCTTTTGCTCTTTTTAAATAATACATTTTTGATTGCCCTTATCAAGCAATTGCTTGTTCAAAATATCCTTTTTAACTGGCAATGCGCTACTTCTATCTATAAAAATAGAAACTGACTTTTCTGCTATCCCTCAACTGTTTGCAATTCATTTCAGTTTTCAATGTATTTCAAAGACTATTGGTATTGATCAGGTACAACTTACTCCTGTGTCGCTCATTACTCTAATGACAGAGTTGAAATCATTCCAAGCAATCAAGGTAATAAGAGCACTTGCTCTTATCTAGCCTTCACAGACACTGAAAAGCTAATTGATGATGCAGCCAAAAACCCAAGCTGCAATGAACCCTAAAAACACTGTTTTTGATGCTAAACAACTCATCGGCCGAAAATTTCATGACGATGAAGTTCAAAATGATATGAAACACTTTCCATTCTAAATCATTTCAAAGGGCGATAAACCCAATATCAAAGTCGGGTTTAAAGGCGAAGTTAAGGTTTTCACCCCTGAAGAAATCTTCTCCATGGTTTTGAACAAAATGAGAGAAACCGTTGAATCGTATTTAGGAACAACTGTGAAGGATGTCGTCATCACTGTCCCTGCATATTTCAATAATTCTCAGATACAGGGCACTAAAGATGCTGCTTTAATTGCAGGTATGAATGTCTTGCGAATCATCAACGAGCCCACTGCTGCTGCAATTGCTTACGGGCTAGATAAGAAGAGCTCTGGCTCAAAAGAACATGAAGTTCTCATCTTTGATTTAGGCGGTGAAACTTTCGATCTGTCCTACTATCAATCGATAGAGGTATCTTTGAAGTTAAAGCAACTGCCGGCGATATCATTTAGGTGGTGAGGATTTCGATAACCGCTTGGTTCAACATTTTGTCTAAGAATTTAAAAGAAAATTCAAAAAAAGTATCTCATTCAACCAAAGATCATTGCGTTGTCTTCGAACTGCTTGCGAACAAGCAAAGAAAACTTTATCCTCCTCGGCTCAAGCTACTGTTGAGTTTGATTCATTATATAAAGGTATTGATTTCTATACCTCGATTACCAGGGCGAGATTTGATATACAGAGACTTGTTTAGATCAACTTTAGGACCCGTTGAAAGAGTTTTGAAGAATGCAAAACTCGATAAATCTCAAATTAAAGAAATCGTTTTGGTTGGTGACTCAACAAGAATTCCAAAAGTTCAAAGACTCCTCTATGATTTCTTTAACGGCAAACAGCTCAATAAATCAATTAACCCAGATGAAGCTGTCGCATATAGTGCAATAGTTCAAGCTGCAATCTTAACTGGAGACACTTCGTCAAAGACTCAAGATTTATTACTATTATTAGATTTCACTCCATTATCATTGGGTATTGAAACTGTAGGTGGTGTTATGATAAAACTAATTCCAAGAAATTCAATTATTCCAATAAAGAAATCTAACTTCTTCTCGACATATGCTGATGATTAAACCAGTGTCTTGATTTAAATCTTTGAAGGCGAAAGAGCAAGGACTGGGAATAATAACTTGTTGGGTAAATTTGAATTTTCAGGTATTCCCTTTGCTCCAAGAGGTGTTTCTAAAATTGAAGTTACTTTTAACATTGATGCTAATGGTATTTCAAATGTCTCTGTAATTGAAAAGGGCACTGGTAAATCGGGTACAATTACAGTTACACGTAATAAAGGCAGATTATCAAAAGACGATATTGAAAGAATGGTATCTGAAGTCAAAAAATTTAAAAAAGAAGATGAAAAAGAAGTAAAAAGAATTGCCTCAAAGAGCGGATCGAAATCATATCTTTACTCTGAAAAATACTTTAGACCAGGCGAATTTCAAAGAAAAGATATCAGAAGATAAATGTGAAAAAACCTCAAAAGCTACCCAAGAAACTATTAGCTGGTTGGACAATTCTCAATCTGCTTCAAATAAAGAGTATAATGGCAAGAAAAAAGAATTGAAAGAAATTGTAACAAGTCTTTTTTTCAAGTGTCATTGAATATTCTAATGTTTTTTACAGACTAATCTTTTCTGGTGTGTTTTACTTTTTTCTATTGATATGAAATTATGTTTTTTTTTTTTTGAATTTTATTAACAAATGTTTAGTATGAATATAGTATTTATTTCAAGATATACAAAATAGTTGAAATATCAATTGGAATTAGAAAAAGAAAATTAAAAGAAGTGATTTTTAAAACGTAGACAAAAAGGTGCTAATATTATATTTGATTTACGTATTTAAATTGCTAGAGTTTAGCTAAGATATAATTGGAGTTAGATTAAAATTTTCCCCAGTCAAATAAAGATTCATTTGGATTAACAAAATCTCTTTCATCAGAAGAAAAGGATGAACCTTTGTCGATACCTTGAGAGGCAACGACTTGTAAATAGAAAAAGAAATCTTTAATATTAAACCCATTTTTGAGAGTATCTTGTGCCTTTTCTAAGCCTTGTTGTTTTGTAATATATTGGCGATTAATTTTAATATTATGTGATCTTTCATATCGTTCAAGAACTTGTTCTTGGGAGACTAGATCAGAGTAAATTCTAACTGAATCAGGTAGAGTATTAGGGTCTTTGGAGACAATTGAGGCGACAGATTTTCCTATATCTTCCAATTTTGAGATTGCAAATTTTAAATCGGGATCACCAATGATAGTAGCAACATTATCGTCTCTTGAGTAACCAACAGCACCTAACCACTCATATAGAAACGAGCCGGGGACTGCAAATAATCCAGTTGAGATATCAACTGTCTTAATTCCTAATTTTCTAGCTTTTTCGCTGTGTTTAATTTTAATATCAATAATGGGTAAATAATCTTGAATTTTAGTTAGTTCCATACCAAATTGAGTTGGAATGTATAATTTGACAGAAGAAGATTTAACTATGGCACCTAATAGAGTGTTGAGTTGAATATCCAAGCTTGCTACATTAATCAAAACGTCGACATCCTTTAAAGCCTGAGTGAATGAGTCGTTTGATTGATCAAGATTAGCCTCTCTGAATTCGATTAAATTTGTAGATGTAAATCTTGATTTATCTCTTGTAATTGCAATAATTGGGAAAGAAAAGTACTTTGAGAAGGTTGAAGAGGTTAATGCTTCTAAAACAGGTTTTCCTAGTAGCCCATTGGTACCAAAGACAGCAATTTTTGGTCTAAAAGACATTGATAATATTGTGAGATAGCTTGGGATAAGGAATATAAAGGATCAATTTAAAAGATAAGAGCGATATATTTGTTACCAGAGTTTATTGTAACCGTTTTCAAAAAAACGCAATTGGATCCTCTCGATTATATATTCTAAGCAATGGGCCATGGCAAAACAGTGTGAAGATATTTGGGGACCATTTCTAAGTGTTGAACAATTTAAACAAGTCAAACAAAGATATTTTTTTGTCATCGAGTCTTGCAATTCGTTATTCGTTTCTTTGCTAACAAAAAGAAAATCCGAAATGGTTGGGCAAATTGTCACATGACCAAAGGAGCAAAGCTTAAATACCATTTCCGAGATTGCACATTATATATCACGTGATTACAAGGGATAATCTTCTCATCCGGCAAATACTTCCATTGGAAGACTTAAAGAAACTAAAAACATTGGATTTGCTGAGCAATACAATTTTCAAAATTGAAAGCAGCAATGAGTTGAGATCATTAAAAAAAATTAGACTTACAATTTAACGAAATAATAAGGACCGAAAATTTAGAAAACTTACATACTTGAACTAAAGAATTTAAAAACATTAGTTTTACTGAACAATTGTATTACCAAGATTGAAGGATGTGAAAAACCAACAAATTCGGGAAGACTTAATTTTGATAAATATTCAAGATTTTAAAGATTTTTAATATTGCTGTAATTTAAATATAAAGAGTTATTTTTTATGTAATAATCAAATTGAAAACACTGAAGGGTTAGCAAATACGTTGGGGGCTATGATTCAATTTTTGGAAAGATAGTTTGTATGGTAACAACACAAAGAAGCCTGAGAAACCAGAGAACTTGGTAAGCATTATGTTTTATAATAATGATAAAATCAATTACTATAAAGGTTTGAAAGACTTTCCTAAAAGATGTAAAATAATAACTATTTTATTCTGTGACGAATACAATACATTTTCCTATTCAATTTATTATCATAAGGCAACGATTTGTGAAAAAAACAATAAAATGGGATTACTAACAAGGTATATATAGTTTGCATTTTATATCCAAATTTCAAATTCTGATTACCAACAAGACAATTCAAAGAATAGTTTAATTGAGCCCAGGTCATTGAACTGTGAGCTCTAGAAGAGTTCACCTTAGCAAATTGTGGTGATTAGTTCTTAAAGCCAGTTTTTAAAATAATTATCAATAATAAATCTGTATTTGATCGCTAGATAGTAACTGCTCTTATTTCATATAAAACCTTTCATACAGGTCTCTTGATGTGATTACCAACATCTCCAGGTTTTGGTACCAAAACTCGAGAAATAAGGAACTTACACTGCCAACAGTGACAAAGCAAACCTGGGTAGCTATCTGAAGGCAGAGAAAAGGAAAGAAGACAAAGAGAAAAATATGAACAAACCCAGAGATAATAAGATAATAAGAATATTTACGTCACTAAGAATCAGCACTGAGATGAAAACATCATTCAAAGTCAGCAAAACACTAGAGCCCTGGAATAAGAGCCCTACTTATAAATTAAATCTAAGATGATAAAATAAACTTAATTGCTTTATTATCTAAGAGCTCATCCCCATTAGCTCAGTCGGTAGAGCATTCGGCTTTTAGGGATTTGTCTAGTTTCGCAAGAAACCGAAATGTCCAGGGTTCGAGCCCCTGATGAGGAGTTCTTTTTTGCTGTTTTTGTACTAAAAACTATATTTTTTTTATTTATATACTTTTTACCAGTTATATATTTGTTCTTTATTAATAAAATAGGTTAAAAGCTGCTCCCAATGGAAGACTGTTTCCTTGGGATTTATCAATTCTCTGTCGTCCTTTGAAAAGGCTAATCCTCTGTCTGGTCCCTGCAAAGCGATGACTTGCAAAAAGAAGAAGAAATCGTCCCAGCTGAAACCCTTACTTAAAAGTTCTTGTGCTTTTTTCAATGCTTTGTCTTTTGAAATGTGTTCTCTTTTGATTTTAAGATTATGGGTTTCTTCATATCTCTTCAATATTGTTTCCTGCGATACCAAGTCAGAAAATATTCTAATTGAGTCAGGTAATTCATTAGGTTTTTTAGTGACTATTGTAACCAATGATTTTGTAATTGAGAATTTTAAATCGGGATCTCCAACTAACGTTGAGACATTTCTTTTAGCATCATAGCTTAGAAAGTCAATCCATTCATAGAGATACCCATTTGGAACTGCAAATAAGGGTGTAATCATGTTAACTGTTTTAATTCCTAGCGATCTTGATTCATTTGAGTGATCCATTTTGAATTTAAAAATCGGTAAATAATCTTGAACTTTTTGAATATCTAATCCAAATTGTGATGGAATATATAATTTGATTGTTCCAACTTCAATGATACTTGCCAATATCTTATTCAAGGGCAAATTAGTGCTAGCAACATTAATCAAAACATCCAATCCCTTTAATGCTTTAGTAAATGAACCAGGGTCCTTGATTATATCAGATTCTTTATATATAACCAAATTATTATCTTGATATTGGGATTTATCTCTGGTGATTGCAACGATAGGTAGATTGAATCTACTTTGGAATTGTTCTGATGTGAATGTCTTAATAATTGGTGTACCTAATTGTCCATTAGTGCCAAACACTCCGATTTTTGGTTTATAAACCTGATCTTGAACCGACATTTTTCTTAAAGACAATGGCTCTATCAAAGGTTATATTAATTAATCAATATTAAAATGACTAAGACTGAATATAAATGAGCTTGGTTTCGTTACTTTATTCATTACCCAGGCCAATTTAATCCAATTTATATCATTTAAAAGCTTCAACTTGTATCTCGTCTTCGAATTGAGAATTACTCATTATCAATCAGTTTTATTTCTTAATGTTTGTAAGAACATTGCATATCAGAATTAAAGCAAATGGGAAATTGAGGCGAGCACTTCGCTTTTTTCCCTCTCACTACGCGTGCTTTTTGATTAATATACACATATTATCAATCTATCCGAGTTACTTTTATTTTATTCATGTCATTAATTATTAAAATAAAAACAATGATTAGAAATGGAAAAACAAGCGTAATTGTAAACAGAAATAACTAGACAACTAAATAAAAAATAGAAAATGATAACTAAGAAAAAAAATAATTTATAGAAACTTGAAAAAGAAGAGCTTGATAGTAAGAAATTTTATAGAAAAGAATATTCTACTTATATAAATGATAGACATGATTTCATAAGTGAAATCATAATATGCAAAAATAAGGAAAAAAACAAACAAAAGAAAAAAAAAAGTATAATATAAGAAGTAAATTACAGATCTTTAATGTGTTAAATAAAACAAGTAAGACCAAAAACATTAAAAAAATAGTATAAAATAATAAAATAATAAAAAAGACATAATATTATTATTATTATTTATGAAAAAACCAGTTTTTCGTAAAAATAAAATTAAAAGGAAAACAAGTTTGATTTGGATATAATTTCAATATAAATTGGATATAATTTCTTTTTAATTAAATTTATAAGATAAAACTTATAAATAATGACAATGAGGATATTATCATGTATAGGACAATATTATTATATTTATTATAAGTATGGTTTATTGCTAAATTTGAAGAAGTTTCTGAGGTATTTGCTGTTGTCAGAGGATTTGGATCAGAAGAAGGATTTTCACCTTGAGTGAAGATTTTGCCACTGATTATGCTAACAACTTCATCACCGTATCTAACAGACACAGCACCAGGAGAAGTTACGTTTTGAACAGTTAGAGTTAATTGGTTATAAAAATCAGCAGTTGAGCTTAAGGATGAGTCGTAAGCGGTTATATTGTTATTTTTGGCAGAAGGTATTAAGATTTGATTTGAGGTTGAATTGATGGTAACCATTTGGTTTATATTTGATTCATAATCCAAGTTTGATATTAGGAAATCTATGTTTGATTTTGATTGGGCCATGGCTAGTTGACGATTTTCTTGGTCTACTACCAAGTAAATATATTTTAGAAAGGGGACACCTAGGATTGAGTAGCCACTTTCATATGAAGGTCTAAATTTTAAAGAACAAGCTTGTTGGTTAGTTGAGCTAAAAGTTAGAATGCTGTTGGAAGACGAATCATAAGCAGGTTCAATTAATTCATAGATTGGGATTTTTATGGTCAAGTTTCCAAAGATGAAATCCACAGTTGCATTGATATCACCAACGGAGCATTTCATTAGCCATTCGTAATTATTTGAGGAGTCAAGAACGTAGTAGGCATCTAATTGGATAGCTAATTGGATGATTAGTTCTATTGGCAAATAATTATAGAGGACTCTTGAGTCTAGTACTACAGGGGAAAGGAAGTTTTCATTTGAGATCCAGAAGGAAGTGTTATCATCGTTTGTTACGGACATTCCAGTCAAGGGCAAGATGGGCAAGTTTGAGTCAGCCAAATAGTTTTGGTCATTGTCGTTGTATTCGTTATTATCGGTATTATAAAGACAGCCGATGTATGGGATGAAGTTGAAGGAGATTAAGTCACCCATAAATAGGTTTTTATTATAACCGCCGAGGATTAGTAGGCCAGAATTTGTTGAGTTGAAGAGGGATCTTCTTTTGTTATATTTTGTTATAAAAGTATCATTTGAGTTGAAGGTTAGTGAGTTGTTGTTATTCTGATCATGATTGTTCTCGTCGGTGGTCATTGACTCAAAGCTGTTATAGAGTAGGGAGAAGGAGGAAGAGTTGATTAAATTTGAGGATTTTAAATAATTGATGAAATAAGGATCTGGGGAATTGTTTAGTAGTTGGTTATCTTTAAAAGAAAACTGGTTTGAATAAGGGGCACTTAGACCTAAACCTGCGGTTCTTACAGTTGAATAATTTGAGAATAGGAATAGGAAGTCATTTGAAGAATACGAGTTGTTTTTTTGGTTATTGATGGAGACACTAAAGACTTGGTTGGCGTCTTCGCTTGAAGTATCGGCACTGAAGTTTCTGTTATCACTGTCGTTGTTATTATAATCATCATCATCTTTTTCTTCTTCATCATTGTCATCATCATCATCACCATTGTTATCATAATTATTCGAAGTGGGTATTATGTAGGGGAAGTTTATGATATCAGTTGCCAATTTGCCATTATACGCCACACTATTGAGGGCCATAAAAGATTGAAAGGTGTAAGAATAATCGTTATATGATTCGTCGGTTGAATTGTAATACTGGCTTACGTAGTTGAAGGAAGAAGAGTTTGATTTATCTAAACCACCAGGATAATTGATACAGGATGAGAAAACCGATTGAGATGTGGAGGCAGAAGAGGTAGTTTGGGTTGGAGATTGAGAATTTACTAGGGAAGTTATTAGAGTTGACTGGAAAGATGAGGTTGAAGTTGGAGTGATTGATAAGGATTCACAAATGTTGTAATGGCTGCTATCGAAGATCCAGGCATTGGGGTGAGTTAAATCTATTCTTAATCTGATATACTGATTGTTGAAGCCGAATTTCATGTTAGAATATAGAACTTGGCCATTGGTGGAGCCTAGTAGCAAAGTGGGTAGTGGGAGCACTGAAGCCAAAGCAAAAGTGGATTGAAAGCAGACATTCCATAGAAACAAAAAGAATAGTTTTGTCAGCAGAGTGAAAGACATTTGTGGTGTATTGGAGGTATGGAAGTATTGGAAGTATTGAAACTATTGAGACGATGGAAAAGAGAGGATTAATGGCTGATGATATAATATAGTAGAATATAATATAATACAATGATATTGCAGTTTTATACTATAAAAGGGAGGAAGAAATACAACAAGACAAAAAGGAATGGATAAAATAAAAATAGAAAGATGGGGCTTATTGAGAGAATATTATAACATGTATAATTGTGGGATGGGATGTGGATATCTGGAGAATAGGTCGAGGACGAGATCTGAGAGACTCGAGATAGAAACCGATATATAAGAACAAGATAAGAATGTGAATGTGAGCCTGAAGTGGATATAATGGAGCTGTGATAGAAGAAGAGATATAACAAAGAAAACACAACAGGAACCGTTCAGCACCAACAGAAAAGAGAGGACGAGATAGAGTGGGATAAAACAGATATAATGAAAAATGGCTAAAAAGGAAGAAAACAGAAAAAAGGGAAAAAAGAAAAGGAAAGCAAGAGTTATTTATACTTTTCTGGGCTTCGGCCCCGCCGCAAAAGGCTCGTTGCCCGGCTACGTGTTGTGAGCGTGCGGGGGTCAACTGCTGAGCCACCACGACACGCCAGCCATTAGTCAGGCTTGTATGCGACGTCATCGAAAAATCACCCATTTTTGCAGGGGCTGAGTGAGCACCTGCCCGTTCTATTGTTTGAAAGCGATGATAGCTCCGTGTCGTCATCCAGCGTTGGCCCGCGGCGATAGCGAGCGCGTCCGCATACACATGCGGGGAAAAGCTGGATGATGCTGATGTGCGCAGGAATCTGGAGCGCGTTTATCGGTACGTACACGTGTCTTTGATGTGTCAGCGCTGAGTCAGAATGTTTGTGCACTCATGTTGGTAGATGTATAAAACAGCATTATGAGGTAGTGACACTTAGATCTCATGCAGCCTGATGACTCTCAGTCATATGAGTCCGAGCGCTCAAAACAACATCTTTTCTGGCCAATCACAGCTCGCTAAAGACCGTGACTCAGAGCACACCGAATTGGCCACTGTTTCGCTCTGCACATGTGACCCACTACCTCAGCGGTGGATTTCTGGGCTCGAGATTATAACTCCACAGCGCTGGAGCTGATCTGCAAAAGAATAAGAAAATATACCATCACCATTCAAATATTCTTTCCAATCCAAACCATTCTACAATCACCATTTTTTTACCTTCACGATATCCTATTATCCCAGAAATGTTTTTACTGTTGTTTTTCTCCCCTTTTTTTTTCTACACAACCACAAATTAGACTTGAATATAGACACAAATACTGAAACCAACTACATCTCTTAATATGAACTATATACCTATTCAGCCCAATTCTCCTGATACTCTTCCTGTTCCCAACGTCCAAGGTGTTTGCGATAATACTTTCAGCAATGCCCTCGCCAATAACACTCATAGACATATTCACAACAACGATAATGACGCTTCGAAAATCGGTATAACCAAAAGAATAAGAGACGAACTAAAATTTAATGATGATAGACTATGGAAACGATTCTCTGCAAGAAGATTAGAGTTGATAGATTCCTTCGATTTATCCTCTAAAAAGGCTTCTGAGCAGGACAACGACATTAAAAAAGTAGCAAACACTTTACGAATTGAATTTAATTACGATCTATCAAATCTAGATCTATTTGATAAGTTAGTAAGAGCTGCAATTCAAAGTGTTCGAAGAAATAGAAAGAGATCTTCAAAATTTAAATCCTTTATTAGTAACAACAATGATGATGATTATAATGATAATAATTACATTAACCATAGAAGCAACAATAATAATAATGTCAACAATCTAAATATTAATATAACTAATAACGGTAATTACACTAACAGAAATAATAAAAGTAAATTTATCAACAATAATTTCATACTAATTAATAATAATACAATTGAAAATAAACTAAAATTAAAATCAAAACTAAAATCGAAATCAAAACATAAAAAAATCAAACTCAATAATATTAATACCGATAATAATATTAATACCAATAATAATGCCAATAATACCAATAATAATATCGATCTTATTAATAATAATGATCATAATGATCATCTAAATCATAATAATAATCATAATAATAATCATAATAACAATCATAATAATAATATGAATAATGACGATCCGAATCAAAACTCAATCTCTCCAATAACTTTATCTGATATCTCTAACAGCCCAAACTTATCTAACAGTCCAAATTTATCTAATATCTCCAATAGCTCAAACTTATCTAATTTGTCTCAGTTGCTTCATTTACCCCATTTATTAAATCTTTCCAATTCCACTACTACTCCAAATTTCACTTCAAATTTTACCATAACTAATACTAATACCAATTCCAATCTCACTACCAACTCAAGTCATATTATTAATCCCAACAATATCATTAATTCAAATGTAAATGCAAATGCAAATACAAATACTAACACCAACCCCAACCCCAACCCCTTTAACCATGAATTAGAAAACAACTCTTTAAAAAGAAAATCTTCCTTCTTATCCGAATTCACCAAACTCACTGATCTCTCTTCCTCCACCGACTATTCCAATGAAACTTACTCAAAAAAAAAAAATTTTTCCAGTGAAGACTTGTCAAAAAGGACAATAAACTCTATTATTAATCCTCAATTAAATCCAATCATCTCATTAAACACTAACAACAATAGCAACAATCCCCCTTCACTCAATTCAAACCATCCCATAAATTCTCCTATTCTCTTTCATAATAATCATAATCATAACGATAACCATCTTTACGGTCACAACAAAAATCATTTTGATCATTATAAAAACTTGTATATAAATACAGATAGAGATAGAAATATACATTTGAATATAAATAGAAATAGGCACAGAAATAGAAATAGAAATAAAAATATGGATATAGATATGGGCATGAACATGAATATGAACATGAGTATGAGTATGAACGTAAATAAAAATAAAAATAAAAACAAAAACTTGAAATTGCCTTCGATTTCTTCACTAGAATCTGCTGGCAAAATTTCCTTGACTGCTGCATCTGCTAGAATTCAATTGTTATCAATTTTCCAAAAATCAAAAACTTGTTTAGATTCAACAGCGAAATATTCAGAAAATCTCACTTTTATAGGAAAAAGTGTAATTCCAATTGTAATCTCTTTTATTTTAGAGAGATATTTCACCGGTATAAGCTTATCCTCAATCGAGTATATTAGGTTAAAACTAACTTCTGACTACCAATTGGCAAAGCTAATAAGAACTTTAGACAAGAGTCCCGATATTCAAGTTTTGCCAGATTCTATTGCTTCATCTTCCTTATATCAATTAATCGGAGCTTCAATTAAAGATTTTGGATTTGACTGTATAGTGAAACCATTTGGTGAAATCTTCCATGAAATTATAATTCGGGACTTCCCATTAATATCAAATAATAATCACAATAAATCATATTATTATTATGATGATGATAATGGTTCCAAATTATCTACCATTAATCGAGACAAAGGTGCTCAAATCACCACTAGAACCAGCGATGTTGATGATCTTGAAAATACTGAAAATACTAAAAATACTAAAAATACTGAAAATATTGAAAATATTGAAATTTTTGATAATGAAAAGAAATCTATTGCTACTCCAAATTTTTTGAGTAATAGTGTGGAAATGATAAATGAAAAAAAAAAAAAGATCTTATCAAATGCAGAGGAGGAAAAAGCCTTGAATTCGTTAGCATTTACATTATCAAGTTTAAAAACACCATTCACTAAGTTAGTTTCGTTAAAATTTTTCAATAAAGTGATTTATTTCAGCTTTAAATATTTAAATTCTGCTACTCCCACATTATTTGAGATTCTTAAAAACGGTAGTAGCGCATTTCATATTAAATTTGAAGAATTAAAGTTAAGAGACTTGAATTGTGAAGGAAAATTATTAAATAATGATTTTGAAGTTGAAAAAAGCTTCAAGAAACATGGTAATGTTGAATTTGAATTGTTTTATCCCAACAATAATACTACCCATGAACTGACAGAGGATTATGATATTTCTATCAAAAAGAACAATGGCAGTAATAATAGCAGGAGTGATGGTAGCATCAACAAGATTAATGCAAATATTGATATTGGTTTATATAATCAAACAGAAACCGGTCGTGATAAAAATCCAGAGACTCTCTCTTCAATGACAGATTTGAATTCCAAATACCCCTTTAGTAACAGACCACAAGAGAGAAATTATAACAAGTACAGTGTATACTACAAACAGCAAAACGACTACAAGTACTACAAAAGCGATGAAGAGGAGGATGTGGAAATGTACAACAGCAACAGTCAAGATTCCAATGAAAACCAGCCAAACAGGAAGAAAAATTTCATTCCTCCTCATTTTGAGCCTTTATTATAGAAACTATTCTACACAATCAGCCCCAGACGAAGCGTTGTTGCGAAATACGATCATCTACGATCACATCGTAGACGGAAACACGATCAAAACACGACTGCGGCTGGAACATACATCACACCGCATGATACCGCAGTTACACAACTTGAATCAGCACGTGGTCCAATATTTGAGGCGAGGTCTGAGGAGGTTGGGACAGGCCGGGGTCTGGAACGTGCTTGTCACGTTTTATTTGCCTCCAAAGAAGCTCCTTTCTTTTGCAGCTCAGATTCAGTCACTTTCTGACGTTTCCACACTCGTTGTGAAGCTCTTTGGGTCGTGGAGGAAGAAGCAAAAGACGACTGAACTGAAGCTGGCAGAAAGAGCATCCTTTGATACTCCAGCACATCTATTTGGAAGATGAACATCACTTCGAAGTACCAGCAGGTCCAGGGCCAACAGCCTATCAACCTTCAGAACAGATACATCTCGTTACAATCGAATCTGTCGCAGCAAAACCAGCAACAGCAACAGCCCCAGTCTGCCAACGACTTGTTTTTGCAACACCAACGACAACAGCAAATCAACGACTCTTCTATTATTAACAATCCTCTATACCAACAGCAACAGCTCCAACAATCCCAATCCCAAAACCAAAACCAGCAACTGGTTATTTCTCCCAACTTATACCAACTCAACAGCAACATCAATACTCCCACAAATGCTCAGTTACTACAACAATTACAACAGCAACAACAACAGCAACAACAACAGCAAACCCCAAACTCGGCTATCAATCAAAACAACCCAATGGCGAATCAGCTAAATAACCAACTCAATGGCCAACTCAATGGCCAGTTAAACAATCAAATGAATAGCCAGATTTCCTCAAATATTTCAATCAATTCGCTACTAAATTCAAACAATAACAACATAAACAATATAAACAACATGAACAATTTGAACAACATCAAAAACTTAAATATCAACTTGAGTGGCCTAAACAACAATATTAATAATTTGAATAATTTGAATAATTTAAATAACTTGAATAACTTGAATAATTTGAATAACTTGAATAATTTGAATAATTTGAATAACCTTAATCTAAATAATATGAACAATTTAAACAATAACCTTAATAACCTTAATAATCTTAATAATATCAACAATATCGGTCATATTAATAATATTAACAACTTAAACAATATGGGTAATTTAAGCAACATGAATAATTTAAATGGAATCAACAATATCAATAATTTACACAGTATTAATAATATTAGCAATATGTCTAACATAAATACACCCACAGCCAATAACACTATTAATAATAATAACAACAACAATATTAACAATCTCACCAACATTAATAATAATAATAATAATAGTAATAATAATAATAGTAATAATAGTAATAATAACAATATTAATAATAATAATAATAGTAATAATAGTAATAATAACAATATTAATAATAGTAATAATAGTAATAATAGTAATAATAATAATAATAATAATAATAATAGTAATAATAGCAATAGTAATAATAATAATAATAATAATAATAGTAATAATAATAATAATAATAATAATAATAATAATAATAATAATAATAATAATAATAATAATAATAATAATAATAATAATAATATCAATATGAGTAATATGAATAATATAAATATGAATATGAACAATATGAACAATATCAATATGAATAATATAAATATGAATAATTTGAACAATGTGAACAGCATAAATAATATGAATATCAATAACATGAATAATATAAACAATATGAATAATATTAACAACATGAATAATATGAATAATATGAATAACTTGAATAATTTAAATAACTTAAATAGTCTAAATAACATGAACAACATGAACAATATAAATAATATAAATAATATAAATAATATCAGCAACATGAATAATATCAATAACATCAGCAGCAGTCATATCATTAATACCAATAACGCCAATAACGTCAATAGTCTTAATAACTCTATAAATATAAACAACAATAATAACAATTCCAACAATGCTAATAATAATTCAAATAACAACAATAATGCTAATAATAGCAATAGTAATCAAATTAGTGACGATATAACTACCACCAACAATATCAATCAATATTCGATTCAATTAGAACCTTCATTAGCACAATCTTCATATTGGCAACAACAATTATCACTTGTCTCTCAATCAAGAAAATCAATTGCCCCTCATATTTATGCTAAGTCTAGTGCCTCGAAATCTAGAGTCAATACTGGTAATAGTTCAATCTTCTCGGCCGGAAATAACAACAATGCTAATAACCTTACTAATGACAACAGCACATCTCTATCTAACGCTATTACATCTTCTGATATGTTTAGAATGATCAACCCTTCTTCTTTAGTAGATTTGACAAGAGATATATTGGATAAACAGGCTGAAATAGAATTCACTTTAAAAAAACAACAATCTTCAAATAACAATACTACATTTGTAAAAAGTTCACATAGTTTAGATGACGAGGAAATTGTTGAAAAACAAAGAAGAATGACAAGCAAAAAACAGCCAATTGATCCAAATCAATCTTGGTTCTCTTTAGATTTCTCTGGTCAGGGTATTTATAATTTATCGGCTACTTTTTTTACAAATTATAATTTTTTAACAAAGTTATTTTTAAATAATAACTTTTTGAAATCAATTCCTAAAGAAATTTCGAATCTAAAATGCTTAAGAGTATTAGATTTATCTAAAAACCAATTAACTAGTCTACCAAAGGAATTAGGTTTACTATTTGAATTAAGATTTTTATATTTGTTTGATAATAAATTAACCACCCTTCCTGCTGAATTTGGAAATTTTTACGAGCTTGAATTTTTAGGAGTAGAAGGTAATCCAATGGATATGGGCCTTGTTAAAATTTTAGCCGAAGAAGGCACCAAAGAGCTAATTGTTTATTTAAGAGATAAAGTTTTGGTTTTAGATCCTCCAGCAAAAAGAAAATGGGTCAAGTTAAATAATGATGGCGAAATTGCTGAAGAAGAAGATTATGATGGTGAAAAGGAAATCTTGCCTAATATGTCAAAGGAAGACCAAGACTATGAAAACGAATTTTTCAGTGTATTGAGTTACAATACTTTATGTCAACATTATGCAACTAGTTCAAGATATAAATACACTCCATCCTGGGCGTTGGATTGGGATTATAGATTGGAATATTTGAAAAAAGAAATTCTAAATTTAAATTCAGATATTGTCTGTTTACAAGAAGTTGAGACAAATACATTTGAGCTTTTCTGGGTTCCTTTAATGGAAAAACATGGCTATAAATCATATTTCAGTTGCAAAACTAGATTCAAGACAATGGCACCTGCATCAGCTAAAAAAGTGGATGGATGTGCTATCTTTTACAAGACCAGAAAATTTCAATTGCTTGACAAATCAACGATTGAATTTACTAGCTTTGTAATGAGCCATAACAATTTTAAAAAAACAGATGATATTTTCAATAGATTCATGAATAAAGATAATGTGGCAATAGTTGTCTATTTGCAACATAAATTTACGGGAAACAATCTTATTTTATCAAATACTCATTTGCATTGGGATCCAAACTACAATGATGTGAAAGCAATGCAAATCACAGCGCTATTAGATGAATTGCAAAGATCAGTTAAAAAATACACCAATCTGTCCTCTAAAGAAGCAATGAATAAAACTCCAATTGTCATTTGTGGTGATTTTAATTCTCAAACCAACAGTGCAGTCTACCAGTTATTGTCATCAGGCACTGTTAATAAACATAAGGATTTAGAAGGTAGAGATTATGGGACTTTCACAAATGAAGGATTTACACAGCCCTTTAACTTGAGATCCACATATGATACAATCGGAGAGTTGCCTTTCACTAACCACTCTGCTGGATTTATAGATGTTATTGATTATATCTGGTATTCAACTCAAACACTAAACGTTAAAGGTTTATTGGGCAAGATCGACGAGAAGTACTTGGAAAATGTGATTGGCCTTCCAAATGCACACTTTCCTTCTGATCATATTCCTTTGGTTGCAAAATACTCTTTCAAAAAGAATCTCAGAAACTCATCTATCAACTCCGGAAACTCTGGTTTTAATAGATCAAGGAAAACATAAGAAGTAACATTGGCCAAAAAATAAATCAACAAAAGTTTATTAACGACTAAAAAAGTGATTTGTTCATTCTGTTGATGGTTATTCGCATTCACTCATTTTATCATCGTTTTGCTTTCTTAATCTATCATTTTTTATTATGTTTCTTTTTGTTTGTTTTTTTATTATTTTAGTTTTATATTTTCTATTAAATTTTTTTACTTTTCTATTGTGTTTTTCTTTTTAATTGTATCCTGTAGTAATCATTTAAATAATACAATTTCTGTTTTATTTGTTTGTAATATATATAGTATGTAAATTAAGTAAAAATAATAATTAATATTATAATTTTGTCATTGTGCATAAGCAAAATAAAAATAAAAAGCTATTGTCATTAGGACGAATTTAGATAAAATTTCTTTTAATTGTATTGTTCCATTCTTTTTGGAAAACTTCTTTCATATCAATAATCCTTTTGTCACCATCGTTCTCATAAGCTGTCAATTTATTGTGCAAGTAAAAATTGTCCTTATCTGCCTTTAGATCGCTGGTGCTCACCAATTTCACCTGCCATTTATCTCTACCTATATTCAATTCCCAGTCACATTGGTTATAGGCAGTTAAAGGATCATCGATATCAATTTTCCAAATATTTCTATTCTTGGAACCAAACTCAATGCCATCATTAGAAAAGCCAGGCACACAGAGTTTTCTGTATCCTTCATCAGAAAAATCCTCAATTGTCCAAGTGCTTCCAATTGTATTATATACGACATCTCTGCTTCTTTTCTCACCTCTAAGAATTATTCTGTCACAAGGTTTGTAATATAAAGGAGAAGGAAATTCAATATGTTTATAACTATTCTCTTCTACAAAGGGCAATTTCAAGGAGCCAGAGTATAGAGTAAAAATTGGGGTTTCGGCAGTGGGCCATGCTTGGGGCCAGTCAGTTGGAGATAGGGCCAATCTTAATTTATGTTCTTTCACGACTTTAATACCCAATGAATCCAATTTAATATTAATATCGTATTTCTTTCCAGGAACCAAGTGTTCTGGAAATTGGTGTGAATTGCGATGAGAAAGATTTAAAATACCCCAAGATAACAAAACGTTTTCCTTCTGAAGACCATTTTCGTAATATAAATCAACCAATCTTGCTGATAAATTTGCAACTGGTTTATCAACGGAGACAGATACATTCAATTCTGGGAAGCCCAAGAGGTCGATATCATTTTCCAAGAAATCTGTATCAAAGGTTGTAGATTTTGAATCTTCAATTTTTTGGTCAGCAGGAAAATCACCTTCTTGACCAAATGGACACCAGGTACCTCTCAAAAGCCCATATTCTTGAATTCCGGTAAATTTGATATCTAGTTCTTTTGAAGTTTCTGTTTTTGATAAATTCCCTTGGCCGTCAATATGGTAGGTTAAGTATTTTTGATTTGATGGTCGGTATTCTAAAGAAACCCATTTTCCAGCTCTATAATCGTAGGAGTCTTTAATAGAAGAAGGATCTTGAATGTAGACAGTTAAGGGATTTAATTGATCAAGGTCAAAGTATTTATGGCTCTTTTGAGTAGAGTTGGACAAATATTTTGACCACCATTCCATTGCGATTTGCTGGAAACCAATTCTGGGACCAGGAGTAGCAACCTCTGGGTATTCATGAACCCAGGGACCTATGATACCTTTTGAATCTTTGTTTGGTAAATGGGTTACCATTCTTAAGATTGGGTTGGTATAACCATCTCTCCAACCGCCAACGGCTAACACAGGAACTTTAACATTTTGGTAATTATTTTCGCAAATTGAGCCATGTTTCCAGTAATCATCTCTTGTTTGGTGAGAGATCCAATCAATTGAGTTTGGAGGAGTGTTTAATCTCTCAAACCAGTTTTTTCTCCAGTTTTCAAAGCCAACAACATTGGGATCCTGGGGTCTTGCGCTGTAAACAAGCATTGTTGAAGCCCACCAAAGCATATCAGAAGCTAGCAAAGAACCACCTCTATAGTGAACGTCATCATTGTATCTATCATCAGTGGAACAGAGAGTGATGATAGTCTTCAAAGCAGGATGTTGTCTGGCAGCGACTTGTAGAGAGTTGAAACCACCCCAGGACTTGCCAAACATCCCAATACTGCCATTGGACCAAGGTTGGGCAGTGATCCAGTCGAAGATCTCAAGACAGTCGTCTTGTTCTTGCTTCAAGTACTCGTCCTTGAGCCAACCATCGGAATCACCACAACCTCTGAGATCGACTCTAATTGAAGCAAACCCATTAGCAGCAAAGTTGGGATGGCGAATGCTGTCTCGAATTGCGGTGGCGTCGTTTTTTCTGTAGGGAATATACTCAAGAACAGCAGGAACAGAAAGCTTGCCATCAACAGCATCCTTTGGGATCCAAATGTAAGCATACAACCTGAATCCATCTTTCATTGGGATGGGAATGTCTTCAAGCTTGATGAATTCGTATGGCAACTCATCAGTTGGCTGAATTATGGTGGCGTCTGGAGACTGTTTGACGTTGAAGACCATTTTTTCAGTTTTGAGGTGTCAAAGTTTGGTGCAATCAGAAGGAAACTCCAGTAATCTTTAGCCACGAAGAAACGAGAAACTGGGATATGGGTTTTGTTCACAATTACAGCTATTTGAGTAACAAACTGGATTCGACTTTCAGCCAGAATTCAAATGAGAACATGGAGACTTATAAGGCCAGAGGACAGTCTATGGTTGGGGGGGGGGGGTGAGGGAGAAGCAGGAGCTATATCTTCCAATGTTTCTCAGTGTTTCTCAGTATCTCTGAATAGCTCTGAATAGCTCTGAATAGCTCTCAGTATCTCTGACATATTGATTTCCTGACTGGGCTGTTAGCTGCTTGAACTGTTGCAACGCCAATCCAGGCTGGAAGCTGTATCAGATATGAGTGAATAAACAAGCCAGACTCTGAGAACTATCGTGTTGCTAGAAAGCTATGTGTTTACAGATCCAGGTCGCAAATTTGCTGCCCACAATTAAGCTTATCGCAGCCAGAAGCCATGGACGTTGAAGGACATTAAACAACTGCCCAACAGTCGTTGGATGCTGGACTTTTTGGCTCGAACAGAGAGAATAACGGTTTTGAGTCTAAAAATTGCTTGTTTCCTGTCAGTAATTCGAGACCATAAGCTGATAACCAACATCTCTTTAGATAACTCGGTTGCACCAGTCCGAGAATACAGTGCAATCCTTCTAGAAGTGTTCTTCTATTACCACCATCTCCTTTTGCCTGCATCTTCTTTGGACTTCAGCTCTTTGGTTTGATCAACGAGAGATGATAGAGTTCAGCGACGGTAAACGAATTCCTTCATCTGGAACCTGTTTTCTTTGATTAGCATTTAGCATTTAGCATTTATGATTCACTCTTTGAAACTCCCAAACTACAAATTCTCCATCTATGGAAAAATACACCTATCACCTACAACGATATCACAAACAAAATATCGATAATTCTCTTAATGAACTTGCTTTTTATTATCCTCCAGATACCATTAAACCCTGATAGAACACTTGAGCTTTCGATGGTATTATCTTTCGTCTGAAATTTCTATTGAGAAGATAAACAGTATCTGTTAATTTAATCAGCAAAGAACTTCCTTCTCTTGATTACTGTTCTTGATAAATTTATTTATAAGTTCAATGAAATAGTCGTATCTTTTTGCAAAACGAAAATATTTCTTTCTATCAATATTGTCTGCTTTATTAGTAACTGGTTCTTTGTGCATTTCTGTCGATTTCGGTGTTTTAAAATGTCTGATACTGAAAAACACAATAGTCCTCAAGTTGAAGTCGAAAATATTTCAACTGGACCAACAAAAAAAAATTTTCTTGGAATATTTAGCATTGAAAACACTACCACTCAAACTCAAAGAAGGTTAAGTAACAGACAATGTCAGTTACTTGCCATGGGTTCATGTATCGGTACTGCGCTTCTTATCTCTATTGGTTCTGCTCTTAGCTACGGTGGTCCAGCTAATCTATTTATTGCTTATACCTTTTGGTGCACCGTTGTATATGGTACAAATTGCACTTTGTCTGAAATGACTGTGTACTATCCCTGCGATGGTTCTTGGATTGTTTATATCACTAGATGGGTTGGTGAGTCAATTGGTGTCGCTAACGCATGGCAATATATTTTTGGTTTGGTCGCATTGGTGGCCTTTGAAATTACTGCTTTTGGCTTAATCATCAATTACTGGACAACTGATTATCCAACTTGGGTTCCAATCACCTGTGTTCTAATTTCCTATATTCTTGTTGAGGTATTGGGCGTTAACATTTATGGCGAAGTCGAGTTTTGGTTAGCCTCTTGTAAGGTCTTTTTAGCTTTTATGATGATCTTCTACACATTTTTCACCATGGTTGGCGCCAATCCACAATGTTGGGTATATGGTTTCCACTATTGGAAAAACCCAGGCAGTTTTGTTGATTATCTCGGAACTGGAACTAAACTATCTTACTTTGAAGGCTTTGTCAATGTTTTAATTATGGCTTCATTTACAATCGCAGGTCCTGATTATGTTTCTATTACTGCCGGTGAAGTTAAAAATCCAAGAGTTGTTTTACCAAAGGTTTTCAAAACGGTTTTATATCGTTTATTTCTTTTTTTTGTTCTTGGTTCTCTTTGTGTTGGTATTATTTGCCCTTATAATGCTGATGACTTATTAAGTGGAGGTTCCAAAGCTGCTCAATCTCCATACGTTATTTCAATGAAAATCCTTGGTATTAAAGGATTACCTGACTTTTTCAATGCTATATTATTAACAACTATTTACTCATCTGGTAATGGGTTCTTTTATTGTGCAACTAGATCCCTTTACGGTCTTGCAAATGAAGGCAAAGCTCCAGGGTTTTTCAAAATTTGCTTGAGAAATGGCTCTCCAATTGTATGCATCGCTCTTGTTTCTGCTGGTTCTTGTTTGGCATATTTATCTTTAAGCAACAACTCGGCCAAAGTATTGAATTGGTTTATTGGTTTATCAACAGCTTCGTTAATGATATATATGATGCTAATCAACGCAGCATATATAAGATTCAGACAAGGCTTAAAAGCTCAAGGTATCCCCTATGAGTCTTTAGCATATAGACATAGAGATTCAAGTTGGATTTGTTGGTATTCTCTAGTAATGAATTTTATTTTATTGTGGATTCAAGGTTACTATGTTTTTAAACCAGGTAGTTGGGATACTGCCACCTTTCTATTTTGCTACTTTATGCCATTTTTTACTATTGGAATTGCTTTTATATGGCAGATCCTCAAAAGGCCCAAAATTTTAAAACCAGAAGAATTAGACTTAATTACGGGTTTGAAAGAGATAGATGAATATTGTGATAACTACGTTGAAGAAGAACAAACCAAAGTTGGTAAACTTATGGAAAAGATTTTTGGTTTCTAGATTATTATTAACCTGTTTTTTATCCTTTTTTTTCGGTTTACAATTTCTTTTGCTTTTTATAGTTTTATATTTTTATATTTTTATATTTTTATATTTTTTATTCTTAGTTTTTAAAATTCCAGCAATTCGTATTTTTTTTAAAGCACTACACGTCTTTGCTTCAACGATTAAATGCTTTGCTAAAGCACTTGATATTGATTTTGTTTTCATTATAAATTTATTTCGATTTTTGAAAAATTTCTAAATGCGGATAATAGTCACACAGCTGGTTTTAAAGATAGATTATTATTTCTGTCATCTTCAATCAATTCACACTTATAGTATTATGATTGGTGTAATAATATTTGAAGGAAAAAACTACTGATTCATCAGGGCTTCTACTAGTGAAAGCATTCATTCCATATCAAAACTATTACTAAATTGAAAGTAATAGTACTTTTTAATTCAAAATCTCCAAAACAAATGCTCAAAATACTAAAAAAGTTATGGCAATTATAGTTTGTAAAAACTAATTTGAAAATCATTTATATTTGAATAATTTTAATTTTATAGGTTGATCTCATAAACCACATTGTTTTAACACAGTTTAGTAAAAGAATAAAATCACAAAACATAATAAATATATCATGTAGAAATAACTTTCCTTCATCTGCGCTGATCTGCAAGAATCACAACTTAAATTGGATCCAGCATAATGGGTGCTTTGTAAATTGTAGAAACTTAAATAAATAAACTAAAACTAAAATGATTTAAGATAAGAGCTCCAATTGTTTGCAAAACAACCAAAATTATCATCGATTTAGTGCTTGAAACATGACAAAAGAGCTGAAGAAGACCATTAAAAGATACCCAAAGGTTGTCGTGTTTGATCTTGATTACACACTATGGCGTATGTAATAAGATATTCTGGTTGTATTGAAACGAACTGACGAAAAACTAACTGAAATTGTATTGCATTTATTTATTGGTTTATTAGCTGTAAGTGATTTATTGAATATTTATTGAAGCATTTAAAAGCTTTTGAAAACAAAATACTAACAAAAGGAAATTTAGTGCTGGTGTGATACTCATATAAACACTCCATTAAGATCAATATCAGATTCTACAATTGTTGATGCATACGGCTTCGAGTTGTCATTCTATAAAGATGTTCCAGGAATTATTCAAGAATTAAAAGATAATAATGTTAAAATTGTTGCTGCTAGCAGAACTTGGGCTCCTGATGTTGCTAAAAAAATATTAACTTTATTAAAAATTAATAATGAGCTGTCAATAAAATATTTCGATGAATTACAGTGGGGCGAACATACAAAAGTGATTCATATTACAAATGCATTAAAAAAATTAAATAAAACATATGTTAATGAAACTAAAGATGGAAAGAGCCAAAAACTAGGGTTAGATGAAGTAATTTTATTTGATGATGAGTCAAGAAATAAAGATGTTGAAAGACATGGTATTCATTTTGCATTTTTACCAAACGAAGATTACGGATTGACAAGAAAACTATTTGTTAAGGGTATCAATGATTGGGCGAAGAAAAATGGACATTTGTAGTCAATCACTCCATTCAAATGATATAGAGCCTTTTATTATTTTTTTTTCCTGTTTTCTTTTGCAATTTATTTATATTTTTCTTTTATAGAAGGAGAAATACTAAAAATCACCATTGAATAATCTTCATACAAATTAAAAGTTTATGAAAACATTAGAAGTCTTTATTGATTTAGAAAATGAAGTAAAAACCCTTTTACAGTACCAGATAAAATAAGTATGCTGCAGTTCTACATAATGCATCACCACAATTTGATTGACCTTCACTACTATTTTAAATCTTCTCAGATTCGCAAATTAATAATCAATTTTTCAATTGATTCTGTAGCTAACCGAATCACATCTGATGTGGGCGCACTACCAGGTAAAACATCAGAAGCAATAAGACGTTTTCTTTTTATTGACCTATTTGTTTTACACACAGATTGATTGAAACACTTAGAAATGCATTACTGTTATTTTCATTTTGCACCTGGCATTTGAATTTTGTTGGTGTAGCACTGGTATAATTTTTGCCACTCTTTTGTTGTTAATGAAGGACCATTACCGAGTTAATCATCTCATCGGGCTGCTCCAAAAGTGAATGGAATACAGATATCAATGTTTTGGAAATTTATAGTAACTACAGTTCTTAGCATGAAGCAGGTCCTGGTGTTTTTGGTAAATTTGCTTCTTACCAAATGGTAAACTAACTTATAGTATATTAGCCTTTAGTCCAACATAACCATAATGGCTTTTTTTTCGTTTCGCTCTTTAAGAAATCTTTTAAATTGATGAAGATTCTGCAAAACCTCTCGATTACCACCCACAGCGCGTTTTTCTAACTGTCTAACCAATTCATTTGTAATTTCGTCAAGCTTTTTGTTTTCTTCTGGTGTCAATGGAATTGACACATCATCAACTGCATCTTCTTCAAGCAAAGCCTGATACTCAGACACAAGATCTGAACTGCATTGAACCCTATTTTTAGACGCATCATCATCATCATCATCATCACTTTCAGTCTTTGTTTTATTGGAAGAGTCTTTACCATTGTTTCGCATATAAAAATATAACTCTCTTGCTGCAGGCAATATTCCAACCCAATCGATTAGCAAAATCTGCAATTCGATTTGGTAGTCTTCATCCTTTAAAGAAATAACTTTCTTATCGGCTAATGATTTTATCATTAAACAAATAATTGATACTAGTCTTTTGGCATCCAAAAAGTTTGTTATACTTTTGTAATTTTCTCCCGCATTATTTTCATGAACTACTTGTCCATCGATATGGCCTTTACTACTATTGTTGGGATTGAATTTTCCATTAATACGTTTATCGTTATGCTTCCCACTATTTGTATCAAAACTTTCATCAATTTCAATATCAAAGTCTTTGGTCAAATATACACCAGCATTAGAAAAAAACTCATGTAAAAGCATGTTAACTTCGACGTCTGATAACTCTAAGAGTCCCTCTCTTGAAAACAACAATTTTTTGTTTTTCAATTCTCCATAATCATACTTATAATCATTCCAGTTGCCTCTTTCCCGAATGGTCAACTCATGAATGTAATTAACTAATGATTGAGAAATTTCTAAATGAGAAATAAACCAAATTAAAGGCCTACGATAACCTTGTGCCATTAGCATTTCATCCATCATTGCACATGCAATATCTGGATTATATCTTAATATAGGTTCAAAAATTGAATCATAAAACCATCTGTCATAAATTTTTTCAAATGTCACCATTTGATTATCATCGTAATCATCATTATCATCATCTTCTCCATAATTATGATTGTTTTCCATATGGCATAGCCCGGGTATGTTACCTAAGTGAGAATCTTTATTGATATCGTTTTCACCAATTTTATTTGAATCCACAATCATATCCTTTAAGGATAGTAGGGAACGTTTTACATTCATTTCATGATCTAGTTTAATGCATCTAGCAATAGTGCTAACAACCTGTTCACCGAGTTTATCTGATACAGGTTCTTGAGCCATTTTATCAAAAGCTTCGGATAATTCTTTCCATGCCATGCAATTTGCGGTATCAAGGTTTCTAAGAGGATTGAAAAAAATATTCATTCCTCTTGGTACATCTCTCCGGTCTCCAGACAAATCAAGAACCATTTCATCTTCATTATTCAATTTAGCAATGAATTTAAAATTATTGTCGGATATATCATCAGGTTTTTGGCCCAGGTTAATGTTTATATTTTTATCAGATTCTTCCATTTTTTCGGGAAAGAATTTTAAATTATTTTTTACTATATTATTGATTGATTCAATTTTGCTTCTCATAATTATATTAAAAGCGGTATTATCTATAGTGGTATTGCTTATACAACTTAATTTCAATGTTTTTATGTTATTAGAATCAATTGTTTTACTAAATTGGTTTTTTTTCGTTTCCAATTTCCTGGTTATACCTAGTTCAGAAACAGCCTGCTGCTTACTACTATTAGTATTGTTTAATCTAGTTTTATTTTTTATTTCTTCCTTTTCTTTTTCCAATGCATTAAATATCATCATTTTGGAGTTATTGGGTAAGTTTTCAAACATTTTTTGACTCTCTTTATTCATTTTAAAATTATCTGTATTAATATTCTGTTCAGTATTGTTGATATCACTGAGATGTTTTTCATTATCAATTTCGCTAATTTTGGTATTCTTATTACTATGTTGATCCTTAAAATTTTTACTGATCTTATTGTTGATTTTATTAATATTGGTAAAAATATTACTATCCGAATTGAAAATTTCTTGTTTATTAAAAGTGAAACTTTGCTGATGAATTTCGCCTTTACCTGGACCAAGGTCATGAACTACTAGTAATTCCATTTTTTCAAGATCTTCATCTGATTCATCTGAGTCTTCAAAAACACAGTCACAGTGAATATAGTTGTTTGAATATTTAAAATATTGGCCAATTAAAGCATTGTTGTTAGTGTTATTAATATTTTTAGTATTTTTTATATTTTCGTTGTTAAAGTTGTTATTTATAATGTTATAGTTATTATTTGGAGGATCTGATAAATCAGCTTCTGAATTTCCATCAATTGAATTTTCATCAATTGGGTCAGAAGAATAATTATTTTGATTGTCTTGAGCACCAAATTCATTATTGGTGATATTGTTATCGTTATTGTCATCATTGTCATTGATATTAAGATTATTAGTGATTTCGTTTTTGATCATAACTTTTCTATTGTTATTGATAAACTTATTGAAATAATGTTGGTATACTAAGGTATCACTAAAATTCTCTTCATTATCATTATTTTCGTTGTGATAATTGGTATCAAAATCATAATCACTATTTTCTTCATCATTGTTATTAATATGATTGTCTTCATCAATATTGTCATCATCATCATCGTCATCATCATCTTCATCATCATCGTCTGAAATCTCAACAGTATAATTATATAGATGATCTTCAAATTCAAACATATATTTAAGGTCTACATCATATTGATCATCTTTATCCAAGTTTAATAATAAATTAGATACTTTATTAAATTCAAAACCATGAGATAGTAGGGCGTCTAATAGTAGTTCTGTCTCAATTTTTAGAGAACCGCCATCTATGAATTTTCTTGCAATTGGGAAAGTGAAAGCATTGAAAGACTCATGAACTAAATCATGAAATCTTAAATCCAAATTTTGATTCAAAATTGCAGATAGTATATAACGAACCGAAGAACAACCTCTTGCCATTGAATAAATAATTTTTGGTGTCCCGATGGTTGTGTTTTGTAGGATTTCATTTTTTCGATCGATATGTAGGGATAGTAATAATAGTTTTGTAAATTTTTTCCATAATCTAATGAACAATATTAAGAAAGGGTTTTGATAAATACCTTTTTGAGAGCCAAATAATTTTGATATTGATAGAATAGATAAAGATATTATGTTGAAATATATTTCCAAGTCTAGTGAGGAGATGGATTGACTTGGAAGCCAATTTTTGTAAAATGAGGGATCGTATATGGAGACAAAAGAATTATTAATTTTTGCAAACTCTGTGAAAACCGGAGATTCGTTGCTGATAGAATTTGTTTCAGTATCAGCTGAGTCGTTATCTTTGGTATCATGGGTAGTAATACTTACAGTATCATTGGTTTCCTTTTTAGATTTCTTTTTTGATTGGATTTTTTTATTTTTATTATCAAACTCATGTTCAGTTTTGTTATTTGCAGAATTGTTATCACGATTTATGATTTGATCGATAGAACTTTCAGTGACTGAAATGTCGTTTCGAGAATCATTTTCATCGTCTATGCATTCAGGAAAAATGTCTATTGAGTCAATTAGTTCATCGTTCCCCAAGCAGTTCAAAAATCTTAGTATTGATTCAATAATCTGAGCAAAAAGAAATGCCAATTCGAAATTTTTAGCAGGAGAGTCCCAACTGACAATTTTATTTTGTTGAGTAGCAGCAATGAAAAGAGATAGATTTATTAAAAAGTCTGAGATTTTGTCGATGGATAAATTGTAAGAATTGTTGTCATTTTGAGGTTGAGTAATTCGATCACTGAGACCTATTAGCAAGGAGGCCAAAAGAGATAGATTTTTGGAATTCTGAGGATAATACCTGTTGAAATTCAATAGATTTAGCAACACCTTCTGTCGCTTCAATTGGAAACTGAGTATATTAAAAGTAGACTGGAAATCCAAGTTGTCAACATCAATGCAGTTCGAATCGTGCTGAGATGCAGTTTGACCATTACTACCATTGTTGTTAAGCTCAATCTTCATTTTTGGGCCTGGTGTGTGATGGGCTTCGTAGACATGCGACGTGGAAGTGGCAAATAAGCGCTGACAAAATCGAGGAATCCTCCTGTGTTATTTCTGGCTCTCAGACTCTGGAGTTAGCTGCGAGAGGAGGGAAAGGCGAAGAAGCTGCAAAAGACAAGCGATAAAAGTTTTCCAGCCCAGACATCACCTGACTGCGCGCGTTAGCAGGTGTTTTTCGGACGCTCGGGCACGTGTTGACCAGAAGGCCTTTCGAGCTGTGCTTCCTGTTCTTCCTGTGCTTCATCTCCACCATGGACAAGAACAGGCGTCTCCAGCACGCAACGCTTATCAAGCACTCGTCCTTGCTGAAGTTCAGTGTTGCCCACTTGAACACTGCCTATCGCATCAGCTCCTCCTCGAACTTGGTGGGTTCTGTTAAAAGAATCGAGAAGAGATTGAGGGTTGCAGCTAAAAAAACCGGTCTGCTCAGCAACGATGTCAGTGGTGATGCTCATCAGGACACCAGCAGTTGTATCAAGGTCAATGGAATGGGAAAAGCTACAATGAAGGTCTTGCAGGTGGGAAACATCTTCATTCAAAAGGGCTATAAAGTTCAATTCAGGACATTGTCTATCCAGCTACTAGATGAGTTTGAAATCACTCTTCCCAAGGACAATAAGAAAAAAGATGATAAAAAGGATCATAGTGATGAGATCGACATGGAAGTCGATGATGACGGGCATCTTTGTGGAAATGAAAAAAATGGTGGTTATGATGATGGTGACAATGATGACAATGGCAATGATGATGAAAGTGACAACAACGACACTCCCGAAAATGTATTTCAGAAAAGGTTTGTAAGTGGACTAGAATTAAAAATATATATAAAGTTTTAGATTAGAAATTAAAACATAACTCTTCAATAAAATCAGAAAAAACAACAATTCAAACAAAAATGATACCATCCTACATGGAAAATCATTTAATAAACTGCGATGTAATTGTTGATTCTTTCTTTTTGATTTTGAGCAATACATTCTGCAATCCAAGTAATATTACGAACCTCTTGCTCTCTCGATTTGATCCAAGACCAAATAGTACTCACTGAAAATTGTTGAGCAAATGCATCTCGGCACAAATCCATCTCTAGTTGATAGAAATGATCCTCTAATGTCTTATCACTAGAATTCATACTATCAAAGAATCCTTTGTATTCTCCAACTTGTTCCACTGCAATTTTGATTTGATCAATGTCTTCAGCTCTAGATAACAATTGATTTCCATTGGGATACAATTTGCCGAAATTTGGTAACAATTTCAATTTATCATCAGCTGCCAATTCAGTATCAAAGGAATTTAATGAAATGTTAATACTTCTTCTGTCTGCTTCAAATTCTAATAGTTTAGACATGACTTCATTTCCAGGATACGATATTTTTGTTTGACAAAACTCATAAAAGTCTTCCAAGTAAGCTTTAAACAATGTGTTTCTAATAATTTCAATATTCAAATCGTCCAAATCATCTGCGGAAAGACAGTCTTTAAAATATGGAGCCAATGGTGTATCAACTAAAACTGTCTTATACAAGGACTCAATATCTGTCGCAACTGATAACGCTGGCAAAGTATCAAACCAACCTAATGGATGACATCTTTCTAAAATTTCACTTCTGTCTCGTTCATGAATTGTCCCTGTAATCATCAATGCAACGTTATCAATCATATATCCATATGTAATATAATCCATAAACTTGGCTAATGGTTCAACTGCTTGTGCTCTAATATAATTGAACTCTTTATACAATTTCTCTGAGGCCTTTTCTTGAATAATAGAAGTTGATAAAGGTGATGGAACATTAGCCAAAAAGTTAGCATATTCAGTTGCTGATAATTGCAATTTCAAATCTTCTAATGTGTCGCATTGTGTTAAATTCATGTACTGTGCTTGTGTGAGCAACCCATTTCTGTACCCACGTACCAATCCCTCGATAAATCCAAAATCAATATTAAAAAACAATCCCTCCATTTCAAACTACCTATCTATACCAAGTTTTTTATACTTTACTGCTCGCTTCTTAAAATGTGGGTTTTGGATACGATGAAAAGGATCTGGCTACAACGAAGAGGATATGTTTTCACCCAAAAACACTTTGAGTTTGCAGCATTTCTGCGGATGGGTAAAAACCGTTTGAGCCCAGCCCGGTTGGCGCGGTTTAGGTAATCACTGCCTTTTCTACAGGAAGCGGTAAGATAATAGAAGATCATTTAGGAATATAAATATATAACAATATATATAGTAAAGATTATTTAAACAAAATTCAATATAATTGGTTCGCATTTCAAAAATTAATATTTTTTTCAATTTTAACTGATTGCTCAATATTTTCCAATTAGTCCATCAGAAAATAATCAAAACCAAACAAAAGAATAAAGGAGTAAGATATTAAAATAATTCAAAATGGAAGAAATTAAAAAAAGATGTCAAAATATCTAGCGAGAATTGAATTTGAATCATAACCAATAGAATCAAAAGTTGAATAGTAAAGTCGAAAATATCTAAAAAAAACAACCCCGGATCATAAAAAACACTTTACTATTCAGTAATCAAAAAAAACAGTAAAAAGAAGTAAAAGTTAAGAAAAACTTGAATAGACAGAAAAAAACAATTAAACTCCCAGAAAACAATACCGTCAATTTTCATTCATCAAAAAAATACCAAAATCACCAGCTCCACTGGAATTCAAACTATCGAGATTAATTCGTATTGAGGTATTCAATTTATCTAATATTCGGGACCTTCATCTTTAGTAATAGCTCCTGAGATTGTGCTCTGGGGATTATTGGATGTTGATGGTGATGCATTACTAAAAACTGAGGGATGAGTGCTTCCCTTGGTAGTTACTGAAACATTTCTCATGTTCATACCATTGCTACTGTTTAATCTCATTGGTGGATAGTACATGTAATAGGATGGTATAGGTGGTCCCTGGGAGTAATCGACACCAGCTGGATCATAATAATATTGGTAATTTGGAGTATATGGATAGTAACCACCACCTGCAGAAGATTGTGGCATAGCATTTGGGTCAAAACCATAAATTTCCTTTGGCATGTAGTAAAAATAAGAAGGGGAAACCGGTGATACAGCTTTATTAGATGTGCTTGTATTAAACTTTGAATAATCTGACAAATTGTTGGGTTGACTGTTTGTAGTGGTTGTTCCTTGTTCGACTTTATCATTGGAGTTTTCATGAGAAATTGCAGTTGAAGGAGAATATAATGATTTTGGTAGCATGTGTGATGAATTATTTGAGCGGTTGGAAGGGGATGAAGTTGGTGATTTTCCGGTACTTGAATTTGGATTTTTGTTTTTATTAGAAGGAGTTGGAGTTGATGTAACTGAATTATTTTTATCAATCCAAGAGTTTGCTGAAGCCGAGTTTTGAATTAATGAGTTTATTGTGTTTGAGCTTACTCTTTTTTGGCTTTGGTTTACTTGATAATAAGGTCTTGAATTTTGAGCTAGATCCTTGTCAGAACTGGAATAAGTAGAATAATCTTTATAAGATGACAAATTGTTTTTTGATGAGGCATATCTAAGATTATTTTTTGAAGAAAAACTATTTGAAGATGAATAGTTATTATAATTTGATTGATTAGAAGCATAATGATTTGAGTTATAAGGATAATTCGAACTTCCAAGTGAGCGGTTGTTGTTATAACTCACTGAACGATTACCACGATTTGAAAAGCTTCTTCTTTGAGATGTTTGAATATTAGAAAGTGAAGAATTGAAAATCTCTGAGTTATTTTGATTACTAGAAGGTGGTGGTGGTATTAAACTAAATTGCCCCATTGGAGCCTTTAAAGCCATACTGCCAATTGAGGAGTTATCATGAGAAGTAATTGGTGGAGGGATTTTTTGATTCATATTATATAAACCTTGATTGTTTAAAGCCCTTTTAACTGGCAAGTTGATTGGAGGAGGTGCGAGTGTTAGCTGTTGCTCATTATAAATACTGCCAGCACTGTATCTATGATGATTATTTTGTAAATTATACTGATTATGTCTATTGTGATGGTGCATCTCTTTATATTGGACATGCATTGTTTTATCCATAAAGATGGCATGGTTTTCTCTTTCAACGGCAGCAGCAGCAGAAATCTCATTTTCAAACTTAATAAATGCAAAATTATTCGTTTGTTTTTGAACCAAACTAATGTCAGCAATCTTTCCATGGGCGCTAAATCTTTCTTCTAATTTTTCTTTGGTAACCCTTGAATCCAATTGGCCCACATAAATTGAATTTTTATCAATTGTAATTTCGTTAATGGTTTCATCAGGAGCTTCAATATTTTTAGCCCATTGAACAATCCATTCTGGGTTGCGATATAGATTAACATAAGCTCTAATTGCATCATCTCTATAAGCAAATTTCACAAACCAGGCTTTATTTAAAGTAATACTATTTGGATCATGATGATTAATTGGCAAGATACTTGTTCTAATATCACTATTATTACCAACTAACTGTTCGATTTCACCATATTCCTCCATCATATCACAAACATCATTTGATTGAAGATCATAACCAGAATTGGTTGCAATGTATAAAGTTCTGTTAACTTTAGCAGGTTCACAACGAATTGATCTACCATCTAGCATTGAGTGTTGAGCTTCTCTGAGAGCCTTTTTAGCGTCCTCATCATTAGTGTATTGAACAAAAGCATATGGTCTATTTGAAGGGTCTCTTAAGACTTTAACGGCTATTTCACCCCATTTTTTGAAATGATTAAACACAGAATTGTATAACTCATTATCGGATTTGGTTGCAGCTAAACTTGCGACAAAGACACAAGATGATGGACGACCACGAAATGGGGCTTTTTCATTTGATCTATTTGAAGAGTCTTGATCTTGGTTTTGATCAGTGTTTGAAATCTTTTCTTGGTGTTCTTGATCTTGAGATAATTTAGAGATGGAATCATTAGAATTAATGTTTAAATTGTTAGAAGTTGTTTCATGATAAGAATAAAATTGGTCTTCGTTATGGTCTTCGACCATGTCGGTTAAGCTAACTTCATCGGATTGATTATCATCGTCGTCTTCATCATCATCATCATCATCATCATCAAGAGATTCATCAGAAGAAAAAGAGGAAGGTAATAGTTTTGTGATATTTTGACGAACGGTGTTGTAATTCTCTAGAGTTTTGGCGGGCTTGCTAAAAATAATTCTTTCGACTTCGTTATCATCCATCATAGTGGAGCTGAGTTGGTCGGTTAATTTGCTCATGATGGGATAGTAATAAAAATGTGGTTAGTCTTAGTCTTAGGATTAGGATTAGGATTAGGCTAAAGATAAGTAATGTTGATGATAATAGTAGTAAATTGATAGAATATGATTACTTGAAGAATTATTGAGTTTTTGTTGATTAAAGAAATTTTTGCTTTGAGATTATTAAGATTATTAAGATTATTAAGATTATTAAGATTATTAAGATTTATGAGATTTATGAGATTTGAGATTTTTGAGAATTTGAAATTTAATTGATATTATTAGTATAATTCTATTAGTTTTTTCAATGATTTGATGAAAGATTTGTAGCGCCAAAACAAAATCGGTTATTGCTATTAAAATTATACTAAAACAAGTAAAACTTTAGAAAAATATTAGAAGGTTGAGTTGAATTGAGTTAAAAAAACGAGTTAAATGATAAATGATAATTAAATAATTCTTAGCTATTATATTGACTGGTTTTTTTCTGTAATTTTGGTTGTGGATTTCAATTGAAACTAAGATAAAGAATTCAAAGCTGAATTTGTATATAAGAAAAAGATAATAAAAAAAGGAAAAAAATTGTAAAACAAAATGAAAGGGGGAGAAAAATAACCATATAAATATTATATGGATTGATAGATAACAATAAAAAATATTGTAAAGAAATGAATAAATAGATAAATAAATAAATAAATGAAATTCAAACCAAGTCTAAACTGAATTTTGAAAGCTGTATTTGGATTTTTTCCGGCTAATCAACAAAGAACAAAATAATAGTTTCTGAACAAAAAAAAGAGCACAGGTTTAAAATGAGATTTACAGATTAAAATGAGATTTACAGATTAAAACAGGATTTTAATAAACATGACTGTTTCTCATTTAGGCAATAGAGCTTTATATTGTTGTGGTTCAAAGCTGGTGAGCTTTGGGAAAAATTAATGTGAGAAAGTAAATCTGATTGGTGTTCGAAGTTGTGCCTTGAGTTGAACAACCAGATTTCAAAGTGGTGGATTTCAGGAGATAACTAAAGTTAAGATTAGAATTTTTGCTTTTTTTGGGGTAGGAATTAGAAAATCGATATTTGAGTTTCCAGTCAAATATTTTTGCTTTTGAAAAACCCACTTTGCTTTTGTGATCTTTCAATTTTTTTTATATTATTTGAATGTAGTTTGGGTAATCTGTACATTTAATTTCTATGAAAAAATACAAAAATACAAAAATACAAAAGAGATTCTGTATTATAATCTTGGATAAAAAAAAAATAAATATTATTCCAGTGATAAAGTGTGGTGCTTGTTATCTCGCAATCGAAAATTTCAAAAACAGATAATTTGTTGCTAAAACTACCAATGAAATTGGATTCAATATTATTGGTATTTTATTTGACAGTGTGAAATGAAGCCCACTTCTCAAAAAAATTGTCATTGAGATAATCGAACGGAATCTTTTAAGACATTTCTAGCCAAATTTCATATGGATTGTTTTTTAAAAGTTTGAACTAAGACAGTTGAAGAAATAATAAAATAATAAGAAATAAATTATTTATCCATTATTTCATTTTACTTTTGGAATAAATATAATAAATAAGGTTTTATCAACGCAGCACAACCAAAGTTTATATTTTGAATCTGCAATGAGGCCTGCATGATGGAAAGAGTGAGTGTAAACTTTAAACATAAACAACTGTTAACCATTACACAAACAGACTGCTGTTTATCATCATTTTGTTCTTTGTAGATTGATTGATGTGGTGTTTTGGCTTTCATACCGAGTTTTATTGGATGATTTTTGAGGCATTATAGTCAAAAGTGTGAAATAAAACTGCTCAATGTAGAAGGTTTTATTTTCAAAAGCTGAGAAATTCATAACAAAGTAGTCAAGTTGCACAAAAATAAAACATAATGCTAACTAATTCAGATATCCAATTGATTGGAGGTAACACGGGTTAAATTGAAAAAAAAAAATGGAAAATAATTAAGACAACTTTATGCATAAATATTTTAAAAAGAAATAAATTTTCATGGATATTTGTCAAGTTCGATTGAAAAATAAACTAAAAAAAGAAAACAACAAAACTTGGGTATTTGAAAATTAATTTCAAGGTTTTGATTGGTGTGTTTGGCAATATTGAGAATCCCAGCCTATTCAGATTATTTTTTTGGGTATTTTAGATTTGAAACGAGGAATTGATTAAAATAAATAAAAGGTTTAAAAACATTGGCAAATAGAGTTAATACTAATTGAATGCAATTTATCATTTGTGCTACACAAAAGTGATTTTGCTTAACAAATAGAATTTCAATCTTTAGATGATTATTTTTTAAAAGTTTCAAAAGCTCTCATAAAGTCACAAAAAAACATTGATAAAGTACAAATAGATGATAGATTCCAAAATATTATATTGGCCAGTAATGAATTAACAATAAGTTAACCACATGTAAAAATACACGCTGTTTCTTATTCCAACTTCTACTTTACTTTCAAAAATAGCAACTATACAATATGCTTTTTTTCAGAATTGCAGAAAAAAAGGGTATGGAAGAAGTGCCAAAGGTGGTTGTAAATTGTAAATTACAAATTGTAAACTGTAATTTGGAATATTGCCGATTTGATTGACTGAAAAAAGCAACTACCGATTTTTCAAAAACAATCAAAATCCCACTAGGATTTTATAAGTCCAAACTATAACCTAAGCAATAGAGAAAAACTTTAATATCAATTTTATTACAAACATATTTTTTTCTGGCTTTTTTTGTTTTTTCTCAGCAAATATTAAAAGACAAAATTTGAAGGAAAATAGACAGAAATATATATATATTTTTGAAACCTTTTTCCGATTAACTATTGCTTCTAGATAAATTATAATTATTCTGAAAATCTGGTGTTTTCTCTCCTTCAAAGAAAAATTGAAGAATAATTTTGAAAGTTGCAAATATTTTAAAAAAATTTGCAGATTTTGAGAAGTTGTCAAAATTTTCTACATGAAATTCATGTTTTTAACAGCCTCGATTACAAAACAAAAAAGTGCAATTAAGAGCGTCCAATGAAAATTACACATGGATTGGGTGCCATCATTAAGTTATATCATTAAAAATTTCAAAACCCAAGCTGGTTTTGTGGACTTGCTAAAAAATAGAGTTTTAAGCTACATATTGATAAAATAAAAAAAGACTGTCTATCTCAATTGCATCGATATTTTGAATGGTATCTATTTAATATAACTCTTAATTGAGTTCAATAAGAAAGAAATAAGATAATATAACTGCCAAATCGAAACAATCCGCATATCCTGAAATCTTGTAATTCTGTTATCTAATCGGGTTGTTTTCACAAATACAACAATCAGTTAAATTTATTAGACCAAGTTTATCGGTAATCAAATAATCCCTGAAAACGCTCAAGCAAAGAGCACAAAAAATAAACTAAAACCACCAATACCAATGTGGAGGATGACTATGCTTTTTTCGGATTGAAGGCCACAAACGAATAGCCAAGCAGAAAAAAACCCTGTTTTCTTTCAGGAAAAGAGACTCTCCTGCAACTTCAACAAGACTAGGTTGTTCATCTCCTCAGCAACCAATGCCTGGCTTTCCAAGGCCAAGTTCTCAATAAATATCCCCTGCTTCCCACTCATCTGGTCCGCCTTGTACTGCATAGACCACGTTTTGCTTGCAGAGTAACCTCCAGCTGCTTCCCAACCCCTGTTACCCCGAGCAGTTGCCAACAAGCTATGGAACCTCGCCTTTTTATGAGTTGGCTGCGTGCTCGAGTTCGGCATCTGAAGTGCTGAATCTCTGTGCCTGTCCCCAAACAGCTCGGGGTAATATCTCGGTGAATAGAAGCGCCATTCTTTTACCTTCTGACTTTCTGTGTGTGATAAAATATCTTTCGAATCATCACGGGGAATTTTGACCTTTCTGTTTTTCACTTTGTCCCTGAGATTTTTGTTTTTGTTCCAAGTATTCTCATTTTTATTTCCTTGATTGTTCAATTTCATGTTTAGATTCCTTATCTTATTATTCAACAGCTTTTCTTTCATTTCAAATTGATTCAATTCATTATTAGTTTCGATGGAATTCAACGAAGGATTTTCAAAAGAGACTCTGCTTAATCCGGTCAACGAGGATGACCAATAGTTTTTTAGCACAAAATCTAATGAATGATTGTCAATCTTGCTTTTGAAAACTGTGACATTCAATGAATAATAATCCGATGAATGAACTCCAAAATCCTCTTGTTTGTTTTTTGGGACTGCATCGCCATCTGGTAAGAAATTGCCAGAATAGTCATTTGACTCAATTCCTGGACCATGACTGTTTTCAAATTCATCTGCTCGAGTATTTTTTTTATTGTAACCTAAAGGATATACTCTAAATGCACCAATCTCAACCTTTCCTTGACTTAATGTCTTTTTAGGATCAATTACAACCGCTAAATAAGGGTCTTGATGCGTTTGATTTAATGATTGTGTAGCAACATCAATACCTGATAACCAACACCCATACCCAGGATGGGAATGATACCATCCAACAATGTTCTCCTTTCTAAGATCCCCCTTTAACTTTTTTAACAAGCTCAAATAGTTGACCATATATTCATATCCTTCCTCTTGAGCATTAACTCTGGTCTCTGTTCCTTCAACCGGCAACGAATAACAGTCCATGATAACAATGCTTTGATTCACTATCTTACCAATCATCATCCCCATAACTTCTATATTGCCTCCCATCGAACTGTGAAGGGTCATTTTCATTAACGCTAATGATGAAATGTAAACATTTTTAAAATAATTCGGATCTTTTCTCCAAGGTTTTAATTCTTCCAATTCCTTTGGGTGATAGTTATCATTATTATAAAAGACATCGGTTTTTTCATTTAATGAGTTGGATAATCCAGCTGAAATTTCTTTCTCAAATAAATCAACCTCACCACTTATTCTATCAGATAAATTGACAATCTTATTAACATCTCCATTTTTATAGCTATTGATAATCTTTTTAAATCTATAACTTCCAGTCACCTCAATTGCTTTTGAAACAATTGATGAATCAAACTTTTGGAAGTTGCGACATCCAGTCTCTTGACTCAAATCGTTATTCGAATTCTGATTGAAATTCTTACTACCTATACACATTTTCAAGCATCCAATGTTATATCAATATAAATCTAGCCTAGGATCATTTATTGAAATACAGAACAAGGAAAAAGAGCTATAAATTTATATCCATAATCATGGAACTACAACAACAGTTAGAAAACGCAAAAAGAAGGTCACCTGATTATTTCTTTCCACCAGAATAATAAATATTTCCATCTTTATGTTTATCTTCATATTTATAATCTATGAAGTGCCTTTAGTATCTTCTAGTACCTTCTTAGCCAGTTCAATATCTCCCATACTCGATTGTTTTTTTTCAATGATTTCATTGATTTTCTTATCAGCCAACTTATTTAATTTTTGAAATGTTTGTAAATCACCGTTATTTTCAAATTTAGATATAATTAATCTGTTTTTAATATTCGATATTGATGTCAATGAATAAATACCCGACCAACCATTTAAATATGATTCTGATAATTCAATTGATTTAAGATAATTTTTCAATGCTAATTTATAATTATTATAAAAACTTTCAATTACATGATTTGGATATGTAGTATTAACTTTGCTATTATTGTTACTATTATTATTAGACAGTTTTAATCCAGATGAAGCTGAATAATTGAATAAAATCTTATATGAAAATGACAAATAAATCGATGCCAATTTTGCATATATATTATAAGCAAAGGGAAAATTGATCAAGATTTCTTCTAAACAATATATAGCCTTTTCATAATTACCTAATTTATAATAAATGTCTGATAATTCATTCCAACCCTCAGAATCTGATGAATTAATCTCTAGATATTTAGTTAAATCAGTGATGTAATGAGAATAAAGACCTTGCAATAAATTTTTATTTTGAATAGCATTCTTGTTCTTAGTTCCAGGACTCTTTTTAGCCGTATTATAAAATTTATTTTGATTGATTTTATTTGATAAATATATTTTTCTTTTCAATATTATTAAGCTCTTACTGTTATGGTAGTTTTTCTTTGATATATTATTTAAATAACCTAATGATTTTTGATGTCCTTCAGTACTCTCAATATATATTGAATGCATTAAAATCAATTTCTCGCTGTCAATTGAGTCATTACCAATATCGTCATCCGTTTCATCTTTATTCCTATTGATAGTTGTAGTTCCATTATTTTCATCACTCTTATTAACTTTCCTATATTTATAACTTGCTTCATTATTGGAATTACTAAATGTGTCCATTAGTCGTTCCAACATTAACTTGGCTTCTTGGGATTTGTCTATAATTAAACATATATAAAATTGCAACTCCATTAACGTGTAATAACTTATATCATTTGTCTTTGATTTCAAATTTAAAGTATTTAAAATTGAAGAGTTCTCAAAATAAATGTCATAAACTTTTGAAGGTGGTAAAGTGTTATATAAACCCAATTTATAAATCTTTAATAGTCTATCAATAATTTTCTTTTCTGTCGCAATCTCACTCATCATGATCCAGTACTCTGTTAATATTCAAGCTCAATTGCTTAACCTCTTTGTTTGATCTGAACTAAATCTTCAAATATTCAAAACTATTTAATCTTAAGTGGATTTAAAATCACGTGATATACTACCAAACAGGCATGTAGAAACGAGAACAAAAATTAATAATAACTTAGCAGTACATGCTTATATTTGTTGCACGAGGTGTGGCCGGAAAACACAATCCGAACTCGACGTTCGTGAAACAATTATGGTCCGTTGCTCCAAACCAAATACACAAGACTTAAGCAATATGAAACGAAAATTGTGTTTCCGCAAAAAACATTTAATTCACAAATACGTTGATGAAGACTGCAATCCAAATAATATAAATATGATCACTAAATAGCTAGATAGAAATAAAATAAACCAAGAGGAAAAGGAAAGAGAAGTCTACTAAGTCATGAGCACTAGAAGAAATCTCTATCCTTCCTTCGACGACTGTCAACCTGACAGCATCCAAGTCAAGAACACTGATAGTGATAACGAAAGAGAACTTGATACTCCACCAAACGCTTCCAACATTAATGAATTAAATCAAAGAGCTGAGTTAATTGAATCAAATGTTGCATCCGGATTTGAACGACTAAAACGAATGCTCGAAAGTGTATTAACTCGTAACGAACGGCCGGAAATCGGTTATCAGTGTTTATTATATTGGCAATGATGCCAAATACTTCTGGCAATTTCAATTTATCGCTAGTCATTTTGATGAAATCAAAAAATCAAATTCCGGGCGTACTGCCTACTATTTATGTAACTCATTGAAGCATATCAATTGAGCAGAAAAGGAAATACCAAACACACAATGCTGTGTCTGTATCTGCAATAGACATTACAAATTGATTTATTTTCATGGGTTTTAGCATTCATAATCGATGCGTTGGTCGTCGTTGAATGAATTGTTGCATTATCAGCGTGTATTGAAGAATTGGCTGATCATAAGGCAGAATTATCACCAGAAGATATTTCGCCACCGAGAGCCAGTAAAGTGGCAAATCCAATCTGAAGTGCAGTATTCTTGTTGTAAAATTATCCCAGCACAAATTCAGATCTGTTTTTTTCTGATTGGTCAATTGGAGCGTCTCTCAACGACCGATTTTGTTTGTCGTTGTTTTTTTTGCCATTGCCTTTTCGAATAAACAATATAAATACTCAATGGATTCTTTCTGCAATTATAATTGAAATATCAACAACTAACTCTCTTCTGCTGAGTCTGTTATTTGAATTCACCGAGTAATGATTATTAAACAAACAAAATACCAAACACCCAGATTAAACGCAATTGAATTTTGTAGATAAACACTATACACTTTGGAAGAGTAAATTTCATTTACCCTATATGTTATATCTGATAAAGCCTATGGGATATTACTTTGTTTGTCTCAATTCTCTTCCATGAATACTTCATCTTCTCAATTCTGTTTTCACTATTACAAATCACCTGAGTCTAGTTCTCCAAGCTCATTTTGTTCCTTTTGAATGGTTCGACAACAAATGAAATTATTCTTGTTAAAACAGTGGGATCAAAGAAAGAATTGGTAAATTTCAACGCAAATTCCAGTTGCAATGTCGTTTCTACTGGATGATAGTTTCTCGGAAATGTCAAAAAAGCGTTTCAATGAAATAAAGTGGTAAAGGCTGAGTTGATACTCGAAACGGCAGTTGCTACTTCATGCATGTGCAAGTTGTTATCGTTGGAAATACAGTACATTGCAGAAAAAACGATCACTTAACTTTAAACATTAAAGATTTATTATTATTCAAGAAGCAATTGAATTATTATACCAAATATTTAATTATTAATACTTCCAGCATTTTGGATGACCCTGCTAACAACAAATGCAGAATATCTACAATTTTTCAGTCTGTAGAAGAATTAATATTATTGGTGTTCTATAAAACAAAGAAAACGTATGATGATTTTTCTATTGCGGATACATATCACTCAAACTATAACTCGTTTTAGGTTTCATTCTTCTGTTCAAAATAATCAATAGGAACTTTCAAATGTTTTTTCAAGATACCTTAATTTTTACTCCTATATGTGGTGTAAATGTTTTAAACTTAATCAGACAGAAACAAGATCAACTATAAATAATCCAAAACATGTATTTAGAGAGCTGAAATATCAAAAAGCATTATCTAGTTTCATATTACTGAATATAAAACAACTAGATTTACCAGACCACAACTTTTTTTTCTATTGATTAATTATCAGCTCAAAAAAATTGACAATTCAAATGAACTTCCAGATCTAAGATATGTTGATTTATCTGATAATAAGTCGGATGAGATCAGGTATTTACATCAATTTCCATTATTGAGTTATTTGAAGTTCAGTGGAAATAACCGTACACATATCAGATCAATTAGTAATTTAAACAATTAACTTCATAAAAAATATTCAAAACCTAACACGAGTAAGTACAGTACAAGTTTTGTTAGAAGTTTCACAGCCAGTTATAACGCGAAAAAATAAAAAAGCACAACAATAGAAAAGCAGCTAAAATCATCTGAAAAATATGAGAATGAATTTTAGATGTACATGATGCCAATTAGCCGTTTAGCAATCCTTTAGCAATCCTTTAGCACTCTTAATACATTGGGTAGATGCGTAGTTAAGAATGAGTTGCTCTCTCTGACAAAACAGAATATTGAATTATTCATGTCCAAGTACCTCCATAAAGGCAATAGCACAATAAATTGTATCAACTTAAATATAATATATTTCTGTAGTAAAACATTTTTTTAGTGTTTTTTGTTAGTTTTTTTTAGTGTTTTTTGTGTTTATTCCCGGCAGAGATTATTAAAAAGAAATACGTACTTTACTGAACCAATCACGAAGCTCATTTTCGGACCATCTATCATCAGGAGTTGTTGATACTTCAGATGCAGTACCATCTAAATTTGTTTCAGTTTTGAGGTTTGAGCTTGGTAATTTATCGTTGGAAGTGTCAATGGAAACCACACAACATTTTGCATCAAGTTCTTTTTCTAGTTCTGTCTTTTCCTTGACCTTAGAATCATCAACCCACAGATCATCTTGAATAGTAAGAAATGATCCGGGGACACTTTCTATTAAATTTATCTCCTGTTTTATTGTATTTACTACTGGAGAATTTATTCTAGGATAATCTAAATTCTTGGTTTTATCTTGTGTCGCATCTTTCACCTTTTTATGATGGTTTATTTTCCGAGGATCTCTATTAACATTTATAGTGGTATTTTTAGGAAGATTTTGAGTTTTCCACTCACTAAAAGTATCGTTATTGATGATTGTAATTTTGTTGGTGACTATATTTTTGTCTACAATATTTTTGTCCACAATATTTTTGTCATCACCTTGATTGTTTCGTTTTGAGCGTTTCTTGGAAAGAGATAACATGTAGTTGAAAATTCTCTTTACACTATTGAAAAGATAATAGGACGACACTATAGTTGATAGCAATATCGCCATTTTCGACAACTTTCGTATGTTTGTCAGCTGAGTGTAGTTCAGCCTTCGAAGCTGCTTCCTCAACCTCTCGTAGCTCAAATCATAGTATCCCAAAGCCTTGGAATACACTATATGCCTGTCCATTTTGCTGCTTGTGCCCCAGATGATCCACTGCTTCACCCACAATTGTTATATAGTGGTGTAGTTGAGTCGAAACTCTTCTGAAGGAACTGAGCATTGGTTGATCTGCTTTTGCTTTGAAAGGGAAAATAAAGTTGCCTTGCGAATGGTTCGAACTGCCAACACTCGCATCCTCTTTTGACTGCAATGGTAATACAATCACCAACTTAAATACCTGAATATCGCAATATTTATTATACACAGAACAGACAGTACTCCAATTGTTGTTATTATTCAAATTGCTTACAATTGAACTGAACATTTATATCTGCTTTCGAAGAAATGTATTGCATTGCTGATTTTCAAACGTGTTCTTTCTATCTAGACTATTTAGGTGAAACCATCGCACTTGTTTGTAAGAGCTATTGCGATTATAATAAACACCAAAACCAGAAATTCGACTATAACTCATATTTTGCTATTTAATAAGTGATATTTCCTTCATGCATCTAAATACCAATACATTATTTTCAATCAAAGTTAGCATTTTGATAAAAAAATTCTTTTAAGCGATTTACAATACATACTTGGTTAGCACAGAAATCAACCGCTTCTACAAGTGCACGAATGTGGTAAATTTAAAGTAGCATTAATGTTCGAATTGCGTAAATACAATTCTGTTAATTTTGGAAAGTATCTAATATTTTTATGTTGCCTGATGTGTTCAATTACTTTTTTCTTGTTACCTAATAAATTGAATAATTCTGACGGTTGCAACCTTCACTAATTATTAGGTTTTTTTACCGATCTGGATCGTAGCCTTACTATGCTCTTTCACCAATAGTTTGATGAGATGAATACAAGCCAGTTTCCGTTTTCAATTTGTAAAAATGGTTTGAAAGGTTGAAGCAATTCTAATTGCTATTGAAGAAGCAACTTGGTGGGTATAAGTTTTTGGTCAGCCACCGCAGCCACCTACTTCTTAAATAGGTTTCAAGAAGTGTGGCTGAAGGCAACTTTTTACTCTCAAAAACTAATGAAATTGATTATGGGTTGAGAATTATCAGAGTTCTCAAATGGTTTAAATGAACTGTGAATCAAAACGACGTATTGAACAAGATATGAGAATAATATTTGTTCAATTTAACACATTATTGCAGTAATGACGAAGGAAACAATCACGAACACCACAATCTGACACTACCCAGTGCAGAGATTCATTAAAACGTCTTTAAAATTTGCTGGAACAGCTCTATTTCGCTGATTTTGTTTGAATGTTTGGTTTTTAACATGCCTGATATTTTTGTTCTCATTTTTATAAATGATAATATGTAATTATATAACATGAAGTGGCACGTTCGTAAAATGAATAATTAATTTAATGCAAAATTTGTATTAATTTATATCAAATACAGAAATATTAAATATTAAATGTGTTTCCCATAGATAATTGTGGTAGAATTGGGAAATAAATTTGTGTTTCAACAATGGATGTCAATTTAAATGTGAAAAATGTAATTGGAAAATAGAGAATTGTAAATTAATTGTGAAGAACGTTTATTACTATGTAGAGAATTTAACTGCAAACTGATCTTTGAAAATAAATAATATGGTAGTGCTCTGCACAGCAGAGGTTTTAATTGCCATTAGAAAACCAAGTAATTAAATTTCATTTTACTTAGTTATTCTAAAACATTCATATCGATTATATCTTCTATATCTTCTCTATCTTCTATATCTTCTATATCCACAAAGACGAAGAAACCTCCGAATCGCTTAATAATCGCATTTAATTGGGCTGAAAATGGAGCCTCTGACCTTACATTGCTCATACCAATTTCTGCAATAAATCCCTTATCAAACTTATTTAATTCATCCATAAAAGTTTTCCCAACTGTAGTAATGGGATTTCGAATTAGCACCACAGTTAGCCATTGTGAAATAAAAATATTATCGATGGTTTCAATCTCATTATCATTTAAATAAAGATATCTTAGCTTTTGTAAGCTATTCAAATTCTCAATTTTACTAATACAATTTCTAGTTAACACCAACAGTTCCAAATTAATTAATTCATCGAGTCCCTCAATTTTTGTAATTGCGTTCCTTCTTAAATCTAAGTCAGTTAACTTTTTCAACCCTTCAAGATTCTCAATCTTCCTCANNNTGTTTCCCTCCAAATTCAACATGGTCAAGTGTTTCAAATGGCTGATATTCTGCATTTTCTGTATATTATTGCCTCCCAAATATAACTTATTCAAATTAACCAACTCTTTCAAGTTATCAATTTCACTGATATCGCAACTACGTAAATCAAGTACAGTGAGGTTACTCAACTTGTTCAAATTTTCGATTTTTCCAATTTTATTTCCATATAGTGATAGTTCTTTTAAATTGATTAGTTTATTCAAATTCTCAAGTTTTGTGATTTGATTTTCTCTAACTGATAATTGTTCAAGATTTGTCAATTTATCCAAATTCTCAAGCTTTTTGATTTCATTACCTTCTAACGAAAGTAGTTTTAGATTGACCAACTGATCTAAATTTTCAATATTTGTAACCTTATTACCATTTATCTCACAAACCTCTAGATTAATGTTCAAATTTTCAAATTTACTAATTTCATTTTTCGAAATACACAAAGTATGTAGCTTTTCTAATTTATTGATGTTCTCAATTCTTTCAATTTGATTGCAGGATAAGTCTAATTTTCTCAAGTCCCTCAAACAATTAAACTCAATTGGAATTTCTGTTATCTTATTTTTAGATAGATCTAAAACTCTAAGATTATTTAACTTTGAAATTGACGAGTNAATTCTGCTGATTCTGCAATTTCTGATTGACAAAACTTTCAAATTAATTAAATTATCCAAGTTCTCAACAACTTCTAACTCACTATTAAAATCTAAGTCCAACTTTTCCAAACCAGTTAAACAATCTAAATTTTCTATTTTCGTTAAATTGTTGTGTGATAAATATAATACTTCTAAATTAACAAGATTTTCTAAGTTTTCCAATATATGTATCTTGTTGTTATCTAGTAATAATTTTGTTAAATTAATGAAATGATTTAAATTATCAATTCGTTCAATTATATTAAGGCTCAAGTCAAGACGCTCTAAATTCATAAATTGTTGATTTCTCAATATCTCCAACTTGTTTGTATCATCAATAAAACCTGATAACTGAATTCCATTCAAATATTTAGGATTGCAGATTAACAGATTAAAAAAATTATTTGTAATTTCAAGCATGGCGCTGTTAAACAATGTTTCTTCTGGGGAAAATTCGCGTGAGAGGAAACGAGATGGTTGAACAATAGTGATAGTTTGAAGATTCTCAAAATAAAGATCCTGTGCTAAATATTGGTGAATAGCCATTTGGACTCTATAAAAATCCTCATTTCTGGAAGATTGAGGTGAGAACAAACTAGATGATTGAGCAGAAACGATATTTTGCAGATTATCAAAATACAAATTCTCTGTTAGTAATTGGTCAATAGATTTTTGAAGTTTATAAGCATTCTCAATTCTTCTTGTGTGCTTGCGCTCAAAATAATGAATTGGATCATCAATAAATAGCGTTTTAGTAAATGATTTCAAATAACTTTTAAGTATAAAGCAATCATCTTTTAATAAAACCATCTGCCATTTACGATCATTCCACATTAAATAGCCAATAGAAGTATTTCTTACGCAAAATCGATTATATGCAATTTTTAAAACAGTAAATAGTTTTCTGTAACAGAGATAGGAAATGTACTAATTGTCTGATAATGAGAGCAACCAAACAATATCCAATGGCAAATATTCTACAACCAACAGAAATACATCAGGATGAAATAATGCAAAGTCCATAATGATGAGTTGTTGTGAGCAATTGCTTCCACTGACTGGAGACTAGAGGTTAGATATACACACGTCTTTGGTGAGATATAAGAAGTGTGAGTTTNAATTAAATGGTATGTAAATCAGTTTTTGCTTCTTTAATAGCTATGGGAGATGTCTCTCCTTATATCCTCACAGGAGTTTTCAACATTGAGATTTGGACCCATAAAAATAGCCTCCTCCTTCATTTGTTCCCAACTCTGGAAGAGCATATAATAGAACAGTAGCTATAATCAGTGTGACCCATCACGTTGGACGGTATTATTGGGGACAAAAATCGACTTTTGTGTCGAATGCATTTTTTCAAAACGTTTTGTTTTTTCAATTTACAAATATGATACAATTCGTACTTTTAAACACTCTTTTAAAGCAAAACAAACACTGCAACACACAATGTCCTTAAATTCAAGAGAATTTTACCATTTGAAAACAAGTGCCAGTACAGCCAAAGTGTTTGCTTGTGAGCTGGGCGATAAACAAATAATAACCGAACCGGGTTGAAGAAACCATGTTGGGTTAACAGCTCATTTGAAAACCCATAAAAAGTGTTTAAGCAATTCCATAGTTAACAAAGTCGTAATTGTAAATTGAAAAGTAAAAGAAAAACGAAAGATCACCACAGCCGTTTTATAGAATCTTGAGTTAGAAGGGACGGATTATGAGTCCGTTGCACGGAGAGGAAACAGATACCGGATATCTCGGAATGCTATTCCGACTTGTTCTAAAAAACATTACAAAGTAGAAAGCACTATAAAAGTTCATTAGAAAATGAAGAGAACTTGTACTTTCAAGGGAATACCTCATACATAGGCTACATATTCAAGCGACTTCTTGTCGCCGATAATTCATTGAGAATCAAACGTGTTAATAAACAAAAAAGAAAAAAAAAGAGATTTTTGTTGTCATTTGTAGAATTTGCAACACTGTTGATGAACCATTGGTCTTCCTCAATGGATTATTGCAACAATCTCATTGTTTTGCAAAAAAATTTTTAGTTTTAACAGAATAAGACTGTATTGTTGTTTATAATACCAAATAAAGTTATTGGTGGCTATAACATAAAGACACAATGTACTATTTATTTGCGTAATGTACATCAAAATTTACAGAACTATAATTAAACAAAGCAAAACAAAGATTTTAGAAGAACAATTAAGTCATCATAGTATTTCACATCCACTGTCCACAAGACAGACAGAAAAGTCAACTCAACAGTGTCTTACCACTAGGAAGAGTATGCAGAGAAGCAAAAGTAAAACAGGAAAAACAAAAATATGCACATAAACAGATCATTTCAAAAACTTTTAATACTATCTTAAACTTGAAGGAAATAAAACATGAGATAAAAAAAAATATTTTGCAGAAACTGAAGTAAAAAAAACCTGAATTGAATCAAAACAAACTATAGGAGATTCTCAAACACGATATGCAATCTATTACACATATCTCTAAAGATTCCATCTTGGTGAAATAAATTCATTGGAGTGTCAAACTCTTTGATTTCACCTTTATCTAACACCATGATTCGATCATATTTGAGAATAGTTCGTAACCTGTGTGCAATACACAATATAGTACAATCTGCAAATTCAGTTT